GTTACCTGTTCGGGACGGCCCTTACGGGTATATAGCTACGCTCACTCCCCCTAGATAGTTTACACTCTCTTCGTAGCCAACTCATGTTACCTATTGGACTATACAGTTCTCAGTAACAGGTGACTGCTCATACCTTGCGTGATCCACAACCAGTTCATACTATTCAGATTGTTACTAGGAACCCTGACCCAGTCAGATCCAAGTAGGATCTTTAACAAAATGGAGCAGGTTAAAGAGGGATAGCATTCTATGTTCTTAATATTCAGTGCTATATAAGAAGTGATGATTGCTCTGTGCTGAGCTCACCTTCTGTCATTATAGCAAAACTCCATCCATTGTCCCGCACACCTCGATATACCCAAAAGCAACCAAAGCCTCCAGTCTCCACTACGGCAATTATATCTCTTTTTCAATATCTTAATATATTACGGCTTCTGTCTGTTCTATTTATACTTCTTGGATCGCATATATTATCGGTCACAGCCGGCCAATGCTTCTTAGACCAGTCCTTTGAGGCCCAAAACCCTCCTGCACCTCCATACGATACAGGAAAGCCATGTCGAGAGCCACCCCCAGGGGAGCTTTGGGCTTATCAAAATCTCGACTTTTCTACCGTGGATTGTCTCGTTGCTGACATCACTACGTGCGGAGTCATCGGAGCGAACAACGCTCCAAGTATCTTCTACTCCTTTGGCGTGGTTCAGGGACAAATTGATACACTTCGCGACTAAGTCGTCTCAGAAGGTAACTATTACGTTAACTGTTACGACGATGCCTATTAAATAAGTGTAATATCACCGATGAAGGCTACGGTAGGACAGGGAAGAACGGATGCTCTCATTGCGAGGTCTACGGAGGCGTACGCTAAGGTTGCTAGTGGCGAGATCCTAGTTTTTGTCGAAGATAGATTCAGTAAAAAAAAGAATGGCACAATGGGCATTTTCTAGACCCCTGGAGATGATACTCCGGAACCCAATATCTAGCAAATCTACGAACTTCCCATTCTGCAACGCAGCCCGACCGTCACACGAATTGTCAGCATTATTGTCTCCGAGAACTTCTAGAGATACGTGAATTGGGAGAATGAGCAATCGCCACCAGGGATGAACTTTCCTCTTCTACCCCTTAACAACGCAATGTCCGTGCCCGTCCCACTAATTTCTGCCGGGGCTCAGAAATATAAGAGAGATGAAAATGGCACCGAAGATGATGTCGCAATGACCCCTTGTTCTATTCCGGCTGCCGCCGCGGTTGTTACATCCAGCTCGGTGTCCTCGTTGCCAGCTTCCAAACCATCATGCATCTTACACGAGCAAGACCCAGATCAAGGCATAACGCAAGCATTCTGTCTCTACGATAGCACTGCGACTCTCTCTCCACTTTCTGTGGCATCGACGGGCCACCAGACCGACAGCTGCGCCTACACGACCATACCAGCTACAGCCAAGGAAACAATTACCACCGCCGCATCAACTTACACTAAGAACTGCCAGGGGTGTACCCAAGTTCGGTTCAATGCACTAAGCTGCACATCTGTTCCGAAATGTGCCCCCATCAGTGCAGAGGTTACTGTTCAAGCAGGCAGTTCTCCCGTGCACGTCGGCACTCTTACAGGCACAGCTCTCTACACTTCTGTTTCTAGCGCCCTGGAAAAACTGTGCCCATTGGTGACTCAAACTAAGAGTCCAACTGTCTGCGAGACAGGCAGCGTCACAGTACCGAATATTGAGTATGTCAGCGACGACAGCCTCGACAGAAATGGGGAGCTAGTGATCAAAGTGGCAGCAGGCTCGTACAACTCGACTGCGCTCCGCGATGCAATGATATCAAGTCTGCAGCTTTGACCGCACAAAAGGGATCCGAACAGACGAGTTCCTGTTCCAACCAAACTTATACCACCTTGGTGAAGCGCGAGAGACGCCCTCTATCGCGGATATACGGCAGAATGAGCGATGCTTTCGCCGGTTATATCCGAGACCGTCCAGAACCTGTTGTGCAGAAAGGTCTTTTCTGCAACACTGCGGCATTTGCAGGCGTGGGATCTTGCTACGGTCCCGGATATGCAGGCGTTTTGCGGCGGGACTCTTGTTGGATAATGTGACAGGAAATCTGGAAAAGAGGTGGCATTCTGAGAGATATTGGAATTAAGGCTCAGCTGGGGAGGCGTATACGGTTCTTGATGATGGATTAATGTTTTATGTATAGTAGCAATAATGAGATCTCTTCGAATGAACGTTCTGCTGCTCAATCTCCTTTAGCCGTACAGCCTTGTCTCGCCCCAGGGTTTTGCGTGGGGCCCCTAAGCCCGAACTGGCTTCTGAGAATTGGCCTCAGACAAGCTCCCTACGGCTCGCCCAGTGCTCGAGTGCGCTCCCCCGTACTCTGCCGCGGCTCCCACGACGCTCTCCCGTGCTCGGCCGGGCCTCCTCGATGCTCCGTCACGTGCCCGATTAAAGCGGCCTCGTTCCCCTTGAACGAAAATGGTATGGGATAAAGCATAGTTTGGGGTATATATAATAGATATATATATATATATATATATATGGAAATAGCATACCCAGTAAAGAACTAGCTCCCACAACGACCCCATCACATAGTTCATAATTCCTAGAATCGCTTTGCGGAGGATTTCCTGCGGAATTCACTGATCCCTCCCAGTATGCACAATACGTTACTAGGCAGATACATAGGCGAATCACCCGTTCGAATCTCCAGGTTAAGCAGAACACCGTCCCATGCAAGCCTCGTAGAGGCCTTTGACTCCCGCATAGCTGAAACGTTTTCGCCATCCCCCTCTCACCTCGTCTGGTTTCGTCAACTAGCCTCCAGAATCCCCTGCTCGCCTTCTTCCAAATAGTAGGATCCTATCACTGACGCAAGCTCACCAACTCAAAGTACTCCTCCTCTTCAACCTCCGCCGCTTCAAAACCTCTTGTCCACCCTTAGATTTTAGCCGCGTGAGATAGCCGTGTCGACGTTTCTGGACTCGTCTTGAGGGACTGTATGTATCACATCTCCTTCGATAACCGAGGAGGGTGGGTGTTGTGGAGAAAGGACGGCATAAAAGCACTGACAGCCGGGGCTGTGATGGAGAAGGTAAGGCCGACGACTGTATTGACAGGGAAGACGGTCTGAGAGCCGAACTACTTGGGGTGCGAAGCGAAAGATTGCTGAATGCGCGGGTGATTGAGGACGTCGAGGTTGGAGCATACGTGGCTCTAGGGAAGATCCCGGGTATTCGTCTGATCGTAGTAAAGGCTCTTCAAGGGCTAACAGTCAGTGCCTCTTCCGAGAAGAGATGGCAATCGTATTAAGCTCACCTTCGACTCGGCACATGATGAATCTTCACCCTCGAAGGCATACTGTCAAAGATGCATTTGACCACGCGGCCACAAATCCGGCACATGATGGGGTAGGAATGGTACTTGTAAGCACTGAAAGGTTTGGTCGTTGAGATTGAGTTGCTCCAAACCAACAAAAGAGCTACTTACTGTTGTATCCGAACGCAGTCGTGCTTTGCCGTGAAGTGCTCGCCGCACTTTCCCGATTTAGCCGAAGTAAGGCGTGTTTGAGGACACAAACCCCGTATGGCCCATCCTCCTGCGGTTCTGCGGCCTGCATGTCAACTCGCATTTACATATCGAATCGCATTTCATACATGCATTCGTCTCTCATTGCTTCTGACTAAACTGTGGAAGGAACCATGGCTTCCCTTCTTCAAATTCTCGGCGACTTCCCTCGTGTTCGTCTCTCAATGCCCTTCTCTCCGCCCTGTCTTCCCCTCACTAACCATTGTGTTATCTACAGCGCCTTGCGGTATTCCTTGACCGCCCTGGCTTCCCGTGGAAGAAACTGATCCTGGGGTTTTCTTTGGGCCAATATGTGCTCGAAGGTCTCTTATCGCTGAGGCAGTATAGAGTGCTGCAAAAGAAAAAACCGCCCAAGACATTGGAGGATGAAATCTCCCAGGATGTTTTCGACCAGAGTCAAGTACGCGCGCATCGCCCTTGACATTGCATCTGCACATGTACAACTTGCTGACCGTTGTCGCCAGGCATACGGTCGCGCAAAAGCCGAATTCGGCTTCTTCTCCGGCCTTTACTCCCAGATCCAGAACGTCCTCTTCATTCAATACGATGTCTTACCTAAGCTCTGGTCGTTGACAGGTCTCTGGCTGGCCCGTTACCTCCCAGATCGATTCTCCGGCGAGATTTCCCACTCGGTGCTCTTCTTCTTGACTTTCACTCTCATCTCCCAGATCTTGGCACTGCCACCTTCATACTACAGCACTTTCGTCTTGGAAGAGAAGTTCGGTTTCAATAAACAGACAGTGAAGTTGTGGATCACGGATATGCTCAAAGGCCAGGCGTTGATGGTGGTATTGGGGACACCTTTACTGAGCGCCTTTCTCAAGATCATCCAGGTGACGGGCACAAGGTTCTTCTACTATCTCTGGCTCTTTGGGATTGTCGTCCAACTCTTTGCCATTACCATTTATCCGATCTTCATTCTCCCATTGTTCAACAAGCTATCACCCCTCGAGCCTGGAGAACTCAAATCTGGAGTGGAAGCGTTAGCGCAAAGACTGAAGTTCCCCCTGAAGTCCCTGTACGTTATCGATGGAAGCAAACGGAGTGCGCATAGCAATGCGTACTTCTTCGGGTTGCCGTGGAAGAAGCACATTGTCATTTACGACACCCTGATCGAAAAGAGTGAACCTCAAGAAGTGGTGGCGGTGCTGGGTCATGAGCTAGGGCATTGGAGTCTGGCTCATACCACAAAACTGTTCGCAATTGCACAGGTATGTTGGACGCTTCCGACAAAAGCTCTGGGCTGACTGCTGTCTAGTTCCACATGTTTTACATCTTTGCGCTCTTCAGCATCTTCATCGACAACAATTCCCTTTACTCCTCCTTCGGCTTTCACGACTCGCACCCCATCATTATCGGCTTCATCTTGTTCTCAGATGCCCTCGCTCCGATGGATGCCGTGGTGAAGCTTCTTATGAACGTGCTCTCCCGGAAATTCGAATTCGAAGCCGACGCATTCGCAACTAGATTGGGATATGAGAAGGAGTTGGCCAGGAGTCTGATCAAATTGCAAGTGCAAAATTTGAGCACCATGGACGCCGATTGGATGTACGCAAGCTACCATTATAGCCATCCCATTCTAGCGGAGAGATTGGCTGCGCTGGGGTGGAAAAGTTCCAAGCCAACAGCGAATGGAAAGGTCGTTGAGTTGGGTGAGAAGGTTGTGGATGCGGATGTCGTGAAAGCGAGCCAGAGGGAGCTGTGATCGCCACGATTCGTTCGGCTTTTTGAATGATCTTCCTTTGATGTTGAGCCGGGGATGCTTCTCCCGTCGACGAATGATGGCGAGTTTCAACTTGAATTATGGCCTTGAAGCCGGCATAGAAGAGGCATGGCATGTGGAGAAAGCAGGTTTAGCCATTGTTTGTCTCGGGCTAGGCAAACAGAAGGCAATGGATGTGAAGTTGCTGGATATCGCTCGGCACTGAAACTTGGTCTGCTTGCGTTGTGATGGGTATTTTGGGCGAGGCAGCGCGCATGAACGCACAAAGCAGATGGGAACACCAAGTCCAGCCGAGCCACACCAAGGAGGCTCCATTCTATGTCATACTAACGCGAAGATAAGGGAAGAGGCTGAAGTCACAGATTAAATGCTACCGCCACGGTCTAAGGTTTTCAGCCGTCCATGCTCAAACCACAAACATCCACAACAACAAGGACTTACCCCCTGATCCTGCGACTGGTACGTCAAAGACCGGGCACAGCATCAATTCCGGTCCCAAACCAATAAACTAGACCAAAGATCTTCGCCGATTAGCAGAAGGATAGCCATATTCGCAGACTTGACGAGTAGCAGGGAGGAAGGTCAATGTTTCCTAGTGTCCTCAGGACTCAGTCGAGTCTTCGCCACGATATATAGCACTCGAACTTGTCGAGTGCATTCGTGACCTCGTGTGATTCTGGAGTTGTCTGTCTGGGAGATCGAAGCACCTTGTTTGGATCGATTTCAGGATCTAGTTTTCAATGTAGAGCAGGCGCAAAGACGAGGGATGGACGAGATCAGGCCACTTTATGAGAGTTCCCGGTATTAGAGGAAGAAATGCCACGTCGAATAGAATTCTAGAGAGTCTACTCTATATACCTCGTATCCTTTAGTGCTTCGTCGATGGTCAAGGGGCGTCCCGAATCAGGCACAATATGATTGGCTGAACCTTTTACTAACAAATCCGTCAGCCTGCGAAGCCTGCTTCCCCTGCTTCCCCTCGTATCCACGAAGTTTTTACGCAACCCTCTCCTCTTTAGCGACCAAGACACAGTCTTCTTCTTACTAGATAAGGTTCCCTCCGACGACAGCTTTGCGGTCTGAGTGCCGCCCGTCTCCATGCCCTCCATGGCGGGCTCCAAACCCGTGACGGAATTACCTCGATTCTTTCGACTGACATGGACCTCCGCCGCCCTCGTCCAGGCAGCGCCCCAGTCGATTCCCAAACGGCCTCCTGTAGCTCAAGCGCTGAAGGCGTCTTCCTTCGAGGCTGTCTCGAGGCCCAGAGCAATACATACCGGTGCAGCTAGGAGCTTGAGTATGACGAAAACTTCCCACTCACGGAAGAGACCGCGAACCTTTGTTCAATCACTTCCCCCAAACTCAGCTCCTCTCCGGCATAATGGGGTTTACGCCGCTGCATTCAAGCCGGCCCGTCGAGCATTCTCAACCACTCCTGTGCAACACAAAGCTCACCACTTTGACACGTTGCGATTCGTCCAAAGACTGAAAGATGAAGGCTTCACCGAAGAGCAGGCTGTGGCTATGATGCGCGTCCTGAACGACGTGATAGAAGAGTCGATCCAAAATCTCACTCGTACTATGGTCCTGAAGGAAGATGCTGAGAGAAGCACATACACCCAGAAGGTTGATTTTGCCAAACTGAGGAGTGAATTGTCCAATGCGGACAGCACCGAAGCACAATTAACACGATCCAGCCACGATCGTTTAACCAGCGACTTGGCCAAATTAAACTCGAGATTACGGGATGAGATCAGTCGCACGCAAGCCAGCGTGCGGCTGGACCTGAATCTCGAGAAGGGCAGGATACGAGAAGAAGCGAATGGACAGGAGATGAGGATCAAGGAGACCGAAGCTCGAATCGAACAAGAGGTGGCAAGTCTCCGGGAACGAGTCGAAGCAGTCAAGTTCTCGACCCTGCAGTGGCTCATGTAAGTATCATGCTCCCCTCCCAAGGCCAACGGAAAGTGATTCTGACCACCATGATAGGGGCGTCTGCACAGGCACAGCTGCGCTCATTCTGGGTGCTTGGCGCTTGCTAATGTAAACGCACTCAACACTATTGGTGCTACATAGCATGCCAGAGCAGAAATATTTCGTCTCCATCGGATATGGCCTCTTCCACACCCGCATCGCGCCCTAACTAGGCAGAAAGGCGACAACACCTTAGCGAGGTGACATTGCAAGTCTGCTAAAGCTCTCCTATCCGAAATGGTAAAGGCTCTTATAACTCTTAACGGCATTCAGACTGTGCAGAACGCAAGCTCACAGGAATGCTCCTCCATGTTTCGGAGTCGCATTGCCTCGGATCTGGTCGGCTCATTGAATGGACCCTTGTTTGAGCTGCATCACTAGCTCCACAATGCGGACTCCTCGCTTGAACGGCTGTGACTTCATATCGCACCTAGCCTGTCTACATATTAAATAATATGTGTTGCCTGAGGAGCCTTCATCTGATCGCGGACCATAGTCGTCATTCTTGTCCCTCTAGATATCTGCTGGTCTGGTCATCTTCACGTTCACCAGTACGCCCGGCCGATACCAATTTCCAATTCGGCCCGACCAAGTTTCGTTATCGAAGCTGTGATTATTGCCGATCCCAAAAATGTCCAAGACGACGACAAGGGTAAAATCATGGGTTCACACGACTGCGGGCTATCCAGAGACACTCCAGCTTTCCGAGACAGAAGTCCCTTCGATTCCGGCACCGGGTCATATTCTCATCCGCATGCACGCGGCAGCACTGAACCCAGTAGACATCCAACTTATGAACGTCCCGTTCAACTCGCTCCCTTATCTGAACGGTCCCAAGGTCGCTGGGCGGGATTTTGCGGGTACGGTACTAGCAGCAGGCCAAGGCGCCGAGTTCGAAAAGGGTGATGAGGTCTTTGGCATCAGCATGGCTCTCAACGGTACAGGCTCTTTGACTGAAGTGGCCGAAATTGATCTCAAGGGCGCATGCTTCATCAAGAAACCACTGCATCTTTCTTGGGCACAAGCCGCCAGTCTTCCGCTCGTCTACCTCACAGCGCGGACCATCATAGAAAGGTGCAGGCCGTTTATGAAGTCCTCAACTCCTTCTGAGAACAAATTTGTCGTCCTTGGTGGGTCTTCCGCAACAGGGATCTATACTGTGGAGATGGCAAAATCCCTAGGCTGGAAAGTCCTCGCCAGCTGCAGTGGTCGCAACGCCGAGTTCGTAAAAGGCCTCGGCGCTTCACAAACTGTGGATTATACTACATCATCGACAGCCGTTGCAAATGCTGTCCAGGATTTCTCCCCGAATGCGATTGCGGACTGTGTGGGCGGGACAGAGTGCATCGGTCTCGCTCCACAATATGTGACCATTGTGGGAGACAAAACTTCGCGTGCAGCTATGGGCGGACCCATGATATACCTAACGCATCCTCGAATGGTCTTCAGGTGGCTCTATGGATATCTGGGTTTGGGGCAGTCTTACGAGTGCATTATGCTAGATATGAGAAAGGAGTGGCTGGAGGAGACGACGAGGCTGGATCCAGATAAAGACCTCGTCATCGACAGCGTCTTTGACTTTTCCAGGACCAAGGAGGCATATGAAAGGCTGAATACTGGTCGAGCGAGGGGAAAAGTCGTGGTGGAAATCCAGCACTCGTAGAAACAAGCCTTCGTGTCCAGACTCCGTATATCCAATATTGAATTTCCATATATCTTGGTGGAAGGATTGTTGCCGAATATGCGGGTCTAAATGCAGAGCATAGAATGCCTGGTTCTTTCATTCAGGGCTGATACTGGGATACAAGGAGCTGGTCGTGGATGGGCACGTAGTACATAGTACCCGATAGACCTGGCTGTCTCGCTGTTGAATCCCGTCAAGATCTCATCCAGCCTTGTCAGGCTTCTGCATGGGTAAACTTCGGCAGTTGACCTTGACCCATGACTTTGTTCAATATGGCATCTTGTTTTGCCCACATGATCGTGTCACGCTGGCTTCATGCAAACAGTAGACGAGTCTGTCTGCCTGGAAAGTCGACGACTTCTTGGCTTCCGTTATGTGCGATCTTGTGAAGCGACAGCGACCGCGACATCATCTCACCTCCAGCTCGCGGCATTTCTGCCGAATGCGAATCTCCATTTCCTCCCTCCCGAACAATGAAGAAGTCTTTCATTGAACGAATCTTTCCGCACCCGCCTGGAAGTATAAGTTCACTTCCTCGCTACGAAGATGACGTTTCAGTCTCATCTTCACGATCTGACGCGACCCGTCCTCGAATTCTGCTCCAAGATGCAACATCCCCATTTTCATCGGCCGACCGGCGACGGACAGCATCGACCTCTCCGTCCTCTCCAGCACCCCAAAAGTTGAGCTCGTCTCTGGTGCGCCACGATGACCCCTTCCTCCCAGTAGAGAGAGCAGCCAAATCCCTCGAGCGGACGTTCCAAAGCCTTCTCGATGCGCAGTCAGAGGGACTCAGTGCTGGCAGCATTGCGACGGCGGAAGTGGATGACTCGTCTTCCGTTGGAAGCCCCACGCCCACCCCGTCCATCCTCTCAGCATCTACAAGAACGGGAGCGGAAACAGGACCGCGAACCCTACCGATCCGCCAACCAAAGTCCAAAAAGATCACACTCAGAGGCGCACGACGCGGTCTAGCAAAGTCCATGAAGGAGTTTGCAGCTCTCAGGGAGTGGGAATTGTCCCTGATCGACCGAGAAATTGTAGCCAGAGATAACGCCCTGAAACAGGCTTCCGACCTAGGAAATCGGAGAAAACTCCTAGAGGATGAAATCCACAGGATCAAAACTGAAGAAGGTCCGGTTGGGTTACGCTCTGAGATTGAAGCTGTGGAAGTGGAGATCCAACGCTTAGAAACAACGCTGCTGGAACTCAGGTCCAAGCACAGAATACTAGTGAACCAGCTTCGCGAGACTGAGAGCTCGAGGGACTCTGAGTTGAGCTCATACATGGAATCATTGGCACTGAGTGAGAACCAAGTCAAATCGTTCCTGCGCAGACCACCGATCCAGCAGAGCCTGATCTCTGGACAAGATCCGGGCGTGTACGCCTTGAAGCTAGAGAGGCGCACCCTGCAAATGGCGCAGGAGCAGTGGACAAGCGAAGTGCAGATGTTGGGCCAAAGAAAGGCGAGCGCCGAGAGTGAGAGGAATGCGCTGGAAGACGGATCGAGACTTTGGCGTGATGTTGTAAAGCGGATCGGTGAATTTGAGAGGGAGCTAAAGGCGAAAACACAAGAGCTATCTCAGTCGCAACTCCAATGGCCTGGCGCGAATGGAGCAGATTATCTTGAGGTTGCCCCGGCGGCAGAGACCGGAGATATGTCCATGCACCTCGTCTTGACAAAACTCTCCACGCTAATCTCATCTCTCGAGGAGGATCTTGAACTGGCCGAATCGAAGAACTGGAATCTCCTCAACTGTGCGATAGGGGCTGAGCTCGCGGCTTTCCGACAAGCGCACGATCTGCTCCAGCGGACGACTAACGTATCATCCGCGACAACCAGTGGTCAATTGTGCGATGGCGACAGTGTCAATGGATTCGAAGACCCGAATCGGCCTGCACATGACGAGGGACAGGGTGATAAATACACCGCGGATTTGTTCAGGGATGACCCGCTTCCGACCAGCAGGACGCGGAGCCCAGGCGAAAGCAGCAATCAAAGTCTAGAAGATACATTGCGTCAGTTTGGGGACCCGCTCAACAAAGGCAAGCAGAAGGAAGAGGACGCTTCTGTTCGAGGCCTCGAGCTCGATCCTTTGAGCGGCCCGAGGTGGTCACAGCCTCGTGCTCCGTCCTCCGATTTGGATGCCTTTGGTGGAGGAAGCGAGTGCGCCCCAAGCTCAGCACCAATGTCGATCCCGAACCTTCGACCGAAGCCTCCAGCTAGGACGATGACATCCGAAAGCGAAGACGACGAACCAGGGCCGGAGTTTCTTCTTTCCCATTCTTGATAGCCGAGTTTTCATTAGAAAGGCAAGGGATTGTATAATTAGAGGCGTGTCAAGCGGCATGCCCAAGTGCTTCATGAGCGTTGTATCATATTCAGCATTGTTCACACCACTTTCCAGACCTTTGTTCCCTCCATCGGTGAATTTGTTTCACAGTGGGCCAGTTCTTCTTTGATTTGAAACTTGAACAAAACTCGCCCATTCCTCTATCTGTTCTGGGTGGTACCCAGGCAGCAGGGACTTGTGCTTCAGCACTTCACAATGCGAGGAAAGCTTCGTGGGCGGCGTTTTCAGACCGTGTCTCTGGCCGATGGCTCTGTGTCTGGGAGGTCAATGAAGAATCTCTTCTGCAAGGCTAAGTGCCTTCAACGAGGACCGATACTGTTTCACCACCAGTCTCACCCTCACTGTTATCCTTCGTGCCCTGCTGTGCCTATTGTATTACCTACCATGCTGATGAACACCCAGGAACTCCCCCAACAAGATACGAAACACGCCCTGCAACCATTCTCTATCTCGGCTCCAACCCAGTCGAGTCAATCTTACCTTTCCTACCCTCTCAACCGCTCTTTATCACTCAGTGGCCCAGCAGAAACCCAAAAATGCTCGCAAGACTCTGGTCACGAATCAACCAGGACGACATCCCGTACCACTACCGAGCCTACCCAGTCTGGCGCTGCGAGACAAGACTGTACCATTGCTGCCCTCACTACGTCAACCCAAACTGCTGCCGTTACTGGTACGCGGACTCGTTCGGCCCATACGACGCCTGCGAGTTCATCACGCCAGAGGCATACTCTGCGAGGGGAGGCCGCTGGGACCAACTCGTCTCCTTGACCCTACCCGCCCCCTCTGAGATCTCTGCCTCCTCTCGCGCCTCCGTTATGATGACCGCCTGTCAGCGTACTTTCATACGCCTTGGCCGATCTGCTATCAGAACCGCTCGTGTGTACTACTTTGGACGAGAAGCTGTCGAGATACGTGAGCGCGAAGCGAACGTCCTCGCTAAGCGGCGTGAGATGGGGGAAAAGGAAGAATTTGTGATGCGCTTGATTGCGGTCAGGTATTTGGGCGCGGGACTATGGCGTGACGATTTGGAGGCGGATGGGGAAGGCGAGGACGGGGACGAGAACGAGCACGACATTTATAGTCTCAATGGCCGTGGCAGCTGTGGCTTGGCGGTTCTGAACGAGGGGAGGATCGCGGCGCCGGTAGTTAACCGAGACACAGCTCAGGGACGTGCAAGAATGCTCGGGACCGATGGCTGGCCCGGGAAGAGAAAACGGGGTGAATGATGGTGAAATGATGGGGAGACCGGGAAAAGGGAGACAGACTGATGGGTCTCGGTTCATGGCGAGGCTGAGTTTCACGGAGGCTCCAGACAGAATTGGATATGGATGGATGGATTCATTTATTCATTCCCCTAAGCCCCCCCGGCCCGAACTGTCCACCATGTACGTAAACATATACTAGCTCCCTCCAAACGCCTAACCATACATACACACCCATCAGTCCCTCCCTTTTTGGACAGTTGTCTGGTTGGTTAGCTACTGAGTTACCCGCCAATTTTGTCCCCTGCCGGCACGCTTCTTGACCAGATTCGAAGCCGTGGTGATTTCAATAGAGGGGGGAAGAAGAGAACAAGAAATAAAGAAAATTCGTCCATGTCATGGCGTGTAGGTGGGTCGATAGCTAAGCCGGTAGTGTTGGTCAATCTTGGTAGAAAACAAACCCGGGAGTTATGGTTCGATGTTCTGACTTTGATGTTTTACTTTTGTGCCTTGTCTGTTCCCGAGTCCCCGCGTTGGTGCTGGGATGACTTTTGTTGATGGGATTGTTGTAGCGTGAGCTATGAATGCCTGAAGATCTCGTTGACCGCATGGGTCTTGTCTTGGTTCCCGTCGTCCTGCCTCGTGGCTTGATCTGTGTAAGTGAAAGTAGCTCGCAAGGCATCTCTGGTCTCGACAATCTCTGGTTATTGTGGTGTTTTTGGCCGGCTTTCTTGGGCATTGTCGTCCATCCAAAAAAGAGGGTGACGGTGTTGGTGGTGGCAGATCATATTCATCCCCATAATTCGTCCTGGGGCGGCACCAAATCTGGTCCTTCGTACACCTTTGCTTCTCTGTCCTTCTCCTTGTCCTTCTCTTTCTCTCTTTCCTTCTTGATCAGGTTCACAATGTTGATCCCCGAGCCCTGCGGATCGGACGCCGCGATCTCGGCCTCGACATCGCGGGCAATGAGTTTGTAGTCCTGGACAACGTCGCCGTAGAACCCTTTGCTGGAGGCTCCCACCACCGCGGGGCCGTTCCATCCCTTGCGCGATTCAAAGTACATCTCGTCCGTCTCGGTCTCGATGTCGGTGGCCTCATCGGCGGTCAGCTCACCAGCAGAGGTCGAATCTGCCGCGCTTTCCCTGTCGGCAAATGCCACGACCGGGGTTCCGCGGCGAGCAATGATATCATCTCTGGGACTGGCGTGGCGGGAGAAGATGTCGTCCCTAGGGCTAGCATGGCGCGAGTTAACGCCGTCCTTGGGGCTGGTGCGACGCTGAAAAGGGTCGACTGATACAGCGCGCTGAGAATAGTCATCAGAGATACGGCGACGAGTGTATGGCTCGCGAGAGATTGCTCGACGGTTGAAACCGACCGGAGAGATTTCGCGTCGACCGGATGGGTCTCGGGAACGTGCTCGCCGCCGAGGATCTGGACCTGGAGACTCTGCGCGAGGACGGATCGGCTCGTCGGAGAAGACGCGAGGAATGGTCGCTTGTGGTGCGACGGACTCGTGAACAGCTTGTCCGCGAGACAGAGCCCGGCGGGTTTTGGGTTCCGGCGAATCTGCACGGCGAACAGCGGGCTCACGGGACAGAGCTCGACGACTTACTAGTGGAGGAGAGTCGGCATGTCGCCCACCTGGTTCTCTGCCTAGAGAGTGGCTGGAGATTGGTTCGCGCGATGCGTTTCTTCGCCCAGTCCTTCGGGAAAAGGCATGACTAGTCACACCTCGCACGGGGGAATCTGCACGGCGTTGTGCGGGTTCTCTCGAGAGAGCTCTTCGTCGCAGTGGTTCCACCGAGCCAGCTCGCCGCTCAGCAGGTTCTCGAGAAGCAGACCGACGTCCATCCCTTTGCTCTACGGCTCCCCGGGACGATGCTCGCATGTAACTCACTTCACCGATGCCAGGCCCTCGAGAAGGGGGACGGGAAGGTACTCTAGCAGTACTGCGGGAGTCGGGTCTCTCAATTGCTGTGTCAGGAGCTTCATCATCTGAGCTTGGGGTTTGAGATGATGGTAGAATTGGAGGCGTAGTGCGGGCTTGGCTTTCCAGACGGCTGGCCAAGCTTGCAGCATCAATCTGCCCGTCATAAGCCACAGGGAGGGCGGATTCGATCTTTCGAGCAATAGGAGTGTTATCCATGGGTGTGGCATTGTTGCTCTCCGAGAGCCCGTTGTACTTCTCTGCCACTGGACTCAAAATGGAGACTGCCGAAGCCGGTTGACTCTTGTTGGGTGGAACAGATGTCTGGATCTGTGGTAGTCGCGTCGGACCGGGATGCTTCTCGGGAAAGGCTGCCCTTGTGAAGAAAGTGCTAACATCGTCATATACGGGTGACTGAGTGTGCGTGATGGGCGAGTTTGAGCGATATGGTTCGATAGCTGGTCTGGATTCCGCGACAATGACTTCGTCAATGTTGGTGGTGATACTGCTGAGAACGGGCCGTGATTCCGCGGTGATCAACTTCTCTGCCACTTGGGCCAGCTGGGCCTGCTGTTGGCCGCTGGCCGATGACGATCTTCGGTGTGGCCTCCGACTCCATGGGAAGGGGATTGTGATGGTGATACCACCGCGTTCTCTCTGGATGAGCGGAGGAGTTGGCTGTCTGAATGGTTCGACGCTGACCTTTTCAATCTCGTCTTTGAAACTCAGGTCTGGGGAGTTGTTGACGAGGGTTTTCTGCGAGTCCGGACTGCCGTGAGCTTGATAGGTGACGTTATTGAGGTCACCCCCCACATAATGCTGGGTCCAACCGCCATTTGGAGCGGTGATTGCAACATCGCCCCAGCGAGCATGAAGTTGCTTCCCGGATTCTGATCGGGACCTTGAAGGTCGACGCCGGGATGAGATAAATCCTTCGAGCACGCCAGCCATGGTCGGTTAACGATAATAATAGTATGAGAGATTGAAAGATATTTCAGGCTGGTCGAGGGCTGATCGGACGTTGGGGCGATGTATGGACAGACGCCTGTATCAAAAGAAGAGCGCTGAGCTGAAAGGACTGGGTGAAGTTCAAGCCGTGTCGACGGGTGTTGAAGTGGAAGGCCGCACCAGGCGCCTACCCCCAAGCATGAAACCCAAAGAAAATGGAATGCAGCCAGATGACTGCTTTTATTATATTTGAGATTGTATCACTTGTTGAATCAAAATGTGCTCGATGAAGGAGTACAAAGGGGACACTCGGCGGTAGAAATAAGCCAGGCAAAAGAGAGGTACTTACCGTGTTTATTTTTGAATTCGTGATAGTGCTTGCCCAAAAGGAGCTGCGAGACGTGGTACAACAATATCAGAGGCTCTAGACTTCCTTGTCGCCTGATGCAGCTCGTGTTGAGCCCATCCGACGCCCTCGAGTTTAGCGAAGCTAGATACGGGGCTTAAGAAATGCAAGGGACGTCAGCGATTGTTCCCCAAAAAGAACTGGGACGTCAGGATAGCTGGTCGCCATTGGGGTCTTTTGGTCTGCAGGCGTTTGGAAGCGAAAGAGGATTGGATGACGGGAAAAGATGAGACAGATCGGATGCAGGGGGGTGTTGATGGGTCGTGGGCGAATAGACCACGTCGACTGCGTGTAAGCGCCGGCCAGGCCAATATTGTGGAGGCGAGTGCAAGACGGTGGAGATGAGTGGAGACCGGTGGAGATGATATTGGCTTTTGACGCTGTTCGCACGGAGCATCTATTGGTTGATGGCTATTTATATTCAGTCCAATCAGTGTTTACGGCTTGAGACCCACCGGGAAAAAGGGTGGACTCCAGCCTTGCGAGCTGCCTTACTGCCACGCACACCCACCCCTTCCGACTCATCCAGAACTGGACAGGTTGAACAGGTTGACGCGGAAGACTCCTTCCGGTCTGGACTCATTTTGACATCGAATGGCACCGTCAGAGCTGCACGTCAGCTGTTGAACGATCCGAACATGCGTCATATACGACTAAACGAAGGCTTGAAGAGCCACTAACTGGCGAGAAGCCTGAAGAATATACTTTCGCAACGGACACAAAGAAGTCACCTTGGCTTTGTTATTGGAGCTATGGCACATCTCATGGTGTAGAGGGATATACCATCGCACGATCCTTCAGCTCGCATCGGGCCGCGTTGCTCAATTTGTCGCAGACTCAGACCATTGAGTTTTTGTTTTCTGCTTCTCAGGAGCGAGCTGGAAAACATGGACATCAGAATTTCTCTTTTAGAATTTCTCTTTTAGAATTTGAGGGCGGCACGACTTACAGCAGTGCGGTGGTTACCAGCACCGGCAGCGGTCTGGAGCTTCTCCAACAATGTGCTGTCGGCATAGTCGTCGTAATCGATATCCACATATCCACGGGGCGCGTATCTTCGAGGGACGATGGCAAATGCTCGACCTGAGACAGCTCTATCAGTATCCTATTCGCAGAGAACGTGTCGCCTGCTTACCGTTGACTCGGGGATCAGACACGATCCTCAGCGTACACTGGCCAGCGTCCTCAACTGTGGCAAACTCGATGCCCGACTTCGTCAGATGTTCGACGACTGGTTTGCTCAGAATCTTGGTTTCGACAAACCTAGGTTGATCCAGTCAGCTTGGATGAAACTCGACAAGATATATTTCCATACCAAGGTCCAATATATGCCACTCGAATATTGTGTTGGTGCTCCGTCTTGCGAAGAGCCCTCATCATTCCGCGGAGACCAAACTTGGATGCAATGTACTGAATAGCTCCTGGCAGGTCGAGATATCCCGCTAGACTGCCCTGCAATATGAGGACTTGATCCAGAGGAGCTCCCTTGTTCAAAGCATTCTGTCGGCGGAAATAATGAAGCGCCAACTTGACAGTGTACATGACGCCGTTGAGATTCACATTGAGGATATTGAGCTTCGGCTCTTCAGGTTCCTCGGCTTCGGCTAGACAAGCCATCAGATTCTGTCCTGGTCATCTCTCGGGTTTTTCCTTACGATCGTTGAAGAAGACCGAATCGGCGCCGCTAATACCGGCATTTGCAATGACAATGTCCACCCTGCCAGAGGGTGAAGACGAAATTGCAGTTTTGAAGACGGCCAGTTGATCAGCCCAGACAGTGACATTGCACTTGACGAATTTGACCGAGCTGCGGACGGAACGTCAGTGGCATTATCGACGAAGCTCGAGGGGAACCTCTATTATGCTCACCTGCCCAATTCCTTTTCCAGCCTCGCTCCTTCTTCAGCGTCCAGATCTGCAATAACGACAAAAGCCCTGCATATCGATCAACGTGATGCCCGTTGCCATGTTAGAGGCTTGGTCATACCCGGCGCTTGTTAAAGCACGAACATATGCCTCACCAATGCCATTGGCTCCTGAGCAAGCATATCAGAAAATGTCACAGCTTTGTCTCGCTATGATCTAAGCATACCGCCGGTCACAATAGCAGTCTTGCCCTTGACATTGCTAGTGTCAATATCGACATCACAATTCACGGCTCCTGTATTCGTGTAAGGCTCCATGATGACAGGGCCGATTCGGCGGCTCGAGGTAGGCACTGATAAATATTGCCAACTCTGAATACACTGGTAACGAGGAAAATGCCGGGACCACCACAGTGCTAGGGCTCCTGGATCAACTGAAGGATCCGGAATGCTTCAAATTCATCCTTCGAGCTGTATATATCCTTCTCCCGTACAAACTGGTGTCAGCTTACCAAAGAGGGCGTATTAGCCTCGGTAAACTTCCGTCCAAGAAGCAACAACCGCCTGGGCAGTCGATTCGAAAGCTAGGCTTTGCTTTTGAACTGAGTACGTCGCGTTAGCCGGTGTTTGAATAGCGGGGAAGACATCACATGTCAACAGCCAGCTCGCCGGTGGGTCACTTGGGTTGTGTGCTCGAATTGCGTGTACGGGCTCCTGGGCTTTAGTCATAGCTCATAGCCCTGGCTCAGGGCCGAAAGGAGAAAGTTGCCGCGGACCATTTGGAGGAACTGGTTGATCCAGATTAGAATGGGCTATAACTCTGTCGGGCAACTGCTACGAGAATTGCAATGGGTGAATGGCAAGGCCTCCAAGGCGGCCCGACCGCTAGTTGGTCCGCGTCGTCTTCAGATATGTAGGCCGCTTGAAGGAGATGTGCGCGAACAAACGCTGCTTGCGTTGTCGAGTATAACGCTGCCTTCGGACGCGGCCTGCTGACACGAAAATCCCACTGGTGTCATGTCAAGTCGTTGATCGGAATGACGATGCAGTTTCCCGCATGTCAAGACATACTTAGGTGTACCACGTAGGGTAAGTTGAAGCGTGCGCTCCGTCGTTAAGTGGGCGTCCAAAGGCGAGACAGAGCAGCCGGACTATGGAATCTCCGCATCCGATTCTCTAATCCACAACGCGCAGCCTCGTCACATTTTCTGGTGACACTACTCGGTACCAAACTCGCGAGTCACCTACCGGCCTCACCAAATGGAACAATCAATGTGGCCTCGTCTATAACCGTCTGCCCTTGACCTAGTACCGAAGACAATGGCGCTCCTGTCCTCTACACTCCTTCTCCGCACGCACTCCCTCACCCTCCTCACATGCGCCTACTACCTCCTGACCTCGCCCATACACCTTCTGTCCTCGACCCCCATATGGCTCCTCGGGGAGAGCATGAGCGTCCGTCCCGCGGGATACGCCCCGGAAATAACACCCAACGATGCCTCATCGACTGCAGGCGCGAGCACACGAATGAGTAAGAACACGAACATGAAAGGCCTGCTCGCGGGACAGGGTAAGGGAACAGGGCAGCCCGAGAGGGAACTGTTCGCGTTTCTAGCGCTGCTGCTGGTGGTTTATGCGGTCACGCAGTTTCTCTTTGCGGGAGACCTGTCCATGCTTCAGAGTACTGCTGCAACCACCGCATCCTCGTCGTCTTCAACGCAAGCGAGGTCGTCGAGAGGCACGGGCGTGAGCAGCCCCCGAAAGGACTCCACTGCAAAGTCACCCTCGCGCTACGCCGAAGAGCTGCACACCCTCCTGACAGCCCAATCGCGCTGGCTCACGCTCTCGGCGATACACGTCTTGGCCTCGTCGACGTTGGTGTTTTGGATTTACACGTTCCACTCGCATTCTGCCTCGGAGGCTCCATCTGCAACAAGTTCTCCGGAAAAATGGACATCGCTACTCTCAGGACTGAATCTGCTAGCGAACCGAGTGACCTTCACGGTTGGGCTGGCTGATATGCTTTTCTGGGGGTACTTGTGGACGGTCCTAAAGGAGGAGGGGCGGGACATTGCGAAAGTATTGGCCAGGCGCAGAGAGACCGAAGACGATGAATAAAATACCGTCGAGACGCGTGTGGCGGGCACGAGACATACCTTCATTTGTAAGGGTCCAAATAACACAGTCCAAGCTCTCTCCCCCATACCTGATGCAAGTATTAAATGAAATAGGCCTGTGCATATTCTCCTATATCCAACATGGCAGATCAGAGCAGACATAATCGTCACATCTGGCCGCATTACATCTTCAACTATTTCCCACCTTTAAACCCGTCACTCTCGTCCAAGATGTTCGGATACATTCCCTCTGGAATCTGCACCTACAGCATAGCAGCCAATCCTAACATCCCGACCCCGACGGCACCCATCGCGATCGTCAAATGATTACCAGCACCTGTGGGACTCGCAGTCGCCGTAGAAGCAGACGAACTGGCACTGCTTTGGGCAGAAGAGAGAGACGCGCTGGCGCTGGATGCAGCAGAGCTGAGAGAGGCAGAGGCGCTCGCGCTAGAGGCGGCAGCAGAGGCAGACGAGGACACGCTGGCAGCGCTGCTTGCGGCGGAGGTGGTTGCACCGCCGGCCGTGCTGGATCCAGCCCCGGAGGACGAGGAGGTCGCGCTGCCGCTCGACGTCGAGGTACAGGTTGCCGATGCAGGCTGCAGAGGACAGAAGGTTCAGCTAGACTATCCCAAGGCGTGGATTGAAACCAGAAGATGAAGGCGGGTGTTCTCAGAGAGCATTGGCTGGTCTGGGCTAAGAGAAAGTCCGCCCATGGAATACAGTAGTGACCACACACGCCCGAAACCAATTAAGCGCAGTTGAATAGAAGGGAACGTACCAAAAGCGAAGAAGCCCCAACAGGGTCACAAATGCTGTGCGCGTAGGCGAGGGCGGCCGTCTGATCCGCGGTATCGCATGCCTGGAAGACGCAACAGGCGATCCCGTCGAGAAACGACGCGGTGTTGCAGATACCTATATCGAGTTGTCAGCCAGTGACGCCCCTTCTCTTCCCTTTTCCTTGCAATGTCAATGCGACCACCCCATAAGACCGGACTGACATGTTGGATTCCCGTTGCAGCTGGCGGGGAGGAGGCTAGACACGCAGCTGGTGGCACCTGCGTTGGAGTAAGTCAGCCATCAATGCTAAGGACGAGACGGATGTCAGACGCTTTTTTGCCTCTACAACTCTTTAGAGCACGGCGTCAAGAGCGCGCGACAAGAGATATTAATATGGACAGGTTCGGAACACGTACAGCTGGGAAGAGTTGGGGCCTGCTGGGCAGAGGCGATACCCACCAGGAGGGTGGAGGCGGCAAGGATGCTGCTGAGCTGACGAAGCATGGTGAATGGTGCCTTGAGCTTTCCCCGCAATCTAGGAGTCGCCAATTGATAGAGAACAGTAAGTATAGCCAGGTAGATGGCAGATGGAAACTATCGGTGGGAAGATAGGAAAATGGGAAAGAGGAAGAAGCGAACAGACCGTCGCCTGCGGATAAATACCTCGATGGGCAGGGTGCGCACCCTCAGCACCCTCCTTGCCTCTTCTGACGCATGTCTCTTCATCTGCCCTGCCCTGCTTCTTTAGTCCCGCTTCCGGATTCACGCTTGTTCACACTCTCCAAATGCGTCGAACTCTATCTCTGATTCTCCGTCATCCAGGTGTTAGCTCCCCCCCCCCCCCCCCCAAAGTTGCATGTAGACGTTCCCATTCAATCGAATCGCCACGCGCGATTGCGGGACCGAAGCGCACTTTGACCCAATCTTCATGCTCGAATTGACCGAGCTTCAATTGTTGCAAAACGACGCTGGGCGCACCTCGATGGGGAAGAAAAAGCAACCACCAACAACAAAGAAAAATAACAATACAATCAGGGCTGGCTGAATCTCGCGCTACTGGGGCCCCCGGATTGGCTATCCAAAGCATTAGATGCAAGCCAAGCAAACACCATGGAAAATGAGATCTCAATCGCAGCTGGGGCAGTGAGACACGAACTGCAGGCCTTGTCGTTGACAGAAGGGCGGAATAGATCGACACAAGGCTGGAAACCGACACGAGGCTGAGGATGGAAGAAATTCTTCACATACTAGTATGTTGTCATCAAACATTACACAATCGCCATCTTTTCACATCCCCCTCGCTTGACGGCGGCGACACATTGCCCGGCGAGCCCGACTACCTCTGGACCACCTTCTTCCTCGCAACGCTGCATGGGCACGGTGTTACAAAAAGAAAATATGTCCCAAAATGCACCATCAATCATCCAATATGATACCCATCGACATTCACATCCCAGAACCCCCCCCCCCAACATCAAGGCATATATACATCGCCCCCCTCGAGACATCCTCGTGACCTTTCCCCATCCTATAACTCCATCGCTGCCGAATCACTCCCCTTGAGGTCTTCAGATGATATTAATCGTGTAGGTGTAATCACTCGCAAACCAATACCCGTTCTCGTGGTCCAGCCTCTCCACGTAATTGTTCATCTCGGCCTCGCCTTTCATGACACTGCGGAATCGATCCCAATTGACCTGATCATACCGACTCACGTCAAACGCTCCGATCCTCCTGAACTCGCCCTTTTTCATCGTCGCGCACAGGAGCAATCCCTCTACCCGATCCACGACGTCGATGACTGGCAACAGGTAGATTTCGAGCATTTCGCAGAGCATCCCGCTGCCGGCGTCGGAGAGTTTTGGTAAGCGGTCGTCAAAGGATGCGTTCTCAAGTTCAACTTGTGCTTTGGTGCATTGGATCATGCAGGGCGTTGGGCCCCAGTAATCGCGCGTTCGTCTCAGCAACCCTCTCGCCATGAACCCTCGAACCTTCATCTTGCCACCCTCGACGAAACCGAAATTGTCGCCCGATGGACTATATTTCATGTCAAGATCGATGATCTCAATGCAGGTTTCTCGGGCCGACGATGCCGGTTCGGGGTATTTGACTTCGCCGTCGATCGACGCCCAGGTCCACGTCGGGGCTCTGTATTTTGTCGGTCGCCTGCCGCCTTCTACTCGCCAGAGTAACGCGTGAGGTAACTGCGGCTTCCATAGGCCAACCAAGTAATCGTCGGTATGTAATCTGTTCTTTGCCATATACTGCTTTGCTAGTCCTTGGATGGCCAACAGCTTGTCACTCGAATACGTCAATTTCTTGGGGGAGTACATCCTCACCAGCTGGTGCCAGTTCCCATGTCTTTGATGATGAACCTTCTTGCTGAAGAATTCCACACTCTCCTGAGAAGAAGGCGGGCCCATTGTTGCGGGAAGCCCCTTCGGAAACACCTCTGAACAACACATCTGCTGGCATTCCCAGAAAAGCTCATTGCGAGTAAAGTGTAATGTGCGTTTTGCAAGGCAGCGTTCTTGAAAGGCCCAAGCGCGCTTGTTGAGAGGGGAAGAGTCAACCAGATCGTGCCATAATGTGGAGCGTAGGATTTTGTACATCCCTTCATCGACGCCCAAGCCCGAGGAGACGGAGACAATGCATGGCTGTAAGGCGGAAACGTTTCGACTGTAGATCAACCCGCTTGCATCGTCCCTCGAGGACGTGGCGGCAATGTTGAGTGCCGCTTCCGAATAGACGCGGTGCATCTGTGCCACTTCCGCCAACACGTCTGTTTCGCTGTCATGCCGAATACACAATGCATCGATCCAAAGGTATCGAAAACCCAGCCGATCCGTCACAAGAGCTGCTTCGGCAAATGTCTTTGGTAGATTCGCCACACTGACGCCCTGCCTTAACGCCGCGAGAGTCCCTTTATGCAGACGAATCGTCTTGGATTTACCCCAGCAATGGCTAAGAGTCACATACTCGCTCAACGAGTCCGCGAACATGCCATCCACAAGTTTCACTCCAGGAGCGCCCTTGGGACCCCGGATCGAGACGTCGAGCAAATGCGTAGGCTTCCACGTCGCGTCGACGGGGGAAGTCACGGAGCATTTCATATGGTTGAAAGTACAGTCTTGGATCCACTGTTTGGCGAGATCGAAACTTTCTATCGATGCTGTACTCACGGATCTGGGGTCGATGGTTCGGACCCCGGGTTCGACGGCAACTGAGAAAACAGCATGTTAGCAGGCTTGATGAGGGTTTCCATATCGACCTTCGATTCAGACCGGGACAAGGCCCAAAGGAGCACTTACACCTCGGGTGCATCAAAATCAACTCAACCACCAACCCCGTCGTTTCCTCCCAACTCAATGTCAGACTCGCCTTCGACCCGCTACTACTCGGTGTAGGTCCCCTATTCTCCTTGTCCGCATCCGACTTCGTAGGCTTCACGTATCGAAACTTCAGCCTCGCTTGATCCCTGGCAATAGGCGACATCCAGGCAAACCCGACCGAGTTGGTTGTTAATCCTTTATTGCGGAAGTTTCTATAGGCGTCGGGGTCGATGGACATAAACACGGTCAGACATAGATGACAGCTGCTTGCTCGGCCCGCGAGTTCTTCCAAGCCATGATGCGGAATCTCGCCTGTTTCTTCGGATTTCTGCGTCTGTGGCTCAAAAATTGACTGACACGCTGCACAGAGCGTACTGGGCTGTAGTTCTGACATGGTTGCGATTTTTCTGTTCGATTGTATGATGTCGTTTCCCGCTTCTTTTCCTCGGCATCTCGATGTCGACGTTGCGGATTCGAGATTTTCTAACAGTCGCGACCACTGTTCATGTTCTTGGTTGCACAAATTAACTCTGGGGACAACCGTCGTCGGCAGTCTTTGTCAAAAATTCATCGGCCCGTCAAAGAGAGTTCAAGTGAAGTCGTCTTTCTCCTGAAATCGTCGCCGTTTGAGCCTAACACCAACCTCTTAATTTCCGAATGCGGGCGGAACCCAGCGCCACGCGACCCAAGCCCGTTTCAAATAATAGCAACGCGCTTCAAAGTGATACGCGCCTCTGGGAATTGCATCATACTCCTCGCCCAGTGACAGTCGGATCCTCGACTCACGGTGGCAAAGGGACGGGGAGAAAATGCAGTCGGCTCGTCACCCCGTCATCCGTTTCACTGTTGTGTGGGGTTGTCTTCATCCCCTTTTCGGAACAGCCAAATCTCAAGGAACTACCCCTGACAACCAACGTACAGTACTTACCGTACGGTAGGACCATGGTAGCGAAAGGTGGAGTCGGAGATCCTCATCCCCTTTTCCTGACATAATGAGGATCGGCTGGCTGGTGACAATAGGATTAGCTACATAGATATTCTACCCTGTATATAGACCTCCAAACTTCACGTCATCTGAGCTTCGTAATCTTCAAGAGATCATGCCGGTGGAAAAACTCCCTGTTCTTCTTCCCGAAGATATACATGGGAACACTCAGCACACAGATCGCAATCTCAATGCTACCGAATATGATAAATAAATGGTTGATGCGAATTGCGAATACCCAATTGAAGGCATGGTAGGCCAAGATGAAGGAAAAAATGTTCTTGAAGATGATGAGGTTTGTGAATGCCTCGACTGCGATGTCGCGATGCGCGTCAAGGAGATATTGGGCAGAGGCGATGGAGCCCATGACCATGCTGATTATAATGAAAGCGAGGAATACCTCGGGGACGATCCAGCCATATCGTGCCACATTGTTGGCCGTTATACCAAATCCGTAGAGACCAATGCAGGAGAACACGAGGGTCGGAATGACGAGCAGAATACGGAATTCAGGTTCGTACTTGCCCCTGTTGAGTTTGATCATGAACCTCGTCGTGAACTCGCTGTACAAACCAGCACCGAGCAGGCCGATGATGCTGCCGATGAACGCACTGGTGTACATCTTTCCTGCTCTCTCTTCATTAAAGAAGAGAGGCGGACCCAGAAAGATCAGCGAGAGTATGACTCCGACCATGACAGTCCAGCCGATAATCACACCTTGGATCAGGCAAGCCCAAAGGACTGCAGGATGTAGGAACAGCGGGAATGGCCGGAAAAGGAGCTTGAAGAAGGACTCATCGGTTTTTCGACCGTTAAATGGCATTAGCTGTTGCCAGTAGGAATTCTTGGGAGATGTTTCGATAGGCGCTGAAGAGTGCAGAGGCTTTTCTTCCGCATCTTTTGTAGTCAATGTCTCAGTTCCTCCATCCGTTTCCTTTGAAGAGTCCTCTTCGGAGAGGAGGTCAAGATCAAGAGAATGTTCTCGTCGATAGGCCGTCTCGGGCACGAGGAAGAACACGAGGAAGAATCCCAATGCCATGAAGATGGCAAGGAAGAAGAACTGTATGACCCTAGGTTAGAACATCTTTCATGCAGGAAATAGCCCGTCTCAACTGCCGTGAGTTGTTCAGGTCGGGAAACCAGCGAATCTGCTCAATATGGACCTGACGCCAACCACGCCTGCCGCGATTCAAAGACAAGGAACATATCAACTTACACTCCATTGCCAACCCATGTGAGCCGTGATCATACCCACGAAGACTGGCGTCAAGAAAGCTCCTCCAAAAAGGCAAGTATTTGTGACCGCCATTCGAATTCCACGCTCATGAACGTAATATAGATCGCCCACACAGGCATTGACTAGGGCCTCAAAGGGCGCCAGGGCGACTCCTTGAAAGATGCGACTCCACAATAGACTTGCATAATTATGACCGTTATGTGTAGAACCACCCCAGGCAGAGCTCACAACCATGAGCAGCGCTCCTAAGAGAAACAAGTGCCTTTTGCCCCATACTCTTGCGGATGCGACGAACAGCCACCCCGCTACACCCACGCCGCAGAGATGGTAGGCCGTGAGAAGGGCAGCATCTTGAAAAGTTCGCTTGAAGACGATCGCGAGTGTCGTTGAATCAGCGGCAAGGAGGGGAGAAGCTGTGGTGGCAAGGCAAGAGACAAAGCAAAGGATCCCAAGAATCAGGTCGCGACGCCATAACGGCCAATTCTGCGGCCCCTGTTAGCTTCGACATTGATGGAGTAGTTGGCGTGAGAAACACGAACCAAGGGATCGTTCGGGTCATCCGAGGGTTGAGGGACGAGAATGACTCGCCCGGTCCTGTCTTTCTTCAGATGCCGAGCAGTCTGCAACAGCTCAGCACGTCGTTGTTCCGTCTCATAGACGTACACGGTCCCTGGGACGTGTTCGACCTGCGGTTCAAGAATCCCCAGAGCCATTGCTTAGCTAAGGGCGCTGACGTTGGCGGAGCCGATGAATCGGCGGGGAGCAATCTCGCCTACTCTATTTTGATGCAGAATTCATGAGGGCTCAGGAGTTGCAAATACAGCCATGCCGCGAGTGCGACGCTTTAGAGGGGTTGACTGATCGCCAGAGGCGCTGATGGTCGAGGCCAACATGGGGTTCGAGCATAGAGAGCAGCGAAGATTGCGCGGCTCAAGCCACAAAGAGGAATGCAAGCGACAGCTCCAACGGCTTTGCCCCTTCGGTTCTGGACCTCAACTCGGACACGGCAATGGGAGCGAATGTCTAGTCACCGGGCTCCTCGATCCGATTGGGCAGCGATTCGTGCCTATCAAAATACAGCTAAGTATGTACGAGGTACAGAGGACGGAGCAAGGACGGAGTACAGAGTAATACATGTTATGGATTTCCATCTCGTCAGGCGGTGCAGGGTCGAAGTCCAGACAGAACCATTCTGAACCTCCCTGCACTGGCCCCTGTTTCCCAGAAGGCAGTACGGATGAAAGACCAAACGTACAACGACGTGCAAGATCAACCAGGCACCCTCAATGGATGGAAGGCCACACATTGAGTATGCATTGCTGTACGTTTGGGCCCTTCCCTTGCGCGTTATTGAACTCCAGACATTATGCTCCGTGCACCGAACAGTGACGAATTGACCCTCTCATTTCCCCTTTTCACTCCCATACATCGTCTTGTTCCACCATTTCTCAGGCTTGGTGGGGTTGTTCGGCCGCTGGTCGTCTCCCATCCCATCCTGCTGGCATCCTGTGGGTTTGTTTGTGGCAGAGCCTTCTCTCATCGGTGCATCTTCTTTTTGTCCCTGTATTGTTCCCCCATATGCCTTGGTGTGTGTGGAAGTGGCACCACTTCTCGCATAAGCTTTCTCTATGTTCTGTACACTGGTGGTTTTAGCGGTAGTAATTGGGGCGCCGGGAACTCCTGGTGAGGCGCTCGGCCAGAAATACAGTGCTGCGCCGACTACTAGGCCACCGAGGGCTATGCGCCGGCCGAGGGACATGCCGCTTTGCTCGGGATGGATTTCTGATGGAAGAGGTTTTCAAGTTTTGTTAATTGATGCTTGACTGTGCTGCGAGGCTTCTCAGGTGCCTTAGGTACGGGCAGAATATCTGCTGTTCGTCAAAGTAGCAGGTTTACCAGTAACGCAGGGAAGAGCGGATAGCGAGAGTGCAAAAGATACTGTCACGAAGCTGTTCAAAGAGATGGGAAATTCTTCTCACCGTAAAGGAGGCTCTTGCTGGTAATACAACCTCACAACCAAGGGTCAAGGTCCGTTTGGATAAGGACAACCCTTGATGCATGACGCAACTGTTGGTCAGGGACGAAAATGTGAGACGAAGCGGAAAGTCAGGCATGCTCTGGAGCTTCATATTGGATGTCCCTGAGGTTCAAGAGGGCAGTGGTTGGCACGGCGGCATGGCGGCAGTGGATGCGGAAATGAAGTCATGACTTTTACCCATCTCGCCATCCTAGCCCATCAAAATCAATGTGGCCGGTAAATCTTTGTCACACTGCCAAGGAATATGAGGTCAGGGTAAGTCAAGGTCACATGTCTTGCCTGAGCATGAGACCGAGATGACCGTCCAGCCGGCAGAGGTGGCAGCAGTCAAAGAATCAAAGAGGGATAAGACGAAGAAACACTGACCAGAACCCATAGTTGCACATGTCAAAGTGTGATTGTGGACCTTTCCGCGACGCGCTTGCTAACTCCATTCATCAATCCACCTGAGCTAAAAGCTATGTGGTATCGTAGGAGACAATAAAACGAAGAAATCAGTTTTGCCTTGGGGAATCGCATTCGATATGGATGGGGGGAATAGTTTGGGGGTAGGTAGTCTGCCCGGATCTGGGAGTCTTGGTAGTTCTCTCTCTCTCTCTGCCTTTATCTGGGCCCGTTGGAACAAATCACTTCGCACGCCTTCCAGTGCAATACCTAGAATCCATGCTCATTACAGACATGCTAGTGCAAGTGCTGCCATTTTGAGCAATAACCCTGCCCGGAAAACATAGAGAGTTGTTGATGTTGTTGTTGTTGTAAGCAAGAGTCGCCAAAAAGGCGGAAAGAAATGCACAGCTGCCTGTCGGCAATCTCTCTAGGAAGCTGGAGCAGCCTCTGTCTTGTCTGCAGGCTCGGCAGGAGCACCGGCCTCGGGCTTGTCTTCCTTGGGCGCATCGCCAGCCGGGCCAGCTTCACCTTCACCACCATCAGACGATGTCCACAGCGTCAAGTTGTCTCGGAGCAACTGCATGATAAGCGTGCTATCGCGGTACGACTCCTCGGAAAGCGAGTCAAGCTCGGCAATGGCATCATCAAAGGCTTGCTTAGCGAGGTGGCAGGCACGATCGGGGGAGTTAAGGATTTCGTAGTAGAAGACACTGAAGTTGAGGGCAAGACCCAACCGGATAGGATGGGTAGGGGTGAGTTCGGTCTGTGCGACATCGGTGGCATTCTGCAAGCGAGGGGAGTCAGTGAAATGTTTGTTACACCACGCAGGACCACTGTCATACCTTGTAGGCCTCGTGAGCAGCGGTGGCCGCAACCTTGCGCTTCTCTCCAGAAGCGAATTCTGCAAGGTATCGGTGGTAGTCGCCCTTCCTGTTGGCCGTGTTAGGTTTATCTCGAGCATCCGCTGCGCCAGGAGATGACGTACATCTTGTGATAGAAGACCTTGGACTCTCCAGATTCGGCCTTGGGGATGAGGGCCTTGTCGAGGACATCGAGAACATCCTGGCAGACCTTCTCAAGTTCGCTCTCGATCTTTTGGCGGTACTCGCGAATGGTGGCAACGTGTTTGTCAGAACCTTTTGACTCCTCCTTTTGTTCAATGGAGGAGATGATGCGCCAGGAAGCACGTCTGGTTCCAACGACGTTCTTGTAGGCAACGGAGAGGAGATTTCTCTCATCAACAGAGAGCTCGCCGCCCATCTAACACATGTCAGCCCGGTAAATCCACAATGATTGTCCAAAGGTGTAGACGTACGTTGGCCACCTCTTTCATGTAGTTGACCATCTCATCGTAGCGCTCAGCCTGCTCGCAGAGCCTCGCAAGGAATGTTTTACTGGAATAAGATCAGTGAATGGATGATTCGAGAGAGAGGTGAGGTAGTAATACCTTTCGCGCTACAAGTCGCATACAAGTCAGCACAGCGTCTTATCAACAACCAGATCGGGGGGGTTCATGTTGGACAGTGAAGCCAGCTGAGATTGAACCTGGAGGCGCGGGGGACCAGCACTTACATCGGTAGCCATTGTAAAGGATCAGGAAAACTGATGACAAGAGGGAGATGGTGTCGATGGGCTCTGAAGATGTGGACAAGAAAAGGAATCGAGGAGATGGGGGATGGAAAATCAAAGGACGAGGTGAATATCTGGTGATGGGAAATGGGGATTGGGTTGCAGATTGATGGTTTGTGAATGATGGCTCATAAGGCAGGTTGATGCTTAAAGGGCTAGAGCATCACCCAGGCACTGGAGGCGCTAGCCGCTCTGGGGCACCGGGCTTGCCTGCCTGCCTGCCTGCCTCTTGCCCGTTGCAGGTGACGAACAAGTGATTTTTGTTTGGCGCCAGCGCCTGAAACCTGCCGCCAGCTGCCACCCAGAGTTTCAGGATTCACCCACCATTCATCCATCTCTCAGTGAAGGATCTCTGATACAACAGCACAGCACCAGCACCTACTGGCTACCGAGTATATATGCACCTAAAGGACCACTCTGTACTGGCTTCACGTGCCTCCCTGCCATCTACTCCCTACGCCCTCTCCCTGCCCAGTATTCTGTTCTCCCTTCCCTCCCCTCCTCCGTAGTTCCTCCTGCCGTGCAAGTCATCGCCATACCAAGTGTGCCTCTGTCGCGTAGTTCCTATGGTTATTGCATAGGGCAAGAGGAAGTGTAGAACGACCACTGTAAATGTGCTGTATAGACGCCACTGCTTTGCCTGCGATTGTGCAAACCCCCCCGACCGGCCTCGTATTCTCGCCCTAGGCTGCGCTGTTCGGCGTCTGGAATTTTCGATGATTCAACAGTGTCCACCGTGTCCAATTCACCACGTGGGGCATAGATTCTCTATCCAAGTCACTGCCACAGTCGCTCTTTTCACCATGAAACTGTTAAAATAGATTCCCTACCTCTCATTGTCAATTTCGGCATTCCCTGGGCTTCACTTAGACGGTTCGCAGTGCTGCATGGATCTTCTCAGGTCGTTTCACAGCAACCTCATTTCCTTGTCCCTCCCATAGTCGTTCACTCCACGGCCCTCGCGAGATGGAGCGAGCATATGTGCGCTCGACTTTAGAAGTGCTGAGTCAGTTCCATGTCACCGAAGCAGCCGGGCTGTCGTCTGCACAAGTCGTCGAGTCAAGAAAAAAATATGGAAACAACTGTGAGCGCAATTGCAGGAAGTCGCGAAAATCAACCACCGAATGCTAACGGGCGCAACAGCCCTCCCAGAAGACCCTCCTACACCTCTATGGCAACTCGTTCTCGAGCAATTCAAAGACCAGTTAGTTCTCATACTGTTGGGCTCAGCCGCCATATCTTTCGTCCTAGCCCTGTTTGAAGAGTCGGACGACTGGACTGCGTTTGTCGATCCCGTGGTGGTACGTTGAAACAGATGGCTTGACGAGACGGCTGAGACTAATTGGCCTCTAGATCTTGACAATCCTCATTCTGAATGCGATCGTCGGTGTAACGCAAGAAAGCAGTGCTGAACAGGCCATCGCTGCCTTGCAAGAGTATTCCGCGAACGAAGCCAAGGTGATCCGGGATGGACACGTCCAGAAGGTCAAGGCAGACGAGCTTGTACCGGGAGACATTGTTACTGTCGCCATTGGAGATCGGATACCGGCCGACTGTCGATTGTTGTCCATTCAGAGCAACAGTTTTGCAGTCGATCAGGCTATTTTGACGGGCGAAAGCGAAAGTGTGAGCAAGGAGTGCAAAGCCATAGACGATGTGCAGGCTGTCAAACAAGATCAGGTCAACATGCTCTTCTCTGGCACAACAGTGGTGACAGGACACGCTACAGCAATCGTGGTTCTAACGGGTAGTTCTACTGCTATTGGCGACATCCACGAGAGCATTACTTCGCAAATTTCGGAGCCTACCCCCCTCAAGGAGAAGCTCAACGATTTTGGCGACACCCTGGCCAAAGTCATTACAGTAATTTGTATTTTGGTCTGGCTGATTAACATCCAACATTTCAATGATCCCTCGCACGGTGGAAGTTGGGCCAAGGGTGCCATCTACTACCTGAAAATCGCCGTTTCCCTGGGGGTTGCTGCAATTCCAGAAGGTCTCGCTGTGGTCATTACGACATGTCTTGCCTTGGGAACGAGGAAAATGGCCGCCAAGAATGCCATCGTCAGGAGTTTACCCTCTGTGGAGACCCTGGGTAGTTGCAGTGTTATATGCTCTGACAAAACCGGCACTCTCACGACTAACCAGATGAGCGTCGAGAAAATTGTGTATCTCAGCGAGTCTGGTGATGACCTGGAGGAGATCGAAGTCACAGGAACCACGTTCGCCCCGACGGGAGACCTCATCCGCAATGGCAAGAAGCTTCAGAATCCCGCGGCAACTTCAGACACTATAAAGCAGATGTCAGAAGTCCTGGCGCTATGCAACGAGGCGCATTTGTCCTATGACGTGAAGAACGACACCTATGCAAGCATTGGAGAACCTACCGAGGGAGCTCTCCGTGTGTTGGTTGAAAAGATTGGCACCGATGATGCTACGATGAACAAGACTCGAGAGGGTCTTGCTGGCGCTGAGCGAGTAGACTTTGCCAGTAAGTATTATGGAGAAAGACTTCCTCTGCAGGCAATGTATGAGTTCTCGAGGGATCGGAAGAGCATGTCCGTCCTAGTTGGTACCGGTCAAGCCCAAAAGCTCCTTGTTAAAGGTGCGCCCGAATCGATCATCGAACGGTGCTCTCACATCATTCTCGGGTCAAATGGGAAGAAAGCTCCGATCAACAAGCGGCATCAGGCACTCCTTACTCAGGAGCTCGTTGAATATGGACGGCATGGCCTCCGCGTACTCGCGCTGGCCAGCGTGGAAAATGTCAGCAGCAATGAGCTCCTGCACACCGCAAAGAGCAACCAAGCGTATGCTGAGCTGGAGCAAAACATGACCTTGATTGGACTTGTTGGCATGCTCGATCCACCTCGCCCGGAAGTGGCCAGGTCGATCATGAAGTGCAGAGAAGCAGGAATCCGGGTGATCGTGATAACGGGTGACAATCAGAACACTGCAGAGACAATCTGCAAACAGATTGGAGTATTTCACCAGGACGAAGATCTCACCGGCAAAAGCTTCACCGGCCGACAATTCGACTCGCTCACAGAAAGCGAAAAGCTCGAAGCTGCAAAGACGGCATCTCTGTTCTCTCGCGTCGAACCCACTCACAAATCTAAACTTGTTGATCTCCTGCAGGAAGCCGGCGAAGTAGTGGCCATGACAGGCGACGGCGTGAATGACGCCCCAGCGTTGAAGAAATCTGACATTGGGGTCGCCATGGGAACGGGCACCGACGTCGCCAAATTGGCTGCCGACATGGTCCTTGCGGATGACAACTTTGCCACGATCGAAATCGCCATTGAAGAAGGCCGCACTATTTACAGCAACACCCAGCAATTCATCCGATACCTCATCTCGTCCAACATCGGCGAGGTGGTCTCGATTTTCCTGACTGCCGCCCTGGGGTTGCCGGAAGCCTTGATCCCGGTGCAACTTCTCTGGGTGAATTTGGTCACGGATGGTCTTCCGGCAACGGCCCTCTCATTCAATCCGGCCGACCACGACGTGATGCGGCGGACCCCGCGGAAACGCGACGAGCCCCTCGTTTCTGGGTGGTTGTTCTTTCGATACATGGTTATCGGCACCTATGTCGGCGCTGCCACTGTGTTTGGCTATGTCTGGTGGTTCATGCTCTACCCTTCCGGGCCGCAGGTCAGCTTCACACAACTTCGAAGCTTCCACAAATGCTCACCGACCAATGCTGTCTTCAAGAACGTCGACTGCGCGGTTTTCTCGCCCTCGTCGGTACCGACACGCGCCGCGTCGACTGTGTCCTTGTCCATCTTAGTTGTGATCGAGATGTTCAATGCCATGAATGCCCTCAGCTCCTCGGAAAGCTTACTTCAGCTCCCGCTTTGGAAAAATATGAAGCTCATCTACGCCATTTGCCTCTCCATGCTTCTACACTTTCTCATTCTCTATACACCCATTTTGCAAGGTGTCTTCTCCATTGAAGCCCTGGGTTGGGACGAGTGGATGGCCGTATTGTGCATCTCGGCCCCAGTCATCCTCATAGACGAGATCCTGAAGGCGATCGAGAGGGCCGTCTACGTGAATTGCAAGGCAGAGCGGAGGAGACGGGCCAGCATTTCGGCTGGAAGTGGAAGCGGTCTGAAAGGGGAAGGGAACGGGTTTGTGGCAAACGGCAAGATCAAGGCGAATTGAGAGCGTGTACGCGAGAGAGAGGCTGGCCAGATTCAAAGCCAGAGCCAAAACCCTTGGTTTGTTATGTGACATTAGCTACAGTACCATAGATTCTGACGTGCGGCAACGAAAGAGAAGAAGAGAAAAAAAAGAAGAAGAATAGACATACATGAACATCATCCTGCATTCCATTCATGGATAGATACGAAAAAGAAAGGGAAGGGGGAGGAATGATGACTAGGGCAATGACATCCCGGTGGTGTTCTGTATGCTTTCAATCATTTATTCCCTCCCTTCTCTGCATCTATCTTTCTTGCTTGCTTGCCTGCATGCGAATATGCATGGTTACGGAGTCCATGGATGGGACTTGGGCTACTTCGTAGTGGCGTCGTGGTGGTTTGGCCATCATATGCTCGGTGTCTACGGAGCGCATCACATCACATCAAATTACAAATAGAGAGGACAAAGAGGATAGAAGACAGCACTGAAGTAGGTACACGCAATGAGCAGATGGCCCGTCAGCTGGGGTTCTTGTCTCGTCCCTTCTCGTCTGGTCTGTGTTGTCCTGCCTCGCATCGTCCCATCCCCATCAATCGACAGATAGATATACACACTGGGGCCGCTCGGACCCTCGCTTCTCTCCACTGTCTCTCTTCCTCCAGCAGCAGCCTCGTGTATCTCTTGACCAGAGTTCCAATTTGGCTCAGCCATCCAAGTTCAAGCCGGAGCTCGACGGAAAGGAGAGCTGGTCCCCGTCCTGTCTTCTCAAGCTCGAGCAGCCAAAGGGTGTTTGATGTTGATGTCGAAGTAGACAAACGCCCACTGCGCTCCCATCTCGTCTCATGCGACGCTAGTGGCGCTGCTTGCTACACGCCGTGATTTTCATATTCCTGTTTTGCATTCTCTCAAGAGCTTTTCAATCCGGCTTCAACATATCCGTCTATCACACACATGACTTTTTGGTCAGCATTGGACTCAAGCAAGCGGGAAGGTCTCTCCTTATACCTGTAGCTGAAGTACCATCTTGTCCCATCTCCTTCACGTCACAGCTCATGATGTTCTTGCATCGTTCAATAATAAGACGCGCATCCGCCCAAGTGTAGACTTTCAAAACCCCTGAATTCAAATATAGCCTCATGAAGAAGAGAATTCATTCATCATAACTGCACGCCCCAAAAACCTCTACCGCCACAAACCCCTAGCGTGCCCGCCGTCGGAGCCCAACTCAAATTGCTCACTTCAAACTTGGAATCCCAGACTGCTGACGGCCCCCTTTCTTGTCCCTGTCCTCCGCTGCTGTTGTTCGTAATGCCACCCGGCACACTGTTCTGTCCGGTTGAGGCACTCGAGCCCATGAGATCCCAGAGCAACACACAGCAATCATCTGCACCAGAAGCCAGTACGCCACGCTGCGAATTGCTCCAATCGATGCAGTTGACGGCGGCACCGTGCCCTTTCAGTTCAAGTAAGGCCTGGCCGGGCTGTCGAACGTCCAAAACACGAATGATATTCGAGTCTTGGCTAAATGTGGCGAGCAAGTGGGCGTCATGGGGAGAGGCCGCAATGCGGAGCAACGGAGGTGGAAAAGGGAGGGTTGAAACGCCACCTGAACCTGATGCGCGTGTCGGTGAACTGGAAAGAGGATCGGCAAGTTGTGCTTTGCAGATGTTAGCATGACCAAAGTGTAGGGTATCTAAGCCCCCAACTTACAATTTTTCTCTTGCTGCTGCTGCTTCTCTGACGGCTCATATATAATGGTGCTGTGTTCGAGACTTCTCAGATCGAACATCCTCACGCTTCCGTCCGCGCCACACGAGACAAACACGTCAACGCTATTCGCGCAAAACCGCACATCGTACACTTCCTTGTCGTGTGCGATTAGCTGCGTCTTGGCCGTGAGTGTGGGGATGTCCCAGATGGTGCAGGTGGTGTCGATTGACGATGTGATAATCAAGGATGGCTGGACCACATTCCAGTCCAGCGACGTGATGGGGGCGGTGTGTTCGGGGGATTTCGAATTCGAAAGCAATGCAAGTGGTGCCAGCTTCTGTAACGGAGGTGTTTTATTGGTGGCTGACCGCGTGATGGAGTTCGATTGATATGAATGTTGGTCATTTGGGAGGGACCACAGTCGAAGGTGGTCGCCAGACGTTGCTAATAGGTCTGTTGTCTGCTTATTCGACGAAGGCGGTTCCCATAATATCCTTGTCACGGGATATGCATGTGTAGCTTCTGCGGTTTTGAGAAACTCCAAACCTCGTTCACCGTGGGGGTTGTCTGGGTCTATTTGCGATCTTTGGGTATCCAGTATTTGAATCTGTCCCGAAATTGTCAGCCTCGTATTCTAGATATTTCCCGAGTTTAGCCTTGGCCATGAATGCTCACATAATTGTGGTTATCCTCCAGATAACTTCCAATAGCCACTTTGCCCGTCGAACCGCTGCTCGACCGAGGAGGCCACTTGCACCAATCAACCGCGTATATGGGCCAAGGCGCAATATAATTGCTATTTTGAGGATATTGTACAATGTCGTTCTCCTGCGCCACACCAGGACTGAAGGGCATATCCGTGAACGTCGGGTCTGTTCTCGGTCTGATGTCCGCTAGACCGAGAGGTGAATATGACGGAGGTCCTTGAGGCGTCTGGGGCACGTATGAACTCGGGGCGGTTGGATACTTGCCCTGATCCGGAGTATCTGAGAAAGGCTTGTATTTTGGCTGGTCCATGGCGCCTGGACTGGACCGAGAGTAGGAGTGGGTATGATTCAGAGTCGTTGGTCTTGCGGAAAGAGGAGGTTGCTGCTGCCCCTGCTGCTGCTGCTGCTGCTGTTGTTGTTGTTGCTGCTGTTGCATCTGGGTCGATATCTGCGGTAGAGTAGGGATTGTCGCAGCGGTGTTGCTGGCTGCTAGAGTCGCAGGTCTGCTTGCAAGACCCGGTTGCAGCGTACCCGGAACCGGCTGACTGGCGACACTGTTAGGATGCTGAGGTGTAGAGGGTTCGATCTTGATGGACAGTGCTTCCCCTGTGTAGGCCGGCGGTGCACCATAGTGGTGGACGTCGCTCATGGCCGTTCCCTGCTGATTCAAATGCAACTCGTCGGCCTGTTGGCGACCGATTGTAAGAGAGCGCCTCAGACCCGGCTGGTATTGGCCAGGCTGGGCCTCTTGCGCATTTGCGTACGCCGAGGGAGGAGGACCAGGACGATATGGGATCACGGTACCGTTGCCATTGGTGTTTGGCTGGGATTGAGGTAGGTAGGATCTGGATTCGGGAGCCGTGGTGGGCGGATTGGGGTGGTTGTCCAAGTACTGAGGGTTTGGGGCGCCGACAGAGCTCAAAGTCTGGCCGGCAGAGTATATGGCATTGACAGCGCTGTAGTAGTTGTCGTGGGTGAACTGAGGGTCGGAGAGGTGGTGCTGGTGGTGAGGGATGTGGAATGGCATAATATCTTGTAACGAGCAACGGGGAACAGCGAGCAGAGGATCAGATCAGCACATGCAGACCAAATTTGTGTTTCTGCGTGCGCGGTGAGAATCAGTGTTGGTCCAGTGGTTACAGCCTGGACAGTACACACGCCGCCAGGGCGCAGGCGGGTGGCAGGGGAGCAAGGGCGGCGGGAACGTTACGTTGTCTTTTGTCAGTGCCCGGGCCTGCTTCGGGCTTTGGGCGTCTTGGGGCTCTTGGGGCTCTTGGGGCTCTTGGGAATCTGGCTCTTAGGGCCAGCCAGCTCCCTGTTGTCAGCCGCGGGTGCCGCTGGTGCCGCTTAAGCGCGAGGTTGGAGGGGTCAAGAGGGTCAATGCTCTCTGAACAGCCATTGGGCACGAGCCAACCTCAAGTTACGTGCAGATTAAAAAACCCCCCGGTTCTCACTCACCTCGGTATATTCCAAGGCGACGACACAGTGAACACGACAACTCCTATGGAGATGGTTCAATAAGAATAAAGAACACAGCTGGCACGCAACAGTCTCTTCCCGCTCACTGCTCTGTCCTTCTCATCCAGCATCCCGCGCACCTCATTCCCTTTCATACCCTTGGGTGTGTGAACCATGGCACAAGAAATCGTTCTACTCCTCCTGCCCGCTCTCGCACCTTCGTCGCCAGCATCCTCTTTCAGATCAGCGTATAAAATCACATTTGAATCCCTGCTCCCTAAGCTCGTCCCAGCTGACAAACGGTCGACCTCTCGCCTGGATATTGGCCTGGTCCTGTCCCCCTCGTATCCCTTGAGCAGTAATACTTCCCGCGCCGTCGTATTTCCTCTCGTCCAAACTCTCCTGAAACAGACATATAGCCTCATTTGCTCCGTCGCCGCTCAGCAGGGAATCGACCTCGACTTCCCTGGCGGCATTGATGTCAGGATATTCATCCTGGAAGCTCGACTGGATGAACTTTCCGAGAATATCGTCGGCAAGCAATATCTGTCCGGACCGATAGTGGACCTCAAGACATTTGTCCTCTCCGACCGATCATATACAGCTCTTTATTCTGTCGAAGGCGAGGTTCCAGAAGCCTCCCTTCAGCATTTCATTAGAATATGGAACTCCAAGACCAACCCTCCGGCACTACCATCCGTCCACCGCCTCCAGAGCGGTCCGGCCATTGTTCACCCAGAAAGCTCCTCTCAAAAGCTCTCGGGATCGAATGTTGAGGACGGCCCGCTCACGATCCACCGTTCTGTCGCTGTAGGCGGCACATTTGACCACTTGCACATTGGGCACAAACTTCTGCTAACCGCCACCATTCTGACCGCCGAACCAGCTAAGTCTCCTAACCCCAACTCGAAAGAGTCTCGATTAATCACGGTCGGCATCACCGGGGACGAACTGCTCGTCAACAAAAAGTACGGCTCCCTAGTCGAACACTGGGATGTCCGACAACAACGCACCGCGGACTTCATCGACTCCATTCTGGCGTTCTACCCCTCCAAGACAAGCACGAGCAAAACCGCTACCACCAGCAGTCTCCGAATGACCGACTACGTCAACCAACCCGGCCCCAACGGCAAAGTCGTCCGTGTCAAGTATCATTTCCCCAGCTCCTCGTCTCTTGCTGGGGGTAGTAGTAGCATCGCAGATACAACCGTAAATTACACCCAGATCTCCGATCCGTTCGGCCCCACCATCACAGACCCGGATATCACTGCATTGGTGATTTCCGCCGAGACGCGCAGTGGCGGGAAAGCTGTCAACGACAAAAGGACGGAGAGGGGCTGGAAAGCACTGGAAGTCTTCGAGGTCGATGTCTTGGACGCAGGCGTCGGTCTGGAGGACGATGAAGACCTGTCAGAGGAAAGAGGAGAGAAGGAGGACAAGGAAAAGAAGGGGTTTGAGACGAAGATCAGCAGTACCGAGATAAGGAGAAGATTACAGCAGAAGGAGCAGGCGATATATCAGTAGAACACCGTCGCCCTTATCAGCAATAAGCCTGACTTGTATGAGCCGTCCATGCATTTGAAGCACGTTTGTATCGCGGTGCCAACAGAAGCGATCCTCTTGCATCAGCAGGTATACACCGTCACCAGGGTCAATAGGATCGCAGCACAACCACTCGAGGCATAAAATATTTGAAAAAAAGGTTGGAATTAGGTGACATTGCCTGGCTACAAAATGCCCGTGGAGGCTGCAAACTCACTGACTACCTATACCGCCACTGCACATATCAAACCCATGCACCATCAAGAATATTCCCGTCCAATATCTCATAGTCCGTCTATCTCCTGCCACCATCTTCTGAACTCCCGTTGACATAGTGCGTGCTCCAAAGCAATTGATACGCGAGATCCGGTAGAGCTTCCAAGAGAGTGTGGGCCATTTCGTGGTACCTATGCCGCTTATATTCTGCTTCGCTGATTGAATTGTTGGCATCAAAAGAGGACCAAGATCTTTTTTTTTTTTTTGGCGGAACTCGTTGCACCCTTTTCCACTCCCATAAGAGCGTGTCCATTTTTCCTCTACCTAGACTTCGGTGCCATTTGAAGTTCGTCTGTCTGCTGGTGGCGATGACTTCTCCTTGACCGGGACCTGATATTGCACACCTTCCAAGTGTTGCAATGCTCCGGCCAGAGGATTTTTGGTCGTCACAAAGGGGTCATCACCTGGCGATCCACTGGCAAACATGCCAAAAAAACTGCCAAAAGGAGAGTCGGATGGAGGAAGTCCAGGATCGGTAGGTGGTCGAATAGGGGACTTCCATGCCAAAGGGTTTGCGCCTGCACCTCGGAAGGCTATTGGAGGCCCTACCAATGGTGGGATATTCTCGTTTTCAACATGTGTTTCGTAGTATGCCTGATACTCTTGAGCCACTGGTCGGTAGGACGTATAAGAGTCGGTATATTGTAAGACCGATTGATACTGTGGTTGAAGCCAGGGTGTGGAAACCTTGGGTAGTTGCTGGAACGAGCCGTTACCATACCCTCGACTTCCAGACTGGAGAGGGTTCCGCGTTCCGCCCCGCGTCATGTTTCCGTGGTAGCCGGGGCTTCCGTCGGCGAAGATCTCAAATGGAGGAGGCCGTTTGCGAGGAGCGAAAGCTTGAATAGGTGGCTTGACGTCATCCTCATCATCTTCGGCCGGGAAATAGCGAGGACCCAATCCATACGAGTCGCCGGTGGATGAACTGGGCAAGTATGGAAGGGGAGGTAGCCCTTGGGCGAATGGAAGATCAGCATATCTCTTTGGGGCATTGGCTTTGGCCTTGCGTTTCACAAGTCGAGGAGCATTAGCGTCTCTCTCTGCAAGTGGCTTCCTCTTGCGAGATCGAGGGGCTTGCTTGACTTTTGGAATGGGAGTCTCCCCATCGACTAGACTGCTTCCATCTTCAAGGTCGTCAATGTGTCTCGCCTTCAGGACATTGCTGCCGCCAGGTGAATACACTACCTCGGTAGGCTCGACCAAGGCAGCGAGTTTCTCCATGCGTCTCAGAACGGAAGCATCCTTCTTCTGATTTCTCTTCTGTTGCATTTCCTGCGAGGCAGCATCAAAGAGGTCCATGCCTGGCCAAACGGTCCCTTTCAGTTTCATATGTTCTGGAGTGGCGAGAATCGGACCTGAGGGTTCATCCTCAGCCGGGCAATCATCGAGAGAAGGGTAAACGTCGTCAGAGAAAGGGGAATGCTTGACGGGAGAGTATCCTTGAAGTCGATGTGCTCTGTGTCTGGTATACTTGGTTAGTCTGGACAGGACACACCTGTAGGAGAGGCGCCCACCTAGGAGGTTTGACAGGAGTGAAGTCCGGGTCACTGTCATTGTCATCTCGTCTTGCCTTTTTGCCTCGACTGCGTTTCCTCTGCATTTGAGTCTGGGTCTGGGTCTGGGCCTTTGGTCTACCTGGGCGCTTTGGGGGCAAAGGTGGATTTAACTGTGCATGGTCAAATGTGCCTGGTTGCGGTACGCCAGCGTTTCGTACCGCTGCGGAAGCTCTTCTTTTCTTAGCCTGTTTGTTCTCTTTCATTTGCATTCTCTCCGAGAGCAGTCTGTCAATATCATGTTGTTGGTACCAGTGACCATACGTGGCCAATTCCACCCCGGCTGCGATGTCCTGGTAGCTCCGTACCTGGAGTTTGTGAAACTCAGATAGGTGACCTTTGGAACTGACGTGAGTGAGCAAGTGGGAGGTGTCGCTGAAGGAGGGTTGGCCTGGACAGATGCTGCAGCTCAGCAAGGCCGCTGCCATAATGGCCGGTGTAGGTCCGAGGGTAGAGAGCAAAATCGCAAGGAAGCAGCAAAGCAAATTTGAAGCGATAAGGACGAAACAGAAAACGGTTCAGGGAACAGACAAAATGCGGGGCCAAGGTATACTGCAGTCCAAGCAGGATGCACGGATGAACGAGAAAGAGAGAAGGGAGCACAGTGCGCGGACAGAAGTGACCCAGCCAGGGGAGTGGTGGAGGCGTGAGGGAGCGCAGGTGGCATTGATGAAGTGAGAGAAGAGAGAAAGAGAGAAACTCATCCAGCGCATCAAAGAGAGAGGAAACTCCGACCAAGCGCCCACCATGTCATCGCCTCGCCTTCGCCAGAAAGGCAGGAGCGCCCTGAATAACGACAGCTTAACACCTTAAGTCTATCGACTACCACAGGAAGCTGGCTGTGATGCTTGGGAGAGACGACTTTTGAGCTAAGCTCATCACAATACCGTGAAATCTCCATCTTCATGGTCTGCCAACAAAATAGAGTGCCTGTCCAATTGTTCCACCAGGTCTATGCTTCCTCTAGGGCGAGGACAGTCGAGTGATGAAGCGGATATAGGCCGTGGTGGACCTTTGCTCTTCTCTTGCCTTGTATCCCATCTTTCACAGGCCAACTCAAGTGGGGTATTAGATTGCAAGAGGGCTGCACCGAGCCACACAGGGTCATCATTTTTGCCAGTATGGCAGGGCTTTGGTGACTGCTTTGGGCATGCAGCTGAGGGCACCAATTAGCGTAGTATAAGAGAAGGCATCGTCTTTGCGAACTTACTATACGGGGTCGACCTCGACGAGGCCCGGATAGCCCAGCAAGCTCAACCCTGCAAGACCGAACACGGTATGGAAAACGTCCACCATGTCGCCGGGTCTGTCTGCAAATCCACCTCGATCGGCGTCTTGACACCTCAGAATAAATTTGATCAATTCTGCAGCATCGATCCAGCGCAGCTTTCCCAGCATTGAGATGCTGCTGAGCACCCACCAACTATAGCAAACGTCTTCAAGCTTTTCTGGGCGGCCATTGAGCCCACCGTTGGGAAGTTGTCTTTCACTTAACCATGCGGCCAGCCGGTCATGGTCCACAATGTCCAGTCTGCGAGCGATCGTCAAAGCCCCGAGACAAGTAAATATTTGGCCAGAATGAGACTCGGCGCCAGGCGATCGACCAAACCCTCCATCGAAATTTGCACAAGCCTGAATGTGGAAGACAGCCTTGTCCACATCCACTAGGTGCATCATGTCCAGGATGGAGAGGGCATTGAAGGCACCATAGAGAAAGCGAGTGTCTGTCTCACCCCACTCATCTCCGGCAAAGGTACCTGTATCGGCGTTCTGTAGGCTTGCGATGTCTCCAAAGGGGAGTATCAGCGGCGCCGGTCATAACTGTGGCGAGATGCGGAATTCGCTTACATTTTGCGGTTCGCTCCTTTCCTCCTCTTTCGGGCTTGTCCAAGGCTTCCAAGGCATTGATTGTGGCAAGAATCTGGACGGCGCTGACGGTGTACAACATGTGGGAATCATGCCCAGGAGCAGCACCAAAACCCCCATCTGGGTTCTGGCAGGAGAAGACGAATTGCAAGGTTTTGTCACGGGGCAGGGCATCTGGATAGCCGAGGAGATGAAGGGCTGTCAAACCCCAGTACACACCATTCAACCTCAGGTGTTCGGTCAACCAGTAGTCGAGTTCATCTTTTCGCTGGCACAAAGTATCAACATGCTGCGCAGTGTAAAGCACTCACATGGACGCACAGTATCCAGGAGCTGGATATATTTGACATGCTTTTCCACCACCAGGCTGAGATTTGAGGGCAAGGTCGAGTGTGATCCTCCCACCCCAGGTCCTGCAACCAGTGACATTTTCTCGGACAAGACGGATGTTGCTGCAATGGCACCAATGGAGGTGAGGATGGGGGCAAGCTTGAGTAAGATGGTTGACTAAGTCGATGAGAGTTGGCAGGCAATGTGTAGTGGAAAGGGGTTCGTCAGGAGGCTGAGGCTGCACACGAGGTGCAGTTGATCTGCTTGGCGTTGGTAGGTGTTGACAAGGCGGAGAGGTAGGTAAACTTTTCATCACAGGCACCATTTATTCCCGGGGTTAATTACGCGTCTTACTTTGCGGAGTATGTAATACCTATGTGATTGCCGCTCTCAGAATCGTGCCCGGTAGAGAAACATGACCAGGTGTGCGGTATTCCTACACGCAGTATCTCGCAGTTCAATCTGAAAACGCCGCGGTTGTGTGCTGGTGGCTTTTCCGCCCTCTTTTCTCGGGTCCTTCGCAGTTAGACCAGATCTCACAAATCTCAAGCCCTGTTGTCGATTTTCTCTTTGTTCCTGCGCGTTTAGCTTCCTTGCTTTACCTGATTGACTCGCTGGACAACAGCGGGCTCCAGCCGCGTGCATGTCGAGATATGTCTCTTGCCCCTGGCGACTTGGGGTGCCTGAGGGGCAGCCCAGGGGGGTCATCCGGGCCATCAGGGCCAGTTAGCTGGAGAGGCTAGGCAGCCTAGTGGGCAAGCAGGGCCCACTAGGGTGTCCACCTGCAAGTAACTTCGCTGGTGAAACCCAGATGGGGCTTGAGCCCTAGCCTCGATGGACGACACTGAAGCTCGAACCTCAGGTTGGTGAGGCACCAAAACATGGTCAAGCATGGTCTCCAAGCGAGTCCTGCTTCACCACCTGATCCCGTGTTTGAAGTCGCCATCGTTGAAATCGGCCTTTGGCATCAGCTGCTCATCCCCCCCACACAGCTGCTTGCGTTATGCACCCGCTATTCCAACTAACCTAGTCTGCACCAAAGAGCAACAAGAAGCATGCAGTAGCATAGTACCAAAGCAACCATGAAAATCATCGCCTGCCGCTACTGTAGGTGCAGGTAGAAGACGAAGCAAGCATTTTTGAGTGTTACGAATCCTTCTCGCAACGCATTGCAGGGTCTTGCTGTCCTCTCTCTTACAGCCCAGCCCCAGTCCATTAAGGTACGGGCAATTACGTGTCCAGGTAACTCCGTACCTATCGACCTAACTAGCGAGGCAAGGTAGATACCCAGTACGGAGTATCAACTGTTAACTCCAGGTAGGTAGGTCTTTCGCCTGCTGCGACACCTGCAACCCCAAAAGCCCAGAAAGTCCAGGCAGTCAGGCTCACCAGGCCCTTCCCCTTGGCGCCCTTGGTGCCCTAGGTGCCCTTGGCTCCGATTCCTGTTCCTGTTCCTGGCCCCTCAGTCGTCGTGCTCCATGCCTAACGCTGGTCCCCTCATTCCTTCTCACCGCTTGGTTCCGTCTCCTCCACCCACCACCACCACCACCACCATCACCACCGCGTTCGTTGATTTTGTCTGCACACCACCACCATCCATCCATCCCGCGTAACTTCGAAAGCACCCATACCTCCTTGAACCGCACCAACTCTCACACTCTTATACGCCTATAGCCTGTTGGTTCAATTTATTTGGGGCTTGGTTCTTCGTGCTTTTTTAGTCCTAAATTTGACCTTGCTCGTCCTGATCCTTGATTTCTGTCGCTCCTTCGATCCTCCTAGATTTCTCCTTTGTTAACCGCCCTCCTCGCAAGCCACTCAGCGATATTGGCAGTCAGCCTGTCACACGAGCACGCCTGGCAATGAACAACTGTCCGATGAGCAGCGTGTCTCTCAATTGAACTCAACGCTTTCACGCGGCTGCAAAAGCATTCCTTGCTCAGCGTCTTCTTCATCACCTATCATTTCCAATTCCACAAATCAAAGGCCTGCTCCTCTGTTACGGAATACTTGTTGGATAGCGAACAATACTTGACATTACTCGCTTGCGACACGCAAATTGGTTGCCGACACCTGGCTGCAGGCCCATAGCAATTGGAATACGTGGCAGTGAATCGATCATCGGAGACGTCCTGACGAGACCAGCACTCCCCTGCGCGAAACGAGCAGTACCAACCCCTTCCCACCTACACACCGTTTGATCTTGCGTCTCATATCAACCTGTCATCGCAAAAGAGGTGGTACAAAGACTCAATACATTCGACGGGGGATATCGCGGTCCCAGTGATCTGGCGCCAGCTGCTGCTTTGTCCGACTAGAAGAACACGGCCGGCTACCTGCAGTCGGCCTTGTGAATGACATTTTAAGGAGCTGCAGATATGCCAAAAGCCTCAGCTTTGCCCCATCTCAACTTGGCTCCTGAAAACAATGAGGAGCTTAATGGTCTAACTCCCGCGACGCTGAGCCCTCGCTCAACGGGCTCTCCTCACACTCCACGGTCAGCCCCGACATCTCCATATCTGCGAGGCCCTCCGCCATCTTTTATGTCGCATCAAGCCTCTGTATCTCAAGACAGTCCAAATGATGGCTCGCGTACAGGGCCCAGCTCTCCCCGAATCACAGCCATGCCCGAATTCCCTCCTTCGCCTGTTCCTCAATCACCAAAGCATGGTCGAGATCCCTCTAAGGGTTTCTTTTCCAACTTGATGGCCTCCAAATCTTCCCACAAATTGCATGCTTCGGAAACCAGCATTCCGGAGGGCGCAGAGAAGCCAAATGGAAGGAGCCGGGCTAGTTCGAAGGAGAGGTCCCTACATTCAGTAAAGAAGCAAGGTTCGACTCCAGACTTGCCGAAAGCTGGATCAGGAAGCGGCCCCATCAATGACAACGAGCCCCCAGCCTCATCGGAGTCGATTCCCTCTCAACCCTCTCTCGAGCCTGTCCTGGCGGCCAAAAAGACCAAGTCTAAGTTTGGAGGCATTCTCGCAAGGACCAAGACCGTGAAAATGGAGGAAATAACGCCAAAGCAGAAGCACCCGCCCCCGAGCCACCTGCAGCTAGACACCTCCAATGTAGGCAAAGACCACGACGACACATCCCCAAGGACTGCACCCATCAAACTCGAACACCGAGAGAGAGCGTTTGGCCCTGAGGGGAATGCAAGCGTTCGAAACCGCTCGGTAGATAGGCAGACTCAGACTCGTGACGACTCGCAATCCATAAAGAGAGATCGGCAGACGGGGAACATACCCATGTCGCACTCCTTCAGAGACGGATCAACCCTTCAAATTTTGTCGAACCTTGGGCAAACCGGCAAAGGCGTGGGCGACCGCCTTGGCAAGGCTGGGAAAGGCTTTTTCGGGAAGATTACACGGAGTGGGAGCAGCAACGAGCGCGAAGTTCTGACGGTCACGGATGACAATTACGTATGTACGACAATCAACCTGCCACTTGTTAAGCAAACTCGGAAAACCAGGATAGCAAGACGGCTGGAGTTATCCAAGGACAAGACTGAATTTTGGATGCCGGCGTTGCCTTGGCGGTGCATTGAGTATGTTGATCCTTCTTAAGTCTTCTGGCCCTGTACTAAACATGTTGTGCAGCTACCTAAATATGAATGGCGCCGAGGAAGAAGGCCTGTATCGGATTCCTGGCAGCGGAAGAGATGTGAAACACTGGCAGCGGCGCTTTGACACCGAATTCGATATCAACCTTTTTGATGAGCCTGATTTGTATGATATCAACACCATCGGATCAATGTTCAAATCATGGCTGCGGGAGTTGCCCGACGAGATCCTTCCCAAATCCGTGCAAAACAAGATTGCTACCCAGTGCGCCGGTGCGACTTCGGCGCCTCAACTGCTGAGAGACGAACTGTCGCGTCTGCCGCCCTTCAACTACTACCTGTTATTCGCCATCACATGCCACCTCAGCCTCCTTAACAGCTATGCCGAAAAGAACAAAATGGACTATCGAAATTTGTGTATTTGCTTTCAGCCTTGCCTGAAGATCGATGCCTTTTGCTTTCAGTTTCTGGTCATGGATTGGAAGAATTGCTGGCAGGGCTGCTGGACCGAAAAGGAGTACCTGGAAGAAGAATACCGATACGAGCGGGAAGGGTCGGTTAATGAAAGTGAGGACCTTGCCGTGGACGAGAGGGCCATTTCTTCCAGTGGCAGCAGTCAGCAACAGCAACCACCACCACCACCGGCGGCTGCTGATCGACAGGTATCTGCACAGCAACCTGTTCCTCCTCGAAGTGCAGATGCTGCAGCACACCGCAAGTCGATGGCGCCGAGGACAAAACAGAGGAGTCTGTCTCAGGGTGGAAGTGCTAGAGACAGATCTAACAGTGCGCATGCGCCTAGCCAATCCGTGCCCGCTGTACCACGGATGGTGACGCCAGAGCCTCCCAAACTGTCGCTTGACCAGAAGTTGCCTGAGCTGACAGGACTTTCTCCTATCAGAATGTGACGTCTTCGGGTATGTGTCGATGGCCTTGTTGTGATTCTCAACCGACATCTTCCCGTTCGGATGCGTCACGGACTGAGACATGTCCATTTTCCTTTGAACGCGCTGCTTGGATAAGCTTGCCTATAACGACTGTTTGGCATTGAAAGGCTCTAGGATATATCTTGTATTATCTATCTCCCTGGTTTTCCCTTAGCATTGCATTTCTCTTTGCAGTTGCATTGCATTGTGGCTTTCTTCTGGCTTTCGCCTCGAAACAATGATGAAGATTCATGAGGAGAATTGGTATAACCAAGGTAGAGACTGCAAGGAGGAGGATGCAGACTGAGGCTCTCTTTGTATGATTAGGTGCGTGTTAGAGCTTGGACTGGTCATGGCGAGAAAGCGCCGAGTGAGGTTGAATAGAAGGAGACAAGTGATCTTTGAGACCATAGACTCGCGATGCCTCGAGTCGAATGCAGACAGCGGCGGAAGATGCTGCCTCCTGTCGGATGATATTGCCCAGTTCATCACTCGAGTGTCTTTCAACAGCTTCGCGATATGTTCCCGTCCAACCCTGGATTGACCTGGCCTTTCTCGAACACGAGCTCCCCCACTAGTCGGATGCTCTCCGAGATCATTTTGGCAGAACGCCGCCACTCGCCCGTCGTGGACCCCCCCCCCCCATGGTGCAAGTATACATTCCTGCAGGGGGGACGAATGGATAGCAGCACCATGATTTTGCGCCCATTCCGGTACAGGGTTGATAAGAGCCACCGGCTGGCTGGCTGGTTCGCCGGTCGAGCAGACGCAGCCGCTTGATCCCAAACTTGGAGTTATTTTTTTTCTTTTTCCTTTTCATCAACCACTAGATCTCTGCGACGGTCCTTGTTGTTGCCCACGATCAACCCATCTTGCCAGCCTTTCTACTTGTCCGCTCATTATTCCTCTGCCGCCGCTCCTGCCTCTTGATCCTCTCCTTCCTCTCCCTCCTCCCTTCCCCTCTAAACGTCTTGCCGTCGCCACTTTCGGCGCCTGCTTTCTCCTTCTTGACTGCCTTGTCGTCCAACTCGACAAGCCATTCTCCTTCATCCTTCTTGTTCCGTCCCTTGTAGCCCCATTTCTTGACCCATTCGCCGCTCTCCTCGTCGTAGACCAGGTTCTTCCGCCTCTCCTCCTGCGCGGCACCGCCCTTCAGATTGCCTCCGTATTTGCCGATACCTTTCTTACGGGCGAACAATTCCCACTTCGTCGGCGCTTTCGGCTTCGGCAGCGGTTTCCATCTTGGTAGGTAGTGTTGCGGTGCGGGCGGGGTCATTACTAGGCCATCGGTCGTCGACTGGATGGGGCAAGTCGTGAGGAGGGTGTTCAGGAGGGATTGGGCGCCGTCGCGGGCAACTTGTCTGAGCGCCTCGTTGCGGTCGGAAAGTGATTGAGAGAGAAGTTGTGAAGTGGCGGGGAGGGGATTTGGGTCGGTCGCCGTCAGGTAGCCCAGATCGTAGGTGTATGGAGTGGGCTTTTCGACCGTTGTTGGGCTGGGGAGAAAAGGACAACAATTCGTTAGTAAGATTTGATCATAGAACAGCGCAATCTGGCGCCTCGAAGACAAGCAGACGTACAGTTTTTCTGATTTTGCAGGTGCATGGTGTGAGATAGTCGAGGCCAGGATTGACACTTGCGTTCCGGCCTCTACCATAACCGTGTCCATCATTGTATCGGTGGCCATATTTTCTCCGGAAGTGAGTTTTCTGTCCTCCGAACTATGTACTAAAAAAAAAAAGAAAGGTGTATTTTGGAGGAAGTGCTGAAGTGCGCTCTTTCTCCGCACTCGAAATTTTGACGAGGCTGAACTGTGATTCCGCTCGCACAACGAGGCTGAACTCCCTGTATGGAGAATTGCCAAATATCTTGGCGCAGTGAGGTGGACGGAGGGTCATTTCCCCAATCCGCATTGAAAAATAGACACCTTCAGAGTCCTTTGCTGTTCCAACAGCGGTGGCCTTTGTTGGTTATGCGTATTCCGTTTACCTTGGAAACGGTGGCCCTCTGTCATTCAGAACCATGCGGTCAAATATTTCCGATGGAATCATCGCTTTTGACGGTATTGAGCACTCTTGAGGTACATCTTCCGGTACTGGGTACATATTCTGAGACAGACTGTGCCACTTATTTTTGAACCCAGCGTGCCCCCGAGCATCCGACCTTGACACTCATCCCTGGTGGCTGCCCTGGGCACTAATCTTGTAAGGCCAATTGGCCCATCTCTCAGTACGAGTCTTCCATGCCTCGTGACACACGAAGTTATGCTCTCTGCACTGATCCAGGTTCGTAAACAAAGTATGCAGACGGCCCTGCACCAAATACCAAGGCCAATTCAACCTCTTCCCGATAGACAGCAAACCGATCCCGAGCTATTACGTGATGTTGCTTCATATACCAAACTACTTGCCGGGCTAGGCTCTACAAGGAGAAGGCCCGGGAAGTGCACCACGTCTCACACCACGAGAGTTGCGTGTTGCTGATGTGGCATCCTCATGCACGGGTGGGAATTCGATAGACCGATTGTGCGTTTTGTTTTCTCCCAGCCATTTTTTAAAGTCAAAGGCATCAACCTTCGTGTTTTCGTTGACAGTTTCCGATATCGAGATCTATCAGGACACCTCCGACACACTCCCGAACATCGAGCATTCTTTTTAGCGTATTTCGGTCACAAAAACCGCACACGACCCCTCATCCCCATGTTACAGGTCTCCTCGGTTGAGAGACCTCTTTATGGTCCTAGGGAATCGCCTTATCCTGGCAGCGTTCACGTCGTCACAACCTAGGTCACACGGTATAGTGGATATCAGTATCCTTCTTGACCATGGTACGGAGACCCAACCGTCCCTCTATCTCTCCTTTCAGCAAAACCCAAAAAGTTGAACTGACCAATAGGCTACCATCGAGCAAAACTTCCTTCGGATACTTGTTGATCCACACGATGCTGATATTGAGTACGTTAAGTCAAAGGTCAACTGCTTCCATATCCTGCCATGATCTGGCTTTGTATAGATCTCCATTTGAACCATGTCCCTCCGGGTAACAGCTATCCAGCATTGTGGCCGTACATGGCCTAAATCCGATCAACAAAAAATTCCATGCCGAGGCCACATGGACGGCTGACAACAAGAAGATGTGGTTGTGCGATTTCCTTCCCAAGCGCTTGCCAAATGCAAGGATTCTTCTCTTCGGATATAACTCCAACGTGGCGATCGAGACCTCGGCCGCTGGCGTCAACGAGCAGGCTGTCAACCTGCTTGATCGGTTCAATGCGCAACGAAGGCAAGTGGATCCGCACAGGCCGATTATATTCATCGCACACAGTCTGGGGGGTATTGTTGTCAAGAGAGTAAGTGGAAATTTACCCTCCTAGTCAGTACTCTGAGCCCCTTCTTGCGCGCATCTCTATTTCACTTCTTTCAGGAGAATCGAGTTGTCCGTCCCAGGGACCACCATTTGACTCTACCTAGGCACTCGTTGAAGCGAAACTCAACGACAAATACGCCAGTATTCGCAAAGCGACCTTCGGATTGGTCTTCTTCGCGACTCCTCATCGAGGAGGCCGTCATGCTCAATTGGGCGACATTGCTGCAGATATTGCCAGATGCATCCTGCGGAATCAGAAGAATACTTTCATGGATAATCTAAAGTACAACTCGCTGTTCTCTGAACATCTCCAGGACGAGTTCAGACATCAGTATGAAGACTATCAGATACTCTCATTCTATGAGACACTGCCAATGGGACCGCTGGGTTTGGTATGATGACCTTGAATTATCGCGGGCGCCGCAACTAACATACTTCAGATTGTGGACAAGCAATCTGCTACTCTTGGTCTCTCGGGACAACGAGAAACTGCCATCGCGCTTGACGGCGACCACAGAAGTATCTGCAAATTCCCCGAACCAAACTCGGCTTACCAGCAAGTCGAAGACGATTTAGTAGCATTGGTCGAAGAAGCACTTCAAACTCCGGTCCAGAAGAGTTCTCAAACCAGTAATGTTCAGTCGCCTACATGTAAGTGACGTGAAATTTTGAATGAGCAACTATTGCCTCATATAATATTGACGCTGCTTTTGAATCGCCGAACTCGAGTATCTCCTTTGTTGTATATGAATGCTCTGTCCCTTTTTTTTCCTTCTCCAACGAGAAACTTGTCGGAAGAACAGGTGCTGACATGGCCCTAGTCTTTGTACCATATCAAAAGAATTCGAGCTTTGTTGGCCGTGAGAAAATTATCGCGCGCTTGATTGAGATACTCTCACCTCATCCTGGATGGCAGAGGCGAGCAGCCCTTTACGGGCTTGGTGGGATAGGGTATGCTCATCAGAAAGTCTAAGCTACTACTTTACTCACCGTCACAGAAAGACTCAGATTGCCCTCAGCTACGCCCATTGGTGTAGAGAAACCCATCCTAAGACGTCTGTATTTTGGATACATGCCAGCAATTTGGAACGATTTCATCAATCATATATGGATTTGGCCGAGGAATTGAAGATACCAGGAGCGGACTCGCCTAAAGCAGACATCCTGAGCCTTGTGAAGAACTGGCTGAGTATAAAGAAGGATAGTGAGGATTGGTTAATGATCGTTGATAACGCCGACGACTTCGACATGTTCTTCAAGTCCTCTAATGCTGAAGGCAAAAGAAGTTTTTCGGGCAGGCTGGCAGATTATATACCAGACTGCGCACATGGCGCCGTTCTGTTGACAACCCGAGACAAGAAAGTAGGTATCGGGATGGTGAAGATGAGCTCATTGCTACAAGTCAAGCGTATGGCCGATATGGAAGCTATTGGTCTTGTCCGCAAGATTCTTGAGGATGAAGATGAATACAAGAAAGAGGACATCACTCAACTCGCAAACAAATTGGAGTACATACCGCTGGCTCTGACTCAGGCCGCGGCGTTCATTTGGGAGAACACCCTTAGCATTCAGAGATATCTACAGCGATATGAGGAGAGCAGGCTCAACGCGCTGAAACTCCTTGGTCATAGCGCTGCTAGCACCATGGCCGAGGATGAGGCTCGAAACGCAGTGACGACAACTTGGATGATGTCTTTCACACGGATCAAAGAACAGAACCGTCTGGCTGCCGATATTCTCTCTCTACTGGCCTTCCTGGACAGGCACTGTGTTCCCGACGAGCTAATTAGAAGACGAGATCAGAGCCTTCTAGACATCGATTTTGAAAAAGCCTGTGGGCTCTTGAAACGATTTTCTCTAGTCGAAGAAAGCCCCCTGACGCTACGAGGTGAGACCCATGCAGCATTCAGCTTGCATCGGATGGTGCAGCTGGTGACACAGCAGTGGCTGCAGTCTCACGGAGAAGCCGCTATTTGGGCGGAACAGGCACTGGTGGCTGTTTCAATTGTCTTTCCCCCTGGCGAAAGGGAAGAATGGAAAAGCTGCGAGATATATCTACCTCATGTCGAGGTGGTGCTGGAGAATAAGGTGCAGTCCGAAGATGGCAGAGTTTCGACATCGAAGGCGGCATTACTACACAATGCAGCCACATATTTTAGGGTCAAGGGCTACCATGGTCGTGCAGAAGAGACAGCATCCGAAGCTGTAGCCGTCAGGAAAGCTTCACTCGGAGCATGCCATCCTGATACATTGGCTAGCCACACCAGTCTTTCACGCATTCTTCTCGAGCAGGGCAAAATTGAAGAGGCTATGGCACTGCAGCTTCAGGCAGTGGCTACCGCAAAGCAATCCGTCCCGGAGGACAACCCAGACCTGCTGCGGGCGGTGGCTCATCTGGGGTCTCTTCATGGTATACAAGGTCGATACGAGGAGGCTGAGCGCCTACAAGGCCGTGTGCTGGAAGTGAGTAAACGAACACAGGGACTGAACCATCCCGACACCCTACTCACCATGCGCGACTTAGCCATCACCTATGGGCACCTGAGGCGCTATGACGAGGCAGAAACACTGAACAAGTTGGTCCTGGAGCGCAGACAACAAGTTCTAGGTGAAGACCATCCCGAGACTCTCATCAGCATGCTAGACCTAGCCGCGACTTATGTTCGCCAAAATTCTGACCAGAAGGCCGAGATGGCCGAGGAAATAGAGCTCCAGGTGATTGAAGCTCGCAAGAGAGTTCTTGGTGAGGAGCATCCGGCCACAATACAAGCAATGAAGCAACTTTGTGAAACATACGAATGGCAAGGCCGGCAGAAGGACCTGGCGAAACTCCAAGAGCAGATAAAGGCGATCGATCGAAGAGGCGGCCAGAAGACGAAGAAGCCATCAGACGCCGCGCTGCTGACCATGAGCCATGATATTTTGACATACGAGCTGCCGCTGCGGTCGAATCAGACACGGCGCATGTCTAGCGACGAGTGCACCGCAGTGGGAAGCGCCGAAAAGGAAGATAAAGAAGTGAGACCCACGATGCGAATTGTAAAAAGCTCAGTCGATCTAAAGCACGAGGTCAATAACGCGGTAAGCACCGTCGCATTCGTGGAGCAGGTCGAAATGCCCGCTTCCAACATGAATAAGGGGCATCACCACACTCAGTCAGTGTCGTCTTCCGCATCGCTGCTGTCCCCTGCGTACGTTCCCCCTCACGAACAAGCAAAGAGAACGCGGAGTTCCATACCCGGCATGCGTTCACGTTGGAAGAGCTGGCAGGGGGGTGTTGTTGAAGAGCCAGGGGAAGTGGTGGAGAAGCCTCGGAAGAGAGTCTGGAGCTTGAGGCATTAGGCCATGGATCGTTGAAAGACGCCCTCGTCATAGTCCTGGCCACTAAATAGTGATGGCAATAGTGACAGAGGATGTCTAGGTTTGTCAAAGGGATGTACGGAGGACATACGAGAAGTAGACGAAAGTCCCCACTATCTTGGTCACAAGTCATCGCACTATCCTGACGAGGCTGAGCAAGGCTGAGCACTATTAATGCCAAGGCACTAGACCGCTTCAGCCACCCTTCGGAAGTCGAACTGCCAGCGTCTTGTCCTCTCTGTCCTACATAATACTCGAACCTTACCCACCAGTAATGCGTGTATACCTGCGAGCCGAATCGAAAAAGGTGCATCCTGACAAGCATCAGCACGGCGCGGCCTATCTACCATCGAAACACTGAATAATTGACCAAAATGAGAGCTACTCCGATAGAGCTTACTCACGCGGTTGAGAGACAGGTAACTACCCCATCTCAAGGTATGTAACCTCCATTGTAAGTTAAGGCCACCTTTGATCTTTGCAGATACAAATGCTTGGTCATTCTTAGACAGTGGCCGCGGCCGAGGAAGACGTTTGGCAGACTCGTAACTTTTCATCAAGCGATCTCGGCCACTTCAAGTCAGCCAGTTGGATAATTTACGAATTAACAACCAGCAATAATCGAGCTTCTGCCGGAACCAGGGTCCACGCACCATTCACGATAACAAGATGGTTTTGTGAGTGCCGACATCTAGTTCATCTCATGCCACCTCACTGTCTTCGAGCTGGCTCGAACAGCTTCCCACAGCTGCTCGTCCCCGATTACATCGGATGGCGTCTCTCAATGAAGTACCCAAGAAGCGACTCCTTGCAATAGCTGCAGAACGGCAAAGAGTCCTGCACTTATTGCGACACCAAGGTCACCTCTGTCCGTCATTATAGAAACCGCAGCTCCAACTGCGACCAACAGGAGCAAATTCAGCCACATGAATCCCTTGGCCTGCTTTGTTGAAAATATCCGTCGGACAAAGACGACACTCTCTTCTGCTGTCGCCGTCCAGGTTCACAACTCCGGATAAGTGTTGCCAAATGGAAGTCCTGATTTCATCAATTCAGGGTGATGAAAAGCTTCTGTCATGCCCCGGTCAAACCGTCCCCTGCCAAGGAAGACTCGAGCAGATTGAAAGTTTGACTCAGCGTCGGCAAAGGTGAGCTGTAGCATACTCAGTCCTTGACTTCGCTCAATAGGGCGGCAAACAAACGGATGATTTTGGTATGATCTCAAGGGCTAGATCTTGGCAAAGAAGGCACTTTTGCAACTGCGTAACAGACGGACCATGGACTTCTCGGGAGTACTTCTCTTGAAGTTTGACCATTATTCCCGCGTAAGTCTCGAAAGGTCCGACGGGCATGTTGCTGTACACAAAATGCTTGCGGTGGTGTTGCAAGACTACACGAACACTTGTTTGATGGGTTGAGCTCGAACTCATTTTGGCATCCGTTTCCAACTGAGGCCTGATCAGCGGGAAAGTTGCGCTTCTTGCTGGAAAGCTTTACACCTGCGCTTAGCTTTAAAGTGTAAGGTTTGTCTCGGTCTTTTGGATCGCTTTTATCCATTTACATCGAACATTTTCCGTTGACGAGTGTCTCTATTGTCCATTTTGCAGCGTACCAGCACCAGTATCCGTACTGGCATACGAGTGCACGGCTGCATATCATCTCTTTCTAACTGTGGCATAGTGCTGTGCGATATATGCGTTCAACCTTTTCCTTTCGAACCCAAGACCTCCGACAGTTACAATTGCAAGTTATCTGAACGCGGAATCCGCAAAGCCAATTCAGGCCTCCCTCCTCCCTCAACGCTCAACCACAAGAAAAACTTCAACCACACTTTTAGTAGGTGGCGTTCTCATCGATGCGGCGGTGCTGCTCCTTTAGGGATGGCGCAGTTTGGGAAATACGAGGATTTAGGAACGCGGATTCTGCGTTGCGGATCGATTGCTTTGCGGAATTTCCCCAGACGCGAGTTTTAGTGTTGGCTCCAATCTTCAACGATGGATCACACTCAGCTCCTCCGGCAGCCTGCGCCGTTGAGATCATTCATCCATGCCATTTGAAATCCACTGAAACGAATCTATCAGCTAACGGATAACGGTCTCTATTTTATTGTAACAGTCCCTTCTACGAGTTCCAATCTCATTCCAGCATTGATTCCGACAGGCATAATGACTTCAGACTCCGCGGACGATGCCGTCCGTCAAGACGCCCCACGAACGTCCAAAACCAAGATCGCAGCTAGAATGGCCGGGCTCGTTTCACAGGTGAATTTATGGGCGCATGTCTGTGAAAAGCGAGATTCTATGGCAGGAACGAAGGCAAACCCGTCGGCCTCTACATCAATAATTGAGAGATTAAAACGAAGAAACACAGGTGACAGTCCCGCCAGGCCAAAATCCCGCCACTACAAGTATATCCCGATCACAACACCGATTCGCTGCGGAGAAGATAGATGGAGTTCTCATCTCCAAACGCCGATTCTTGATGTGGTGAATCCATCCTGCAGTCCATCCTCGGACACTGGACCCCGGTTCCCACAAACACTTATAGGCCCCCGCGGTCATTCGTTCCGAAGATGAGACATCAATGCACATATCTCCGAAGCAAGTCAAGTTCCAACATGCAGACTCGGAGACTCAATCGAGCCATGGCGGTACCACAGACTCCGGCTATTGGAGCGAGCATCGTGGTCTTAGGGCGTTTGATTTTCAAATCCAGATGACGGAGGAGGCAATGGATTTGGACCGATACTTCAACGCAATCCAGAAAAAGCAATCTAGTGACCTAACACTAGAAATAGGTGCAGGCTTTCGGGAGCAGAGTATTTCTTCTCGATTCAATGCAAAGTCGTCGAATCAGCTAACCCAACTATCAGATGAGATCCACCCATTACCCCATTACAACTTTTACCTGTCAAGAATGTGTGATGACATTTCAGAACTCCCTCCAACTCCAGTACCATTGCGCTAGTCTGCATTCTTCCTCATCCACCAAGCCCCTCAACATAATTGACGAGGATATCCTGGGACTAAATTCTGCACACGAAGCTTCTACTAGGGGTTTGCTCAAACTAGAAGCCGAGAATCATCGTCCCACATACCAAGTTGGCCTTGTACCTAATTCGCATGAGCTTACGATCTCATCGCCTTTGAAGTCGGGGGAAGCTCCCCTGCTCCCGATTTCCACGGGGCCCGAAATCGACTCGGAGTAGGAGACATCCGAGGATGAATCTTGCGCCTCAGACGACAGCTACGAGGCCTGCGAGCATCACGAATGGGTTATTCGGACGATCCTTGCCTGGGCCGAGAGAGAAATTCTTCCAATATTCGCAAGGTGGCTTCGTACGGGAGAGTTGGATGTGAATGGATTACTCCGAACAAGATCCATTGAAACTTCTTCCACATCAGCTGGCAATAGATCTTCTTCCAATGGCGCTCGCAGCTCCACCACAGTACCGACTTCACAGGGTAACTCGAACAACCTGAAGAGGAAAAGAGGTGACCAAGAAGATGACCATCGAAACAATGGCGGATTCAGGAAAAATGACACACCCGAGCAGCCGAAGTCATCCAAAAGACCCAATCGAAAATTAGCATGTCAATTCCACAAACTAAATCCCGGAAAATCCAGGAGGGGTTCGGTGAATGGACTCAAGTACAAAACATGTACGAACGGTTTCTCGGACACGAAGAGTCTGTCGTACCACTTGCGAACTATTCACTGTGGACCAAAGTACTTTTGTAAACGTTGTTCCGAACAGTTCGTCGACGAGGCCACTTTAGACAAGCATGCGAAAATGCCACAGCCATGTAAGGTACACGTCGATCCAGAATTCGCGGAAGAACGTTACATCATGACTGAGGAGCGTCGCAAGGCCTACGAGAAGAAAGCACCTTTGACGCCGCAAGAGGTCCGCTGGTTCCAAGTGTGGGACATTCTGTTTCCAAGCGAAAGTCGGCCAGAATCTCCTTATCAACATTTTGACTCTGTTGAACAAGCCATCATTCAGACTGCTGATGATATTATTCCCGATCAAGTGGAGTACCAGGTTCGCAACTTTCCTGGCTTGGACCGAGCGGATGCGGAGCGCATTACTCGACGCGTGTTGGACGATTTCCAGACTCTTCTCTGGGAGCGATTGGATGTAAATGGACTGGCCCGAAACACCATCGTGGCTCCGGCTGAAGTTGGCAACAACGTCGGTCGTGCTAGCAATCAGGGACCATTTTCAACCGCTTCTGTAGAGGCTCCCCAACCCAACGTGCATCCGAATACGACCAACGACGGCGCCACCCAAGGGGACCTTGTCAATGCTGCCAACATTGGTTGTGGTGGTAACAGTGGCACGGAACATGGCATCTCTGCGAACCTACTCCAGAAGGCTCACAACGCCAATATGCCTACAGACCATGGAGTTTCCCAGGATCTCAATCACACTGAGATTCCCAATAACACAGCTGTAAACTTTGACTGGCAAATCAGCCCTCAACTAGTGTGCACTGTCCACGGCGGTGTCCTTGAGAACGTCACCGCACCCGAACAGCCTTACCAAGAGGTACAGTACAGCCCAGATACAACGCGATCACCCAGAGATTTGGAAACGATCAGGGACATAGATTGGTCCACCCTGCTCGCAGAGGTGGACCCATCTACTTTTGGGGCGATTGATTGCGCGAAAGTCCTGCAGAACTGAAACGACAGACAAACGAAAACCATGACCGCAACCGCACATCTTGGAGACATCGACTCGTTGGCTACTGGAATGTTTGTTTGTCCGACGACAAAAATGCACCGAGAGTTCCGAATGAAGGCATTCATTTCATCGCAATCCTGATCTGGTTACTGCGTTGGTTTCATAGCTTGGTACCACGGATAACTTGAGGTACCCGACCCAAAACAAATTTCGTCCCCGAAAATCAGTTCAGAAACCTTCCGGTCGCATCAAGCAATACTTTGCATCTCGCTACGGTGACGCTCAGCCTACTATGCCCTGTCTTCGTTTCAAGCCATAACTGGTTTGAAGAAGTCGACCATATCTGCAATTGCAGGGTTGACAAAGTCATTCTTGTCGTAGAAGTCCATGTGCCTCCCATCTGGAACGACAACTTTCTTGACATTGTTGTTCTTGCCATCCAAGATCTTGTAGATCTTCTCCGAATGCCATCTGCTCTCGGCTTTCTCGCCCACGATAATGAGGACAGGCTGCGTCAAGAATAGATCGGCAAATTGCCAGGCATCGAAGTTGAGGACCAACGGCACAGAGCGTAGCAACATCTTGTTCTGCGCGTTCTTGTGCTGCGCCCGCGGGGTACAGTAGTAATTGTACGCATCGGCCAGATCGCCTGGGGTATTATCCCCCGGTGTTGGGGGAACGTATGGCGCAGTGGCAGCTTCGGCACCTTGAGCTTCGGCCTGGATGGCTTGAGCGACTTGGTCAAGGCTAGCGACCTGGCTGGATGGTTGCTCATTCCCATACCATCCGAAACGAGCACCGTCGCCAATGTTGACAGCGCTGACCATGGCGACGGCTTTGAGACGATGATCGCCTTTGGCAGCAGCGGCAGCATAGCCACCACCGGCACAGATTCCGACGACGGCGATGCGGTTCATGTTAACATAGTCGAGCCTTTCGAGGTAGTCGACCACGGCAGAAGCATCGGTGACTCTGGCCGAGGGATCTTCGAGAAAGTGAGGCAGACCCTCCGAGTCGCCTTGGTGGGCGGCATCGTAGCAGATGGTCACGAAACCCTGGTCTGAAAGACGCTTTGCGTATGTACTGGCAGTCTGCTCCTTCACACCGCCGCCGGGGTGAATCACCACAAGACCGGGGGCTTTGTCGGAGAGGGAAGCTGGCTTGAAGAGAAGGCCAGCAAGGTTGATAGAGCCCTTGGGGATTCTGATTGCAGACATTGCTTCAGTTCGTATGATGGGACTTAGATGGCATGTTGTGTGGATAGCTTCTCCAACCCTCGACATTATATCGACTCCCGCGGGGGCGAATTGAATGACGATATCTCATAAAAGCATTATGTTCGTATTTGAGAGCTGTCGAAGAGGCCACAGGAATGACCATAATTGGTCAAGTAGGCCCCGTCTTGATCATCAGCAGGCATCTCGATTCTCCACCCCCCGAAGATTGTCGGACACCGCGCAACAAACTCCCTTTCTCTTATACATGGAGAGAGTGATTGACGAATTACCCTGAGTTCTTGATCGGTATGGCCTTGTCCTCGCCAAAGCAGGCGGAACCAACCCGGCCTGGCGCAGATAAATGTTGCATTAGCTGGGCCGTGATCCGGCTTCCCCTTGTCTAACCGGCGGCATGTAACTGGTAGAGATACTGGCATGGACATCCTGAGACGTATCTAGGACCGGTGGTAATCCTTCCTCTCCGCCTTTAGTTCTGAGTCTGTTAGAGTCTGCGAGGCGCCGAACAGACCTGCAAGTCGTGACCAACACAAATCTTTCAACCCATTTCACCGTCTAAGCTGAACATTGCAAGCTCAACATGTCTGCCGGTCCGTCTCTGACAGGTTCGAAAGTGGCCGATGGTCTTCTACTGATCCTTGTCGTCGCTTACATCTCTTCTTGGCTGAGATCGTGGTACCAGCTTAGCCATATCCCGGGGCCTCGAGGCTGGGGATGGAGCATCTTCCCTTGGCTCAAACTGCACACTCGAACCGATCTTTTTGATCAGTTCTGTGATCTGACTGACAAGTACGGGCCCCTCGTGCGCGTCGGCCCTCAAACCCTCATTTGCTCCGATCCAGATGTTATGAGACGTCTTTCCGCGCCGCGCTCGCCCTACGTGCGTGGAGATTGGTACTATGCCATGCGGCTGAACCCAGGTCAAGACAATATCTTTTCCACCCTCAACGAGGCTCGACATGAAGAACTCCGTCGAAAGATGGCGGCCGGGTATTCTGGCAAGGAGAACACGTCGCTCGAACAGGATGTGAACGCTGCCCTCCTGGAGTTGATTGACCTTGTCAACAGGAAGTATATTAGCACGGATGGGATTATCAAACCTATGGACTTGGCCCGCAAAGTTGCCTTCTTCACTAGCGATGTCATGAGCAAGGTCGCCTTCGATGCCAAATTCCACGATCTACGTGACGATGAGGACAATTTTGGCTACATCGAGGAGCTGGAGGCCCTCTTCCCCAACATCACCTGGACAGCCACCGTGCCGGGGTTCCTGAAGTTCATGACGAATCTTGGCCTCTTACAAAAGCTGGCCGCAGCTGGAGACGGTAATATGGGTGTGGCCAAGGTCAAAGCGATTGCATTTGAGCAGGTAGGCAAGCGGTTTGGTCCCGACGGGAAGCCCAACCAAGATAAAGAGGACATGTTGGGAAGCTTCATTCGGCATGGGCTCGCCCAGGAGGAAGCAAAGCAGGAGAGTGTCCTCAATTTGTCCGCCTCACGTTGAACACAGTTGTCTGGAGCACTGACTCGTGATAGAACCGCTGGTTCTGACACCACGGCAACAGCAATCCGAGCAACCCTTTTGTGTATCATGACAAATCCAAGAATCTATCGCACACTCATGGCCGAGATTGACCAAGCTTTGGCGCAAGGAAAGATTCCCGCAGGGGCAACAGATATCGTTACAGAGGCTCAAGCAAAGCAGCTGCCATATCTTCAAGCCTGTATCAAGGAGGTTGACCTTGGGTTTCTTTCTTGCCAAGCTGTTAAAAATTGACATCATACAGGGGCTCCGTTGGTACCCTCCTGTGACCGGTGAGCTATCCAAGAAGGTCAGTTTCCAGTACGTACCTTATATATCGTTTTCGTTATAGTAACCGTAGCAGACTCCTCCTCAAGGCGACACGATATGTGGCTACGTCGTACCTGGTGGAATCAAAGTTGGGCAAGACTTGATCGTCCGGGCCTGCCTTTTGCATGCTAACTATCGAGCAGGTCCTCCGTCAAGGCAATCCATCGTAACCCGAAGCTCTTCGCACCAGATCCCGACTCGTTCCGCCCCGAGCGCTGGATCCTTGCTTCTGATCCGCATGGCCACGAGTCCTCAGCCGAGAAGCTCAAGGAAATGGAACGCAACAACGACCTTGTATTCGGCTATGGCAAGTATCAATGCCTGGGCAAGCCGGTTGCGTTTATGGAACTGAACAAGGTGTTTGTGGAACTGTTGAGGAGGTTTGAGGTCGAGGCTAAAGACCCGCTGCATCTGTGGGATACCCGCTGTTGTGGGACGCATCAGCAGAAGGACATGTGGGTGGTTGTGCGTAAGAGGTCTGTGTAGAAATCGGGGTTCATGTACTGGGTACTGGGTACCTCGTAGCGGCCTCGGGAGGTTGAGGGAGCCAGATGGAGTTTGTCAAGTCACCTGATGTCACCTGATCGTTTGTTTACGTAGGCCTCTGTTCCGGCAACCAACAGTCAAGCGGGAACTCACCTGCAACTTTGCATCCAATCTTCGGATCTGTGAGAAACTCTCAAGCAAGTCCCAACTACCTCGTACTCGGTACGAACTAGACGACCTGTGCTCGCGACCCCTTCCCACACAGACCATCTTCGGTCAACCACATCACTCGCTGCCTCCATGTCATCAACCATGTCCGGGGTCAGCGGCACATATCGAGGCACGCCCAACCGGCGTGGTCAACTCCCATTTGCAGACTCTCCTTCCGCAATCCCTCGTCCCAAGATGGAGTCTTCCACCAATACAGCCCCCAGCGAGATGTCTGGCACCTCCACCGTGTCTGCAAGTCGACAGAAGCAGAGTAAGAGAGACGAGGTGCGTGTTCTTATCCCGATCTTGTTCAAGCCCGCTCGGTGCCTAACATACATGGGCTGTTGCTACTAGGCAATTCGACGCAAGATGGAAGCCGACCTCAGCAAGAAGAAGCACGTCCCCTCCCGCGCCCGACACACCCGCAAGGCACCGCCGGGGACAGTCCTGGCCCTCAAACCCAGTCAGGCTTTACAGATCAAGCCCTCCACCACCGTCGCCGAGGCGGCTCAGCTGATGGCTGCCAAGAGAGAAGACTGCGTTTTGGTTACCGACGACGACGAGAGGATCGCGGGTATTTTCACCGCAAAGGACTTGGCTTTCCGCGTTGTCGGCGCCGGCATTAAAGCTAACCAAGTCACCATTGAACAGATCATGACCAAGAACCCGTTGTGCGCGAGAACTGACACGAGCGCCACCGATGCCCTGGATCTCATGGTCCGAAAAGGATTCAGACATCTGCCTGTCATGGATGAAAACCAAGACATATCCGGGATTCTTGACATCACGAAATGCTTTTACGAGGCTATGGAAAAGCTGGAACGTGCATATAGTTCTTCGCGCAAGTTGTACGATGCCCTGGAAGGCGTACAGTCTGAACTTGGCTCCAGCCAACCCCAACAGATTATCCAGTATGTCGAGGCTTTGAGACAGAAGATGTCGGGACCTACATTGGAATCGGTGCTGAATGGGCTCCCTCCTACGACCGTCTCGGTCAGGACGTCGGTCAAAGAGGCGGCTCAGCTCATGAAGGAGAATCACACAACCGCAGTGCTGGTGCAAGATCAAGGGTCTATCACCGGTATTTTTACGAGCAAGGATGTGGTATTACGTGTCATCGCCCCTGGTCTTGACCCGTCAACTTGTAGTGTCGTGAGAGTCATGACGCCTCATCCGGACTTTGCGCCCACAGACATGAGCATTCAGGCTGCTCTGCGCAAGATGCATGGTAAGTCTTTTCTGTGCCCAACCCGGGTAAAAGTGCTCACAGCTCTAGATGGACACTACCTCAATCTCCCCGTTATGAACGGCGAGGGTGAGATCGTCGGCATGGTGGACGTTCTCAAATTAACGTATGCCACCCTCGAACAGATCAACACTATGAATTCCGGAGAAGCGGAGGGCCCGGCATGGAACAAGTTCTGGCTGTCAATGGACAACGACACCGAATCCATCATGTCTGGTGAAGGCAGCCATCGCCCAACGACTCCTGGCCATCGTTCAATGATGGAGTCAGAGTCTGGCCGTCCTGGATTTGAAAGGGGGGACAGCGTGATGCCACACGACTCCGCTTCGCACCGAGGAGACGATGTTCACTCGGAGGTCCTTCCGTCTGTCGAATCGCCGGAGACACCATTCCCGTTCAAGTTCAAAGCCCCCAGCGGACGAGTCCATCGGATACAAGTCCACGCTAGCAGCGGTCTAGCCGAACTGGTCGACCAAGTCACCGCCAAACTAGGGGGTGAAGTGGAATCCGTAGGCGGAGAAGCCACTGTTGAGGAAGGCAAATTGGGTAAAGCAGGTTATGCATTGAGTTACCTGGACAATGAGGGCGATACAGTCTCTATCACCACGGATCAAGATCTTCTCGACGCAATACTGCTAGCGAGACAAGGGAAGAGAGATAAAGTCGACTTGTTCGTGCATGACCCGGCTCAACCGCCAATTGCCACGACGGTGGATCCGCGACCTCAGCTTTCGAAACCGCCCACTCCTCCAGAGTCCATACTCAAGGAGGCAGCAATAGTAGAAGCCGCAGACGAGGGCGATGAAGAAGAGGGAGAAGAAGAAGAAGCTGCGCCCGTAGCAAAGACGATACGATCGAAACGAGCACCACCCATGACGCAGCAACGGCAGGAAGAACAACCCCAGATTATTGCTGGTGTGCCGAATGACCTGCTTCTTCCTGGCGCCATTGTCACGCTTGCAGTTGTTATTGTTGGCGTTTTTGCAATTAGTCGAGCGACGGCGAAGTAAGAATGATACCCACGGCTCCAATGCTGTTGCAGCTACTACTACTCATTTTGCTGTTCAGCTTCTCGACTCTCTAATCCAGGGGTTGCGTTCCATATGACGGGGATAGAGGCAGTTTTTACTTAACTTCAATACTGCTAGGAGGTTTCATGAGTGAATATAGATTACTTACTTCCCAACTTACCTAGTTACCTACTGTACCGGCTCTCAAATTCTACTCCCCGTTTTGCTTTTATCTCTTCTTTTCTTTTCGGGCTTGTAATGCGAGCACATTTGTTCGACAGGCAATAGACGTGAGCTCTCTAGGGACTACGTACTCGGCCCAAGCAGGCAAGGGAGAGACCACTACGTAGTCTCCTGGTGCGAAAGGACATCAGGATGAACGAGTGAAAGGCAAGGCAAGGCAAGGCAAGGGGCATGTGCTATGAAGAACCTAGACTCTCCAGAATTCCTGGCCCGTAATAATCCATCTCATTCCTGACCTTTTTCTCACTTGGTCCTTTTTACATGATATGGAACTGGAACTGGATGGGTATTTGTACGTGTGTACCTCTCGCCTTGCTCGCTCGCAGGACAAGAGGGTCTTCACTCTGCGATTTGAAGGGTCCATAAACCCATCAACATCGGAGCCTGGTATGGCCTGACTGACTGACTGCCGGCCTACCCCACCTGTTTGCCTACGGACCTACTCATATGTATGTAATATTCTATATCAGAACAGAAGCGCATAGGTTGTGAGTATCCGATTTAATAACCCCTCTCTTTCTTTCCATTGTTACATCAAACTTGTCCTCCCCCCGACTCCCGTCCCGCCTTGACCAGAGGGCATCTCGCCGTTCCTCCCGACCACGAACTCCTCATAGATGGCGGCCAAGCGACGCTTCTCTTCAGGACTGATGGAGCTGCGGGTCGTCGCGAGCGATTTCTCCATGTGTCGCCACTCGATCACCACCTCGTCCTTGCCTCCGGACCCGCCGGGTTCCGCCCCGCTGTCGCCGTCTCCATCGGCGTCTCGGTCGTTGGCGGGAGTGAGAGCAGATGACACAGTCGACGACGGTGTGCGACGTGCAAAGGTGTTTTTCAGGGCGGCCTTTTCGCGTTTGCGCGCCAGTTTCAGCTCGTCTAGCTTCGAGGCGATGGCCGCTTTTGACTCCATCGCCGAGGCGCCCGTGCCGAAGAACTTCTTGGCCAGTGCGTCTTCTTCGGGCGAATACAGAAAATGGAAGAAATCGTGCTTGCCCTGGGTGCTGTGGCGTTTGCGCCGTTTTCCTCCTCCACCGGTGGCGCCACCGCTGCTGCTGTTGGTCCCGTTGACCAGTTCCCTGCCCTTTTCCCGATCGGATGGTTTGTCACCTAACAAATCGTGAATGGCCTCAAGATGAGCGTTGTACATGAGCGCTTGGAGATCTGCACCACTGAACCCCTCGGTGCGCTGCGCGACGCTGAGTAACCGATTCTCAACTTCGGGCTTCAGGCGTAGTTTTGTGCTGACTGCTTTCAAAATATCCAGCCGATCATTCATTTCTGGCATGTCGCACAACAGACTCTTGTCTAGTCGTCCCGGTCTGAGAAGGGCTGGGTCAATAAGATCCGGCCGACTTGTCGCTGCTAGCACGTAGACACCTTCGAGCCCTTCGGCGCCATCCATCTGCGTAAGCATCTGATTTACCACTCGATCCGTTACCCCCGTTGAATCATGGCCTCGCTTAGGCGCAATACTGTCGAACTCGTCAAAGAACAATACGCATGGCTTCGCAGCTTGAGCGCGCTCAAATAGATCTCGCACGGACTTTTCAGAAGCGCCGATGTACTTGTTCAAGATTTCTGGGCCTTTCACGGAGATGAAGTTTAGGTTACACTCGCCGGCTACGGCAGAGGCAAGGAGTGTCTTGCCGCAACCGGGGTATCCGTAGAGCAAAAGTCCCGAGCGGAGACGGAGTGGAGAGCGAGCGAAGATGGGTGCATATTTTGTCGGGTACAGGAGTGTTTCGAGGAGGGTATTGCGGGTGCCGTGTAGACCGCCGATGGAGGAAAAAGTGGTCGTTGAGTGAGTCAATGTTACGTTTCGAAGGGAAGAAGGCGTGAAATTCTTCAACGCGGCATCGAAGTCGGCTTTCGTGAGAGTGGGTGGTGCGTCTGAGTCATCGTTGTCTGATATCATGCGTGTTAGCGTTTCGTTTCGGGCGCGGGCCAGGAGGAGTACGAGGTCGGCGGGCATGTAGCCATCGGTTTTTCCAGCGACGTCGAGAAGATCGAGACTGGGAGCGAGGTGGAAACCTTCAGCTGGTGGTGATGAAGCAGCAGACGTTGGTCTTGACGACGGGTTTGACGGATCCATCCAAGAATTCTCAGACATACTTTGCGTATCACTTTGATTTCTGCTGTGGCCATGGCTGTTGACTTGCGACCCGTCATTTGTGAGTGACACAAGAATGTCTCGCCGGATTTCCTTCGTCGGTGCTTTTATGGAGATTATGTCGCCTACTATATGCCCTCCAATAATGATACTGTTGAGCGAATCCTTCGACTGTGCAGTTGCCAGAAGAGTGACACCAGAATGGATGCTGCAGTATTGGCGCACAATGGCACACAGAACCTCGGTGATTTGTCGACTGCGCCCATTGTCATTTCCGACCTCCAGTTCAGTCTCAGCGGGACAAATCTTGTCCAAGTCATCAAGGACGACGACTGACTGTCCGCCTAATCTTGCACACCAAGACGCCGACATGAATAACCTCGTAAGATTTTCCTTTACCGTGGAGACTCTTGTTTCGTCGGTTACCAGCTTCTGGCAATCAAAATACGTCACGTTGAAGACGTAATCCTCCCGCAGCTGTTGTGATATGCAATGAGCGAGCGAAGTCTTACCTGACCCAACGCCGCCAGTCAAAAGAACAGACGAACACAAAGTTAGATTTGAAAAGCATTGCTTTAAGATACCATCGACGCCTATCAGCTTGGGAAGCTTGTTAGGTATGCCATGGGCGAAGGTTGGAAATATGGTCGTCAATTCCACGGACCGGGCAACTTCAGCCTTGATCTCAAATTCATGGTCCTGCTCCTGTCCTAGCACCCACGGGCAAGAATTGTCGGGATCTTCTTCAGCCTCAGCTGGACGGCGAAATCTGAGAATACCGCCATCAAACGATGCCGCAGAAGAGGAGTCTCCAGAGGCCGGGAGAATCATTCCGTCAGTGACTGGCCCTGACAGCAATCCGTCCTCTCCGGCGAATGTCAGTCGGATTTTGTCAGCCAGGGCTTGTTTTGCTGCTTTCGAATCTCCACCAAATTGGAGACCATCTTTCTTTTTTGAATTCGCGGGCAGAAAGGGATAGAACTGGAACTTTTTAATAGAATATCGGGGCAACGGCGGCCCCGTAGCTTGAATTCGAACAATGATCCCAACCATCCCTTCGGCACCAAGCATTTTGCAAAGCGAGGCGGATAGAACCGCGTGATTCCTGTCAACCGGGGTAGGCCAGGGAAGGATTTGGGCGACCACTTTAGAAGCCGGCCTTCCAACTTCGCTGTTCTCTTCTTCCTTGAGCCGGTTGACTTGACTACTATCCAGTTGAACCCGCATACCGGCTGGTTTGATAATAGTGACATTTGCCCATGTCGCAGCTCTCAGACTCTCAGACTCAATCACATCATTACTGAGCCAGATGCACAGTTTATTGCGTTGCGATGGGTTTAGGTCTTCGTCGAAAAAGCTCCCGGCTATTGTTCGATCGATCGCACGCATGAACACTGCAGGTTTTGTGGGCCCCGTCCTATTACGGGCATTACTGACACCGCTTTTGCCGCTTCTCCTGCTTGCTGTGCTCCTTGCATCCCTTCTGTCATTCCTACCAGATTTGGGTCGAGTCTTAGGCGCAACAATAACCTCGGCGTCTGGGGCTATTTTTGCGAATGGTACGGTATTCGGGACCGGCGGTACCAAAGAAGTAACGACGATATTCGCTGTTGATGTTGGTGACAGGTGTAGGGTCAAGGGGTGGGTATTTTCTGCCTGAACGGTAGTTTTACTGCTGTATGCAGGATTTGGAAGTGCACGAATCTGAGATAGGAGGTTCAATTCCAGGAAAGTGGCATGCAATTCAATAACCTCCCAGTCGGCAGGTGTCAGTGGCTCGATATTGATACTGTGAGCAACAGGCGGGTCAAGATGGACCAGTATACCGATTTTCTGGCCCTCAGATAGTCCGAGCAGCTTTGCGAATGTCGCATCAATCTCGACGGTTTGACCATCCTGTTCTCTGGTTCCTGGTCGAGCTCGTTCGCTATTCAGAAGTGACGCCGGTCTCGCCCGGCTAGGCATCCCTGTCCAGCCAACGTAGGCAGATCGTTGGAAGCCGGCGCTATTGCCACTGGAGACAGCGCCAGAGGAGAGGGTCTGGGACCGATATTGTAGCTCGACGACAACATTTTGAGCGGGCTTAACGAAGGTGAGCAGCAGAAGAGAGCATTTCACAATGGTAGCTTACAATATTGGTATTGCTGATCAATGCAATCAGTCCAGGAGGCAGATTCACCAGGCAATTCTGGAGGGATACCAGCGCCACCTCAGCACGTACGGGAGGAGGCATCTTCTCGAATGTTGTGAAAGGCAAGCAACGTCCAGCCGGTTGGGAAAGAGCCTCGCAAATTAGCGGAAACAGACTCTTAATGACAGTGATAGCGCATTACGACTTTGGAGAGAAGGTAAAGATGTTCAGTAACGTGTAGGTTTCTTCAGAGAAATGTATTATGATGGTATGCAAAATGAATGAAGGAGGTTGTTGAGAGATGTTCAAGCGATGTCCTTTCGGAGGCAATTGCCACTCGTCGAGCCTCGGCAAAGAATCAGGTAGTGTCTGACTGAGGCATTCTCGACAATTTCTCTCTGAGAGCTCAAAGAGCTCCAGCATCATAGTGTCAGACAATAAAATTTATTTTCATTGGATAATGCTATACACGGTCTCTTGCTCCGGAGTAGCACTTAACGCGCGACGCGACGCGCTTGCATTTGAGGGCACCGCCCAACCCCCTCGTACTCCGTAGATTGTTCAATTGCTCGACTCGGTACAACGCTGGCAGCTTTCCACATCTTCCAATTGCACACAAGACCATGGCTCTCCTGCAGCACAAGGCGCTCGCCGACTACGAGAAGCAATTGGACGCCTTTCAGTCCTTCCTGGAGAAATTTGAAACCTCGAAGACGTCCTCAGACTCAGCTGCCGAAGCTATCAATGACCTTCACCTCGATGGCGATCATACCAGCGACGAGTATGATTTTATGGATGATGTTGCAGGCGAAGACCACAACAGGGCTCGCAGGCGGCCCAAGAGGAAGTACATGGAAATGCTTCAAGAGGTTGCAGACCGAGAGCGACAAAATATCCTAATAGAGCTGGACGATCTGAAAGAGGTATGCGTGATGTCGAGTCGAGAGATCCAGCCACTGACAGTTGTACAGTTTGAAGAGTCGTTGGGAGATGAGATGCACCTAAGACTTGTTGAGTCAGTCACGAACAATACCAAGCACTACGTTGATCTATTTTCGGAGGCGGTGGACAAGATAATGCCAAAAGCAAGCAAAGAGATATCGTATGGAACTTGCATCGCTTCCCTTGGGCTAGGTTCTGACGCACGAGTAGATTTAAAGACGATGTCCTCGATATCATCATGGCGCAACGAGCAAAACGGAACGAAACCGTGGCGTCAGCGACCGAAGCAGATGCTGAAGCTGCCATTCCTGTGTCGACATTTCCGGCAGAGCTAACCAGAAGGTACACTCTGAATTTCAAACCTGTCACGCCCACAGGCGCCGATGTCGGCAAGAAGACGCTCGCGGTGCGACAAGTGCGCGGAGAACACCTAGGCCACCTGATCACTGTTCGTGGTATCACTACTAGAGTATCAGACGTCAAGCCGGGCATACGAATTCAAGCTTACACCTGTGATCGCTGTGGTTCCGAAATCTTCCAACCAGTTTCTGCCAAACAATTTACACCGCTGCAAATGTGCCCGTCGGAGGAATGCAAGCAGAATGACTCCAAGGGTCAACTATTCCCATCAACACGTGCTTCGAAGTTCCTCCCATTTCAGGAAGTCAAAATCCAGGAGATGGCAGATCAAGTTCCTGTTGGTCACATTCCAAGGACGCTGACCGTTCACTGCAATGGTAGTCTAGCGCGACAGATGAATCCTGGTGATATTGTTGACATTGATGGCATCTTTCTGCCAACCCCCTACACAGGATTCAGAGCTATCCGAGCCGGTCTGTTGACTGATACGTATCTGGAGGCACAGCATATCACCCAGCACAAAAAAGCTTACCAAGACCTGAAAACAGATCCCCGCATCATACGCAAGATCGAATCCTTTAAGGCATCTGGACACATGTACGAATACCTGGCTCGTTCCATAGCACCAGAAATCTACGGTCATCTGGATGTCAAAAAGGCCCTCCTTCTTCTCCTCATTGGCGGTGTAACCAAAGAGATGGGTGACGGAATGCGCATCCGTGGAGACATCAATGTCTGCTTGATGGGGGACCCTGGTGTGGCCAAATCGCAATTACTTAAATACATCACTAAAGTTGCACCTCGAGGCGTATACACGACCGGCCGCGGATCCAGTGGTGTCGGGTTGACTGCAGCGGTAATGCGCGACCCTGTCACCGATGAAATGGTTCTTGAAGGCGGCGCACTCGTTCTAGCAGACAATGGTATCTGCTGTATTGATGAATTCGACAAGATGGACGACGGAGACAGAACCGCCATACACGAAGTCATGGAACAGCAGACCATCTCAATCAGCAAGGCTGGTATCACTACTACTTTAAACGCACGAACATCGATACTTGCAGCAGCCAATCCCCTCTATGGCCGGTACAACCCTAGGATCTCTCCTGTGGACAATATTAACCTTCCCGCTGCTCTACTTTCTCGATTCGACATTCTCTTCCTGATTCTTGACACGCCGTCCCGTGAAGCAGATGAAGAACTCGCTCAGCACGTCTGCCACGTGCACATGCACAATCGGCATCCAGAGCGTGAAGGGGAAGGCGTCGTTTTCTCTCCCCACGAAGTGAGGCAATATATCGCTCAAGCGCGCACATTCAGACCCAATGTACCTAAGTCAGTGAGTGACTACATGGTCGGCGCGTACGTTCGAATGCGCCAACAGCAAAAGCGTGATGAGGGGTCAAAGAAGCAGTTTACGCATACGTCGCCTCGTACTTTACTTGGTGTTTTACGCTTGTCGCAGGCGCTTGCGCGACTGAGATTCAGCAATGAAGTGGTAAATGAGGACGTCGATGAAGCGCTACGATTGATCGAGGTATCAAAGGCGAGTTTGGACCACGATCAGCGCTCCCAAGGTGATCAGACCGTGAGCTCAAAGATATACGACCTGATTCGCGGCATGAGAGATTCAGGAGCCGCGAGTGTTGGCCGTGGTGCAAGGGGCGAGCTGAATCTCGCGAGAGTCAGAGAGTTGGTGACCGCGAAAGGGTTTACGAATGATCAATTCACCCGAACCCTCGAGGAGTATGAATTGTTAGATGTAAGTGAACTAGTCTCCTTGTCCCATTTGTTGTTGTTCTCAAGTGTGAACGGTGTACTAACTTGCGGGGTTCAGGTTTGGCAACTTGCCAACAATAACACCCGGTTGGTCTGGATCGAAGCCGGAGACAGTGACGACGACAACGATGAGGACATGGGCGATGCTGACGACGACTGAGTGAGCAGCAGGAGTTCCTCGTTGGGATTAGAGCGAGCAAAATCCCCTTCCACCCTTCTCAGGTTGGCGAGCCAGTCCGGTGAGCTGCACTTACACGTCTGCGAAGTGTCAGACAACTTTCAGAGCCGCTCTGTTTGGCGGATTTCCAACAGATGGACTTGGATTTGGCTGGTTTCTGCGACATTGAATGTCATTGCATTGCATGAAAATTTGGATTGTACCACGGGGTCTCTGAATGGATAACTGGTACACCGTATTGCGATATTGAATTTTGAGTCCTCAGTTTCACGATTGTTCGGAGCGGCTTGGAGTGGGTGCGGGATCCAGAGAGATGGATAGCAACACCAGAGTCGAATGAAGGTTTATAACCAACAACCAAGCGCAAGAGCTGTGTGTGTAAGGGAGAGCGTTGGGCAGTGACCAGTCAATAGCTGAAGTCGGTACATGCTGCACAGGCCCCTTTCCCTCCGCCCCCCTTGTTTGGGAGCCTCGTCGGCTTACCAGCCTTACAATCCTTACAAACATCCTCTCCATACTACCTCCTAGGTAGGTATTGTCTCGTGTCAGCACCTGGTGACTCCTGTGGTTCGTCTTTGGGTCACTAACTTGTCTGATCTCCTTTGGTAGCAACCTCGGCCATCGATCAACAGCCGTGGGTAATTAGGGTTTTTTTCTGTTCCCCATCCCACTCAACCTCTCGTATAGAGACAGGAACCCTGTGGACCCCTCTTGACCACGACTAGGACTAATACTACCAAGTACACCTCACGCACGCCCTGCGCAGTCTTCTTTTGGAATAGCTTGATTCTTTCCCCCCTCGAGTTCGTTCATTCCAAAGAGTTCCTTGTATCAGGGCCGATAGCTCTTCCCCCTCGGAACGTGCCACGACACTTGTCACAGTTCCTCTCCGCAGAAACGTCTAGGCACGCCTATTCTTCCCTAGCCATTGGATACGTTGCTTGAAGACACTGGTCACCCTCCCCACGTGGAATCCTGGACTTCTCCAGTCACCCTCTTCAAGAATTTACCCGAGGCTTTTGAGGGGCATGTTTGCAACTCCAACGGGTTGGAGCATGCCACTGCCCCTCCTTTTACCAGGCGGTTTCTGGGGACGCTCGACAACTCTGACACGAGGAGTCGCGTGTTAGGGCGAGTCTGAGGTAAAGGGAGCTCATCATTGCGGGCTCCTAGGCGTGGAAAAGCCTTTCCGGGTCACATTATAAAGAGTGCAAGGTTCCCGATCAATTACCATACCTCCGTGTGACCGTTTCCTCGTGCTGCCCCTCAAATTGATTCCCAGTGAACACACTCTTTCCCTTCAACAAAATGGCGGACTATTCTAACCTTCCAGACTTTGACTCGCTTCCCAAAGTCGAGGGCATGCCTCAGGGCTGTGCCTGGGGCGTCTTCGATAAGGATGGGAAAAAGGACCACCTCGGCTGCATAAACCTCCTCACCCCGAAAGTCGTGCAAGAGGCCTTCAAAGAAGCCCGCGATGGCGTCTCCGTATCGCTCAACTGGCCCATTGGCGCCATCAACAAGCCGGGCTTCCAAAGAAAAGGCCTGGAACACAAGGTCTTCTCCTTCAAGGAAGGACCCTTCGACCTGTACGGGTTTGACGACGAGGTCGAATTCAACACCCAATGCTCCTCACAATGGGACAGCCTGGTACATTATTGCCATCAACCCACTGGTTGCGGCTACAATGGGGCCAAGCCAGCCCGCGAGCAGCTGGTGCAGGGCTTCGGCAACGTCGACCTTGACAAGGCCTTGCCAACCTTGAACCACTGGCACGACCGTGGTGGCCTTGTGGGACGGGGTGTCCTTCTCGACTACCGCGCCTATGCCGAAGCTAAGGGAATCAAGTATGACTGCTTCGATTCACACGCCATCTCGGTGCAAGATCTCGAGGCCGTGGCCGCTCACCAAGGCACGAAGTTCAAGCACGGCGACATCTTGATCGTTCGATCCGGGTTCACAGAGGACCTCGGGGTGGTGGGTGCCGAAGAACAAGAACGCATGCTGGGGACCCATAAGGCTGTGGGTGTCAAGGGGTGTAAGGAAACGGCGAAGTGGGTGTGGAATCACCATTTCGCTGCCGTCGCGGGAGACGCGATTGCGTTTGAGGTGCTTCCTCCCTCAATCGAGGAGGACGGGAACCGGCCAGGCACGATTGCAGAACTTGGTAAGTTATTGAGTCCTCAACACTCTGGACGCTTTCCTGCGAGCTCTTCTTCTGACCCGCCTCTCTTGTTCAGTTCTCCATCAATACTTCCTCTCCCTCTTCGGCCTCAACATCGGCGAACTCTGGGACCTCAAGAAACTCGGCGAGCATTGCAAGAAAGTCGGGCGGTACGAGTTCCTCTTGACGAGCGTGCCGTTGAACGTCCCCGGTGGAATCGGAAGTCCGCCGAACGCACTTGCGATTTTCTAGATCAATGATCACGCAGTGATGCTGGTGAGAAGGTGGAAGAAGAGGAAGAGTACGCATGAGACAAAAGAGGGATACAAAAGGTAAGAGTGGGGGGGAAGCAGGGAAACAGGAGATAATGCGCAGGGAGGAGCAAACAGCCCCATTGTAAGCGAGCGAAGGAGGCAAGGCCGTTGTTCCTGGCTTGAGAAGGGGAGAGAGGTGGTATGCAGCTGCAACTACTGGTACGGAGTCCATCAGATGCTCCTCGTCTACATGTACCTATTTTCTGTATGTACCTTGCTTGGGCACGAAACTGCTACCTATATGTCTCCCGAGTCGACTGCCAGTCCTCTTCCCTGTCGCCGAAATTCGATAAAGCTCGTCAGTCTGGTGTTGACGAACCAATCTCTTGATCTCTTTTGCTAAAGATTACGATCAAGCGTCATCTCCTTCATCCTCGTGGTCTTGTACAAGGGATACATGTGTAGGTCTGTATTCTTGAAGATCATTTGTATTGTACACAATCCTCCTCGATATCAGACAAGACGGAGGTCTCTCTGCGTCTGATCCGCGTATGAGGCAGCTGAACTTGATCACTCTCTTTCCGACATCTTATCCTCGGAGAAAGGGAGACGACAGGCTGCAGTGGGTTGTTCATTGTAGCGGTTGCTTGCTCAACAAAATCATGCACACTTGGCTGACCTTCTGACGCTTCCAAACCATCTCGCTTTCTTTCTCCCTGTTATACGATTCTAATTCTGCCATCCGTCACATATCGTCCTCTCCCCTTTCAAGCAATCACGCGTCTACCCAATTTTGCCAGCTCGCCCACGACTCCGCCTCCGCTCAGTCCCCTCATCTCACTCACCAACCCATCCGTGACGCGTTTATGTAAAAGCCCGCTCTTTGCGAAATATTCCAAATAACCCCGTGACTCTGATTTACTCAATCCCCTCAAATCCAACAGATTCAAATCGCCGCGAGTGACTGGTGCGGAAAGAGCGAGGATCCTAGGATCGGGTTTACTGTATGGCTTCGGCAAGGGGAAATTCGGGTGCGTGGGTGAGATAGAGTGTAGTTGGAGAGCGCGCATTTGAGAGAGGACGAGGTTGAAGGTTGGGTAATTCGGAGTGTTGGAGCCCGATGTGCTGTAGAGGACCATGCCGCCATTGACAAATGGCGACGCATTCGATGTGTCGCCCGAGAACAGGAGATTGATAAATTGCTTCACCAGCATAAATTGATGCGAATGAAGGATTTTATGCTCGCTGTCGCGGTATGCAGTGGGACCCATCCAGTGGTCAATGCCGTCGGCAGCAACAAGCACCGGTGGGCGACCGTTTTGGCCCGGCTCGGTAAGTTCCTTGTAAAAGGCTTGCCATGCCTGCCAGGAGAGGTGGTGGTCGCCGGCGCCTTTCTGCACGAGCTCCAGCAATGTGGAAGTATTCTTCAGAGAGAGTGCTTTGGGATGAGTGTGGTTGAGTCTCAAGGACTTCAGGACAGATTCGTTGGAGGTGGCAATACGGGTAAGGAGGAGTTGGGTCAGGTGTGGTTGGATGTACACGTGTTCGGACTCGTCTTCACCGTGTCTAAGAGGGGTGTATGAAGACGTATTGTTGACGAAAGCTTGGGCTGCAGAAATCCAAAGTCAGTTGCCTTGTCTCTGGTCGTGGATGAGCATGGAGAAGGTCCTACCTTCTGGGACATTCAGGACGATCCAGTTATCCATGTAGGCCATACTCATGGCCTGCAACACGAGCACACTCTTCCCACTGGCCCTCTCACCAATGACTAAATGCTTGACGAACTGCTTCTTCTCCCCTCCCTGCTTCACATTCGCGATATCCCTCGCGATCTGATGTGTCTCCTCTCTAATCAAAGTTGCCGGTCTCCGAAACAGACCCCAATTCTGCGTCGTCTTAAAGGCCCCTGAGTCTCTCAGTTGATCCAACAGTTCACCGTCAAGTGCCATCATCTTTCCAACGGACTGCTCGTCAACCATGTTCTCCTTGCTCCAGGTCTCCATGTCCGACACTGGTAAGGCATTGGTGTTTGAGAGAACGATGCGATGGCGTTGAGCTCGGCGTTCGCCCACAGGAGGAAGCTTGGGGCGCTCGCGGGATTTCTTCTTTAGGCGTGCAGATTGAGATTGACGGGATCTGGAGGATGCGGTACCAGATTGGGCGACTTTCTTCTTCAGCAGAGGGGATTTATATTGCGCGGCAGAGCTGTGGAAGGATGTTGTTTGGGTCAGCGTTGATGCCTGAACGGCGAGACCTTTGGGGGTCGTGGACGAGATTCGCAGCCGCGAGAGGCATTCGGTGCATATCGATAGCGACATGGTATCCGAACACAGTCTCTGCTGAGACAGCAGTGTGGTAATACCTGCTCAAAGTATCACCACGTCAAAGTCAATGGATGGCTAAATTGCTGCTCGAAGAGAAAGATGCGCAGTTAGCCCGCCTTGCCTAATACGCACTAGCTCAGTACGATACCCAAAGAGTCCAAAGAGTTGTCCGTCCCGCCGTTGTAATAGTACAAAGATAATCTCACCCAGTCCACCCAGTCTTGTCAGCCCTAGCTGTGAACAGATCGAATCGATGTGTTCCCGTGCACTTGCTGAACGAGATATTGCATATTGATCACTTTCGCCATGATCGGCCCTTTTGGTCATCAACCAGTATCTTGCACAGAATGTCAGCGTCGGAAACAAAAGGTACCATGGCGCTTGGTGAACTCCAGATGAGCAAGCTGCTGACGACTTGCAGTGCAACCGCGAATGGCCTCGCAATCATTGTCGCTCTGGAAAAGTATCTGATCTTTGCAATTTTACAGGAAGAAAAACACCGTCAAATCGTGCTTCAGTCCAGCAGCCACCGAGGTACCTCCCATCTAGACAGCTGCTGAAGCTTCTTGCCACTTGCTGCTGAATAGTCAATCATGGGGAGTTAAGAGGCGCATCGAGGAGGATCAAATCAAGGCTTTCAACAAAGGCCCATATTATCCCGAGTTGGACGAAGATACTGGTCTGAAAGCTCTGGGTTACATACCAGGCATTGCACATTTCAACCTTGATTTACCAGACTCCCAGGTATGCTCATCAGGCCTCTCTTGAACCTTGCTTCTCACCTGTCGGAGCATTCTGGGATTCCAAACAGCCCGAGGATCCTGTGGCGGAGGATGTCACATCAGCCCTCATCACTCTTCCTCCCCGATATTTGGGTGGTATAATGCCTCCCTTCCCAAAGTTCTTTGCCGGTTGATGCTGACACCCAGGAGATGTTTTGGTACAAAACTTTTTCAACACGTCAATTTCTTCTACTATAGCATCTACCCGCCTCACTTCCTCGAACGATACGCAGAGTGGTGGTCGCGCCGATCCACAGGACAACCAGTCTCTCAGCTATTGACGTGTTTGCTTCTAAGGATCTGTTCATGCTCGACGCAATACTTAGATACTTCTTTGCGTCGAAGGCTCGAATCGGAACTGAGAATTGGGAGCCAAACACTTGCTGAAAGGTATTATAGAGAAGCCGAACGTTTGAGTCGATGTTTTGCTCCGGGCAGAGGCGGCTTGATGCAAGCGCAACAGTTGTTTCTGACAGCTACCTGGTACAAGTGAGAAGCCAAGTTCGTCGAAGCATGGCATTCTCTCGGTGCAACTATTCGTGAAGCCCAAGAAATTGGTAGACAGATGGCTCAAATCTACTTAGAGCAGGCCCCGAATGACTTCATACAGGTTTACACTAAGACAGCCTCGCAAAAAACACGTCAAGTTTTGAGCTGGAAATGAGGAGGCGAACATGGTGCCTCCTCTTCGTGTGGGATTGGTATGTGTGCCTAAGAGTAGGTGTTTCAATTTGTCGCTGAGGCTGTGTCGAGGCAAATATCCTTCTGGTGGTCCCGACCTTTCCTGATCGACCACAAAAGCTGTGCCATTGCAGTGCCCAGTCTGTGCCTCGGGGAGTCCGATAACCCACCTGGGCCGCCCTCGCTGTTCACCCCAACGCGATTACAATATCAACTCCGCTTGACCCTGTCCTCCAAATATGATGGAGATCCACAGGACCGGAAGAACATGCCAACCATTCTGGAAGAAGTGGACTATTGGCAGAAGTCGTTTCTTAAAGCCTACAGCGTCACGAAACCAGACACGTCTTGGGACAAGGATTTTCCATATGTGCAGCTCCAGCGCGAGCATCTCCACACAATGTCCTACGGATCCAAGCTAGATGCTCTAAGGTCGTCTCTGACAGGTAAAGGGGTGGGAAAATCGCTGTCGGGGGTGACAAATTGCCTTCGAGCGATGGCTGTTGACATCTCCCTGAAGACCGTGGAGACGGGCGCCCGACTCTTCGACCTGACGTTCCCAGCTAAAGCTAAAGCACACATAGTGATGTGTACTACTTGTTTTTCAGTTCCACTCGAGACGCTAACCGCCTGATATACTCTTGTTAACCACATATTGCGTACCTTTGCTCCCAGTGTTCACATCTTCCTCGACGCTCAACTCCCTTCACTTGTAGTTATTGAGCAATGTGGCGTCCGACCACAGCACCAAGGTCTGTCTTTTTCGTTTACATGGTCGGCTCAGACACGATCTGGCGACCCGTAGCGTAGTGGAGGCTTCTGGTCCCGTAGGCAGGCGGTTATACTGATGTTTTGAAATGGCGGAGCACTTGTTTGTTGATTCCGGGTTCACCGGTGTCTTGATCGCTTGCTTCTGTGGGGTCTCGACAAGCTGTCGCAAAATGAAATCTGGCTGATTCAAGACTTGTAGGCAACCGGCTTGTGGCGCGCCTTCCTCGATTCAACAAGTGTGTTCGTGTCGATAGTGGTCACTTCGGACAAGGCGGTTCAGTTCTGAATCTTGACGTTCCTCGTCGCTCTGCTTCGCCCGCTTTTTTGTCATCGTCGAACATCCATTCCAGACTATGTATCCATTTGATGCCCGGAGATCCTCATCGAGATTAGCGAAGAGCAGGGGGCGAAGACGGCTCAAGTGTCTTGTAAGACGGTTTAAGCGTAGCAAGACTGGGAGCTCGTTTTGCAAGGCGGTCCTCTTGGCCCACCTCAATTTGTACGAACCATCTCGAACCATCCCTTCGATGAAGAAGGCCGCCATCTCTTGGATAGCAATACCATCCTTGAGAGACGCATTGTCCACAGGCTTGGGTCTAGGCTCGCTCTCGAAGCCTCCAATGACTTTACCAGGCTTGCCGTCTGCTAATATTTCTACTTCTGGAAGTTGTATTTTCTGTGACAAAGCTTTCAGAGTATACAACACGACCGCCGGAGATCGCCCATCCACCATCGGACTGACCACAATCACCCCCGGTGATTGTGCGTCGGGCCAATAGCCCCATTTTATGATCTCATTCTCTGCAGGTAGATTCAGTCCCGGTGCGGCGAAATAAGACTTCCACTTGAGGCATCTGGCCTGGTATTCCTCCGGTAAGTTTGGGAACGTGTAACCGACGATTCTGTATTCAACGTGGTCTTGTGTTGGCTCCGATTTCTCTTGGTCCGTCAACTGGAAATCCGGACTCTCGGGGCAGATAGTCGGCCGACTTTGGACCGTAGCCCCTAGTGGAAGTGAGTTAGCCTGGAATCCATAGACTAGATGAAAAGACTGACGACGATTGTAGTCTAGTGAGACCGCCGCTTGCACTTACATCTTCCCAAGCAGGTGGTGATTTGTAGTTGAGATTTTACTGGGTTTTTTTTTTTGTGTTTATGTTAGAGTTCTGTTAGTATTTATTCTCTGAAAATGCCCATTGTGGGCGGCATCGTGGTCGTCATCGTCGTGGTCGGCATCGCTGTCTTCGTCTTCCTCCTCCTCTTCGTCTTCGTCTTCCTCCTCCTCTTCGTCTTCGTCTTCCTCCTCCTCTTCGTCTTCGTCTCTTCAACTTCCTTCTGTACCTGCCTCTCCGGCCCCCGGTTTACGTAGCCTCGGCGCCCGCCGGCAGGTGCACGAGTATAGTATGTAATGGGGCCAGAGAGGGGGCCTTGGGCAAATGGCAAGACACATTCCTTTTCCTAAGAGGAGGTCGCCAGAGACAAGCCGGTAGAAGGGGAGTGGTTCCCCAGGATTAAGGGAGACGTCAGAAAGAGAATGAGAAAAGGAAAAGGTTGCCCATGCACGCCAGGGAAGAGACCTTACAAACGAAAACGACAGATTTTCTGGCTCTGGTCGGGCGCAATGTCGTAATGTAAGAAATAGCAAGACCATTGCTTGTCGAGAATGGATTGCACAGATACGCGGGTGAACTTGTCGGGTTGGTCAGAGTGTTGAAAGCAGTTGTCGGCCATGTTGGATGGTATGTGAGTTTCCTGAAAGCAAAAAGCCCTCGATACTTGCACCACAAGCAGCTGGGATTCATCAGATAATATTCCATCAGTGCACGGAGTAAATGTACCGACTATGGCAGCCCATTGAGGGATGTTGTTTAGGGCAGTTAGACATGGAGCCAGCCTCGTCTCTCGCCAAGTCAAAAGAGACTCGGCAGTTACCCCACTGCACTTGACTGTTTTTGGACTAGCTGCGGGTGTCATACTTGGCACCCACTGAACCGCGAAAATGCAGCTTCCAGTTTTCACATTATTCGCATGACACTTGAGCGCCTTGTCCTCTACAACTTTCATATCGGCCTCATCACGTCGTCCGCCACCACCACTTTTGCAACGCTTTTACCACGGTCAATACACTTCCGATACTTTCAGTACCATCTCACCACCACTCAACATGGTCAAGAAACGAGCCTCCAAGTACGCCGCCCTTTCGAGTTCAATTGAACATATCTAACACCGCCAGTGGTCGCAACAAGAAAGGCAGAGGCAGAGTCAAGCCCGTCAGATGCTCGAATTGCTCGCGCTGTGTACCCAAAGACAAGGGGGGTTTTCTTTATTCCAATGGATGGTTCATTTTGCTTATATGTCAATAGGCTGTGAAACGATTCACAATCCGCAACATGGTCGAGTCGGCAGCAATCCGTACGTATACCGAGAAACGTGTGAGGAAAAAAAAGGTGACTGACGGGATGGGGTGCCAAAAACAGGTGATATCTCCGATGCGTCAGTGTTCGCCGACTACGCCGTTCCGAAGATGTACTTGAAGCTCCAGTACTGCGTTTCGTGCGCCATCCATGGCAAGATCGTTCGTGTCCGGTCGCGCGAAGGCCGCCGAAACCGCGCTCCTCCGCCAAGAGTCCGATACAACAAGGATGGCAAGAAGGTCAACCCCCAGCAGGCCGCTAAGACCGCGCAGGCATGAGGGTTCTCTCGGATATTGGTGCGTGTGGACGACGGGAGAACGGGGCACTGATGGGCCTTTCGTCGTGGATCTGGTGCGATGCGTGTTGAAGAACTCCGGGCAGGGTTGACTTGCCCTTTGCAGAGGCCGAGTGCAGGATCCGGACCTGTGATGTTCTAGGCTTTTCTCCTACGATGTCAATGGCAGTGGCAACGGCAGTTCAAGACGGGAGCATGTCCACTGGTAGACAGGGCCTCGGTGCTACGAAAACGGCGGAATGACAATGCAAAGAAAGACCCATGGAAAAGAAAAGCATAAATGAGCTTTGGTCACAATCACAATCACAATCCAAAAATGCATTCTTGCAAGAAATACCCTTGGCCGGCCAACACTGAACCTGAACAAAATGGCTAACTGCTAGCAATGCGGCCGACATGCAGACCATCCCATCCTCCCCTTTCTAGTGCCAGCAGACCCATAAGGCATACTAACTCCAGGATTCCCAGTCAGTCATAAGGGCACATGATGTTTCGCACCCCTCCATAAAAAATGTTCGAGTCATTCCATCGCGACAAGACTGAGGGCATATCGACTCCTCAATTCTTTTCCCTAGCCAACGACGCTGCTAATTCATGCTCCAGCACCCACTGAGACGCATTCCATTGCACCGCTTCTTGGAGTCGCTATCTCCTCTTTGACGCCGGGAGAAGAGTGTCGTCCGGCAAACCCCCTCTTTTTGTGCCCGGCAAACTCCCAGTCCCAATGTCATTCGTTTCCGTGCTTACCCTTCTGTGCGGATATACCTCGTTTAGCCCCTCGAAGCAGTTGTTACTGACCCAGATTTTGCCTTTGTTCGGTCCGTCGTCGGTGTTTCTAAAGTATTCGTGATGGAGAGCTTGCTCTGCCGTCAATCGGAGATCCGGATCGTATTCGAACAGTTCAGACAAAAGCTGGAACCCACGTTGACCTGGAGACTTTTCTGGCGGGTAGCTGGCATGCCGGATGCAGTTGTTATACCACGCTTCCAGACCACTCCCATTGTTACTACCAGATCCGCGATTCAGAGATGTAGGAGGGGTCGGATATAAGCCCCCCGGCATACCACCACGGGAAACAATCAATGACTGCAATTGTGGATATTCCGGCATGTCCACCAATCCCTTCCAGTTTTCCCGTCGTGGCATACCCAAGATTTCCACAATCTTACCCATCTGATTCCTCTGAAAAGGCACCGTCTTTTTGCTGTCCATTTTAGTCTCTTCTCCCTTGAAGATTGGCCTGAGGCTGAGAAGTTCGGCAAAGATGCAGCCCACAGCCCACAAGTCGATTGATGGCGTATAATGGCGTGCACCCAGAAGAAGGTCGGGGCTCCGGTACCATATAGTAACCACAACTTTATCACCGGAGTACAGGGATGACAAAGGCTTGTGGAAAAGCCGGGCAAGTCCCAGGTCCCCAATGCGCACATGTCCAGAACTGGTGACCATGATGTTGGCCGGCTTCAGGTCGCGGTGGATCACCCAGTTCTGGTGAAGATAGTAAAGGCCGTTGAGAAGTTGAAATAGGATCGACTTGATCATGGTGGCGGGAATAGGGCGTCTGGTCGGCTGGGTGTGGTGGTGGATGATTTGGAGAAGATCATGTTCGCAGTATTCAAAGACCATGAAGACACACTTATCTTCTAAGATTATCTCGGCCAGGTGAACTAGATTTGGATGAGACAACTCAGTGCACAACGAAATCTCCCGGATAGCGGATTGAGACAATCCTGTATATTGTACATTGTCGCCTTCTTTCTCTGGCTTGAACCTGTGAGAGGTCAACGCTAAATCCGGGATAGAAGGGAACGGGGTGTTACTTTTTAATGGCATATAGTTCCTTCTGTGGAGATGTTCCTACAGGGCTGGAGGGATCGCCCTTTGGGTTCTTCTCCACAGCCTTGTAGACTCGACCGTAGGTGCCACTGCTAATGAAACCGATAATATTGTACTTGTGGCCGATTTTCACCTTTGTTGTGTAGTTGTTCCCGGGTTGCTTCTTGTCAAGGCCTCGGCCAGAATCTAACCATTCATGTCAGCTTGCTGCCGTCTGTGGTGTCCAGCCAATGGCCGAAATGGACTCCAAAAGAGAACCAAGGAAGCCAGTCGTACCTTCTAAGGCCAACTGAGTAGACTTGCGTAGCTGTTGGGCGATGTTCAGACTTGTGCCAGGGCGGGACATGCCAGGAATCGACATCTCGCTCAATGTACCAGACGAGATCTCGAGTTTTCCGCGCTCCAAAGACAAGCTTCCAATCTATCATGACCGGGGCGGCATTAGCGACATAATCGAACCAGGAGCATTCATATTCTCTACACCATAACCTCAATGAGGCTGTCTCCCACAATGATGATTAGGCAGAGTCCGATCGATTCCGGCGGCCGGCGGGCCAAAGCCGAGGGGCAAAGAAAGAGTTTAGTAGATCAACACAGGGGTAGATCCTGCTAGAAACTAGATCTGAGATGGGAATCTGAAAATCAATGGTTAATAGTCAGATGCGCATTTAAACTTGAAAGCATGAACCCTATGGAGGCGAAATGATCGACGTGAAGAGAGATTGAAACGAGGTTTAAAACGGAAGCCTCGCCATTGCCACATCGGCGGTACGAAGCCCGTCAAGGTCATGTACCCAGTACGACTTGGCAGTTTCGACCTGGCCAATGAGCTGCGACAAGGCCACGGCACGGCTGCACTTTCCCAAGTTTGAGTCTTGGCGCTGGACCGACTTCCTTCTTCCCTCTCGCCCAATTACTCCTTCTCTTCTTCTCTCCCTTTCATCGGAGGCCGCCGCTTCCTTCTCAATCAACCATGGAGAATCAAAACAATCTTGCTGCCTGCGGGCAGAGATACTGCACAATTACGCCACACTCTGCATCATTAGAACCAGTATCTGACCGTGTCTTATCGTCTTCGGGTCCATATTATAAGGGCGAGTTGTCTTCCTGGCAGCATTTGAGTCTGGATCCCCATCAACAGCTATCTCCCCAGCATAGATCAAGTTATGCTGACCAGAACCGACATTGGCTACAGGGCCCACAGGCAGGCCGACCTCGCTCCAACCCTGCCCCCCAAGGGCCTGATGGCTTCTCCAGAGCCTCAAGGCTTCACCCTGTTGCTCATCTATAGCGTCTACGTGGTCACACTTGGCCCTCTACTCTTTGGGTACCACTTGGTAAATCTCGGGTTACAAGCCGTGATCGGGATAGGACTGACAGACGTCAGGGAGAACTCAATGCCCCTCAGAAGGTCATCACTTGTCAAGTCGACCAAATCCCTGGATATGTTGCCCTAGGGCTCCCTCACTGCATTCGGATGAACGCTTTCCAATGGGGGATGGTGCAGTCCATGTTTACTGTCGGAGGTCTCTTCGGAGCCATTATGAGTGGTGCCGTCGCCACAAGATTCGGACGACTCTTTGCCTTGAAATGGGCCTCCTTTTTCCTGGTCGGCGGACCTATTGCCGAAGCACTTGCGGGTAAAATATGGGTAATGGCCTTGGGCAGAGCTCTCTCTGGACTTGGAGCCGGTACGGCCACCGTTGTATCTCCTATCTACATCTCCGAGGTATCGCCCCCAACGCGCCGTGGCTTTTTCGGGGCCTTTACCCAGGTCCAAATCAACTTCGGCATCGCTGTGGCACAACTCCTCGGATTTTTCTTGTCCAAATCCAACAAATGGCGTTGGGTCCTGGCCGCCGGCGGCTTCATTGCCGGACTCATGTTCTTCGGCCTCATGCTCACGCCAGAAACTCCGAAATGGCTTGCGGCAAACAATCGACCGCGAATGGCACGAGGTATTCTGCAGCGCCTCAGAGGGAAGACGGCAGACATCCGGGAGGAGATAGAGGACTGGGAGATGTCGGGAGAAGCTGAAGAGGAAAGCCTTCTCGGAGCCTCGAGAGGCTTTCGACAGCGCAAAGAACCCGGCCGATCCATCATTGACGTCGTCAGAAGGCGTAGGTACCGACGGCCCTTGGTTGCGGTGACGGGTACCATGATGGCTCAACAACTCTGTGGTATCAACAGCGTTGTCATGTACAGTGTCGCCATTATTGGCAAGATCATGCCCAAACACGCCGGCCTCGTCACGGTCATCGTCTCGGGGGCGAATGTCCTCGTCACCTTGTTAGCAGCCCCTCTACCTGACAAAATTGGTCGAAAGCCCTGTCTCCTTATTTCGATCGTGGGAATGGGCTTGGCATCGGGCATGCTGTATGCGGGGCTCGCAAGGGATATTCAAGCCCTCACGATCGTTGCCGTTGCACTATTCGTGGCCAGCTTTGGGATCGGACTCGGACCCATTCCGTTCATTTTATCGAGTGAACTTGTCGGACCTGAGGCTGTTGGAGCTGTCTCAAGCTGGGCACTTGCAGGCAACTGGCTATCGACATTCTTAGTGGCGATGTTCTTCCCTATCTTGAACAAGGTACTTGAAAATAATGTGTGGTGGATCTTCGTGGGAGTTTCTGGGGTTTGGGCTATCTTTGTGGCCGTCTTTGTCCCCGAAAGCAAAGGCAAGGCCAATGCGGACGAGGTGTGGCGGAGAAGTCGACCTTCCTGATCAAGATTGACCGCGGTGTGCGTTCGGAGGGCAGCGTGGGTGCAACCCCTCACAAGGCGCTTCTGGTGGTACCTGGACGCGTTAGAGGAGTGAAAGAGCCCTGGAGGAGGATAAACGGCTGATTGCCACTGTGGGCGTCTGTTGGCGAGATCGGTGCGTAGAGACAGCCTCGTCGCCTCGTGCTGCCCCTTGTATCATTAGCTCATCATTTGAGATTAAGGTTCATTCTCTTGGCAGGCCCCAAACAGGTTTATTCTGACTTGTTTGCTTGACTTCTTCTGTTGTGCTGCAACCACCGTCAACCTGTCCAGCACCAGCAGCGCTGTGCCAAATGGAGTCAAGCAATGCCACCATGTTCTCTCGGATGGAAAATGAGCCGACCAGCGTTGCCTTGACATTGCCGAAGACTGTGTGACCGCCGCATGCACTACCCCGCAGTCCTAATATCCTTCGAATGTTCTCCACAATGACTTCGTCGACAGATCTCAGTACCACCAAAACAGGTTGTGGGAAACGCTAGTTAGTTGCATGACTAGCTGAGCGTAGGAGCAAGATACTCGACCTCGCAGCCAACCACCCTTTCAAGCTCGGAGTGAGTCCGGAGAGAGATATGTTTCCAGCTCCGCTTTGCTCTAGGTTTGACGTACCACTGGTACTGACCTCGACGCACCAACTTATCTCAGTGCCTGTTTTCTGATCGACCTCAGTATGGCAAATGGGAGGCAAGAGGCGAACCGAATCCACCGACCCGTCATCCCAGCGATGCTGCCGAGGCAGGCCACCGAGGCAGATCCTGTCCATTCATCTATTGTATTCGCTCATTCCAGTGGTTCGAAATCACCCACCAGCGTATTCGGGCCGTGGAGATGATTGCCGTGTGGAGGGTGAAGCCGTTTCCTGCTTGGGAAGCTCGAATGCTCTCGGATTTTGTGTAACCCATCATTTGATGGATTTTCGAGACCCGTGTCAACCGTGCCCCCAGTCGGCGGCTTCAACCAAAGCTTCTCCAACACAGCGGCGGTCAAGAAGTATTTGAATATGCACTCTTCCCCACGTTCGAGACCTGTCTTCCGGAATTTCCCTCGAGCCCTCCAGAGGCAGGCTCTTCCTCTACTCTCACGATGGTATCTTTCATCAATCTGTCGCTTGCGGTGACTACGCTTTTATTCTGTTCTGTTGCTCGCACGCAGAGTGATCTTCCTCAGGTTGATCTTGGATACGAAATCCACAAGGCAATCAGCTTCAATGTATGTGTTTCGGTGGTCAAAATCAGAGCCTTGCTCATACTACTGACGCCTCTCTAAAGCAAACCGGGCAAACTTATAATTTTTCAAACATACGATTCGCCCAGCCTCCCATAGGTGATCTGCGTTTTGCTGCTCCCATCCCACCTACAGACAGAAACAGTGTCGTGCAGAATGGCAGTGTCGAGAGGATCTGTCCTCAAGCTGCCCCTGCATGGTCTCCAATTTCCACAGAGTTTGTTCAATATCTGTTAGCAGGCAATGCATCATCTTTCAACCTCACCAAAGCCGAAGAGCAACTTCAGATTGCATTACAAAACGCAAACCCTGTCCAGCCAGATCCAAGAATCTCGGGAAGACTGCCTGTTCTTGGATGTGATCGTGCCCAAACAGGTCTTTGACGGCTCCAAAAGCAGAATCAGGAGGCGTCAGAACGCGGGCGCTGCGGTGGTAGTCTGGTGAGTCTAGGCGATGTTCTCGAAATACTTAGCTTACCAGGGACAGGGTCTACGGTGGTGGTTACACGGAAGGGTGGAAAAGATCATCTGGTAACCCTAGTGGTCTCATTGAGGCTAGTCAGGCCGGCGGCGAAGAGGGTATCGTCTTCGTGGCCATGAACTACCGACTGGGTGCGATGGGCTGGCTTGCTGGTCCTACCTTGCAGGCTGCCGGAGGAGTATCCAATGCCGGTCTCTACGATCAGCGTCTCGCTCTGGAATGGGTTCAGAAGTACATCCATCTGTTCGGCGGCGACGCAAAGCGAGTCACCGTCATGGGTGAGTCCGCTGGAGGAGGCTCAGTCGTCCACCAGATCACCGCCTATGGAGACCAAAAGGGGGTTCCATTCCAGCAAGCTATCCCACAGTCACCTGGCTATCTTCCGACGCCGTCATATTTCGTCCAAGAAAACACCACGCAGACGTTTCTGTCTCTGCTAAACGTCAGCACCATCCAGGAAGCCAGGCAATTATCCTCAGCTGCCGTGATCAAAGCCAATGCACTTCAAGTGGGAGCGTCCACCTATGGAACGTTCACTTACGGGCCAGTGGTTGATGGAGTATTTGTACCGGCTCTACCCGGGACCCTTCTCAACGCAGGGCAATTTGCAAAGAATGTTAGCGTCATGGTTTCTCATATGCTCAGCGAAGGCCCCGCCTTTACGCCACCGAATGTACGAACCGACGATCAGTTAGAAGCGATGATACTCTCGCTGAATCCTGAAACCCCTGCTCCCGCAGTTAACTACATTGTGAAAACACTCTATCCGGCAAAATATGATGGAAGCCAGCCTTACAACTCTCCTATCGAGCGGACAACCCTGTTTGTCACCGAGACCTCCTTCACCTGCAACACCTATTTCCTCAATAAGGCATACGGCAACCAAACCTACGCATATCAATTCGCAGTTCCGCCGGGCTTTCATGGATTTGATGTGCCATATACGTTTTACAACGGTCAACCCACCAACCTGACCCAGGATATGATTGCGCCTGTGGGCAAAACCCTTCAAGCCTACCTTACTAATTTCATCATGACGGGCAACCCAAATGGAAAGGGGCTGCCGCCCTTCCCTATGCAGGGCCAGAACGCCAGTATGAATTCTATATCCACCACAGTAAAGCGGGTCAAAGATGATACCTCAAACCAGAGATGTGCATGGTGGGAGAAGTCGCTGTTTACTTGAAGATCGGTCGGGTGCTTGATCTGATACACATAGCGGAGGCTAATGATGTATGTGATGTGTTCCTTTTTACCATACGAAATCTCAGCTTTGTCAAAATGGCTGGGTCCTGATATGCAAGCTCAAAATGAAGAGGACTGACAGCAGCTCTTCTGGTTCGAAAGAGTGACCTCCCTTGGCTCATTTGACCTGTGACCATGTCTCAATGGCATTGAAGGTGGAAGGCTTTTCGTCACCATTTCTCTCATCTGTCCCCCTCCCCCCCCCCCCCCCCCGATTCACTTGCTCCTTCATGACTGCCATCGAACCCATGCCGCACCCTTCTGAGACACACAAACCAAATCTGACGGAAGTTCAAGGGCCAAAACTTTGCCACAGAGCAGATTCGGCCCGGGAGTTTGGGTTCTGGTCTGTGGTAAGTGAAACCTTGCTCTCTCGAGTGGGGGGGTTCTTTTTGCCTTACTCCTCAAGCTTAGCTACGGCCTACAAGAGGTAGGGTCAACTTCATTGCCCATCTGTTGACTCAGGCTCTGTGTAATCAGAGACAAACTGTGAAAGTACAAAATATATGTTCGACCTGGTGAAGGGAAAATGGTGATCATGTGATGTTATTAACGGTGACGGTCTCGGCGACAGTGAAGAGTCAAGATCATGCAAACGACTGTTCAGCCCACCGATTTATCATTTTCTCTTGGACAACTTTTCCACCGCCAGCTTGTACCTCTGTCGACAATTATTCTTCTCACACCTCATACCTCATGATGGCGTTCAAATTGCTCGTCCTGCTCTCAGCTCTACCCTCTATCTTCCCTCGGTTCGCCTCCGCGAACTACGAGAGTTGGACCGGGCTTCCCTACTGCGCAGTAAGTCCAGCAAAAGGAGATGTGGTTCCTCAACCCAAACTGACAATCCTTGCAGCAAGACTGCTTCAGCAAGGCAATCAATGATTCTCTCTCGACCTGCACCGATGTGTCGCTTGACTGCTTCTGTCGGAATACTGACGCTGCTAAGAAGTTCGACTTCTGCCTCGAGACCAATGTACCTTGTGACTCGAACCCTATCAACAACGATGTCGAGATCTTCAAGAATCGTGTCTTCTGCAACGCCTCCGCCAACAGTGGCTTCAAATACACGGTGATCAAGGGCGCCATGACCGTCACACTGGGATCAGCTTCCGGGGGCGATGAAGCAGCCACAGTCTCGGATTCTGATCAGACGCAGGCATGTTACCATGTCACACTGACAACCCAACTGCATGGTTCGAAGGACTAATATTCTGCAGATGTCCTCAACTTCGCAATCGTCCATCCCAACTACAATGTCAATTGACCCAACTCCGACCAAATGCGCTAACTCGAGCTCTGTGACTGCGACCCCTTCTCAGAGCTTATTTACCAGCACATCAACTGTTGTCGTGGAACTCACAAGCGCTATTTCATCCAGCCACATGTTTAATGGGACTTGGACTGGGTCTTCAGCGCCGACCGTTATCGTTGCAGGATCGGTCAACAGCGCAGCTCGTGCTCGTGCTGGTGTTTGGAAGACCGTGGAATTTGGAATATGCATCCTCGTGACATGGATTGTTGTTGCCAGGATATTCCACTGACGCGAGAACGACTCTGTATTTTGGTGGCCGTATCCCAACGTTCTTCCCTTCTTCGAAGGCTCAAGCGGTCTGGATGTTGGATATCAGATGAGCTCGGCGTTGGAATGTCACGGCAGCTAGAGAAGAGGCACAATGATACTGTTACGGAGTACTTGAAGGTTGAAACTTGGGTCGCACATTCAACAACACAACTGCGGATTGTTGCTCTAAGGTCCGGACCTCTCCATCAGTGACTCGCCATGGATAAATGCCTCCTCACAGATCAAGGTCGCACGGAGAACGTTGTGCATCTCACGAAGCTCTGCAGGGTATCTCCGGTGGGTGTAACGGTGCCTTATTTTTTTGTGTAGGAGTTTCGCTCTTCGTCGCGCAATTCATTTCCCTCGAAGGAATCATACATACATAATTTTCCGAGTGGCAATGCCATTTGTTCTCCCCTGTTATACATGCTTCCAGAACCCTCCAACCGACATTCACACCCGCTAACTCGTCGCATCATGTCATTGAACCCAGTTCAAACTCCGAGAAATTGAGCGATCGCCGACTCTCTGAAGAATTTACCTACTGTCTTTTATATTTACGATGGATTGTCATGGATTTTCTCCAGCACTTCGTGCACAGGAGCGGCGCCTAAATGTCACGGGGCTTCGTCTCTCGCCCTTGTTCTACCGACTTGAGCACGACACATTTCTATGGCATCACAGCAGCGTACGGTATCACTGTCTTCGAGCTCAAATCTCAGGCAGTGTTTCTACTCTCCAATTTTGGCCATTAGGACTTTGTTTCTCCGTCTATAAGTTCTTGGTTACTTCGCAAATCAACCCCGTTGTTCTTGGTCCTCTTGTTTGCACGCTACCCTCCCCTTGCCCTTCTTACTATTCAGCCCATCATTCTAACTTCGATAAAGCGTTTCTTCTCTTTGTACCGTTATGGCTATTGCGAAATCCACCATTTTGACCCTGATTCTGCTCGTTGCGGGCTATACATGTGCCCAATTCCATGGCTGGGACGACCTTCCCTCATGTGCGCAACAATGCTTCAACGACGCTTTCATGTCCATCATCAGCGACTGCGAGAAGCAGGCAGAAAGCAGACTCTCTGTTCGCGTCTGCACTTGCTTCGGCTCCACCTATAACAACACTTTGAGATCCTGTCTCTCCAAATCAAGCCCATGCAGTGATCAGATGCTCACAGATCAAATCCTGATGACTAACGACCGGATCTTCTGCAATCTGTCTATCGGCGTGGCGGCCTCCTGGGGAGGGCTATATCCGCTATGGGCTGTAGGTGGTGCGTTCGGAGCGACTATGTCTACGAGCACCAACTGGAATTGCCCTGCATCGACGACTGAGGTATGCAATTTTCAGGCTTCATAGATCATTTTCAGGGGAGACGACTTCTCTGACGCTTCAAAGGCGGACTCAGCGATCTCAGACCCTGGCTTCACTTCCTTCTCCAGCCCGTGTGCTGATTCTTCTTCTACAACTACACCCTCTACCTCTGCTTCTGGCCCAGCCTCTTCTCCCTGCACTTCTGCGAGCGGTTCCTCTTCCTATGCTCCTTCTATTCCATACTCGGCTCCAACCTATCCTCTTCCCTCACTTGCCTCCTCTTCCGATACCTCCTTCGCAACACCTCTTGCCTCCATCTTCCCTTCTACCCATTCTACGCATCCACAAGTCGCATCGTCACCTCCCCCTTCCGCCCCAAGCATATATACTTCCAGCACCACTGGATCTCGCTGCCTCAAGAGTCCACACTGTTATCAGAACACGACAATCACAATCTCAATCACAAGCACATCTTACGTAACAACCACTATCGCCTCGACTTTGCCCACAAGCATTCCCGGAGCTCCCACTTTGCACTATACACTCACATCCGCTTTCACGGATGCATGCCAAAGCACGTTTCCAGCCTGGGAGGGCACCACAAGCAGCATCGCGATATCGACGGCCCTGACGAGTGCGCAGCAACCTAGTTTCAGTCCAGGATATCCTACCCTAGTGACTCTTACATCAGCCGGGTCAATCACGAGCAGTAACGCCTGGTTCTCATACGAAAGCAGCGACAGCAGTAGCGGGTACGGTTACGGAAGCAGTCAAAGTACTGGCGGCGGCGGCAGTAGTGATGTGAATACCACTACAGGCCCACAAACACAAACGAAATCTCAGTCTCTACCAGTGACGACCCATACTAACACTTCTGGCACTACTGGTAGCATCACCTCAATCCCTTCTCGGACGAGTGGGAGTACAAGTACAAGCACACACGCAGTGCCCACCCAAACGGGTGGTGTGGGAGGACTAAACTTTCGGTTCGAAGCGGTCTTTGCAACATGCCTGCTGACGACCGTATGGGTTCTGGTACTTGGTATGTGATTATCAGAAGTGAATCGCATGGTAGCCTGAGACATTAATAGGAGGCTACTTAATTTGAGTATTAAATGTGTTGTGGATGCGGTAAACCACTTAAGCCCCTTTGGCTGCTGGAGTCTGAATGTTGACCAAAGTGAATGGATATGAACCATGTGAGGCAAGGGCCTCATGACGAGTTTTGTATGGTCATCAAGGAGTTACGATGAATCCATGACTCTGCACAGCCGATCTCTCGCTTTCATTTTTGGTGGCGTGCAGCCAGGTGTGAAGCCATCACTTCCTCACAGAATATCGAACAGTTAAACCTCAGACGCGACAGCGGTCTCGGCCTCTTCCTCGTCACTTGGTCTGGTGCACGAGACACGGGGATGACGGTGACATTCATGCTGTCTGCTGACATGTTTTCCTTCGTCGGTGGCTTTCCTCAGATACTATATCGATCGAGGAATCCAACGCCAGTTTAAAACTTGATCCGTTATACCCACCCGATTACTTTGGCCCGAAGATAGAACCAAGACAGATACCTGGCAGCGGCCAGCTAACAGAATGACTGTACCTACTCCCCTTCTCGAGGCGTTCCTCGCCGGCATGCTCGTACTTTCGCAACCAGCTCGGGCCCAGCATTACACCAACTGGACCCAACTCTCCCCATGCGTGCAATCATGCTTCAGCACCTCGCTTCTCGAGGCCTTCGGGTCCTGCGGTTCCATCCTCTCCAGCGGAGGCAATGCCACGGGCGTCGACGATTCTCCCAACACCCGACTACGGAGGTGCATCTGCACGGATTGCTCGTACCGCTCGACCTTGGGCGCGTGCCTGGAGAGCCATTGCGCGGGGTCCGGTGGCGGGTCGATCGACGAGATTTTGAACTTGGATGACCGGGCTTTTTGCAATGCGAGCGTGGATGCGAGGGTGCAGATGTGGGATCGCAATTTGATCTGGGTGGTTGATCAGAGCGACGATGGCGCTGGGACAGACAACCCTGCGAGCTCGTCGGGCAGCGCACAGGGGGTGCTTTGGACTTGTTCAGCGACCTCGAGCACTGTGGGTGATGGAGGAACAGGAACGGCCATCTCTAGAAGCAGCTCGACGTCGACATCTCCAGTTTGTTCTCTCTTGCTGAACCACTCGATCTGGGAGCTTGTCCTTGCTGACGCGCAATAGGCCACTGATTCGGCCATCCACACGGTGACTGTTCTAGCGACTCTAACGGTAGTGGCGCCTTCTCCTGATGCAGCCACGATCCAGAGCGTCCTGAGCGCTAACTCGACCACCGCTCCCTATGAGGGGAGCGGCAGATCAATGCCAACGTCAACATCGACAATGACATCGTCAAGCCAGGTCAATTCTTCACACAATATCCCGGCCACGCCGACGAGCCCTGCGGTGTCGCTGAGCACGACAGCACTGTCATTCACGTCTATGTCGTCAAACGGCACTATTGCTTCTGCGACAAACACCAGCGGGGCGGAGCCGCCAATCCGTCTATTCGGACCCGGAATCCTTTTGGCGTTGGCTGTGTCTAATCTTTTATTTCTGGGGACCTAGTCGGCGTCATCTCGCGCACTGCATAGTGAGACGATTGTCAACATAGACAGATAGCTGACGTTTGACGATAGCGACGGACAGCTCAACTTCTACCGGGGTAGTTTCTGTCGACACGGGAAAGGCGGATCTAGAGATCCAGAGTCGAGGAAGCGATAATTCAATTGGATATTGTCATTAAGCACAAAGAATGACCCTTGTCGGACTGTTGTTGCCGGTTGAGAGCACCGTTCAGACCAATCTCAGCCAAGGGGCATATTTTGTACCAGTAATATTAGTACGAATCGACTCACCAACCCGCCCACCAAGATTTCCTCACCAAAGAGAGCTGTAGAAACTGGGGTCAGCCTTGATCAGGTCGTTCTGGATCTCCTGCGGCAGTATTTCCGAGCTGTTCAAGTCTAGACAAACGAAGCCTGCGGCGAGAAGCCCATTTCCTGGCCGCTGATGAAGAACGAGTGCCCATTGAGGTCGGGATCGCACAGAGTCTGCAAAAGACATCAGCTGGCGTCCTGTTCCTCTGCCTCTGCGAACGGGACGCCGTGTGCCGCTTGTTCCCAGTCCTTCTCGGCCAGGATTTTCATCTTCAAGTACGCAACTATAGGCAAAGCGGATAGGTGATTTTCGTAGAGGAGAGAGAGAAATAGGGATAGGGGAGGCAGGGGAGGCAAGGGAGGCAAGGGAGGGAAGGGGAGGTCAAGGGGGTTTGCTAACGGTAGCACGTATACACCGCCAAGAAATCCAAGCTTTGGCCTTGGCAGCCATTTTCTTGCCGTCGAGCCCCTTCCACCCCTTCCCCCCTCCTCGGCTTCGGCTCAGCCTCATCGTCCCTTTCTTAGGGAGACCAGTCTGCTGCTCGGCTTCCTAGCCCTTTCTCTTCACTCCTCATCAAACGCCTCTATTTCGGGTGGAAGAGACTTTATGCGGTCTTCTAGGAAGGTGCAGTTTTAGGAACCTGGCAGACGTGAGACGATGGATAAGGCTCTGTTTCCAGAGGTTGCTCCTCCTTTCGCACCTGGATTGGATCATAAGGCCCGTGTTGGTGACGGCCACTACCAATTCTGTCCGTCGGGATTGAGATCGCCAGAGATTGCCGCCCATACTACCCAAGGGAACAGCCAGTTCACTGCTGAGGCTGAAATTCTAGTTAGAATTGGCGCTTCACCTTTCTTGTTCCTTCAACTGCATAACACCCATGACCGCATGCCCTCGTTCCATATATAGCATCCAAGAGTTTTCAATCGCCAGCCTCGCTTACCAACTGGATGTTCGGGCCGCGGAGACAGCTATACTCTCGGGTTCTAATCTGCAGCAGCGACACGAGTAAGGCGTTCGTGTTTGACTTGAAATCGGCAGACTCGAACTCGGAACTGGCGCACCCTTGGTCCCATGATCAATCTCTTCCCCCCTAAATTTAAAAGCAAGGGATTCACGTGTGCATAGAATTGAGAAGAGTGTCATTGGCATGCCGGTGCTGAGAACTGCGTCGACCGGCGGCTTTTCGAATTGAATTATGCAATGCATTTCGGTTACCATACGCAGAGCCACCAGCTACTAAGGTATACAGGCCAAGATACGAGCAGTGGCAGTGACACTTCTAGGCCGATCCATGGCACCTCGATAGGATGACTCCTTAATGCTTCCAGCAGAGACTATTGAAATGCGAAATAAGAACCACCGGGAGAGGAATCGTCACAATTATTCGGCTCTAGTCCCAGATACCTAAGCCAAGATGTTGCTTGTGTAACCTGAGAACGTCTTTGGGGCTTTGCAACCTGTGAGTGGGCAACAGATACTGGGCAACAGATACTGGGCTACTTGATTGATCACGAAAAGTGAGAAACAAATGGTGACCACTTCTACACAACAAACACGGCTGGTGAGCTTGCTCCGCAGCGTCAAAGAAGAAGGCATAACAGGCCATCTGCACAACATTGCGGCACCCAATAGTGTGCCACTCTATCGATGGTACAACTCATGCCTACTCAGCAACTTCACATTTGACCCCGCCATCACTCCGACCTAAAAGTCCACTCTCTTAGAACGTCATACCTGGGTGCACTATCGCGCTGGAATTTGTGGCAATCTATCTGCCCAAGAAAAGGACTGCGTTCAACAGGCATATAGGAGACCCATCAGCCACATTGTTTCGATGGACCCGAGGCTGAACGCGAGCGCCATCGTCAGGGCCAAATCGCTGTCGATCAACTTCACAAATCTGTTCCCACTCGGAGACAATGAGATAGCGCAAACCCTGTTGCATGAGATGATGCACTGTGCAGGGTGTACTCATCCCGTTCGCATCGACTCTCCAGCCCCGAACGCTGACGTCCCGTATGATGGCGGTAAATACTACGGAACCCCACCCCTTAAGGCGGAGCTGTGTATTGCTGGACAGCAGCGTGATTCTGCGACCATCCATCTCATGCTGGCACCATGTACCGACACGCAACAGAGGGCTTGCCCTCTAATTGGAATGACCTGAAGTCGAGGGAGGAGCCGGAGATCAGGGAGGAGATGGAGAGCAAAGAGGAGCTGGGCCCAAGTAGTGCTCAATGTAGCTAGGGAGGGGCAAAATATAGCAAAGGAAACGAGCCTATTAGTTGCGACATCCATGTGAATCCCTCCATCAAGCGTCCCCCGAAAGAGCAATGTGCTTCTCGGAGAAGTATACTAAATTAGGTTTTTCGCACTAATCAATTATGCAGTTTTTATTTGTACTGGCTTGAGCTTTGTCGCATCTCGCACCTTTTTAGTAATAGTGAGGCTTATGCTCCTTTCCGACTTGAACCTTGCAGACTTGCAAATTCGGTTGTAATCTGTTCGCCTACTGGACTCAAGTGAATTTTTATGGCTGCCAAATTCGGGCATGGCGTGCTATTTGTACGAGATGATAGTAAGCTCGCCTCTACCGTCTTATCTGGAATATTTGGGGTCCACTCCAGGGGTCATATTCCGTGTGTCTCACATAAGGGGGACTCCGGGGAACAACCACCGGAAAATCCGGTAAGCAGCATCGCTCTTGGTTGAACAGACTGGAAGTTTGCAAAGTCCTCCCAGTGAAGCTGGCTGGGCAGCCAGTCATCAAGTATATACCGAGCAATCCATATAAAACTTTATACCTATGTACGAGGTACTCCGTATTCGATTCACGAAAAGCTTGGATTCTCCACGAACCGATTCAATCTAACAAGCGGGAGCTAGCGTCGAGCGAAGTGGCTACGCTAATCAGGTTGGTGGAAATTCGAAGAAGGCGAACTTGGGGCCATGATCTGACATATGTGCTTACCTAGTCGCCTCGAATATAGACGCCGCGCAAACATTCACGACCTTTAGAGAGAGTCTGTCTCCAACCCGCGAGAAAGCTCGTGCTCCCAGGAAGATGGCATTGCAATTCTTGGTGCTCTACGGCTTAGGGCTGTGTCTGGCTGCTGTTGTCCTCAAGGCCGTCTACAGGCTCACCTTACATCCTTTGGCGCGATTTCCTGGTCCTAAAATCGCCGCAGTCACCAATCTATATGCTGTGAATCGCGATCTGGTTTCCAAAGACTCGCTCGTCAAGCACTTGAAGGCGCTTCACGACAAATACGGTACGCGAGGCTCGTGACTTAAAAAAGTGTTGACTTACAAGATCCAGGGCCTATCGTGAGAGTTCGACCGAATGAGTTGCATATCTTCGACTGGGAGTCTTATCGAGCGCAAGTTACCGTGGCTATTGTTTTAGTCAACCCCGTGGAGCTAACGTTGTCAGTGTGTTCAAAGCAGGCTCCGATTTCGATCGCCCTCGCGAATTCTATAACGCGCCTCAAGTCGAAGGCTCTTTTCTCAACATCAGCAACGGGCGAGTGGCGAAACCGCATCGAGACCTTTTCGTTCAAGCGTTCTCCAAGGCCCAGATTAATGGACTTGAGCCACTCATTCATGAGAAGGTGGCGCTTTTCCTCTACCGGTTGAAGGCTGAAGCAGACCAGGATCGGGCCATCGACCTCGACTTGGCCTTGAACTGCCTGACCGCTGATGTCACCATGTATTATTGCTATCAAATGAGCCTGGGCCTTCTCGATGCTCCCAGCTTCCGCCCCCACTTGATTGTTGAGCTCCATGAGTTCGCACCGATTGTTCCCTTTTTCTGGTGTAAGTTTGCTCCCGTTCCGTATGCGGCCGATGTCTAGAACTGCATATCTCATGCCTAAAGCGCCCTGGACATGGTTTATATACCAAATTGAGCGAATCATGCGTTAATTATGCGTGGTCGGGCAGATTTCCCTAACATAGGCAATATCATGAACAAGGTGATTTTCTCAGTGTTGCCTCATCAAGTGGTGAAGACTTGCTTTCCAGCTGCCGCATCCATGATGGATATGATGGCTGTAAGTTGAACAGACCTCCGAACTAGCTGCATAGCTGACAGAAGAAGCAATGTAGAGCGCTGATTACATCTCTGGCTCAAGCACCAGTCGACTCGAAGGAGGTGACATCTTCGATCTTCAGAACCGCCCTCAATCCAAACCGAGAAAAGGGGCAGTATCTTGCAACTCCAAACGAACTAGCGGCCGATGCCGTTTTGATGTTCCTCGCGGGCACCGATACCACTGCTCATGCACTGACATTCGGCATCTGGGAGATGATGAAAAAACCTGAGCTTTGGATGCGGTTGCGAGAAGAAGTTGTTGGAGTATTGCCAGATACGCGGAGTCTTGCGCATCTCAAGGATCTGGAGAGTCTGCCTTTTCTTGTAGGTTGACTCGGAGGTACGCTTGGATCGAACTAAACATCTACTTCCAGAGAGCTGTGATCAAAGAATCTCTTCGATTCTCCATGGGGACCTCTGCGCGGCTCCCCCGAGTCGTGCCACACAGTGGTGCAGTTCTCTGCGGAGAAAGTATTGCTCCAGGAGTATGTTTCCGCTTAACGAATTTTCCACTATTTCGTGCAGTGTCTTACTCGGCTTTCAGACCCGCGTCTCCTTCTCTCATTACGTGTACAACAACGACCCGGCGATATTCCCAGATCCATATTCATTCCGACCTGAACGCTGGCTTGGAGACAATGTGGATGAGCTCGAGAACCATATGGTCAGCTTTTCACGTGGAAGTCGCAATTGTATAGGAATGAAGTACGTTCCATCTCCATTCGCTTCTTTTTAAAAAGACAAGAATAAGTCGTTTTCCTGTTTCTACTATGTTGGTTTCTTCAATGGTGATAGATGTTTGAATTGCGACTAACAGGTGTCATCAACCAGCTTGGCTTATGCGGAACTCTACACTACATTTGCCCATCTGGTTCGTAGGTTCGATATAATAAACGACGGTACAACGAATGAGATGATGGATTGGACTGATGGATTTACGCCGAGATTCAAGGGTAATCTCAAGGTGAAATTACGAGCCCTTCATTCGGAGCTGGAATAAGTATCCTCCATTCAGCGTTAGGCTTCGGATACAGATAGGGTCTCACCACGTCGCCTCGTGCAAGAGCCATTGCAAATGCTGGAGAGCAAAGCAGAAGGGAAGAAAGCAAGAAGGGCGTATTCACACGATCTTCACGCCATGCTCTATTTTTTGTGGCATCCACGCAAGCGTGAGAAATTGGAACATATCGTGGAATACTTCAATCACGGTCTCAGGCTTCAGGGTGGTGGCTCTCCAGCAATTGGTCCTGAAGACGGCAATAATTTCCCTTCTCTTTGGAAGATCAACCAAATCTTTTGTCCTGTACGGGTCGAGTTTCAAAACTCGTTAGTCGTCGCGAGGTCTCCAAATTGTCCGAGGGCCTGAATGTTCTCTATTCTCCATGCAGGCTTTACGTTGATACGGAGTGAAATAGGGGTACCTTCACCACAAGAGGCTCTGGTTCCTCGCCATCGACGACTTCATCACCCGCATCAGACTTTAGCTCAAACCCTGGCTCCTATTGCCTGCTTCACTTCCATTATCGATGGGCTGTGGGAACGTCGTAGCCACGTCTGCGCTCTATATGCTATGGCTTACTCGCTGCCAATTCTGTCCACGGATTGACCTCTACCGAGTATGGCCAGCCTAGTGAATACGTCAGTTCGGTGGAAAGCCCTATCTCAGTCGTTGCCAACTAATTTGAGGCTAGGCTGAGACAAAAAGGGGTTGCATGTGTGGTGAAAAGTTTTCCCGTTGCCGGCCTTGCGGTAAAGTCAGAACTAAAAATTGCACCGTCAATTTTCCTTCGGACCGTGCAGCTGTGTCGGTCAAACCTCTTTTCAATGGCAAAAGAAGCTCTGCGCGTGCAATTGGGAGTATTGTACCTTGCTACCCTCCAAGCCAGCTGAAAGAATGGTCTCAACGCGTTCAACGAAAAGACGCTCCCACAGCCCAGCTGCGAAAACGACGGACAGTCGTCCGGCCAAAATCCGCCGAAAGCGGAAACACGCCGTAAGGAAGCCGAAGAAATCATTCCAAGGTGTTGAGGTCATCCTCCTTGATATAGGTAGGTGATATTTGAATGTGGCATTGTCCAATGTTGGATGCGACATTGGCTAACACCGGACAACAATCAGAGGGCACCATATGCCCAATCACCTTCGTGAAAGACACTCTGGTAAGAAAGTGCCGTTGGTCACTCTGCTCTCTTCCTCAGAACCGAGTCTATGGCCAAAGCATTAGAGCACTTATACGAATGAAAAAGTTCCCATACGCCCTCAAAGCCCTCCCCGATGTCCTAGCGTCGAAATGGGAGGACCCGACTTTCATATCCTACCGTGACGCTTTCCCCGAGTCGGCCACCTCGTCGCCTGAAGCATTCGAAGCCCACGTCAAAGACCTCACCGAGAGGGATGTAAAGATTGCTTACCTAAAGAACTTACAAGGTAAAGCTTTGTCTCTGCCACAGCCCAACATACTCATCGCCTACTCTTCCGGACTCACAACAAGCCAATACTAAAGCCAAGCAGGCTATCTGTGGGAAAATGGATATCAGACGCATGTCTACTCGACGCCCATTTACCCTGACGTCCTGACTGCTCTGGAAGGTTGGCATTCTTCTCCCACATCCGACAACGGCAACGACACCAGCAAAGAGATAGCCATTTACAGTAGCGGGTCAATTTTCGCACAAAAGCTTCTGTTTCAACATATCAAAGACCCCTCTTCGCCAAACGATCCCAAGGCCGTCTTTGACCGGCGGGACATCATTAAAGCGTGGTTTGATACGACAAATGCGGGTCTCAAACAAGAGGCTAGCAGCTACGAAAAGATCGCGGCAGAGCTCAGCCGAGATCCGAAGGAGATTTTGTTCTTGAGTGACAATGTGAACGAGGTGCGCGCGGCGACCAAAGCGGGCATGAAGGCGGCACTGGTAGACAGGCCAGGAAACGCGCCGCTCTCTGATGCGGAGAGAGACGAATTTGAAGTGGTGGGGAGCTTTGAGCAGATTGAGCTCTGAGGGCGCCTGTCGGAGAAGGATGAACCATAAGAAGAAAGCAGTTGGCTGACAGCTGAGGCTGTGAGAAACCCCATGTCTAACCCTGAACCCAGAAAGACCCCGAGCCACCCTTTCCGAACAGCACGCTGCGAACTTGTGTGCAGGAGAGTAATGGAAATCCCCGGCAACTATCTGTTCGATCTACCACACGTCCATGATCTGCCTTCAGGGTCCTGCTTGCCCGATTACTCATTACATCTTTCGTTAAGTTGTATTTTTTTTTTCGCGCTGCTACCATCAGGATCTTTGCTACTGGAAGTGTGATAAGGTGTATAGTAGTCACAACTGTGATCGATGTGGTTGGCTCTGACTTGCAAGTTGACCCGCCCTGTCCCTGTACTGCGATTGTGCTGATATGTAACGGTTTCCTCCAGATTCTTCTCTCCCAATGTGACCTCAATACGATTCTGATTTCTCGAACTTGAAGTTCACCGCACTTTTTCCTATTGAAACACCAATACCGCCGATGCGCCGTTCTCTGGGTCCTCCCTGAGACTCCGATGCGCTATTAAATCTAACGGACCCCTGGCCAAGCGCATGAATCATCTAGTTTTTCAGCTACCCTTCTATTCCGCATGTTGGACTCATAGGATCGACTGAGGAGAGAGAGGAAAACTACTTAGTCAAATAGGTTGCAACATGCAGATGATATAAGGTGATTGGCACGTGACTCGAACTGCCCAGGAGGCTGTGTAACTGTCAGTGCGCCATTCTATCACAATGGCAGCGATTAGATATACCGAAGGGATGATGTATAAGCTGCTATTCACAGTCCTTGTTGGTGTTATTGTGAAGTGGCTGTACGATACACGCCGGCGACGTCAGGTAGGTGAAATTAGATGTTCGATCGAACGAACAGTGTCCTATATCAACTGTGGGAAGGAAGAAGCGGCATTCGCTAGTATACACGGCTGTCAGCCACCACAGAGCGAGATCAAACACCGCTGGCCCTGGACTCTTGATCTAATTAAGAGACATGTTGAAACAGTCCTGAGTGATCATGCGTTGATGCTACAGATGTAGTTCACTGAGAGCATGGGCATAACCTTTGTAGCGTACATGTTGGTCTCGTTAGGTACTTCACTTGGATCCTGGTAACATCAAAGCCATCACAGAAACACTTTAACACATTATTAAGGTGCGTCATGCCTGTGGCCGAATCTAAGCTCGCATGAGTGATACGGAATTGAGATATGAGTCTGGGAGTGCGAAGGCCCGCCTGTTTCCCATTCTTTGGCGAGCGCACCTTTACCAAAGATGATCCGAATTAAAAACGTTCAGGAGAGATATTCCAAAGACAATTCACACGAGTCCAAGCTAGAGACTCAGAGACGCTAACTAAGCAGGCTAAGACTCTGATCTCGACTTTTCGACACTCTAAGGGCGTAGTGAATCTTCAGCGAACGTTCTTTCGATTCAATTTAACAACGACGACGGCGCTGCTCTTTGGCGAATCTATCGAGACACTGTCAGAAGCAGAGTAAACCGAATTTACTGAACATTTCGACAACGCAACTTCGGCTATCGCCGTACGACTACCTTTAGTACATCAAAGCATTCTATAGAACACTCTAAGCTATCGAAAGTCTTACAAAATCGTCAGGCACTATACAGACTACTTTATCGAGAGAGTATTTCAGTACGCCCATGAGTACGGTTGAGAAGAGGCTACCGAAAGCTAACTGGGGCTACAGCCCGTAGCATATACGTCGTCGAAAGGAGCTCTTTTGGTGAGGATGACAACGAGTATAAACCAGAACGGTGGTAAGATAGCAAGCTCTCCAACATCGACTGCGCGTATATCTCGTCCCTCCACGGATTCAGAACATGCCTGAGAAGGACTTAACACTGTCAGAAGCGAGCTCCGCTCTTGTTCGTCTACTTTAGACCAATCCAAAGTTAACGAAAGCTAGTGTTGCGAAGAAGGAGGAAAAATAAACGCCAAAAGGCTCAGGAAGGACTCCTGGACCGCTCAGGGACCCCTTCAGAAGCAAAAGGTGAGCCGAGGGTGAGCGACGGAGCCAGTCACGAGGTATGAAGGACCTTCTTGGACATTGCGACTCCGCAATTCGACACCTCTGTTGTTTAGTTCCCTGTTTCACGCCCATTTTTCTACCTTCAGGTCTGTACCATCGCACGATGCGACCGATTCACAGCGTGGCAGAGGCGATGGAAGGAGCTTCAGCATAGCAGTCAGTTCTGCTGGACTATCTCGCGCTCGTGGCACTTAACCCGGCATCTATTATTGTCAACGCCGTTATTCTTGTGACAGGATGTACTTTCGCGCATGCCATGATGAGGCGCGGATTAGTCTGAGGCGAAGTCACAAGGATGTTTTGATGGTAACAGTCGACCAACTGAATTTTTGCCGCGCATTCTCCATTCTGGCCGTTTCCTGTGTTGCTATCTCAAGTCACGTTGGCGAAGCGAAGGCAATTCTCCCCAGGCTTAATTGGGCATGATGAAGAATCCCACCTTGGGATCATGGCAGCATACCTTTCATCGTGGTATGACCAGTGGGAAGATGATGTCGATTGCTTGCATGCAGCAATTACTCCAGCAACCGATGGGAACCAAGGCCTTTGAAGCAGGTCTAGGGCACTCAACCTTCATTAGGCACCGCGCCTTCTCTTTACCGCACCCCAGTCCCCCCGATCAGGGATAATGCGAGGTTTTGAGAATCGCAGAAAGTACGAACCTCGACATTAACGGAAGGGAGATACGCAGTGAGTGGCCGGTCCTCAATCCTCAGTACCTGAAAGTGTGATCTTGACATTATGGACTTGTCATGAACTGGAGTGCATGATACAGTCCAAGATGTCTGTCATCCTGGTACGCCATTGTCGATAGACAAACGATCTAGTGGACTAGAATCTGTCGAAAGCACGAAAGGCGATCGAAGGAGACTGACGCCTGTCGTGCTGGCTCATAACTTGTCAAGGGCCTTTCTACCTTCATCAAATCTCTGATTTTCTGTACCTTCGCTAAAACTACGCGCACGGCATACTGGATTATGAGCGCCAACCGAAGACATACGATGGCTAAAAGGAGGGATCCTCCAGGGTTCGGGGATCACCCTTATTGGTTTTCTCAACGCATCCTTTGAAGTCAATTTAATACATCGATCCTCGTTGGGCCGATTTCCCAACTCCTACCGCCCTTATTGTCCCGCACGCCTCAAGGGAAATACCGCTTGTCTGATCTGTTAGCGGGTGGCCTGATATCAAATTTTCCTGGCCACGTCCAAAGACCCGCCGGAAGGAGCAGAGCCAGAGCTGGGCGAGCCACACGGAGAAGGACCAGAGAGTCTCGCAACGACCTACCCTTCCCTCCTTTGTGGTATGTCTCCTTTCAGGCCCGTCCAGCGCATCTCTTTCACAACAGGTACGTTAAAACAGCATGATGGGCCGCACCCACAAATCAGACTTCCCGCTTTCCGAAGATGAACTATGTCCGTCACACTTTGATGTGAGCACGAGATTGCCGTAAAATCAACCAGTACTCCTGTCGCTTCGCGGGATGGAAGGGCCACCATGCAGAAATATCCGCCACTCTCAGTGCGCCCTGGGTACGGACACAGGATCCTCTTAGCTCGTGTATCTGCGCTCTTCGTTCCCTTCTTGGTATAGCCTTTGAGTCTCGGTTCCCTTAAGCCACGTCGGCTCCTTGCAAGGAATTACATTACATAGGTCTATGGCCGTGAGCCAAACACAGAACCCGACTATCCCGGAGATCGGTGAGATGCGAGTCGCCCAGGCCTGCTTTGGATCATGGTTTGAGGAATCGCACAAAATTTTCGTTGCGAATCGGAAACGGTGTGCTCGGCTTGCTTCGTGCTCGTATTTCTCTACAACTAATACTAGGAATGTGATCAACGCGCTTGAATCAACCACGGTCCGGAACTTGGTAAGAGAGACGCAAGGAGACCTTGTTGATGCCTGGCCCTACACACTCGATCTAGTCGCAGAACGGAACGTTCGCTATATTTATAATTACGGCAGCAGCCATGGCCGCGCATGGAGATCCGTACATCATGTCTCGAGATCCTTTGGCATCCGGCAGACTGACGGCTCAGCACTATCTCCTCTTGAGGCGGCTGGGTTGGCTGCTTCATCCAGACATTGCAGTACAAATCAGAGGCTTCCATAGGCTCGAGATTGCAGATGTTGCCTGTGGCAACGCCATCTGGTCTCTTGATATGGCTGTCGATTATCCCCAGGCACAGATTACTGGTATCGACATATCCCCACAACAGTTTCCCCCACAGTTCACATGGCCGCAGAACGTGGCACTGGAGATCCATGACATCTTCCAGCCGATGCCGGACAGATACATCGGTCGATTCGATGTTGTGCATGTCCGATTGATCATGGCGGCGGTCTATTTCCAGGACAAGGACTGGGTTATGCACAATATCGTCAGATTATTGAAGCCGGGTGGGTTCATACAATGGACGGATGCCACCGTTCCCGTCCTTCGAGCAATGAGCGACCCTCTGAGATATCCGGGTGCATTTCGAGAGCCTCCAGCAATCACGGCTCCTTTGACCAGCCTGTTCTCTCATACGGAATGGTTACGACATCTTGCAGAAGAGCTCCAGCGTCACGGTCTGGTTAATCTTCGCTATGTCGATATGCATCCGGCGCCGTGGCTTTCGAGGCAGGAGACAGACAATGCAATTTGGGCTTTGACTGACATCCACGAAGGCCTGAAGGTCAGAGCGGCAAAGGAAGTGTCTGACCTATTTGGAAGAGCCGTGCAGGAAGCCCTCCAAGACATCAGGCAGGGCAGAGTCTACTATACCACGTATTACACAACAATTGGTCAGAAGCCTGGGTAGCTCAACGGGACGGATCTTAGACTTGGAAGATGTTACCCCTTTCCATGCACTGTTGGTCAGCCTCGTCATATAACCGAGTGCATGGAGCGGACACCCGCACTACGTACTTCCCTCCAAAGATTGCCCTTGCGAAACAAAAATTATTGTCACAGTTTTGCATTTTTTGTCCGAGGATGGCAGGCTTTGGTCAGTGGCTGTTGCCGGACCACACCTACGAGCATGGCATATGTGCTGTTTGGCACAGTGGATGTGCGGGACAAGCAGCCGAATACGGAGGTCCTAAAATGTCGAGAGATCTGCATTATTGAAACCCGTGCTTTGAAGATATCAGGCATTCCTGGCATAAATATAAGTCTGCGTTCTTTTCGGTTGCCAGATTGGACGTTTGAGTTTTGTCCTACTCTGCAAACACCAGCGTCTTCCAGTCCTTGCTTTCTTCCCAAGCCCCCGCGACCTTGTAGCATGTCAAGTCCTCGAAGCGCTTGCCGACAATCTGGAGCCCAGCCGGCAACTTGACATCCGCATTATCTGGAGCGGGCACAAATCCTACAGGCAGAGAAAGGGCTGGATGACCCGTGGAGTTGAACTGAGCCGTATTGCTGAGCACGCCCAACGGGTACGAGAGGCTTTCGAGCGGCCCGGCCTGAGAGCGACCTGTGGTGCTGTTGGGACCCCCGAGAAATGGCAACGCCGGCATGGGCACGGTCGGCATTACCAACACATCAACAGACCCAAGGGCGGCGTCATATGCCTGTGTCGCTTTGTTCAGCAGATTCATGCATTTGGCGTGCAAGCTGGCCCCATATTTGTCGTTGACATACAGATACCTCAAGTAAAGGTTTTGGGCGCCGGGACCCAGAGCGTCGAAAAACTCTTGCGAGAGCAGTGCTTTCTGACTTGGACCCATGGCAGGAGCAGCGACAGCACCGCGGTCTATCAGTTCAAGTTGCTTGCGCCCCGTGGTGTCGCCGAGCAGTCCTTCACGACCGGCACGCAGTGGCAGGGCACACATCCATATGACGCAGATCTGCTCATGATTCGGGACTGACACCTCGACAATTTCGGCGCCCATTTCTTTAAGATCGGAAATGGCTGAGCGGCACGCCTTGGCGACGTGGGCGTCCATTTGTTTGCCAGTGAAGCCTTCCTTCAGAATACCGATCTTGAAACCCTTTAGAAGTTGATCTTGTGGCTTGGTGGCACCTGCGGCAAGGAATTCGTCCAACGCGCTGGAGAAACGTAAGGATTCTGGGGCCATGAAAAATGGTTGTCGGTCATCTATCCCATCCGGACCAGAGATTGCTTCGAGCAGGCGAGCGTTGTCTCGAACGGTCGTCGTCATTGGACCGGTATGGTCAATAACGGATTGGAGGCCGAGGATACCGGTGTAAGGAACCAAACCCCAAGTTGGTTTGAGTCCGACGATACCACAGAATGCTGCTGGGATGCGGATTGACCTGTTACTCCTTCTGCGTTAATTCCAAGATTACCTTGATGAGATCGCCTTGGTGGTTTGTAAAGGACGAATACATACCCTCCTTGGTCAGCCCCCAAAGCCATATCGGCAGCGCCAATTGCGACCAACCGTCCCGATCCGCTACTAGAACCTCCACACGTATAACCGTCCGCGAACGGATTATGGACGACGCCGGTATACGAAGTATTAGAGATGGGTTCCATGCATGCATTCTCGCAAGCTACAGGTCCGTGGTTAGCCAGTTCGTCCTCCTCTGACCTCGAGCAAGCCCATGTGCCTTCAACACCTACCAGCTTTACCTGTGACTATGCCGCCAGCATCCAGTACTCTGGTCACAATAGTGGCATCATAAGTGGGGATCCACTCTCCATTGACAGGCGGAAGACCATTTGTACATCTGACCCCGGCAACTGCAATGTTGTCCTTCACTGCCACCGTGCGTCCGGCCAGCAGCGCACTTGTAGGAGCGGTACTCTTGACCGAGCATCGTGTCGCCCAGCCACCTTTCTCGGTGTTCTCTGGAATCTGGATATTTGTCCGGAGATACCGGTCTGGGTCGGGTATTGGCAGACAGTGGTCCTCCTGCAAGATGAGCTGTGCACAATCTTCGAACGAGCCAAGGAGAACACGCCATTCCTCGATTGCGCTGTCGGATATTGATAGACCGGCCGCTTTGACAAGTGCTCTAACTTCAGCAGCATCGAGCTTCGTTGCCCTATTTTCACCAGATGACAGAGAGGATACCAGGTCAGTTGAAGATGCCATTGATGCTGCTGTCTGCAGAAAGACTCACTTTCCCAATGATGCTACTGCCATTTTTGAGGTTGTCAAAGTGGCGTAAACAAACAGCAATTGTCTTCACGTACAGTGCCCTGAGATATAAGTACAAAGCATCCCTCTTCTTACTAGGCTTATTGCCCTCTTCTCCTTCTACTTCTTCTTGTTGCGCCCGTGTCTAAACTCTCAAAGCAAAAGAAATAATACCCCCGGTATATACGGACCCCAGTGTGTCCTGGCCCCAATGTGTGCCGACCCCAGTGCGTGCCGACTTCCGGCCACGGGGGTCATCCGAGACTGCATCCTGGAGTCTGTGTGGTTTCTGTAGAGCATTGTGGTCGTCGTAAGAGCCGTCCGCAAGTGATAAGACTCGGAGATATCGCTCCTGAGCCGTTGGATATAGCAGTGCTTTCGGTCTCAGACATCGAAACGAATTGAGAGATAGCAACGGTGGACATATCCGACCTCGTCTCGAGAAATGTTGGCTCGAGACGGCCAACACGTGACCTAGCCGAGATTTTGGAGTCCTTGTTGCTTGACTACGACCTCAATAGCCTCGTCGTTCATCGCCTTCGTCGATTCAGCATATGCCGCAACTCCGCCCATCGTTGCCTGTCATGGAAGGTGAGTGTGGCACGGAAAACTGTGGTCCGAGAACTATGGCACAGAAGTACGATTCGCGTCTTTCAAAGTCCTGATAAGAGATCATTCATGGTCTCCACTAGCCCAGGGTAAAGGCGTCGCGAGTTGTTGTTCCGGACATGTGCCCTTGGTGACCAAAATGGCAACTGAGGTCCAGGTAAGGCGGGATGGTATGAAAGATAGTCGCCCGTTCGGGAGGTATATATCAGGACCCCTGACACTGGCTGACTCTCTCAATCCATATCCTCTCCGGTGAGTTAGTCACCGCAATATCCTAACCATTATTTCCATATCAAACCCTTCTAGATGAAAGATGGACCAAACAGTCACAGAAAAGAAGCCCGACATCGAGGCCGTAACGTCGGCTAGCCCGGTGGAAGACGAGCCAAAATTCGGAAGTGTTGATGAGGCCGAAGTCTTTGTTACCGGGCATGATGGAGTCAACTTCCGAACCGTTGGCTGGATCAGAGCATCAATGTTCTTCTTGAAGATGACTTTCGCTGCCGGTGTTCTCTCTATCCCTGCTGCGCTTTACAATCTTGGTGCTGTTGCCGGGGCCATTTTCATTGTGTTCTGGGGTGCGCTCAATACTTATTGCGCGGTACTTCAGGGACGATTCAAGCTCAAATACCCATCGGTGCATACCGTCGCAGACAGTGCTCACATTGCCGCACTTGAGATGGGGTTTACGAAGAAAAGCGCCTGGGTTGTGAAAGAGATTACTGAATTCGTGTATCTCTTTACCTGGATCCTCTGCGCCGGTGTCTCGACGCTCGGTTTCTCCATTGCCCTCAACGCCGTCTCCAAGCATGCAACTTGCAGTGTCACATTTGGCTTCGTTGCCTACATCATCGTGGCCTCTGTTGCCAGCATTAGAAAAATCCACAATCTTGGCTGGATTACCTGGGTTGGGTTCATTTCGATTGTCACGGCTATCATGATCGTGGTCATTGCTGTCACACTACGCGATCGTCCAGCCGCTGCACCTCAAACAGGAGATTTCGACTTGGGGTTCGCTGCCCTTCCTCCTGCTGGGACGACCTTTGCTACAGCATGGTCGGCTTCGTTGGCCATATTCTCCTCCTCGGCGAATACTTCCGGGTTTGTTCCTGTGATATCGGAGATGCGAAGACCACAGGACTACTTCAGAAGTGTATATGTTTGCATGGCTTGGATCACATCATCCTACCTGGCACTTGCTACCACTGTCTACGCCTACTGTGGTAGATGGGTGGCCTCGCCAGCCTTGGGTTCAGCTGGGCCCACGATCAAGATAATATCATACGCTATTGCAATCCCCGGACTGATTGCTGGAACTATGATCTGTGTCCACGTGGCAGGGAAGAGCATTTTTGTCCGCATCCTGCGAAACACTCGTCATTTGACGCAGAATACAAAAACTCACTGGGCAGTTTGGCTGTCGTGCACGTATGGAACGGGATTACTTGGTTGGATTCTATGTGAAGCAATCCCGTTTTACGGTAGCCTGGTCTCGCTTATTGGGGCCTTGGGCTTTGGTTATCTGGGTGTCTGCATCCCTGCAATCCTTTGGTTGGTCTTGAACGACGATGCTCGCAAAGGTTCCGCCCCAGTGGTGATCCTCTGGTATGCCCATATTGGAATATTCGTGCTTGGTCTGCTGATCACAGTCGGTGGAACTTATGCCAACGTGGTGAGCATTATTGATCAATACAGGACAGGACAGGTCGGGTCAGCGTTCAGTTGCGTTGATAACAGCAACACCGTTGCTGGAGGTTGATTGCGAAAGCAAAAGCTGCTGCTTTGAGAGCGGTCTGCACCAAGGCAGAAAAGTCTGGGGATCAGTTGGTACCCGTACAACAAAACAATTGAGACCGCAGTTGACGACTGAAGTCTGTTGGATGTTTTCACCTGAGTCGGCGGCAGGAAGGCGGTTATTCTAGATGTTGGAAGCTTCGATGGAACTATTTAGAGAAGGGAATAGACTTTTTGCAATTCTATTGCTGTCAATTGTTGCCATTTGTATTCGGAATGAATCTAGAGGGAAATTGGAATAGAGAAATCTCGATTCTCAAAAGCGACCAAAAACTACAATGCTGGTAAATCCTAAAGTCCTGATCGATACTCCTCGGTGTTGCCGTCTGTGCGTATAGTTGGTCAGCTATTTCGGTGTGTCAAGAGGCATATGAAGTCGAGTTATATTCAGTACCAATAGTGCTAGAGAATTGCTAACTAAATTCTCATAGCTTTCTAGCGCGCCACACCGCACACCAAGTAGACTTCCGGTGAACATATATCATATGATCCTAGTCCCGCGTTGGATCAAATGTTCGAATGATAGCAAGAGATTCCACGAGATAGGCAGGTATACAAGGGAAGATAAGGAACGGAACTGACGGCCCACTTCTAGACCTCCACGGCCTAATCCGCCTCTTCAACCTTTTGACTCTGCCGCCAATCTTCTGCTCGTGATAAGAATAGCTGAAATGAAGAACTGGCTGTAATTAATAAGCCGTTCCTGAACTAGACTGGGACCGGGGCTCTGCATTTCGAGCATGTCAAGGTTCCAATCTCTCGCAACGAGGCTCGAGACGAAGATCAGAAGTAGAGGTGCGGTACAATGCCTTGCAATGATGGATCTCAGAACTCCATCACACGCCTTCGCGTGACTACGGGGTGGTACGTTGATCAGTTTCTTACCAACTACTCCTGTTGGTTCTTGGCCGAACGAAAAGGTCATCATGTTGCTGACCCAGAAGTGGTAAACGTATAGCCGTGTATGCAGGGCAAGGCAGGTCAAATGTGATGAACGCAAACCCATTTGCGGAAATTGTACCAAAAAGAATAGGCCGTGCTTGTACGAAGCCAGGTCGCCAGGTCGAAATCGTCCCGGCATTGAAAAGTTCGATAATCAAAAACGAGGCGATGTCGGGCGATCCAGGACTGGCTCCAATACCGCGTTGAACTCGAAAGCGACTGGCGCATTCTTCGAATCACCGACTAGTGACGAGGCTCAGCCTGTCACGACGCCTGCCTCTTTTGCACCTGTCCTCGCTCAGTACCTCAGCGACCAGTCTTCCTCGGGCGATCCATCCCAGAGATCGAAGAACAACACCCTCAAAAATCTCAACTTCGATGAAGATCTGCCTCGGCAAATTATTCCTCGCACAGCAAGTCTATCCTACTCGAGCCAAGGTAATCACCAAAATCTGTTGTTTTGGCGGGAGTCAACAAGGCTCGGCTCGGCTCGGCTCGAAGCTCACACCAGACTTCGTACAATCCCAACTCGGATTCCGCCCCCTCTACATGCACACCTCGGCGGCGTATCTTGTTCTCCTCGCGAATCGTGTCCGAGGCATGATGGGCTTGATCGTTCGGAACGCAGCAGTGTCTCGAATAACGTTTCCTATCCAGGCGCAATAAAATCCCATTCTCCTCTCCAGGCATTGGGATCCAATAACGCACTCCAGCTAACAGAGTTGGAATTGTTTATATTTCGAAACTTTGTGGAGCGAGTTGCGCGATGGGTATGTGGACACGTCTTCCACGTGGGACATCATGAAGTTGGCCAACTGACTCTGTCAGATTGAAGCATTCTCCTCGGAGAATCCGTGTTCCACTGTTGTCCCCATACTAGCCCTCGAGTGCCCAGCAGTTTTGTTCTCGTGTCTTGCTATTTCTGCGAAGCAACTGGCTTTGACAAAGGCGGGAGATGAACTTCAAATAAAGGAAGACGTCGCGGTGCAATACTATCAAAAGGCCCTGAAGGCCTTCAGTACCCTGTTGATGAAACCTGATTCGGCACATAGCGATGAAATCCTGGCATCCAGCATCATGCTCTCCAGGTACGATTCGCCTGTCCTGCTTCTTGACGCGTTATTTTCTGCCAAAAACACAATCAGGTTTTACTGACTAGAACCTCTCACATAGTTATGAGATGCTGGACGTAGTCGGCGAGAACTTCGGCTCTCACCTCCGTGGTATTGCTTCTCTCCTTCAGTTGTGGCAAGTGAACGGAGATTCACCAGGGATAAAAGGGGTCGTTTACTGGACATGGTATCGATCAGATATATGGGCAGCTTTGCACGCCGGACGCCGTATGTTTTTGGACGAACACCACTGGGAACCACGTGCGGTCGACTCATTTGATGAGATGTCTCACGAAGAGATTGCAAACCGTGCCATGTTCCTGCTCGGACAGTGTATAAGCTTCTGCAATAATGAAAATGGTCTGGGTAGTGCGGAGACGGCAGAAACGTTGGACGCAAAACAAAGGATGAGAACCAAAATTCAAAATGGCCTCGAACAATGGAAACGAAAGCTCCCCCCGTCAATGACACGACTCGTTGCAAGTCGGGTGCTTTGGGAAAGCCAACAAGAAGAAGGGACAACGCACCAGTATTCACCCGACATTTCATCCATGTGGTTTGTGTTTCCGCATTGTGGTAAGTGAACAGCAAGCTTGAATGCCATTTCGAGCATTGGCTGATGAAGGAAGCAGCTGTCGGAATCCAAATGTCCCATGCAAGTCAAATCCTATTGGCACTTAGTGGACCTCCATTTCCATCTCAGCGACAGGGGCGAAGTACCTCTACCTCTACAGTTGAATCACTTTCGGTGCGACGGCTAATCAACCAATCGCGCGAACAAATTGTCCTCATTGCAAGTTCCGGAATGACCGACGCCTTTAATTTCATCTCCACGCAGTGTTTGTATATCGCAGGATTGGTGACCGAGGGTGTTCAGGAGCGGCGGCGTACTCTCGAGCTTATCGAAGAATGTCAGCGGCAATCCGGTCGGCGCACCGTCTGCATCGCTGACGAGCTTCGAGCAGCATGGGCGGAGGAATGGTAGCCCCGGCCGTTGTTGCTGATATCGAGAAGTTCTTCTGCGCGGGTCTATAAGCTCGAACTCGGTCTTCAACAGTTCACACTCTTCTTTTTAAACCTATGCCGATACTAGATAAGCTCCACTTTGCTTCCTGGTTTAATTCTAGCTAGTGTATCATAGTGCTAGTTTAAACTTCATACCAACTCGCCGAGTACGGGGCGGTTAAGGATGCAGGAAGATCAACAAGGCTAAGCAAGGCCAAATCAATATCTTAGGCTTAGCTTGGCCTCGGGAGTGTGATGGCCTTGCGTTATGTACCCATACGATGTACTCCAAGTGAAGAAGGTGAGCCGAGGACAAGTGAAAGTGGCAAGAGAATGGGCTACAAGGAGAAACCGGGTCCTTGGGTCTCGCGTAATGTTTCTATCGCCCCAGCTTTGCCCAGCACGCCAGTAATTCTGAACTCACTCGTTAGTTGTGCGACATTCGACCTTTCCAGCCATACAAGGTACGGGCGTCAATTTTCCAGGCACCCTTTTGTGGAGCCTCAACATTTCACAAACATTGTGATCATCCCGCTTTGGAAGATTCGGCGATGAATAGCATCGACTGCCCCTCGATCCAGCATTGGCATCGCTGTGAACGGAGAGACAACGGATATGGCAGGCACTGCAGAAAATGCAGCTTCAAGCGAAGCGGCTTTGCTTAATGCTGCGGACAGAGGCTTGCATTCATCTAAGCCACCACAGCAAGTCACGGTCTATGATGCGGTGGCGGGAAGAGCAGGCTTGAATGGATTTTTGAATGCAGAACAGAGGGTATCGGAAAATGTTCTGCCCATTGCACCAGAGGAAGTCCTTATACGCCGATCCACCATTCCGGAGCACACAATATACGAGTCGTATGATGCAGCAGGAGAACTTCCTGGAACCCAAAAGCTGCCCGAGTCTGATATGCTCAAAGCAATCCATGCGTACGCCTCGGATTTCTACAGTCGGGCCACGGAAGAACAAGGGACACTTGATTTTCGGACCCTTGATGAGACAGCTCTTATCGCCTTCGGCATTCTACTCGAGGAAGCGGTCAAGGAGGCCCTAGGGCAAAACGGGGATATGGTTTTCGTGGAACCCGAGGGACTCGAGCATGGGCTCGACGAAACAAAATTGTCCAAATATCAAGTCAAGGGTCGAGCGAAGCCACAAAAAGCGTCCAAAAAGGACTCTTCAGAAGACAGTCTGCAAGAGGACGAATCACCAACGAAAAGGCAGCGCCGTTGAGAAGGAATCATCAAGACATGGGCCTGATGGTTTGAGGTTGGTCATGTGTCCGCCCGAGAAACAAATCTACAGTACAAGTACTGGTCACCAACGGCCAAATTTTGCAGAGACCGGTTCCGAGGGCAGAAATTGGTTAGACGGAGCTTGTGGAAGGGCCTAGATCATCCCCAAAGCTTGACGTGAGGAAGCTTTTCTGCGTCTAGCTTGTCGCAGATGCAGCAGGCTCAAAATTTGGCCTAGTCGAGCCACTCTCGCATTACGCGCGACGTGTTCAGATGGACAGGGTAAGGGCGCTGAACCGGGGTGTGAGACCGTCAGCTTTGTTTGTGGAATGTGTACGAGGTGACAGCGAGGAATCTCCCTCATAGGCAGTTACCGGCAAAGAACCACATGCTCGGCATATGTTTGGGGGCGCCCAGATGGATGATACCCCAGGTCAATCCAGGTCCAAGGTGCTGCAAGGGTTGATGGCCTCACCGGGTAGGTTAGGTTAAGTACTGGGTAGGCGCTGTCTGACGCCATCCTGCTCACAAGGATCGCTCCCTATCCACGTCTAGATCATTTTCGGAGACGGTGTGTCATCTCTCATGTTGTGGGTGGCACCGAGGTGGTTAGGACAAGTTGGATTCCCGGAGATGGGGTTCTGTTCCCAAAAGGCGCCTACCGACCTTTTACTCAGGCCCTTTAGCCCCTAACCAGTAGGTGGCCATTGGTTTTCCTTCCCTGTGGCCGCCTGTGGGACACCGACTCCACCCGAAGCGCCCCCTACCTAATGCTTCCTGGCTCCCCTGCCGGCTAGCCCCTGCCTGCCCTTGCTCCTCCTCGTGCCCCTCAGGGACCTACCCAAACCTGCCCCACGAGAGAGGGAAAAGCTTAACAGGCAGCGCAGACGAGCAGCCTGCAGCAGCCTAAAAGTGGCGCCCGAGTAAACAGCCACTGCAGCTGCAGTCGCTCATCCATCATGATCCTCGACTGACCTTTCACCACACCTACCTATTCTCATTTGACGCTCACGGCTTCGACAACATCCTCCCGTATCTACGAATCCACACAAGGTGTCACCGCTGCAGGCAGATTCCTCGCCCGGCTACGCACGCCCACCTCCCCTGTCATCCATCCTGCACCTCGTACGGAACAAGGAGGCACAAAATAAATCAAGCTGAAGTGGACCAACACCACTGGACGACGAATATCCGATGACAACGACAGCGTGGACAAGTTGACCTGGAATCTGCCAGTGGATTGAATGAACGGTGCATGGCTAACTATTTCTAACTAGCAAGCAGCAATCTGACATGCACGTCCTCCTCGTCGAAAACTCAGAGCAACCCACAGGGAAAATTCAGTCCTCGATACGGGACGGCATGCCAATGAGGACCACTCCTCCCCTGCCCTCACCACCCACCATCGAACCACCCGTTCTAGATCAAATTAGATAAGTCCAGCAGCCCGGCTACCAACTACCAACTGGAACTTCGCGCCCCCCGTCGCCCCTCGCCGTGACCTTCACGCCTGCACCACCGCGACCCTAAACCTCTTCCTGCTCCCCCCGACGCCCTCTGTCCCCCCTTCTCCAGTGGCTTCCCACTTCCTCCTCCCGACTCCCTTTCTCCTGTCATTTCCTCCTCGATCAGACCACAGAACTCTCGACCTGCCAAGCTCCGAAGCTTGAATTCGCAGACAAGCATTAATCCAGCTACTCCATCTTCCATCAACGTGGTACACTACCACTGTTGACCGAAGCTTAGCCATTTTACCTACAACCTCGAAACCCCATACATGGTAACTGCGCATTGTCGTTGGTACCGGCATTGGGAAGATCGACGACACACCCTCCCTCCCTCCCTCCCTCCTTCGGTCGCCGCGACGTACGGAGCAAGCCTTGTCGAAGTCCCATTCGAAACTCCCGATATTCCCCCCCCCCCGGCCCGCCTACAGGTCGAACGTGACCATTCGAGGATTCTGTCGACGTCTCCTGGAGATATACCACCTACAGCGCTTCGCCATGCGTCGCTAAGTCGGAATATACCTGATACCACCAACTCGTACAAATCGGCGCTGTGGTCCCCGAGTTATTGCGCAGGCATCGAGCCTAATTGATGACGAAGCTGACTGTCGCTCCCGGCCGCAGCGCAACACTCATTAGTAGATGCACAAACTGAGCCACACTATCGGTTGGAGACGATCTCGAACTACCAACCTCGCCCTCAAAAAAACACGCACCCTTCCCACAAAGTCCAACCAACAATGCTCTGGTCGTTGTCGCCGTTATAGCAGTGAATGGCTCTGGTCCTGACGGCGATGCCTCTCGAGTCACTGCTGACGAACCCCAATCCGCCAGTGCCTCGGCCTCGTTCCATACTGTCCTATTTGTCCAATCCTTTAGGGAAGCATGCTCGAAATATGTTTGATATCGCTATTGAACCCGAAGATCCATTCAAAGTCTATTCGCCGGGTCAGATCGTTAAGGGCAATGTGATTCTCACTGTCTTCAAGGGTTTCGACATCACCCATCTGGTTGTGGATCTGCATGGATATGCGAAGGTTTATAAACACCAAATACCCCCGGGCGAGGGTCTTCCGGCACCTGAGAGTTTGATAAATGGCAAGGGTTCAAGAGGGGTGCAATATCATGGCAACGGTCTGGTGTCATTATTCCAGCATGAGCAGGTTCTCTGTGGCAGTGGCTTCCTCAAGAAACAAGTCTACAAGTTTGCGTTCGAAGTCCCTTTTCCTTCAAGGGGCCTTCCTAGCACAATCGATGTACGTTGGCCGCTTCTCTGCCCCTGCCATGACACTAACGCTGTGATAGTTCGAACGAGGAACAATATCTTATTTGGTTACCACCACTCTCACCCGCCCAACGACAATTAGCCCTGTGACCAGTCGGAGTACCAAAATCAAGTTTCAAGATTTGATCGATATCGAGCACATGTACACACCGAAATCACGGGTAATCACCTTGGAGCCCGTCTCTAAACGTGGCAAAGTCAAAGTCGTCAAACCGGCGTCGTCCCTAACCACCCAGACGACATCAAGTCCGGGCGCTGGCCCTCTGAGCCGAAATAACACTCAACACAGCACGAACAGCCGGAGTACCCATTCCATCGGCAATCCTCCGCTGAGTCCCGCGCCAAGCGAGGAAACGATGCAGACAAATGCGACTCCGGTAAGTAGCCCAAGCTTTCAGATCGCGGACGACGCATCACCTCCACAAAATCCAAGTCCGCAGAACAGCGATGCTAGAAGTAACACGACCTCATCCTCCGCCAATACTATTACCGCTACCGCCGAGCTTCCACGACATGGAGCGCTGCCAGGGGACACAATCCCGATCAGAGTATCCATAGCACATACCAAGGCAGATGTGCGAGGGATGGTTATTGCAACCTTATACCGCCAGTGCAGAATTGACATGCATCCTCCACTTCCACTTCCGAACAGATCAGGCAAGGATAAGAAGATGGAATACGAAGACGTTTATCCGAAGTCCCGGACAGGCCTTGGAGGACTGTACTTTTCGGCAGCTTCACCCAACAGTGTTTTCCGAAAAGACCTCGCTCAGACGTCCACGATGATGATTGTCAACCCGGCAACTATGACTGCCGATATAACAACATCTATTAAAGTCCCCGACAATGCTTTTCCAACCATTGCCAACGTTCCGGGCGATATGATATCCTTCACCTACCATGTCGAAGTGGTGGTCGATCTCTTTGGAAAGATCGGGGAGACTCGGCTGTGGCCAAGACTCACCTCCAGCGAGCCAACATTTTCTCAGAGTTCTGATGCCGGCAATCAAATAACTTCAGAGTGGTCTCTCCATATCTTAGACACAGCCCCACTACGTCGGACCAAAAGCGTCGTCTCATTCGAAATGTCGCTTGTGGTTGGTACCCAGGATAGCAGTAGGAAAAGACGACAGAACAAGCAAGCAGAGTATCAGCATTCTAGAGATCTGACTCAAGAACCAGACCAACCCTGGCAGGATTGGCAATATTATAATGAGGCTTACGATGGACAGTATCACGATGAAGCGGGATACCCTTATTACGATGGCTATGGATATGATTATGGTTACGATCAGAATTCCCAAGCTTTTTATCCTACCCCGGCACCCGAGATGATACCTCCTCCTGCGCCGGAAGAAGAGGTCGACGAGAAAACACGGCTACGAAGACAAGAGCAACTATTATTCCCAAGCGAGCCTCCACTAGAGGGGGAAAGCTCCAACGGCCCATTGCGGTATGCACCAACCGCCCCGAATCTGTCCTCAAACCCTTTACCAAATGTGGTCGAGAACCAGAATGACGGAAGCATGACACCTTCAACGCTGCATGCTCCTGGTTCAGTCACATCAGCAAGATCTGGAGATACTGTCCGACCATACTCAACATCCCCACCTCCACCCCCTTCTTCAACCAGCGGTGCCGGACATACTGATGACAAGCAAGAATTGGAACGACGTCGACTTCTGGCGCAGACAAGTGGGCCGCCATCAGAGGAAGAGGCGCACGTGGCAGAGGCCGCCGCCGTTACCTCTTTAGCGCCAACGGCACCCATGATGGACGACGAGTACAGTGTACAGATGCTGAATCATGACCATACGGGGCCGGAGCTGCCGCAGTACCAGCGTTGATTCGAGATCCCATTTTGGTGCCTTTTTACATCCTTATTTCGATCGAAGCGACGGCGTTGGTGGATGACTACTCGGATTTTGAATCTGAATGGATACGAAGCTTGAAAACGTAGGGCTTGTTCCCTGATGTCGAGCATCTGAAAAGGGCGATTTGAATTGAGAAAACTCATTGGGGTGGGATTTTGTTTTTCAATGTTTTGGCTGAACAGCAGCTATCATGTCTGAAATTGATCGTCGACCAGGTCGACTTGATGCCAATAGGAAATGATCGACAGCTCGATCGATTGGAAAGTCCATTGTCCTGTCCTCCACGATTACCCTGTTTGTCGCTTGTGAAGCACAGATGTGATGGCTTTCGAACAGAGCATTCATCCCCTTCAGCACGACTTCATCTTCGCGCGATGGGTCTAGCTTGACCATCTCATCAAAGCATGACATTTCTTGAATGCAGAAGGTTAGGCCCCCAGCATTCACTGTAATCCTCCTGAATCCTTTGCCTCCGGCCAAAGGCCATGCCCGGAGTGGACTTGACGAGCGAAGAATTTGGCGTGCCCTGTTGTCTTAGTATTGTCTTGGCGATTCCAAGCCGCTTTGGATATAGATTTGAGCATCTTGGTATTGTCTGGAGAGGGCTGTGCTGCTAATGAAGTCGCCTTCTCCATGAAACATGCCGAGAATGCAGTGATATCCCTAAGCCCTAGTACAAAGTGCGTGCATAAGGAAGGCCAGCGAGCCAGTCGCCAGCCGATATAGTCACGTGAGACGCACCAATGACGTTGCCGTCACGTGCTGTCTCGAGAAGCCGCTGGGCGCAGCCCTGAACTCTTGTGAACGCCTTTGACCGACCATTCTATTCACTGTTGCACATTATTATAACACCCACCCATCCCCAATGGACTCTGCAGCTTGCCAATCGTGTGGCTAATAACTGGTTTCCGTCTTTACTCACCCACTTCGAGACTCGCACGCTTAATAAGCTGCCGAGACCCGGCGTCCCCAAGTCCGCCCTGGCCAGCCCCATCTACGGAGTAGCCTTCGTCCGGTCGCGCCTCCGTCATCACTGTCTAAGAATGACGAGCGCCGCTTGCAGTGACACAATGGCAGCGCCAAGCGTCTTCAGCTGACAACAAGACCGGAGTATAGACACAAATGTCACCTGCTTATCAGAGGGGAACCGTAGGCGCACACCCGGTAATCCTCTTCAAGAATCCTTCTAAGAACCTTCTGGCGGCGATCTGCAGTGGGAGATAGGGGATCTGTGCATTTTTGGTGATAGATCAACGGGGAGCTTGTGGCCATCTTATGATCGCTGTAACCCGAAGAGCAGCGGAAAGATGTCATATTCCCAGAGATCGCCAATGTGTGCGCGTGTCACTCCAGCCCCGTCTCTCCTGATGCTGGACACAAAAGGTTGAAGGGCCGGTGTCTAGCTCGACGATGATTGGTTCAGACACCTGCCAAAGCCATCCCCTTATCTCGAGTCGCAGAGCAGCCCTGTCTGAATAGGCGATCCCAAGCAGCCTCCGTGGTAGTAGTGCATACGCCACTTCAGCCAGAGTGAGGTTTTACTGGTTCGTATACGGTATGCTCAATAAGGAGAATTCCCGCCTTACCACCTTCCTGTGCCATGGCCTTGGCGGCCTCCGTCTAACATCACACAACCCTGCGATCGCGTGGCATGGCAGAAGGCAAGTGGACGACGGCGTTGTAAAGGCAGGCGGCATCATGATAAGCCAAAGCCAAGGAATCAACAGTCATGCTTGGGTCGGCTTGACCTTCTTAAATCTGCATGCCCCGTGCCTGACGTTGATAAAAGCCGGGGATCTCTTCTCATCTCGGCCATCCTTGACAAGAACTCTCAAACTCCCATCTAATCGTTCGTTATGGCCGACATTCTCTACCTGGAGAAGAAATCGGAAGCCTCTAAGGTAGCGCCGACCAACGTCGCCCACGATGTCGAAGATGGAGTCATTCACGCGACCAAGGATGACAATCACGACGTCGAAGAAGGAATCCATCGCCAAGCGAAGCTGAGCCGTGGCTTGCAAGGTCGACATATGCAGATGATCGCAATCGGTGGGCTGTCCCACTCTCGGGAGTCGACATTTGTGCTAATAGTTGTCGTGTAGGGGGGTCAATTGGTGCTGGTCTCTTCGTGGGTTCTGGTTCAGCCTTGCAGTCTGGGGGTCCGGCCTCACTGGTGCTCGGATTCGTCATCATCGGTGCCATGTTGCTTTGCACTGTACAAGCCCTCGGCGAATTGGCGGTTTTGTACCCCGTCAATGGAGCCTTTTACGTATACGGGGTGCGATTTATCGACCCTGCCTGGGTTCGTGACCTTTTGCCGCTGTTTTGAGATCTTTCACTGACGCGGAGAGCAGGGTTTTGCCATGGGATGGCAATATGTGAGCGTCTTCGAGAGCCTCGCGCCCGTGCCAGTATGTGAATAATATCAGGCTAACAGACGGATAGGCTATCGGTTGGCTGATCACACTTCCCTTCGAAATCACTGCAGCAGGCATAACGATCGACTACTGGCATCATTACAATATCGGTATCTGGATTGCTGTGTTTCTCGCTACCTTGATCATTGTCCAGTTCTTTGGTGTCAAGGGCTACGGAGAAGGTAAGTGTCCTTTGGCAGGCCGAGCTGGGAGTAAGGAATCGAGCTGACGAAGACAAGTCGAATTTGTTCTTGGTGTAATCAAGATCCTTGCTGTCTTAGGATTCATCATCTTTGGCATCATCGTTGACTGTGGCGGTATCCCTGGCGATGACCGTGGATACATCGGCTTCAGATACTGGGACGATGCCGAACATGGCAACAAGGCTTTCCGTAACGGTAAGACATGTTTTGCAGAGTTGATGAGTCAACCGCAAAGCTAATATCATTTCTAGGCTTCAAGGGCTTCTGCTCTGTCTTCGTCACTGCCGCCTTCGCATATGGGGGAACTGAACTTGTTGGCCTCGCCGCCGCTGAGGCCGCCAACCCAAGGAAGTCGCTCCCAAAGGCCACCAAACAAGTCTTCTGGCGCATCGCAGGTTTCTATGTTGTCTCGCTGCTCATCATGGGCATCATTGTTCCCAACAGCTCCCCCGACCTTCTCAACTCCTCGGGCGCAAACACTAAAGCCTCCCCCTTCGTGCTTGCCATCAAGTACGCTGGTGTCAAGGGTCTCCCTTCGGTGTTCAATGCTGTTATCACCATTTCCGTCATGTCAGTGGCAAACTCCTGTACGTACGGCTCTACCCGCACCATGCAGGCACTGGCTCAGGGCGGCATGGGTCCCCAGTTTTTGGCGTGGATCGATAAGAAAGGCCGCCCCGTGTGGCCTATTGTCATCCAAATGGCATTCGGTTTATTGGCGTTCATTAACGAGGCCGCCACTGGTGCGACGGTCTTCAATTGGCTGCTCGCCTTGACGGGTCTGTCGTCGTTCTTCGTCTGGGGCTCCATCTGCTACAGCCACATCCGTTTCCGTGCCGGATGGAAAGCTGCCGGCCGCTCACTCGATGACCTGCCGTTTAAGTCGCAACTGGGCGTGTACGGGTCTTGGGTCGGCGTGTCACTCGTCGTGCTGTGTTTGGCGGCAACATTCTATGTTTCCCTGTTCCCTCTCGGCGGCGATCCGGACCCTGAGACGTTCTTTGAGAGTTACATTGCCGCGCCGATAGTCATGGCACTGTTTGCCTTCTGGAAGCTTTGGACCAGAGATACGTCTTTTATGGTGAAGATTCGTGACATGGACCTCGACACTGGAAGGAGGGAGTTTCAGGATATCCCAGAGGATGAAGAGCCAGAGAGGAAGATGAGCGTTGGCAGGAGACTGAGCAGAGCGATCTTCTAATGGATCCCTAGGTGCCGCAAGAGTCGCACACTCTCCATAGCGAATAGTGGGAGGAGACGTACAGGCGGTAGACTCCAACACCACTGTTCGAGATACTCCAGGTTTATTGTTTCGTACCGACTCGGTTCAATTCCAATTGTCAGTCAATGACCTCTTTTTTTTTCTTTCTTTTCTCTCTGTCTCTCAATGCGGCGCCCGCCTGACCATCTGACCGTATTCCCAGAACAGCCAGAACGTGTGCGCGATACCCCAGTACAGTTGCTCGGGGATGACGCAGCCTTTCTTCAGGCTCCGGCGGAGGGTTCGCATTCTGGATTGGAGGGGTGAGAGCGGAGAGTGATAAGTGATGTGTCGGGTGTCGTTTCTCTCCTGGCTTGGTCCGAGAGGAGAGCAAGGTAGGACAGGGTATGGTATTATTGTCGAATAAATAGAACAGACCCAATGATTCCGAATGTATGAAGCCAAATGAATAGATCACTAGGCCATTGGAGGACGACCCCTCGATCTTAATCGCGGTTGAGAAGCGAGTCCATCGTCTCCAGGGGAGAAGGGATTAGATAATTATGTATCTCCTTGACTCGGGTGTCATATAGTCGTTGGGTTCCTCTTGGTGGTGGTGTGCTCGCTAAGTTGGTTGTTCAACCACAGTTTGCACATACCTATCCCACGCAATTGTTCCGTGACATGGGTGATGGTGGTGAGTGTTGCGTATGCCCTCGCCTGTGCCACAGCGCCACAAAACCATATTGAACTCCTCCGTTGTGATTCGTTTGGTGGCTACGGAGCATAACAAGTACATCACGTCTCTGTTCTCCCGTTCGCGCAGAAGGAAACGTTGTGCCGGATCCGTCCGCGTCCACGGTCCAGTTGGGTATCTTGATGCGGTGATCTGTCGTATTGCCGTAACAAGTAAACTCTCGCTTCATCGGCTTGCGTGGCTCAACTCAAGCCAACTCAGTCCGCCGCCGTGCGATTGGCGGGTTGCTTGGGTGATTGGGTTGGGTTTGCTGCACCGCCACAATCTGGATCCAACGTGTCAGTGGTTGACGCCCGAGACTCGCCGGGTCAGGGCCGTGGGCCTTGGGCGGCGATGTGACAAGACGACGGGTAGACACCGCGCTGGCTTTGCACGGGAACTAACTATTACATACAAGTACAAGTACAGTACGGCGCGGAAGAGCACGGTAGGTATTAGCGTAGTTCAAAGAGGAAAGAGGAGGGATGAGTATCCCATCTGCAGTCAACTTTGCTAAGTAATTTCTTGGCATAGATATTCACGGCCTATTCAGCAACACAACACTCAGTTTATAGGTCAATGGCTGTGATTTCTATAGATATTGGCATGCCCCGGCCTATTCTACGGCTAGTTTGTACACAGGCAGACGTTATAGGCGGTGGTTGAGATGAAAACCTACCGAGGGCGCCTATCTGGCCCGCCTAGTCTACCAATCATCACAATACTCCCTCGGAGTCTCCTAAGTACTCTGAAACTTGGGCTATTATAATGGGCCCTTGAGGAGACTATTAGGAGCTTATATTAATGTGTAATATAGAGCAAAAGGATGGAGAAAGGTGGAAGTTTAGTGGTGCCAAGACTTTACTTGGCAAAGTTGACTGTAGATGGGATATAGTATATAACATGGGATGGTGATTTACAGTATTTCGACCTGTACGTCCACTTCTAGGTGCTCTAAGCTACTATTTTCAGCGATGCCGCTTGCGTGGCGAACTTTCTAACACAAGAAACTTGTCCTCTTCCTTGGACTTGGGACTTTGGAACTTCGTGTGGGAGAGCGATGAGCCCCGGAGTGGATTGGACTGGGCTTATTCGAATAGCCTGATCCATACTGCCCACTTGTGGGTACTTCTGGTCATATATGTACGGCCGAAGGACGGTATAATAGTGACGAGGAATTGCGGCGGAACAGAAAGAGGCCTATAGTAGTGCATGACATATACATCACATTTTACAATTTTCAGCACAAGGATGCAAATTCGGCAGTAATGTGTTTGTGCAACGCTGACTGAGTAATGATCATCAGGCTGCGGGACGTCGAAAAGGACTGAATAATGCATATGTTCGCTGCGACGACGCATGGAAAAGTTGGACAGGAATGCAGATCAAGTCATCTCAGGGATTCAATTGCTCGAGTCCATCTCTCAATCCTTCCGATCCTATCTCATGCCTCCCGTGTAGGGCCACATACCATTTGGTCTATCGCTCTATCGTCCGAACGGTCAATCAATTTTCCGACCTGGTAGATCCTTCTAAAGCGATGGCTCCGTGTAATCGCTCCCTGTCACTGAAGAAAGTGGATGGAGAGAATTGAAGCACAAAGGCGGAATGCTGAGAGTCCAAAGAGAAAATCCTCATCTCCATTTGCTAGTCAGAGGCGCGCTGCAAGTCAGATGTCGAAGATCTCCTTGAGCTGCGCAATGGTATCCTCGGGTCCCTTGACAGCGTGACCAATGGTTCGAGGGTCGGTGTAGATCTCCCAGTCGTTACCCCCCTTGAACGCCTTGTCACCAAAGAAATGGATGTTCTTGTACTGAATTCCAGACAGGCCCTTTGTAGGGTCCGCTTCGGCTTCAATGTGCTGCAGGCAATAGGTCTTGTCCCATCCTGTGGGGAACACGTCGAAGGAGATTTGACCGCCGATCGAGTACCTGCGGTCTGTGTCAGCTCAAAGCAAACGCACATGATCGCCAATATGCCCGTACGTAAGTCCCAAATCGGGGAATTCCTTCTCAATGGCCGCAATCATCTGGGGTCTACAATTGCTTGTCTTGTCCCAAGCCTCAAACTCATCTCTTTCTGCTTTGCTGGCATTACGGCCAACCGGGCTGACGTTGATCATACCGTTACGGAACTCGATGAAGGTTCCACGCATGCGAGGGAGGCCCTCGAGCTCAGAGAGATATCTCAGGCAGAATTTAGCCAACTTTTGGTACTTCTCTTCTCCCAGCCACTCGATGAAAGAGTGAGAGGTCATTGGCTGGCCCAAGCGGTAGGCTGTGAGGCCATTCTCGGCAAAGCAGAAATCAAAGAGGGTGGTGACGGGAAGAGACGGAGTGCCCAATTGTTCCTGCTGTTTGGCAAGGTCTGAGCCTCCTACCTAGTACAACAAGGGTCAGTTTAATTGGAAGTCCCTTCACTTGACCAGGGCTTCACATACGAAGCCGATTGCGCAGTTGTGTCGCAGCTTGGACAGTGTCTGGAGCATCTCAGCAGAAACAGACTGCCGTGCAGGTGTAAGGGTGCCGTCGACATCGAAAAGACAGATAGTCTCTTTGACTGGGCGGTCCTTGAGATCCGGATACAGCTCGGCCATGGTTGCGGCGGTGAAGAGTTCAATTGGGAGACGAGGGGAAGAGAATGCGGTTCAAGATCAAGATTGGGGGTTGTTTATATCCTCTAAACAACAAGAAGAGACAGATGTGAGAGAGAGAGAGAGAGAGAGAGAGAGAGAAAGGCACAGCTTCACCTTCGGGGTGTGAGTAGAGGACAGTTTCACCGTAACTTCGTGGCACTTTTTTTTTCTATGGACAGCTGCGTCGCCGCAACCGCGATGGCGCAGGTGAACGCGACTTGAAGCTGGCGGAAGGGTGATGCCCCGCATATGGCACCGGCTGGGCCCGCACAAGTCACATTGGCGCCATCACTGCACAGTCACCAACGATAAGGACACCTCAAGGGTACCTCTCCAGTTTAGGCATAGAGCCCCTTAGCCGCTTAACCACCTAGGTAGCCCCAACACCAGAGACCCCTTGATGAGTAAGTATACTACATGCCCATCTCTCATCCGTCTCTCACCTCCTCCATGCTCCTCTCACTCGCTGCCCACCTATCACCACTGACAAACTGACTGGCTCCTTCGGGTCTCTGCCTGAAAGCTCCGACTCTTCCACGCCGTGGTATCCTGCAGTACGAGCCGAAGAACTTACATCCATCATCGTCTTTTCCTGCTTGATTTCAACGTCTGGCAGTCGGAAGCCGTGAGCTCGACGGACAAGGGCCTATGTGAGGTCAAATGAAGCTTGAATCAGTGAGGCTCTACAGCGAAAGAAACCGATTTGCCCTTATTTTGTTCCATAGCCACCCAATGCGAAAACGGAAGACAAATGACCACACTACAACAGAAAATAGGATTAGAGGCCGCTGTTCAGTTTCCGGCAGATGTGAGCTTACATAAAGCAGGCGGACCACGCACCATCGAACACCTTTGTACCTGGCCTCACTGCCGACCTGTGCCACAACCACTTGTGCACCGCCCGATTGTTTCTAATTGACGACAATCCTCCCTACTGAGCCACTCCTCAACCCAAGAACCGACCAAGCCCAGCTCTCTGGCCCCTCTTATGATCATGACCTCATGCGAGATTTGAAAATGCTGATGAAAGGCTGACATGAATTGAGTACACTTGACGCCAGCCGGTGAGCAATGGCCAGTATACCGACAGAGTCACCACCCTCCATTGTGGTTTGAATAGGATCGTGGTATATGAAAACCCTCACCAGGCTGAATTAGAAGAAGCGATTTGAACTCTTCCCTCCGAAAGACGCAGGTAAGTGAATCTCTCCATCTTCCAAACTGCCAACAAACCTTGCCCCCAAGCGTTCTCCTTCCTCCGCGCCACAGGTCCAACCCGGACAAACAATGCCTCCAACAACCCCGTCAGCTTCGAAGACGGCCGAAGCAGAGTCGAATTCCATAGACCGAACTCTGAATTCATGATGACGAATGCCATTCCGCCAAAGCTGAGTGGGCACTGGGGGAGAGGGAATAGGAGTTTCCCTCTCCATTTTCGTTTGAATGATTGACGCCCAGATGTACATTCTCTCGGGTTTTCGCTTCACGCGCATTGGCACAGAACTTGTGACCTGTGGCGGAGAGCATAGACAGCCCTTGGAGCGACTCCAGTGTCGAATATTCTGCGGTCAGCCGGCTTCTGGGACTTGTCTTGCGTAGAAGAGCTCGCCTAGGTCAGCAGCCTAGCTCTGTTATATCCCGAAACCTGAATTCCTCATTAACTTCTGAGAAATTGTTGGCTTGAGCTTCTTCGGCAAATACGTGGTCATTGTGGCAGCGTGGCAGCATGGCAGGGGTGGCTGGGACTGCTCGTAGTCACCACACTGACTTTGTGCCAGAGCGTCTGGAAGAGGTCGCCAAGACTGGCCGACAAGTCTGTAAGTCTCGGTGGTGGTGTCCTAGTGATAGAACTGTGTCTCGACATTGCACCTAAGAACGCTCGGCGCTGCTGTATGCTTTTGTTTTCCTCAGAGAGAGGGGCCATTTCCAGTTCCAGCTCAAGTGACGTCCCAAACGACGGGCTCGGTGTCGAAGGAGAAGTTTTCTGAAATCTGCATGGCAAAGTTGTCCCATCCGAACATGCCAAAGTCGAAGCCGCCGCCGTTTTCCAGTGGCCAATGGCTTAAGTCGGTCATCTGCAGCGTTCCGTGCAAATCAAAATCGCTCTCTACAGCCCCTTCTCCTCCTGCCCCTGCCCCTGCTCCCCCTCCCCCTCCTCCTGTTGCAGCTCCACTCGCCACGGCAGTGTCTGGAACCCCGAGGCCATGGTCGCTGGACTGCGGCGTGCGCGGGGAATACGTCGACTGAGATCCGGCGGCGCTCGGACTGACGTCTAGCGTCAAGATCTGGTCGACGTATTTGTTCTTGAAGCGGCGCTTTTCGCGCGAGAGATGTTGGCGGTGTCGTTGGATGACGTCGGCGAAGCCGCTGAGAATCTCGTAGTAGTGCTCAGCCTGGGGGCTGTGGACGGAGAGGTTTCGGAGGACCTCGCGCGCGTTGTTGAATGAGTCGTCCATGTCGAAGCGGGACTCGCCCTGCACGAACATCGAGAATCCCAACACCAGGCCGGCGGCGAAGACCCAGGCCCTGAGAGAAAGTCAGCTCCTGGTTACCATCCGCGCGTGAGGCACGAGTGGGGCTGGCCAGATACTTACTTCATTATACACATCTGTTTGAGCAGAATACCGGACTGGAGGGCTTCGTAGCACATATTGGCCATGAGAATGGCCGAGTCAATACAAGCCTGAGCCACATCGACCACATCCGCTTGCGATGCGGATGTCTCCCTTGCGACGGAGCCGTCGCCTGTGCTCCCAGTCAATTGATGCATCAGATGTGAGATCAGGAACGGTCTGGTCACGAGCATCACCGCGAAGTAATATATGCAGGAGACGTGGATATTCCCAATCATTTGCTCCTGCTCCGGCAGTGTCAAGGACTGATCGACGGGCTTCTTGAACTGCCGCATGTCATCGGGCAGGCTGACGCTCCATTCTTGGAGACGTTCGAGGAATCTTTCGGCGGTGCGGAAGCCAATGGATCCGTCACAGTCAAAGCGTTGGGTGATCTCGGTGATGATCGTACATGCCCGGAAGCTGGCATTCAATGCAAGGTCGCGAGACTTGCTCGTGTGCATGTCTATACTGTTCAATGCGACGTGGTCGGTTCTGATTGCTCCCGTCGAGTAAGGCCTCCCTAGAATCGAGCAATACATGACATCCAGGACCCGAAGGCTCTTCAGTGTGCGTAGCCTATTGGAGTCAGTAGGGTGGAAGAATGAGGTCCATCGACGACGAAAACGACGACTTACCGCACGCTCTGGTCTGAAGCATTGAAATGACGATATTGCTCGGTGACATGGAGGCCTAGGGCGGAGGCAGCCTGACTGGCAATTCCCATGTACATGAAAGCAGCATTTCTTCGACAGGCTCCCAGCATGTAGAACGTCATGAGGAGGAAGCAACGCACCATATCAAGACAAGGATCCTCGAGGCCGCCAGCGAGAGCAGTCTTCTGCGCTCGCGAAAAGAGTCTCACGGCATACTGTCGATCGAATTGATCTGCCGCTCGGCATTGTGCCCCGATAGCAACGATAAGGTCGAGAGCAGCCGTCATATACTCACGTTTCTCGACAACTGGAGCGTTCACAGTTGGCAAATATGCTTCAACTTCCTCTCTGGCAAATAGGTCCAAGATTCCGTTTGTCTATCAAGGTGAGTGATCACCTCAGAGGAAAAGAAGAAGAAAAAAAAAACTTTAGATGCAACTTACAGCAGCAAAGTAGACATCGATCATGGCTCGTTTCTGGAGTTCGTCTTCGACAAAGTTGTTATTTGTGTCTTCAGGGCTTGTGGCCTCTAGCATGACATGGCGACGATTATTTTCGGTAAACAGAGATGGCCCCATCTGCTGTCTGATGGTCTGGCGAAGGAATTGCAGAAACGAGAGGGAAGCAAATCCTCCGATGTAGACTACAACCCATCAGCACTTCGGTGCTCGGAGCCCATCCAGTGACAAATAGGGCAGATGCGTACCTTTCTCTCCCTTCGAATTGAGGAGCATTCGGCCTCCGGTGAGCCTCTGGCCAGTTGACGCGGGCACGTCGCGCGGGACAGAATTGATGCGTCCCGGAACGGGAGTCGACACCTCTCTGGACGTTGAAGTCACATAGTTGGGTCTTTTCGCAAACTGGTTGGACTCATCCGCCGATGTCCTGAAGGCCTGTGGCTGGCTATATTGAGGCTTTGCTGAATGCCTGGCATGACCCGATTCCACATAGCGACAGGATGATGTGGCTCTTCGCCTGATGCAGTTGGAACATGGTTGTTGAGCGTTGCAGCGTTTCTTTGACGCCTTACACGGCAAGCATGCTTTCGCAGACCGCTGCCGATCCTCTGGTCGGACCTTGGGGCGAGGCATCTCTCCTCATATTGACGCCACCCAGAGTGTAGGAGAAGGACGTTATCAAAAGGTTGTGTGCTTAGGACAAGAGTCATTGTCGAGGTGAAGGGTGGAGATTGCACAATGGCAGATAAGGACAAGGCCTGTGAGGGCCCCCACAGTCAAAGAATACATAGGTACGCAAGATAAGGCACTCGGCCACTAGATGAGCGTCCATAGAGGAGAGGGGCGCCCATAATAAAGCCTATTCTAGTTAATGCCTCGGGGCTGCAGGCCTAAGAGCTACTTATGGGCTACCGAGGCTGTACTCCGCATTGGGTGAATATCACGCATCGCAGTCCTTGAAATCTGGCAGCTTAAACAGCTTCCTCGCATTGTCCTTGCCAATCTTCCTTCTGTCCACCTCATTGATCTCGGCATTGTCATACCACTCACACGCATCTTCGAACTTCTCGAACGGATAGTCGATCGAAAACAGGATCCGATCAGCCCCGACTTCGTTCAGGCAGAAATGTAAGGTCGGCGTCGAAAAGTGCCCGCTGGTGGTGATCCAGATGTTCTGGGCAAAATACTCCCGGATCGTCTTCTTGCATGTTTCCTTCAGCCCCAGCGGCTTCTTGACGTCTTCGAACCAGTGATTGATCCGCCAAAGGTCGAAAGGGAGGTGCTCGCCCAGGTGTCCGATGACCACCTGTAGTCGAGGATGTCGGTCGAACACGCCGTTCGTCACCATCCCCAGGAGATGCAGACTGACTCCATGGGCAAAACTCAGTGGAGGCCCAACGAGCCATTTCCTCGCCGCCCAGAGCTTCTCATACATGGTTCCCGTCGGATTGCGAGGATGCAAGTAGAATGGGACATCCAGTTCGGTCACCGTCGACCAGAAGACATCCCATTCCGCCGAGTCATAAAAGATCATGTCGTCTCCGTCAGAACCTGCTCGTTGAGTGTCGTTCACCAGCGCACCCTTGAATCCATACTGCAGAACGCAGCGTCGAAGCTCATCTGCTGCTTGTTTAGGATCATGCATTGACAGCGTGCTAGGGCAGGGGTTAATACTTGTTCAGCACAGATCGGAGGGTAGATGAGTTTTACGCAAATGCTCCAAACCTATCTGGATGAGCCTTGATCGTTGATGCGAGGTAGTCATTGATCTCAACAGCCAACGCTTCTGCTTCCTTCCTGTCGAAGACATCCTGGACTCCTGGAGCCGTGTACGACAGAATCTGATACCCAACTCCATATTTATCCATGTACTGAATTCGAATGTCGTTGATGTCGTTCATTTCCCGAGCATGCTTGTCTGGATTCACAGCGAACATGGATGCCCACCATCTTGTTCTCTCCGCAAATCGGGGTAAAGCGAATGCTTCTTCGAGGGCTACTTTGCCGAGCATTTTGAATCGAGCAGGGCTGAAATGCAAATACCGTCGATTTCCAAGGTCGATGACTCCTTTTATAGCGACGTTTTGGCTGTATCCTGACCGGTCTAACAAAGAGATGTTCCTCCAACAATTACAGGTGCTGAGGCGAGTGCAACGAGGGAAAGCTCCGGCGTCAGTCCGGTCGGATATCAGTCGAAGATCAACTCCTCGTGATACCGTTTCTCCAATACTCCACGCCCATACCCGACGGACAGAAATCGGCCTTGTCTGACAATGAGCTAGCCTTTCTTGTGGTTCTAATGGTTCCATATGGTCGGTCAGACTCTGCCCCTTTTCTGACGATATGGCGGATGAGCAGCTGCGCGGGCAGCGCACCGTGCATTACCCGCCACCTCAGCGAATCGCGATCTGAGTCTCTTGTTAGGAGGTGCAACCAGCGTCAGAGGCAAGTACAGCTTCTCACCTAAGAGGCTGCCAAGAGACAAACTGCTTGCGATATCAAGCGGACTTCGGAACTCTCCCTTCGAGTCAATCGTTCCCACCTTCATGTGATCGCGTGGAACGGGTGTGGTGCCGATCCATGAGGCATCCGAGAGAAATGTCTTGGGTCCTTGTCAGGCAGAAGAACCTAACGGGAACATTGCGAAGATGGAACAAATATTAGATGCTTGAAATAAATACCGGGCAGCGCTTCAGTGGAACAAACCAGAACTCTCGAACAGTACATCAGACCTCTTCTCTTCTCTCGTCATCAAGCCTCGAGGTTGAACTAGCCTGGCCACGGTCCTAGCACGAGTATCATCCACCCATCAGACCATATGGAAGAACGTTGGAAGCCGTTGGACGTCGCTGTTATCGAGGGCGGCATCGGTAAGTGCAACGACACAAGCAAACTATCAGGGGTGAAAATTCATTCTGACCCTGAGAAGGCGGTCTCGCGGCGGCAACATCTCTCCGTCGAGCAGGCCACAACGTGACCATATATGAGCAAGCCCACTACGCCGGAGAAGTCGGGGCCTCGATCAGTTGTGCTGCTAACGGCACCCGGTGGCTGGAAGAATGGAACGTCGACATCTCCATCGGCAAGACAGTGGTGTTGCAGAATCTGATCTGCCACGATTGGAAGACTGGTGAAGTACAGAGCGTCTATGATCTGTCAGACTACAAGGACTAATGGGGATGGGTAAGTCTCCCATTTCAAGTCGTGGAGAGATTCAAGGATACTCTTTTTTTTTGGTAATGCTGAAATGACCGCAGGTCTACAATATGTTTCACCGCGTCAATATGCTCGAGATGCTCATGCATTCGGCGACGGGTACTGGCGAAGGGACTCCGGCAAAGCTGCGGCTGAATCACAAGTGCAAGGAGATCGACCATGACAAGGGGATTGTGACGTTTGAGAACGGGGTGGTTGCGCAGCATGATATGATCGTCGGTGCTGATGGGATCGGAGTGAGTTCATTCTTTGCTTTTGCGAGGCACCTTTCGACATCTCTAACGGGCAAGCCACAGTCTGCCGTGCGTAGCACATTAGGGGTAGTCACGACCCGTAAACAGTCTACGTCCACCTGCTACCACTGCGTCATCGAAGCCAGCGAAGTCTCCCGTCTCGGCCTCCTGGACCTGACGGGCAACTGCGCCATCGAATTCTGAGGCGGCGTGGGGGTTGAGAAGATCGTATACTCACCCTGCCGGGCCGGGGAAATCAACAGTTTTTACTGCTTCTTCCCGACCTCCAAGTCCGACCACGCTTCCGAGGGGTGGAGCCACGAAGCCAGCGTGGAGGGACTGTTGGCTTTGTTCCGGCACGCAAAAGACATCAAACCGTGGCGCCTGTTCGTGCATGAACCATGCACACATTGGACCATGGGTCGGACGTGCATCCTCGGCGATGCCGCGCATCCCATGCTTCCGGACCAAAGCCAAGGGGCATGTCAAGCGATCGAGGACGCCGCGGCCTTGGGCCTCATCTTCGGCCGGGACTATACCTACACGTCCGATGTCGCGGCCGGACTGGCGCTGTATGAGATGGTCCAGAAACCCAGGGCCACGAAAGTGCAGGCGGCCAGTGCGCGGGCGCGGGAAAACATCAATGAGAGGATCGGCTTTTCGAGCATGAAGATAGGGTACAAAGCGGCGGTGGCGATGGGTAAATTGACCATCGACGAGATGAACCTGTACGACATGCGAAGATACGTCGCTGACGAGGCGGCACCGCAGCGCAGGAGCAGGAGCGATGTGATTTCCCACAAGGGCGCCTTTGTTCCGCTCATGTCGGTTTCCAGGATGCCAGAGCAGTGGGCCAGGATGTAATTTTTGATCTTCTCGTGAGGACACGGGGGCGTTTTGATATTGTTGGCGACGGTTAGAGTCCTTGCTGTCTTGGCTGAAGAACGTACGGGGTTGCATACAGACATCCATCTATACATGCATACGAAGTAATCAGGGAAGGATCAAGTTTCCTTCCTGGCTTCGAGGCTGCCGTTGAAAAAGGAGGTGGGAAAGGAGAGTCCAGCGTTTACTGGGTACGAGGTACATATGTACCTATGTACCTATTTACCGGGTACCCCCACCGTCCACCTCGTGTCAGCAGTGTCGATGAAAACAAAAGGTGTGATTAGAATAATACACCTCGTTCTGCTCAGCCTGGCTTCTCAATCAACTCGTGCGCCTCCCTGCCGGCCAACCCTGGTTCGCGTGAAGGAGTAATATTAGTTCTGATTGAATCGCCCTCTTTGGAATCCCGACACCCCGAAATTTGATCTTCTCGGCAAACACCACCCACCATAAGTAATGAAAGGAAGGGATGGATGGAGGTCCCGTACGGAGCACGGAATCACGTCGGATCCGGGTTCCAGCTGTGCATCATTCATTACCAGCCCAATATGGCGATATATCATTATGCCGGGGTGTTAAGTGGTTTCTGAGCTTGTTTCAGGGTTGTAAGCCATTCGGCCGATTGCGAGCTGGTTGATGATTATGGTGATGGGGTGGCTTGATGCCAATGGTGCCAGCTTGACACCAGCTTGATGCCATCTCGCTCCTTACAAGTTACGAGGAGCTACTTGATATTAACTAAGCTTGACGCGAGGCGAACAAACCTGGAAGCCTTGCCGCGCTTTCCGATCCTTCCTGCTCCATCTCCACACGTTGGACCTCAATTGGGGCACGCGCTTTATTTTTATTTTTATTTTCTTTCTCTGTCTTTCTCACCTGTCTTTCTCATCGCGTTCTTTTTCCTAATTTCCCGCTTGACAAGGCTCTCGGCGGGGGCACGAGGATCTATTCCCAAAGCTAGCTTTGAGGTAACCTAAAGAAAAAGCTAGAGGTATAAATAACATTTCATAAGGATTTGGGAGGCCGAGGCCGACCGACCGACCTTGCGGAACCACCCCCCTCCCCCTTTGTGATTATTTCTCGCAATTCATAGGCACAGGAGCTCCTTTGAGTGACTTGTCCCAATGCAGGTACTGTGCGAGTAATGCAAGCCTCTCATAAATTGTGGATAACGGTAAGCAAAGGCAAACCAGAGGGAAACAAGGGGGAGGGGAAAGTTTCATGGACCAGTTTATCTCGTCATCGTTATAAGGCCTTTCTCTCCCTCTCCCCTTTGCACAGGGACCTGTGTCTATGTACTTATATCTGTATTTCTTTCCTCGACACATCTCACATCTTTTCTAGAGTACGAGGATTCAGGCCTGCGAGTCCCCAGTCAGTCAGTCCACTCATTCACATTGCTTCCATCATCACTCATTAGGCCCCCTTCTCCAAACCCACCACACACCACTGTCTCTGTCTCTCCCAGTGTCTTTCTCTGTGAGCTTGAACAGTTCTCATTCATCCATCCGTCCATTTCATCCTTCGAACTCAAAAGCAAGCAGCAAGAAGCACCAAAAAAGATGTTCATCTGCATTTCCATCTGGTACTCCGGCCTCGAGTCTATCTTCCTGAGCATCTACGGCATCTACCTCCGCCACGTGTACGTGCCTGGTCTTCAGAAAAAGTGAGATGGCAGGACGGTTGGCGATATCCGTATCGACGCCAATGCCAACGTCGACATCGAGGAACCAGAACTCCAAATTGGACCATTGGAGCTGTTGAGAGGAGGAGAAGAAGGAATCTCCAGTTAAGAACTGCGTCTCAGGACTGCCGCGGTAAGTTCCCGCAAAGTCAATGTGTTGAGAATGTTGGACCAGACAGTTGATGAAACCGAGCAGCAGGCCGTCAATATACCCCACAACCAAACAGCCGGTCATCTTCGTATTCTTCGCCCCTCTGTTCCCCAGGCGCCCGCTTGGTAAGAAGAGAGAGGAGTCTAAAACCGAGACGATACGCGCGCACACTGTGGTTCCCCCGTACGAGGGGACGAAGAGCTGCGTTCGGAAACAAACGGAGCAGTTGGGGTGCCATGGAAAAGGGAAATTCCGAAATCCAGCCCGGGGGACGACAATATTTGTGGTTCTGAATGGAATGGATGATTTTCAATAGGAGAGGAAATAAGAGACGAGAGACAGAATTCATGTGTATGCATGACTTCTGGAAGCCACACGTCGGGTTTCTCGCTCGCCCACGCCTCGACAACATGACAATCTGAATGGCACCATTGGGCATGAGGAAAGGAGCCAACAAGAAATCGAATCGAGTCGAATCGGGTCGTGGAGCTGGGACGAGGAGCGTTTGCCAGCCCAGACACAGACCGGCCCTACGCACGCAAGGCTGAGCGACGCTGAACGAGGCTGGCCTGACCAGAAACCCCTGGCCAGCCTCATCAATACAAGCCAGGGTTGATTGATGACCATCAAATTGCTCCTGAGGTCAAGTACGGTATACATGCGCAAGTACTCCGTACCCAGGCTAGTTGTTCATTCGTATCTGGCAACACTCAGCTTTTGAGGTTGAGCAGAGAAGCCTCTTCATCTCAACAAAATGTGCGAGTAATCTAGTCTATCCAGTCGTGAAATAGTAGTGGGGATTCATAAGAGAATGAATGCGCAACAACCGGCCGTCCATATCCCCAACAGTATGTCGAGCTGACAGTCGCTTTTTCCAACGCATCTCTTTCCAGATCGCTCCATTTTGGACGCACATGCGCGAGATCCGCGACACTCTATCGCCTCCAACGCCCACGCAAAATGCTCAATATAAAGATCCGACAGTGGTCTCTCATGGTTGCCCACTAGGCAGCTATACCTCCAGGCTTCATGCCCTTCACACTCTTCCACTCGACAAACACGGCCCCGAGAATCTGTAAACAGGTCATCGCCACAGCGATATACCATGTCTGCGTCAACGAGGTGTTGTACGCTGTCTGTACACCAGGTAGCAGCGCTTTTGGAATCTGATCCTTCAAACTCGTCGCCCCAACGTGTAAGATGATGGCCGGAGCAATCCCCGGTGCCTGTTTGGGGATTTCTGACATGAGCCGGTTGTTGAAGATGTTTTGGGCCACCGAGACAAAGAGGGCTCCCCCGAATGTTTGCATGAACATGACCAACGCAGTGCCCGTAGGAACATCCTTCAATGGGAGAACGGCCTGGACAGTGATGAGGGCTTGCTGCATGCCTAGCCCGACGCCGAGGCCGTAAATAACTTGATACCCAATCCACTTGTCGTGGCCCGTGGTGGTTTCAAACGTTGTCAGGAGACCGGCGCCGATGGCAGAGAAGACTACGCAGCCATAGTAGAAGGGGGCGTAGTACCCGATCACTGTTGTCCCCACACCAGTTAGGATGTTCGCAAGCACGAGTGCCAGGACCATCGGCAAGCACATGATGCCCGATTTAAACGCAGATGCACCCTTGATGGCTTGGAACCAGATGGGCACCCAGTAAATCAACACAAAGAATGCTCCGCCGAGGGCAAATGCGAACCAACAGGCAGATGCCACGCTTCGTTGTGAGATGATGTTGAATGGAATGGTTCCAAATTCCTTCATAAAGTATTGCCAGATGACGAAGACGATGGTTAGGACGCCAAAAAGAGTGAGGCACAGAATGATCCGCCAGTTGGACCAAGCGTATGTGGAGCCGCCCCATTGCAGTGCCAGAAGGCAAACCACAATGTCAACGATGAAGAGTGCAGTGCCGACTAGGTCAAGTTGATGGGCGCGTTCTCTGAGAGGCACTTTCTTCTCAGCCTTGCGGACAGGAGAGTGGAAGAAGAGGAAGATGACGACCAGGGTCACACCGCCAAGAGGGAGGTTAATATAGACTACATCTTCGGTCAGCCATGTTTTTGAATGGTCGTCGGTTCATCCTTCACTTACAACACCACCGCCAACCCGGCCCGTCGGTAAAGGCCCCGCCGAGTAACGGGCCAGCAATCGACGCAATTCCATACATGGCCCCGATAAGACCGGTATAGATTGGTCGTTTGATCAGCGGGACAGTGTACGCGATGATCACCAATGCGCCACTGAAAATGCCCGCGGAGCCGACGCCCGCTATCGCACGACCAACAATCAGGGCATCGGAAGTTGGGGCGGCACCACAAACGGCAGACCCGACTTCAAAGATGACGATCGAGACCAGATAGACCGTCTTGATAGAGTAAAAGGTGTACAGCCTGTTACGAGGTTTAGCTAACGATGTTCGCTCACCAAGCCGTTGGGGGAACTGACTTTCCAAAGAACAACTGCAAGGCACAAGTGGTGAGCAAGTAACTCGACCCATACCAACCGACGTCGCCCAGAGACTTGAAGTGATCTGTAATCTTGGGGATGGCCGTTGCGATAATCGTATTGTCCAGCGCGACCAAGAATACAGAAAGGCAAAGGGCAAGGGTGATGAGTGCCAGTTTCAATCCTCCCGGATAGACTACTTCATCGTCGTCCTCGGGGCCGGCTGGAGCAACCACACTGGCTGAGGTTGTGCTCTTTGCATCGGTCTGGATCTGTATATCCTCTTGCGTCTTGTCTCCAGTCCCCGGTGAGTGTATGGAAACATCTTCCGTCCTATCATCGGTCTCAAGTCCCTTTGCGTCCACGGCAGGTGTCTCTATGTCTCTACTCTTCTCCAATGAAGATGTGTCCGAGACATTCTGGCTGGGTACGGCGGTGGTATCTGCGGATTTGGCATTGTTCAGGTCCGGAGGCTCGAGAGTGGCTGACGCTGACGACGCTGTCTTTTTCGTAAACAGACCCATTGGGAGGGTCCTCACACACCTCTCTCTCTCTCCCCACGATGATGCCAAGGACCGCGATCGCTCTTTGAGGCTGAAAGGATTCAGGGGGCCCAAGGCTGTGTGTAGGACTTGTGTGTGGGGGCGGTCGAGGCTTCGCAAATTGTCGGTCGAGAGGGATTCGATGTCTTGCAGCTGAAGGTGCTTACTCCGTAGTCTTGTTTCAGATCTGGGTTCCGTAGAGGGGTGGAAGTCCTCTATTACTAGAGAGGGGTTTCCCGGGAGATAGAAGTCTGGCAGATGTCCGTGGTGTAATAACAGAGAGGCGAGGAATGCTGGGTGAAAATGTTAAAAGTGCATGTTTGAGAATTGTATTAAAACAAGGCCTAGTAGTAACACTCAAAGCAGGAACAGGGCCCGCGAAAGAAGAAGGAAATGACCCTGAACCAACAGAGAGCAGGGAGAAATTCTATGCAGAAAGACATCTATGCGGACTTGAGGATATATACAAGGCACGGAGTAGTTGTGGTTAGCGGGTGGGTAGAGGACAATTTGCGAGGAATCGATCCCCAAGGCTTTGGTGCAAGGTGGAAGAAAATGGCGACGATTGGGGGGTGGTAGCAGTGGGGGAGGCCGCCACCAGCGAGATCTTGGGTGGCCTGTAGGCCTCGCTAAGGGCTCCGGCGCCTAAACCTCATCGGACCAGCTGGGCACGCTAGGGGCTTTTAGGGCTTCCAGGCTCTTCGCCTGCCAATGGCGATGCTGGCAGTCCCCTTTCCTGTTAGGTGTCGATGGGACGGACACTCGGAGGCCTTCTCTTCCACCATCCGATCCGAGTGGCCAATGATTTTCACACAATACAAAGAATACGATTTCCGGTTAGCCATCACCCTCATCTGCCTTTCTTCTTCTTTCTTCTCCATGTCGTCAACAAGGCCGGTCCATGACGCGATGAACTGTCAATTCCCAATTCCAAGACGAACCGTCAATCGTATTCGCATAATGGAAGTCTTCTCCTTCCCAAACAAGCATTCGTCTTGCTGTGGTACTGTTTCAAACTTTGCAGATTCGCCAACAACCGGGAGAACTATTCGACCGTCTGGGGCTCCGCAGTCTCCATACTCCAATTTCCTTTCTTTTTCCTCTTTTATCTCCTGTCTACAGTAGAGGGGACTCGGGTTCCGGTCTCTTTTCACGCCGAGTGGCAATCCGCTCAAATCACGTGCTGGGTCGAAGAGTTTCGCTTTCCGCTGCCGGATTCAGAAACCGAGTCTTGAGTTAAGGAAGAGTTGGGTTAGACGGCATGAATCAGACAGTGCGGAGTAACGGGGACAAAGCACATATGTAGAAGGTAATGGGGTGCCTCACGATCAGATCCCAAAAAGCCTCGAGGTGCCCACCGACCTCGATGTCGATTGACCTCTATCGACGTTTCAGGCCGTGCTCAACACCATCACATAGCTGCCATAGCAGCCTTGACTTTGACGATGCCTTTGTTGATGGCAGGGGTTCTTTTGCCTGCCGACCTGTCTATTGCTGTATGTACAAACACTTCCCCCGGTCATCCTAATCCATCAGGTTGTCTCTGTTCACCTCTTCGGCCCCTACGCCTTTTCTCTCTTCTCAAACTCCACCACAGCGGGGGCCATTGGCCTCGAAAATAGACTCGAATAATCCGTGGGCACCAACTCCTTGCCCTCAATCTGTCGCAATTTCACCAGTCTCACGATCGTAGCGAGCACCGCTCCCAACTGTACATACGCAAATTGCTCGCCAATACACCGGTGTCGGCCCGCGCCAAATGGGAGATATGGTGAAGAAGCACCCTTGCTGATCATGCCGTATCCGTAGTCTTCGAATTCTTCCTTATCCATGCCCATTCGCGTGTATGCAAGGGGGTGACCTTCATCCCAACGGTGTGGTTCCCAGGTCATTGGGTCGGGGAAGAACTCGGATTCTCGCGACGTCACGCCAGGTGCGGACAGAAGTGTGTGGGTGGTCGGTATTTGATATGTCTTCGTCGTGGTGGGAGTATTCGCCACGATTGTCATCGGCGACTTGACCTTGCGAAGAATGCTGTGGATTGGGGCGTGTAATCTCAATGTCTCTTTGACCACCTGGGCATTCAGGGTAAGTTTCTGCAGGTTCTCGTATGTCAGGGGTGGCAAGTCCTCCCCTAGCACACGTTTTTGCTCCTCCAGCAAATCCTCCTGGATATCTGGTCTCGTTGCAAGTCTCAATAGAATCCAACTCGAGGTGGAGGAAGATGAGTGTTGGCCCGCCATCAAAAGCGCAATCATCATATGTGCCACTTCCCTGTCGGGCACGGGCGTGCCATCCTTGTAGGTGCAGCCCATCAGATTCCAAATCATGTCTTCATCTCCCTTTTCCCGCTTGCCGCCAGCATCGCGTCGTTGCTTGATGATTTCCATGTACGTGTCCGTCATCTTTTTTTGTGCAATGTCTCTCTTGCGGTTATGCGGGAGAGGAGCCCATGATAGCATGAAGTTGATGGGCGAAAACCCCATGTCCAGGTCGTGGTACAAGTCAGCAAAGGTCGAGTCGAATTTGGCCCGCACTTCAGGGCCCTGAAGCGATCGTGACGCCGTATAGATAGTCAGCTCGGCCATGGTGGGGACAATGTCAATTTTCCCAGAATGAGCCTGAAAGACCTTTCCCTTCTCCACGAATGACCGCGTCTCACTCGAGATCAAGTCGACATAGGACTGAAATGCCTCCATAGTGAGCCCAAACTTCACAAACTTCTTCTGTTCCATCAATTTTGAGTTTGGACAGTCGTACACCACACCTTCCCCAAACACCGGTGTGGTCAGTCCGGTATATATCTCCTCAGCGTTGACATCCTTCAGCTTGCCATTCAATATGAACTCGTTGCCCTTGGTCCCCAAACAAACGGTGACTCGTCGGCCAAGCAGGATGAAGGTGAAGACGTCGCCGTATTTTTCTTTGCAGGTGAAAAAGAAGTCGAAAGGGTCCATGCCGTACCATATTCTAGAGGTCAATCCATCGTTAGTCAAGGGGCGATATCCTCCTTTTTCAGTAGAACGTACGTATTTCCCAGCACGGGGAACCAACTCCAGACCTCCGGCGGCGCGTTCTTATCTTTCAACAAGACCTGCCTCACGACATTCCATGCCACGCAAAGCACAAGGAAGGCCGCAAAGCCAAGGAGAGCGAGTTGCCAGATGGGCAAAGAGACAAGGAGACGCTCGGCCGGCTTTGACAGTGTCGCGAGCAGACCCATTGTTTATCCTCCGTTGCGCGAAGGGGCGGTGCCTTTAGGAATGGAGGTCAAGTGAGGGTGATGGAGGACAGAGGCGGAACGACAGAGGGAGGGAACGAACGTGGGTGTCGTGAATTGATAAGGAGTATGGTACTGGGTAAAGTTGTTGGTGGCAGCGCAGCCGAGTATTTAGCAAGTGGCCGCCAGAAAATTAATTTGGGCGATTGATGGATTCAGGTACACGGCCAGTGTGATTGGCGAAAATTCCCATCTCGCATCAATTTATCCGAATCGAGCCACTGCGGTGGGTGGCACCGGTGGCACCACTCCAAGACCGTTCCCCTTGTTCTTTCCCCCTCACCGCTCAGCCTCGTCAGTCCACCAACCCGCCGAGGCTGAGTCTCTCAATACCATGGCAGACACGCAAGTCACGAGAGCTGTCTTGCCCGTCTCGCCGTCTACATACACCTGTAGCCGTAAAGTCCTAATCTATGCGTGCCTTGTACTTGTATGATCTACTACTAATACAGCCATCTCTGCGAGAATCTCATGTCGCACCTACAGCTTCCCCCCCACAACCCCTTCTCTCAAGTACCCATTGCTTTTCAGCCATCCCCGCACATCCTCCCCATCCCTCTTCAACCAATTCGCCTTTGCCCGGATGCTATCCATACTCTGCTGCAAGCTGCGGTCAAATCCCTTCTTGTCCTTACCCCCAAAGAAATCCTCAGCCTTCTTCAATTGTGCATCAGACGTGAAGCCAGCCACACAGATGCTGACCACACTACTCAGCATCGTCATGCTGGGAGGTAGTTTCTCCACAAGTTCATCCCAGTTGGCGCACATCCATTCCCATCTTCTCTCGATGCCCTCCGAAGTCGTTCCCAGGCCGCCAATGGGCATGTATATGTCTTGCATCTTGACTTGTCCGCTCAACGCAAAGTCAAGCGTCTTCTTGATCAGTTGTGGACTCTTTGCCCGGCCAAGAGTTCGCAGACAAGTGTTCTTTTCGTCCGAGGTTGGCGCAGAGAGATACCTAGCGACCAGTGCATCCCATTCCTTCTCTCCTCCGTCTCTCAATGCCATGGCAAATACCGACGACCGGAGGTTGGGGTGGATGGCCGAATAGTCACCTTGCATGAACCTCCCAAACATCTCCTTTGCTGCGGCTTGGATCTTCGCGTCGCCTGCAAGGCCCGCAGAGCCAAACATCAGGCTCTTGAACTGACTCAAGATGTGGTCTTCATTCTCTGAAAATTCCCATCCCAGCTCGTGCGCCTTTGCGGAGGTCAAATTCAGCTGGAATGCCTTGAGAGCATCTTTGACCGACTCGTCCTCAAAGATCCAGGTATTCCTCACGGCATTAATCCGACTGAGAATCTCGTTCCATACTACAAACTGTGCCTCGGTATTGAATGATTGCAGAAGACTCAAAATGCCCGATGTCTTGCCGTATCCACTAGCGGCAAGGGCACCAGCATCAGCGATCATGCCGGCTCGATCTTCAACCGAAAGCAGGCCCTTTTTCGCTGCCTCGCCAAGCTTTGCGAGTCTCTGTGGCGTGTAGCTCGTCCGGTAAAGCGCCGAGTGGTCTGCATTCAATTTGTAGAAGTCCAACCCTCCCTTGATGCCGAACGTCTGCTCCCGCTCAGTGAGCATTAGGCTCTCGTCCACCCCATCCTTGGTTTTCAATCCGAGAATCACCGGGTAGAGGACTTTATCCTCCTCTGGTTTAACATCACCCGTGCGCAAGAATCTGTTCTGCTTGACTGTGATGGTCGCGTCCTTCTCGTTTTCAGTCACCGTTATGACTGGATACCCAATGTTCTTCGTCCAAATGTCCATCACGTGCGCCACGTCCTTACCGCTCGCCTCGCCCAGCGCGTTCCAGAGATCGCCGGTTTGTGTATTTCCCCAGGCATGTTTCTTGATGTACCTCCTCACCCCTTCGATGAAGGCGTCTTCACCGAGATACTTCGAAATCATTCTTAGGACAGCCGATCCCTTGGAATATGAAATGGCGTCGAAGATCTGGTTGATATCCTCTGCACGATGGACGGGTACTTCGATCGGATGAGAACTTCGGAGCCCATCCAATCCCAGCGCCGATTGCAAGGTGTCGATCACAAAGGTCTCCCACACTCTCCACTCCGGGTAGAACTCGTTACAGCTGTACCAGCTCATCCATGTCGCAAACCCTTCATTGAGCCACAGTCCGTCCCAAAAATCCATTGTCACCAGATTCCCGAACCACTGGTGTGCCAGTTCATGCTGCACAACCTCTGCCACTCTCTCCTTGGTCGCGGCGCCCGCCGACTTCTCGTCGAAGAGGAGGTCCACCACGCGGTAAGTGACCAGACCCCAATTCTCCATTGCACCAGCGGCAAAATCAGGGATTGCCACCATATCCATCTTCGGCAATGGGTAGGGAGCTTGAAACGCCTTCTCGTAGAATGCCAGAGTCTTGGCAGCAACTTCGAGCGCAAATCTTCCATCTTCCTCGTTCTGCTCCGGGGTCATCCACACCTTGATAGGTAGTCTGAATTTGTCCGTAGAGATGGACTTCAGCTCTCCAACAATAAACGCCAATAAGTAGGTCGACATTCTGGGTGACCGATTGAATTTGACTGCCTTCCTCTTCCCTCCGGTGATCTCCGAGTGCACAACCTTGGTCGAGGCAACATCCATGTTCGACAGGCAAGTCATACCCTCGTCGGCGATCAATGTGACTGTAAACTCTGCTTTCAGGGCAGGCTCATCGAAACAAGGCATCGCTCTCCTCGCATCAGTGGCCTCAAACTGGGTGACTGCCAAATACTGCCCATCCTTCCTCTTGGACCTGTAGAATCCGGCCATCTTGTCATTCAATTGACCAGTGTACGTATGTTTCAATTGAACCTTTTGACCCTTGGAGAGGGACTTGCCTTCGCCAAGATCAATGGCTGTAGTCTGTGTGTCCGCATCGTAAGAGAGGGTCGGGGAGGAAGTTACAAGCGCGCCATCTGCGTGAATGGTCGTCGAGTGGATTTCGAGCTCCAAGGTATTTAAGGAAATAGAGGTGCTGTCCTTGGCGATGTCGAGGTCAATAATGACAGTTCCCTGGAAGGTGAACTTGTCGAAGTCAACTTCGAGAGTTACATCGTAGTGCTTCGGGACGACATTTGTAGGGAGCACGACCCGGCCTTGGGTTGGAACGGCGCCGGGCGAGTCGGACATGAAGCGGCACATGTTGGCAGTAGGAGAAGCTGAGGGTCGCAAGTATGTCGAAATTGCCGGAGTCTGGGCGGGCGACAGCTTCGGAGAACGAGGTCTTAAAGCTCCGAGCCTTGAAGACGAAACGGAAAATGGTCTTGTTTGCAGTGCCGGTGGCCGCGCAGAAAACTGTTTGAGGTCGGGACGCAGGCAACTGTTCCTGACGTAGGCGTGGTACGAAGTTTGCGCTTGAAAGGATCGTCGAAGGATCAGTGTTTGCAGTCGCTGCAGAGGGAGGATCCGCGGTTCAACAGCAAGACCGGTAAGAGACCGTGTGTAGAATGGCTGCATCTATTACTCGTACTCAGCCACTGGCGCCTGACTGTTCAACAGAGAAAAGGTCAGCTCCCGTCTAGAATCAAACTCAAAGGAAGGGAGAAGGAATGAAGGGATTCGCTGTCTGAAGCCGCTCGCCAGGGAGGGAGAAGGTCTCGTGCGCTATCCACCAGCCAGCCACCTACTTGTACAAATACGAGGTAGTACTTACACAGTGCCCAATGGGGCAAGTGCGGCGAGTTCATGTTTGTTCCCCGTGACTTGCATTTCTCCTCCACCTCTTTTCCTCTCTCTCCCTCCTTTTCGACCACAAATACTCCCGACCGAGCACATACCACGTCGTCTACGGTGTGGTGTCTGTATCTTCTGCCTTGCATCTTACTCCCGCCTGTCAGATCCGAGGCGTCACGATCTCCGGCCTCGTACTCGGCTCCTGCTGATCACACACTAGATGCTACTATGCGAGGAAGGATGATACGACATAGGTTCGGTCCCAAAGGATGATCTCTCACATCATACCCACCTGTTGGTTCCTTCGACGAAGCTGCCACTGGATGTATTGTGCAAGACGGTTGGTGGCGGCCCCCAGCCTCGCTGACCTCGATCACTTCCTTTTTGTAGCTGCTGACCTTCTCGGGTCGGTAGCTTGACCATACTCCGCACATTCCACAATCACTCCTTCACGATTCCCTCAAGCGGGCAAGAAGCGGCGTCAAAATGCTCTACATCTCCGTGCATTCTTGATTTGTTTTTACTTCCTTCTTGCTAGAACGAGATTACCCAGCAGAGTTTGAGGAAGTCACTTATTTAAATGGGTGACTCTCCATAGTTGTCTGGCACATTGTTGATAATCCTGGATGAAACAGTAGGAGGGGAAATAACCATGGAGGTCTCTTTTCTTTGTACTGAAGATTTGATCTCGATCTCTTGCCTCAGAGCCTTCATTGCTCTGCCTCAGCGATGTCAGAAAGACCACCTCAAAAAAAGGCGTTGCCACCAGTTCGTATAGACTTCGAGCACATACATAGTCATGCCCATGCTCATGGCTCCGTTCCGTATAAATTCCCCCCTTCACCGTCGAGAGTATAGCGCAAAAGAGCTAGGTATACACACAGAGCCAAATTGCCCACGCCACAACCAAAAGAGAAGCTCTCTGTTCCCTCCCCCAAGTAAAGCCCGTTCGAAGTTCTTGAACCGTCGCGCCAGCCTTCATCACATTTTCTTTAAAGTTCAAGTCGTCCGTGATCTGCATGTCATGAGCGGGTATCTTGTTCCATTCCGTTGTCCAAAATCTCCTTGCACGGACCAAAGCTCCACCGTCTCTTGCCTCATGTACGTAAGCCCTGGTGAGCTTGCTGAATTTCATCCGAGTTCAAGTTGGAAAAAAAAAAAGTATAGACGCCGATGGTATGCCACACCCGTGATGCCGAACGCTGTTCAACAGTGATTGCCACCGTCACCTCAACCCCAGAGAAACATTGGGGTGGGAAGATGTACGAAAATAAAACAAGTAGGATAATTACAAGCCAAGAGAGTCCACACGCACCAGCCTGAAGTCTTGTAAAACTCACTCTCCTGGCCGAGAAGTTCGAACAGACGCACCATTATATGCCAAATTGTGGCCACAGGACGACGGCTCGGGAGACAGCATTCCTGGGTCCATCCTAGACAAGCGCCCCCCAAGACGTATTCATGATTTCGTAAACTCGATCAGGTCATGACCGCGGAGGTGTAGCTGCAGTACCTGTAGTTGGGTTGCTACTCCGGTACGAAATAGGAGGAGATGCCCTGCTTGGAGAGGCAACGGCCGGTGCCGATGCACGCTTCTGGATGACTTGAAGCTTTCTCCGTATGATGGTCAGGCGTTGACGAATGCTTGCCACCACTGTAGGTAGAATGGTTAGCGTGTGGACCATCCCGCCAGCCGTGCTTGGACAGAACTTACAATTCTTCACGGTCCTCCTATCTTCAGCTTCCAGTCCATTAATGGGAGCCAAATCCTCTTTCTCATCTTGATCGCTCGTGCCACTACCATTTCTGGACAGGTTGTCGTCGTCATTCTCCAGGACAGCTTCTAACATCCGGATTGCCGTAACATATGAGATCTCGCATCCAACCAGGTCTTCATTGGTCAGCTCATTGATTGCGGCTGCTCGACTCATTTCCAAGGCTCGGTCATACATGAGCTTCTCGGCAGTAATGCCAGAACTCACAACCACTTGATCTGCCGAGGTCCCTAAGCCGGCACTTGATGCAGTTGTGGTCGAGACGTTGTTGGGGTGACTGGGATGATCTTCAGGCAGGCGCCGCTGGCTATCGATGAGTTTCAGTCGAACCAGGTCTGCCTTTTCGAGAACTTCGTTAAAGCGATTCCGAATCCATTGCACGACGTTGTTCATCCTCTGGCCTGCTGCAGCCGAGTTTGCGCTGGACCGGTACGTGACGTTGTCGCCAGTAGCGTCAGCGCGATTCTTGCGCGCCCACCAACGTGCCGCAATGTCCATGCCTTTGGCGAGCAGAGCCAACGCTTTCACGTAGAGCACCAAAGCCTCCTCCGCCACGATCACGACAGCTTCGATGGTGAGGTCTTCGTTAGAGGCACCAAATGGGCCCCCAGCGATGTTATCGCCGGATGCATTGCGCAAGCCGAGTCCGGGGTGGGAGGGGCCAGCAGGAATCAATTGCTTGTATTTGACCTCCGCAAATCCATACACGACATCGCTCCTGGTGGCAATTTCCTCCACAGTCTGCACGAATTTGGTGTCTTCGTCGGCTGGTGTTCCCTTAGAATCACCAATTACTACCAGGCTACTTTGTGCTCCAGGATATGTAGGAAACGGGCTATAGTTGATTGGGGGAGACTTGCCGCCACGGATCAAGTTAACTGGGGGAGAGAATCCCACCCCGAAGAGTCGACCGCTTGCCATATTCAGAGCCTTTGAAATCGCTGAAGTTGCCGAAGCAGGGCTTGGGCCATATCGTCGCTCGTACGAGTTTTGGCGCTGATGAAGTGACTCCGGTCTCCTCCCTGAGGCGATTTGGACGGCCCGAGAAGCGCTCGTTTGAGCGCCCGTTGCAGAGTTAGGCGGGCCTTGTGTCGTGGCTCTCCGGATCATCGCTCCCGACTTGGGGGACACGGCAGCCTGGAGAGAATTCCTGTTCAGCCGTGGGCTGGCTTCAAGCTCATCAGCCAAGGCGTTGACCTCCACCGCCTTCTTCTCCACTAGGACGTAATCTCTCTCGAAGGCAATGTCTTGCGCAACCCGCTCCCGTTCCTTCTCTTCCTGTTCCTTGCGCAGCGCGGCTTCCTGGTCTTCGTCGTAGACTTGGCTACGCAACGAAGACGGGGGCAGCTTGTGCGAGCCTGTGCTTGTCTGGCGGGCCATTGGAGCTGACAATGGACGAAGTACGAGCTCTTGCCTGGCGGGTGCGGTGGCATGAGGGTGGAGAGCAGGACGTCCTTCAGCTGGACTAGCAGGAGACTCGAGAGTTGCTTGGAGCTCTTCGTTTGTGATTCTTTGCGTGATAATTTGATCCTTTGTCCCGGATAATGGCCGGCTGTATCGCCTTGGTATAGTTTCCTCCGATGCGGTCTTGGAAGAATCAGTATAAGGACTTTGCGGTTCCTTTCGTGAGCCTGGGCGAGCTAGCCCTACGGGATCAGTTCGGCTGTTTCGCCGACGGTCGTTCCGGGGTTGGACGGGATCTTGGGGCATATCCTCTGGGTGTAAACCAGGAATGGGACCTGCCACAATCTCGTTGCTGAAGAAATCGGGAAATGAAAGCCTCTCCTCCGGATCTCTCTTAAGAAGTGCGCGGATGAGCTTCTTCATTTCTTCGGTGATTATGTATTCATCCCCAAACTTGAGCTTGTCCTCGCTCTTCTCGATTTTTCGAAGCAACTCGACATGATTCGAGGCCCGGAAAGGAGGCCGGGCGGTCATCATCTCGAAGAGTACGGTTCCCACAGACCAAAGATCCGCCTTTGCCCCGTATTTCTCGTACCGTAAGATCTCAGGAGCCATGTAGAGCGGTGAGCCACACAAGGTCTCGGCAAGGGCTGTCGAAGGCAGTGACCGAGCAAACCCAAAATCTGCAATCTTGAGCATAGGCAATGATTTGATGCCAGTTACGGGATTGAGCGAGTCGTCGCCGACTTTGTAAGGCATAGGATGTGGCTTGTGTTTTTCGAAGTAGTCAGGGGACGGGTTCAACAGGAGATTCTGGGGTTTGACATCTCGATGGATGAGATTTTTAGCTCGCAGAAACTGTAACGCGCTGGCAAGTTGCTTTAGGAAGTGCCGGACCACCACTTCGTGAAGCCCACCGTACCGAGGATTGGGATATTTGACCACCATGTTACCTACCAAGTCACTGTCCTTGATCTCATTTCGTCTCTTGATAAAGTGGGAAAGATCACCCAGAGCAACGTATTCCATGACCAGATGTATGTGAGCACTCGATTCTTTGCAGTCGATAAGGGCTACAATATGGGGATGATGGAGGCCTTTGAGGATCGAAATCTCCGACGTCAGGTTGTCCTTCAACTTCTTGTTCAACTTGGACATGTTGACAGATTTGATCGCCACGATGCTCTGCACACCCGATCCGGTCTAAGAAAGCTGTCAGCATGTATTCCAGAAGTTGTGGGTTAGATCGACGAACAGTATGGATGGCCTTGTAGACGGTTGCAAAGCTCCCTCGACCAATCTCTTCATGGCGCTGAAAGCTGCCTATCCGCTCCGACTCCTTTGACCTCCTCGGAGCAGACGAGTGCGGAGTTGTGGACGCCATATTCTCCCTTCGCCTCCTCCACCGACTTCGGTTGACAACGCCAGTAAAGGATGGGTCGGGTCAGGTGAGGTGAGGTTGCTTCGCAGATTATCTTCTCAGTTGAAGAGAGGGGTCCGAAGGGTTATGGTGGCCCATGGATTTCTTGGGATGAAGTGAACAATTGGAGGGGAAAGGCGAGAACGACCGATTAATGGATGGTTTGAGTCAACAGGTAGCAGGCGACAGGGCACAAATAGTACGGGTGGAGATGGCGCTATTAGACGGCAGGCTGCGTTGATTCCGGGCGGTTGCGCAACTGCAATGCCGAGAAGCTCAATAGACTCGGCGGGGAAGTGGTGATCAAAGAGCAGTGATTGATACTGATGAACAGCACAAATAGACCTCAGTTGGCCGGTGGGATGCGGGTTGCGTGTTGCGAGTTGTGAGAGGACGTGGTGGTTGTCGGGGGGCGCGACCCTTTTGGGGGGGGGGGTGGGAATATGTTGGTTGGACGAGCGAGGAGTGACGTGTGACTTTGGGATGCGGAGCACTGAACAACCAGCACGACACACAAAGAAAGCGAAAATAAGACAACGAATAGATGAAGGCTTGAAGAGAAAAAAAAATATTGGTAGGCAGCGGTAAACAGCAACAGTGAATTTCAAACGGCGTGCTGAAGGGTGGGAGAACGATAGAGGATGGAGCACAAGGGCAGTATAGGTGCAGGAGAAGTTAGTCATGCAGTCGTTTCGTTCGGGGTCGAGGTCGATCAAAGGGCGAGAGTTGTTCATGTATAGACTCTATTGGAGCACTACTACATCGTACTATCTACACCGTCTGCACCAACGGCACACAAGACGCAGACGTGGGCGGGCGTGGTGTGTGGATACTTGAGGCCCCTGCTTGACCCTGCTTGACCCTTGCCTGTGCTTGCCCACCTGCCCTCGGACTTTGGGGGGAGGCGTGGGCGTGGGATCACTGCGAACCGGTGACTGTTCTGCTACTGGTGCTACCAATCCGAGTGATATCGTGATGTGGGAGCAAGAGATAAGGCACCATCATCAATCTTATGTATGTATGTACTGGGTACAGTACTGGGTAGTCCTGCCAGCTTCGCCTCCTTGGCTGATCAGGCGCCGGAATGGCTGAAGCTGCCAGCTGCCAGCTGCCAGTCAAATAATCTCAGGCTTCCCCCCCCGGGATTCTTTGCCTCTCTTTGCCATCCACGAATCACTGCCTCCCAACATCTGACTCTCACTTCCGCGGAATCGCCCGACAGTCCATCTTTGCCGAGTGGGTTCGTTTTGCCGGATCTGCTCTGTGTACCTGGCGTAGCGGCACCGTAAAATAAGCTCGCAAGGATCCGGGAAGGCGGCAAGCATGTCCCAGACAAGAAGGACAAGGACCGTCCTGCCTGCCCAGAAGTGGAGCTGCTTGTGGTTGCAATCCTCCTATACCAACATGGTATCCGGGCGCTGGAGCAGCTGGATTTTCTGGCAATGATGTGCGCCCACACCGGATTATATATCCAAGCCCCTCACTAGTAGCCAGAGTCCAACCGGAACAACCACATTGTCGTTTGCCGCCGTCAGAGTACTCTCCAAAAGGCTCGCCCCTGTCCCCGCGACCACACACTTTCCCAGCATGAACATAAAAGAATCGCCGCCATGCCACGAGGCCCAGCCACCCAATCTGAGCCAGATCCAACAGGCCGAGAGACCGCATGTCACCGCCAACGCAAATGCGAGGCTGCCCTCCAAACTCTTCCCTCCTGCCCAGTACCATTTCGTCTTGCCGTAACGCCGTCCGATCAAGCTGGCCGCCGCATCGCCCATCCCGACGCAGATAACGCCGCTTACCATGCTCAGATCTCGCTCTGTTGTATCCCAACCAGCCCAAGGATCTTTGCCCACGCGCGGTGCGGCGGCAAGTGACAGCCACAGTGGTATTGCACATCCGATCAACAGGAAAATATGCGACACAATAACTGGCCCTCGATGATCTCGCCCATCCACGTATGGGGCGAGGAAAACAGTCAAAGGTTTAGAGATCGGAGGCAGCTGCGACGCTCGAAACAGATCTAGCAGGAGAAAAATCGCCAAAATCAAACTGAGCGTCAAGGCAATAAAACAAGGGTCCACAAAGATAGTTGGTAAGAGCATTGCGACCATAATGCCATGGAAGACTTTGCGTCTTGTGTCGACCTCGACCACCGAGGTGAGGCGCAGGACCGCGGCGATCCCAGCCATCAGCACCGCAAGGCAATACGCACAGATGATGAGGCGTGTGTTTGCTGCTCCCAGGGCATATTGGCGGGCATGTTCAACAATACCGTCTTCAAATGGCAGCGAGTGGCCTATTTCTCGAGCTGGGAGGCAGATCCACCGTTCGAGATTGTTGCTAACCACCCAAAGCCTGACGATGGATAGATTGCCGAGAAAATAGCCCAGCGCCCAACCAACAGGCTCATGGCTTGACAATGCTCGTTTGCCAACGTAAAGCCGAACCGGACCCAGAATTGTGATAGTCACAAACATGTACGCGATCGCCGCATATGCATACTTTCGAACTCGAGCTTGTTCCACGCTGAATGATAGGAACGCGGCGGAAGGGCCAGTAGGAGTTGGTTTTACCTTCTTCGCCGTCGGCATCTGATGCTTGCGGCGACCTTGGTCAAATGCTGTGAACGTGTTCCTTCGAAGTGGTGTCGACAAAGCCGCGGTGTCCAATGAGGTAGCCTTGGAAAGCGGGATGTCAAAGGCTGACGCCGGCTCCTGAGCCGAATCGGTAGCAGAAAAGGCTCGGCCGTTCAGTTGCAGCTTCAATCTGGGTCTCAGTCTGGGAATAGAATTCATGGGTTGCACCTCATCTTCAGTGTCCGAGCTGTCTACCGCTACGCGTTGACGTCTGCTCCGCACAAGAAAGGTGCATAGGTATTGATCGAACTTGGAGATCAATCCCCCAGGCCGCCGTGAGCGCAACAGCCTCCAAGTGGGCACTCGTGCCAGGGCGACTTCCCACATCAGAAGGTTCTTACAGGTAATGAAAATGGACAAACCCCCGAGCCATATCATTGCCTTGAGAATCTCAGCTTGGGGCGTCCGGGAAAAAATGTAGAGATTTATTAGCGCCGACGAGAGCAGATGGAGTTCTGAAACATCCAGGCTTGAGGTCGTAAGGTACCCGAGCATTGAGGTTAAAGCCTGGTGCAGGGGAAACAAGACGACCAGGTCTTCCCTAGTCAAGGGAGAACCGGGGTCAACTTTCAATAACAACGGCTTCGAAATTGAGGTCGAATATAATCGGTACTTGGAGGTATGTAGAGGTAAGATGGAAAGAAGCCAATGTAGATGCTCGCCAATCGCTGGAGTCTTTGGTGTTGCTGTAATCAGCGGCGGTATCGACGACAGTCCACAGACAATTGCAGCTGGGAGAAAAGCAACACTCCGGTGAAACAGTGAAATGGATACCATTAGTGGCAGCGTTACCGGATACAATAACGGTCCAGGGTCAAATCGAGAGGGGATATGGAATCCTAGCCTGAATGCTTGCAGAACAGATTTTTTGGCAGCCAAGGCACGCGCCGTAAGTCTGAGCGGATAGAGTAGGTAGACGACTGGCGGAAGTAAGAGGAATGCCGCGACTTCGTTGAGCCAGTCCTTGAGACCTGCTGAACCTCCTCTGCTGTTCCAAACGACAACCCCAATGCCACAGAGAAGCGAGGTTTCCGTGCATCGTCGAACGATCTCGCGTCGCTTCCGTTTCTTATATGCTTCGTAGTCTCTCACCTGCTCCCTCGTCCGTTGTGGTCTTTTCCCGGTCCTCTGTACCGAGTCAAAAAAACGGGGGCCGTCTCCTTCAACAAAGGCTGGAGGTGTGGGAAGCGGACTATGAGCGGGAGTCAGGTTGGCCGGTGAAGTCCCTCGAAGTCCCTTGTGCAGACGTGGAGGGGGGGCAGGAAGCCCCTTGAGAAAAGGACCCTTCTCGTCGTCTGCCTCTGTGCCGCTCTCACTGGACTCAGAGCGACTGGGTCTCAGGGAGGGAACATGTCCGTTCGAGACGACGCCAGAGCCATTGTCAGTTGGCTGTCTATGCGCCGTCCTCAGGGTCTCTGCCCGCAGAAGATAGGGACGTGGCGTGCGAGACAGCGTCAGGTCATGTTGGTCGTGGATATCCTGGGACGTCGATCGGCCAGAATCATTTCTCGTGAGCTGCTGAGGCGTCATCGGAGGGCAAAGCCGCGGCACCAGCGGTCGGGCGCCAAAAGGGTAGGAGAGTCGTCGCAGTCTATCATATGAATTCTTTCACGGGGGGTCGGAAAAGTCTAAGAGAGGTACCGCAAGCACCGCAGACACGAAAGCCATCCTGACATGGGATGGGCAGGCAGGTGGGCTCTTGTTGGGACAATGAGCAAGTAGTTCACATGCAACGCAAGAATCTGGTGAGAGGGCGAGAGGACGATAGGGCCACTTTGGTCTCTTTTCCGAACTGTGTTCCTGCGGAGTGACGCACGCACCGAGCCACCACCCCCCTTACCGGGTACGTAGCCACCATACTAGGTACGAAGCACATATTACCTAGGTACCCGAGTTAGCCAGCTCACCAGGGTTTAGCTCGTCGATTCCAATGCTTAGCCACGTGATACGACCGCTCACACAAACCTCAGAAGAGGTAAACTGTATTTTGTGCATTGCAGGATGGGTACCTGGGTACCGATATAAACGTGCAAGCTAACTCGATTGTTCCTGGGTTCCAAAAGAATACAAGTGGGGTTTTGTATGCACTTCTTTAGTGTTGGATACCATTGACGAGCGCCGCCGTCGCCGTCTTCTGGCCATTAGCCTTTGCGGCAACCATTTCTGGTGGAGGCACTGGTCCAAACACTGGCTTCGCGATTTCGGTCGCCAACTCCTCTTCTGCCTCATAACTCGCTTCGTCATCCTCATCCTCATCTTCGAACTCTTCGTCATACTCGCTTTCAGTGCCTTCTTCGTCCACCGCCTCTTGCTGGACCGGCCGACCTCGGCCTTGTTCCTGCATGATTTTGATGATATTCCGCATCCGCTGCTCCTGCTTTCTCAACCTCTCCAGATCCTCCTTGTCCCTCGTGCGCTCCTCGGCCATTTCCAAGATGTTCCGATTGGTTTGGTCATGCTTGCGCGTGAGCGTGAGGTTTTCTTTCTCGAGCCGCTTCGTCTTCTTGGACATCTCCTCCATCTCTTTTCGAAATGTGAGGAATAGCTCGTTGCTGTTATTGAGGGTGTCTTCCACCTGCTGGATGGTGAGCAAAGAGTTTCAGCTCATGCATCTTATCAAAATAAGGTAAGGGATGGGACGGGACTAACCTGCTTGAATTTCTCCACGTAGATATTCAGTTGACTGCGTAACTCCGCTTCCGTGTGAGAGAAGGTTCCCACTTGGCCTGTCAGGGTGCGGCACCGAGCTGCTTCAGTGTCTGCTCTTCGACGCTCAACCTCGTGTTTGGCTTGCAGGTGAGCAATCTCAGCGTCCTTGTGCCGAAGTATTGATTTGAAGTGCATTTCCCGGATTTCGGCTTGATCTGCTAGAACTTTGCATCGCGTCCTGAATCTGGCGGCGCATTAGCATGACTCCAAAATCCATCATGGTGCATACTTACAGCTCGTCAAGCTCAAGATGAAGGTTCTCAGGATGTGCGCTGGTCTTGGAGTTCATAGCTTCCTGCACATCGTAAAGCATTTGATCCAAACGTTCATTGATGCTTTCTCGCGCCCTTTTTTCCTTCTCCACAAGATTTTTATTGTCATCTTTGAGTTTCTTGTTGTCTTTTGTCAACTCCCTGCACAGTTTCTCCAGCTTGTCCTTCATAGTGGTGGTCTTATTGTGCTCCGACTTGGATTTCTCGGCCTCCTTCTGGTACTGATCGCGACTCTTCTTGGCCCTGAGGTGTTCGCGCTCCGTCTTTTTCATTTCAGCAAGGAGCTCCTCATATTTCTGCTTGACGAGGTCGATCCCCTTGAGGGGCTCAACGCCGTTGATTAACTCATTGAGGTCGCGGATGGCTTTCTTCACCTCACGGTCGATCTCCGCCTGCTGAGCTTTATCGCCCGCCTTCTCCTGCTCCAGCTGTGACAGCCGCGCCTGTACTAATTTTGCGTTTTCCTCGGCGCTGAGTTGCTTGTCCTTCTTTCCCTTGCCTTTCTTTGCTGTAGGTGCGGGCGCGGGCAAATCGTGAGTGTCGCCATTCGTGGTTTGGGAGGTCGGACTTTGCGCTGCGGTAGCCATAGGATCGGAAAGTGTTGGATTGTGAATGTTGGCCTTTATATACCTTTAAGACCAGCGACAGCCTTCAAAACTCGTGCCCGCGGCTGGGGTGCTCGGCCTTGACATCTGCGACAAAGGCTTTCACAGTGGCGTCAGAGGGCAGTTGAATGCACTGAATGCGACGAGTATGAAAAATCCGTGTGTCAAGGTGATAACTGATCTATTCTATGTTGTGTGGAAATTATGCGGACCCATAGAAGAGGAGATAGGACCGTCAAGTAAGGTGGAAAGAGATCGATCGAGGTGAACCTCGATCGGAGGACGTGCCGCTGCCGCGCAGATCTGGGATTTCCTTCACGGCCAAGCACTCTGTACAAATGCGCAATATACCAAACTTCAGTGTCACTACTAGCCACAGCAAGACTTGGATTGATCCTCAACAATGTTTGTAATATTCGTCTGTGCCCTCTCCCACCATAACACAAAGCCTCCTTTCGACATTGGTATTGGTCAACAAGCTTCGCCGATCGGATGGCATTGACACGTGACTCCCAGAACTTTTTGCTAGGCAATTCTGCTTTCTGCTTTGCCTTCTGCTCCGTACCCATTCCTGCGTTTGCAATCGCTGAGAACTGCTGACAACAGGTCGACTCTCCTCCCCCAACATCGCACCGTCGTGAGCCGGTCCGAGAAATCCTCTCTTCGAGAAAGCGGCTTCTGCAGTTTGAGAAAGTAAATCCTACGATTGGGAGATGCTCAAGCATGGCGCCATTCGCCAGGGCATTCCTCGTTGCGCCAGGTCGTATCTATCTAGAAGACTGTATGCATCGGTGACAGATTTGGAAGCTTATCCCAAGCCTGGAGAGAGGATACATGGTTTTACATTGAGGGAAATCAAGCATGTCCCAGAGCTACACTTGACGGCGTTGAGGTTGGAGCATGACAAGACTGGCGCAGAGTACCTCCATGTCGCGCGAGACGACAAGAACAATGTCTTTGCAATCAACTTCAAAACCAATCCTACCGATAGAACAGGTTTGCCGCATATTCTCGAGCATGTCACACTGTGTGGGAGCGAAAAGTATCCCGTGAGGGATCCTTTTTTCAAGATGATGCCGAGATCTTTGGCCAATTTCATGAATGCATTTACATCTTCCGACTACACCTCATACCCGTTCGCCACCACAAATCTGCAAGACTACCGCAATTTGTCTTCGGTATACATGGACGCAACTCTCCACCCGCTGCTGAAACGCTCAGACTTCTTGCAAGAGGGATGGCGCCTTGGCCCTGAAGATCCACGAGGGCCGCCAACAGAGGACAATATTAAGTTCAAAGGAGTTGTCTACAATGAGATGAAAGGGCAGATGTCGGATGCTAGTTATCTTTTCTACATCAGATTCAGAGAGCACCTCATACCCTCTCTACACAATTCTGGTGGTGATCCCGAGTTCATGACTCAGCTCACGCACGATCGGCTCGTCGACTTCTCTCGCAAGAACTATCATCCCAGCAATGCAAAGATATTTTCATACGGAAGTTTAAGCCTCGCCGAACAGCTTCAGTATGTTGACAAGACCATATCAAAATTCGAAAAGGGAACGCCGGACTTGGAGATCAAGATGCCAATCAGTTTTTCCCATGGCCCCCTATCTTTTGAGGTCCCTGGCCCGGTTGATACAATGCAACCCTCTGACCGGCAATTCAAGTCTTCTGTTTCCTGGATGGGCTGTCTTTCTTCAGACATTGTCGAGACCTTTTGTGTGAGCATAATGATGTCATTGCTGATGAATGGCTATGGCTCTCCTCTGTACCAAGGATTAATCGAATCGGGATTGGGAACCAATTTCAGCCCAAATTCCGGTTACGACGGCTCCACAAGGGTCGGAGTGTTCTCGATTGGGCTCGATGGCATGAAGGCTGACGATATTGTCGGATTGAAACAGAGCATTCAGGGGATATTGCGGGACAAGGCTCACGAAGCATTTCAGCCAAACAAGATCGAAGGTTATATGCATCAGCTAGAGCTTTCATTAAAGCACAAGACCGCCAATTTTGGAATGGGTCTGCTAGAAAAAACTCTTCCTGGGTGGTTCAACGGAGTGAACCCAATGGATGCGCTGGCATGGAACGAAATCATTGACGCTTTCAAACAACAGATGAAAGAAGAAAATTACCTTGAGCGTCTTGTACGAAAATATCTCCTGAACGACAACTGCATGCAATTCACAATGAGCCCTTCAGAATCTTATGGCGTCACCCTAGACATACGGGAAGAAGAGCGGAGAAAGACCATTCTAGACACCATCAAGAAGACCGCCAGCTCACCCGAAGCCGCCATTGCTGAGCTTGGTCAACAGGAACTCCAGCTCGTCGAGGAACAAGAAAGGGCCCAAGACAAGAATTTGGACACCCTCCCCTCTCTCAGTGTTAGCGATATTGCCCGGGAGAAGGAGAGGAAACCACGATATCACTTGAAAATTGGTGATGTGGACTGCATGTGGCGTGAAACTGAGACGAACGGCATCACGTATTTTCAAGCAAAGTATCTTTTCAAGAACCTTCCTAACGAGCTGAGGCTTTTGGTGCCACTATTTGCGGACTCACTGCTGCGATTGGGCACCGAAACAATGTCTGTGGGAGACCTCGAGGCTGAAATCCTTCTTAAAACTGGCGGCATAACGGTTTCGTCATTTGCGGCGCCCGACCCGTGGAGCCTGGACAAATGCAAAGAAGGTCTCTTGATTGACGGATATGCGCTCGACAGGAATGTTCCAGCAATGTTCGACCTAATCCGGACGCTGTTATTGGACGTCGACTTTACCAGGCCGGGGGCTGTTGCCGCGATTCGCGAACTCCTTGAATCTAAAGCATCAGGCGCGCTGGACGCAGTTGCAGAAAGTGGTCACCACTTCGCCATAACGAGCGCTTCTGCTGCCCTGACGGAGAGAGGGCGGATTCAAGATCAACTTTCTGGTCTTTCGCAAATGGAGTCTACTGCCCGCATACTGGACGCAGCCAGACGAGACCCACAGACTCTTGAGCACGTTATCCAAGCTCTGCGAACCATTCAATCGATAGCAGTCGCCAACTCAGCCGATCTGTCTGTGCGTGTTGTGTGTGAACCTGGCTCAGTGAAGAATAATCGAGATCTGATCGAGAGATTTCTTGCGCAACTGCCGCAAGGTCAAGTATCATTCAGAAATCCAGCCCTTTCAGACACCGTACCGGGCTCGTCATTTTCAAGGCGAACATTCTTCGACTTGCCATTTCAGGTCTCCTATACAGGAACATGCCTACAAACTGTACCCTATCATTCGCCAGACAAAGCACCACTCACGGTGCTTGGCCAGCTCCTTGTCCACAACTTCCTCCATCCAGAAGTCCGAGAAAAAGGTGGCGCATACGGCGCATCAGCTAGCGCAAGCCCTATCAGTGGATTGTTCACCTTGTCTTCATACCGGGATCCTAATCCTCGCACTTCGTTGAGCGTGTTCAAGCGCGCAGGATTGTATGCCCGCGACAAAGACTGGAGCAGTCGAGAACTTGAGGAGAGCAAACTCAGCATCTTTCAAGGCATTGACGCTCCCAGAAGCGTGAGCAGTGAAGCAAGCAAAGAGTTCATGTACGGCATCACGGAGGATATGGACCAGGAGATGCGCAAGCGCTTACTAGGCGTCACGAAGGAGGCTGTTCAAGCGGTCGCCCAGAAGTATCTCGTGGAACTCTCTTCGGATTTGATGTCCGTGTGTGTGCTTGGGGAGAAGAAAGACTGGGTCGAGCGGGATCCCGATCGATGGCAGGTTAAAACCTTGAAGATGTCGGTCGAGGGCTAGACACTTGGTAGAGTAAGTGCCGCCAACCATTGTATATTTATTCCACTCCTCAAATGATACCCAATGCATTCCGACGAGCAACTGCCCATACTGAGTTCTTCGCCTTTTTCTTTTCTTTCATCTCAAAGAGCGCGACTCAGAACAGAGCAATTACGTCTGCGACCGCAATCAATACTCCCATGGTCGGAGATCACAAGTCACGAAGTGCCATGGAGCATTTCATCCGCGCGAGATCGAGGCTTGGTGGCCGGGTGCTCTTCCCAGCAAGCTCTTCTTTCGGGTTGATGCTCGCTGTGGTTGGCCCTCCACCGAGCTCAGTGGCATACCTATTTCAGACCTGCCCTGTCTAAGAGATTCAGGAATGGCAGACTAGAGGTGTGCATACATGCATTCGCGCTTTTCTCACATATCAACATCTTCGAGCTATTTTCTATTTTTCTCCAATCCCCCAACCTTCTCAAGCTCCCCTTCCCAGCCATATCACTCACACCTCAAGTGAATTTTGGTCGCCTCCCTCAATGTTGATGCTGCATGTGGCAACTTTCAAGGTATTTCTTGTGTCCTTCACTTTCGCTTGACACCAAGGCACCGATCTGCAATATATCATGTCCCTCTGGCTCTTGATTTTATACATCAGTGCTCCTTATCGCTTGGTCCATCATAAACCGACAAAGCGACTTGAAACGTGCAGGCTTCTTTCTTTTTATTTTTTTTCACTCGTAGTTAACCTATCTTCCGTATTTCAACCATTCCCCCTGTTTTCATCCTCCCCTTTTTGACATTCCAGTCATTTGGACTGAAAATCCATGAACGCATTTTGAACGATCTCACGCGCCAGCCATACGAGGAGAGCTTGTCGAAATGGCGGCCACAGAAAGCGACCTAAAGACGTACGTACCTGGCCAGCCCGTTACTTCCCGTCCGTGATCCATCGACCTCACAAAGATATAGCTTCGCCTCTTCCCTTAAGAAGGAGCGTCAACCTGATTTCGACATCATTGTGAAAGCCTATCGGTGGTCAGTCCATAGTCATATTGTCTCTAGCCACGGGTTCTTCGGAAGGCTCTGCAGCGGCGCGCCCGAGGTATGCATTCAACACCGTCAGGTTCTAATCCACTTCAAATCAACTGACTGAGGCCTCTCTACTGGGCACTTCAGCAGGACGGTAACCGACACGAAGTGCATCTCGATGATGACGAACCCGTCATCATTGCCCACTTGATCCTCTGGTGGTACACGAAAGAATACGACACCGAGGCTATATATGACATCGCTGGGTTCGACCTGGAAAGTCTTATGAACTATGGCACGATATCTCCATCCTTTTGCTCCAACGCTCTGCCCGCCCCCGAGACAGAACCCGACAATGATGGGGACTTTGATGGGACAAATCTTTCCCCCATATCACTGCACGCGAAGATGTACCTTATTGCCGACAAATATGGTATCACGGAACTACGTGAGAAAGCAGTGTATGAGATCAGCGAAATTCTCGACGCCGTGAAGGAAGATTTGCTACCATGTTTGGTTCATTTCTTTATCACCAATTCCTCGGTCGATAGTTCCGTGGACGGCGACAACAGCGGCATTCCTCCTGACCAGAACATTGATGCTTCCGCCACTGCTACAACTGGCAACAACCTGCCGCCAAAATGTACTATTTCGGAACAACGGGACCCGGAACTGTGGAAAATTCTCGCCGAAACTGCAAGCAAACACTTCCTCTCATACCGCACTGACGCGACCTTCCAGCAGATCATAACCTGTGACCCACGCTTCCATTGGGATGTGATGGGCAGAGTTGCCAGTATGTTGGAAGCTGCACAGGACAAACTGGCAAGTGCTCCTGTTGAAGCGCCAAAGACGCCGAAGAAGAGGGGAAAGAAGAAGCAGGAAAATAACCCGAGCTCGGAGTCGGCCGGAGACAAACAGAAGAAGAAAGAGAAAGGAGGAAACGCGCCTGCTGCGAAGAAGCTGAAGAAGGAGCCATGAACGGCGAACGAACAGTGAGGGAGGCGAGGGAGGCTTGATCGGAGAGTTGGTTTCGACATCGGAGAGGCTTCGTCTGGGACACAAATGCCGCTTCCTGAAGGGACATCAAGGAAAAAGAAAGAATCGTGCCAAGGACATTTGAGGTATTCTTCAGCTTTGCAACTGTATCAGGCGACAAGCGCTGGTCACATTTTCTCTTGCACGCTCACTCGCCCATGGCACTTTGCCCAGCGACCCAGGCCTCCTGGGGAAAAAAAAAAAGAGAGACCTACACGCACAACACGCACAACACGCACAACACATGAGAACCAGACCTCGAGTGCAAGCTTTGACATCCCACGAATGAGGAAAAGCTAGATACATGATTCTTTTCGAGGCTCAGAGTGGTCTTTTGTTGTACACAGAATGAGAGTGGATCTATCTACTTGATTGTGTTCTGTCCCCCTGGCTATTCAGAGAGACTCTGTCTGTTTATATACGCTTTGGCCTGTAATCTGAAGGCCATTCCTGAAACCTCCTATTCCGTCGCCATCCTATCACAGGTCTGCAAGAACAACGATGTTGAGGTAAGTGCCGCAGTTGGTGAAACGCCTAGCGTCTCAGGAGGTTTGCCACAGTGGCGATCTCGTGACCCTGTCAACACCGAGACCAGGCTGGTGGACTGAGATGCCAAGCCATGTGTTGAATCAGCTCCTTGGCGGCCTGCCCAGTATCAAGACCAGCAGACCGAGCCTCCTCCGCCCCTCTAATCTAATATCTTAACCCACTAGACACACAACGTCACGGCAATCGGGCATCGCAGTGCAATATATTCTTTCATAACATCTCAAAAGCCTCAAGGTATACTTCGAGGGTCGTTCGCATTCTAAGGCGTTGGGATTCATGTTGTGGTATGCATGACCCTGATAAGAATACTAGTAGCGAGCTTCCAGAACACGGAATCGTTCTAAGGGCATCCTCTTCGCTCTATTTGCTTCAACTCATCCATGTGGGATACAATTCTATCTTTGGCTTCACTTCACCTCGCAAACACGAACGAAGGATACCTTCCCTCCGTCTCCTCAGCCAATTTGGCGATATAATTCTGCAGGCCGGCCAAGAAAAAGGCACTGTATTTCTTCTTTCCCTGCACATTATCATTCTGGATCCACGATTTCACTTTATTGAAAACAGTTGCCCTGGAGATCTGCTGGACGGTTTGAGCCCATTCAGCCTGGGCCTTGGCGTCCGCCTCCACGGTTTTTTCCCCTCTCCTGCTTGCCTCTTGGATGAGCTTGACGATGAAATCCCCTTGCAACTCGATTGACGGAAGCATGTTTGCGAAAGGCCCTCCCGGCCCTGTAACTGTGAAAAAGTTGGGGAACTCTGAGACGCTGACGCCATACAGAGCGTTCGCGCCGCCCTTCCACGCGTCTGCCAATGTGAGTCCATTACGCCCGGTAATGTCAATGTTGTGGTAGGCGCCGTCCACCCCATCAAACCCGGTGGCGTACACAATGATGTCAAATTCAAACGTCTTCCCGTCTTGAAGTTCCAACCCAGTGGGAATGACCTTGGCGATAGGATTGTTGGAGATGTCAACAAGAGAGACATTCGGCTCATTGAATGCTTCATAATAACCTTGTGTGCAAAGCGGCCGGCCGCCATAATGTCCCTTGGGCTGGAGCAGTTTCGCAGTTTCAGGATCTTTGACTATTTGGGCGATCTTGTCCCGAACAAATGCCGCAGCAGTCTCGTTCGCATCCACATTTGTTCCGAGATCGTTGAAGGTCTCGAAGAAGAAACGGAACCCGCCCCCTTTATTCCATATGCGTTCATATACTTCCCTCCGCTCTGCTTCCGACACTTCCAGCGCTGATTTCTCACTCTCTGCAAAGCCCATCGCAAAAAGCGAATTGAAAACAGTGTCCCAGACCTTGTCGTAGTTTTCATAGATCTCCCTCTTCTCTTCCTCGGTCACCGGGCGATCATTGACAGGGACGATATATTGAGCTCGCTGCTGGAAAACTGTGATCTTCTTCACGAGAGGATGGATGGTCCCTGTTATCTGGCTTCCGGACGGTCCAGTGCCAATAACGGCGATACTTTTTCCTGTTACGTCGAGACCTTTAGGCCACCTGGCAGAATGAAAGGAGAGACCCTTAAAGGAGTCGATCCCGGGAAAAGCCGGGATGTAAGGGTTAGTGAGGATCCCAAGAGCAGTGAGAAAGTAAGTTGCGGAAAATTGGAATCCTTTGTCCGTCGAAATAAGCCAGCGGTTGTCAGTCGCATGGTAATGTGCCGAGACGACTTCATTCTCGAAGACATACTTCTTCAAGACATTGGACTTCTTAGCCGTGTCAATGATCTGCTTTTGGAGATCCTCAGCCTTCAGATATCGCGTGTTCCATTTAGGCAGGTCACGGTCATCGGAGAAGCGATAGACCCAGCTCTCAGTGTCAGTCTGGGATCCGGGATACTGATTCCAGTACCAGGTCCCTCCCAAAGCGCTGCCTTTCTCAATTGCGACGATGTTCTGAAAATGAAGCTTGTCCTGGAGAAGACTGACGAGACGTATACCGCCAAACCCTCCACCGACAACGACTGCGTCCACTTTATTGGTGGTGGCTGACATTTGGTTTCCTTCTGGGGAAACTAGGAGAGAGAATTGGTCTCCTTGAGGAATAGGTTCGTGTTTGATCTGCCTGGTGAGCCCTCAAACAAGCCGTGGCAGTCGGATGGAAAGGCGAAAACAGGCACAAACCCAGGTGGCTTGGGCAGTAACTCACCCGTTCTGCGACAGGGTTCTGCTAAGCTGGAGTGACTGTAGAAATCAGCTGAGTAACTACAAGTGTTGAGCATGTAATCGCAAGGTCAGGCGATAAGCAGAGACAGATATATTCGAGGGGTTCCTCTTCAAGAGGTGATCCTAAGCTTAATCGCGCCATTTTGTCGTCCTTCGAGGCGCCTCAAACTCGATATTGCATTCGCCGCTAAAATTGCGCCATCGTCTGAAGCTGGAAAGTCCAGTTGTCAGACTGACAACTCGTCTTCGTATATGGATAGAGGACGAAACTAGGCCGAGAAATCGCAGGCCCGTGCCTCATCGCGTCTTTCCCTCGCCAAATTTGGCATCAAGACTAGGCAAATAGTGGGGCAGATACCCTAGTCCATATACGGCAAAGTGGGCTCCAAGCAGTGGGGAAAGTCAGCCTCGCGACCCATGAGCGCACTGGGGCTGCCTTCAGCCTTGCCATGCACCTGAATTGGATGCTCTCTTTTCTTTCTTTATCACAACGTCGGTTCTTTTCGGCCAGTTGCAAGACTTCAAAGCGACTAGCCGAAACTGTTCTATATACGCACACCTAGCTCTCGTCTCAGCTGGAGCACATTGAACACTGGGGGCCCAACACAATTACCGAGTTCTCATTAAGCTGTCTATGCACATTTCACACTTATCTTAGGATGCAAAGGCCAGCCATCCAACCCACGAAGCAAGGCTACGCAAAGATTTACTACTCCAGTAGGCAGGCGCTACGCAACGGTCTCCGAAACATTCAAGCGAGCGAATTAACGCATTGAATGTGCGGCATTTGCCTCTGGGATTGAAGTGTCTTTGCTCCAGGTGTTCGAGTTAAGCCATCCAGAGCACGGCTCTGAATGCTCGGACACAGCATATAATGCGCAGAAGATAGACCTGAATACTACATACCCAAAGGAACAGTTTGAATACCTTGAGCAACGAGAATGGATGCGTATGACAACACAGCAACTATCTCTAATAACGTATTTGTTACTCCTGGCTATGCACCCACTGTCTTTGATCATGCGTCGAAAGCCATGAGTGCAAATCATCAAATTTGATAATGAAGGAGCAAGAAAATGGAAGGTTGAAACTCTCCAACCTGCTCGGCTACTGCGGCCCGCCAGAGACTCACACGAAGTCGAAAAATAAACCGAACACCGAACCGAACACGGTAATTCTTCATATCCTCATCAAAGCAAGTTTCAACTATTCATCACACACATTGATTCAGACTTGCCGTTTTCTTTCCTCTTCAGTTCTCCTTTCCGACAAAGCTCCTCGTGATGCTGATCAGCCCCTTCTTTGTCTAAACCCTTGCTGTTTCCGTAGTTCGTCAATGGAGAGGGCGACAATTAAATCTTTCCCGAGTTTGAATTCCACCCCAGTCTTGGTGAAGAATATGACTGCCTTTTCGTTCTTTGCTTGCGCAGCTAGATATTATTTCCTCGCCTTAAAGAAACCCAAAATTTTGAGGGCGCGGCTCTCTTCCGATAAGTGCCTTGAGATGTACTCTTTTGCCGCGAGTGTGACCTCCTCTGCATCCCAAAGTTCTTTGAATTCGAATCCATATCGGTCGGCATTTCGGTGGCCATTAGCTACAGCGTCGCACTAGCCCAGTTAAGAAAGGCAAAATCATATTCAAGAACTGGGAGTGTTCTCTTGAGGTCTGCTTCCATTTCCACGCACTCGTGCCCTTCTTTAAGTGGAGCGCTACCTGGCGTACCCTTTCGAAATTTGGCTCCCGTCTCGGTGAAAGACATCTATCTCGTCGTGCGGGAGTGCTAATAGCCACATCATGAAGTTCAGAGCAGCGTCCAATTGTAGAAATTATTGTGCAGCTGCGTTCGGGTTGAACGTTGTTGCCAAGGGGCAGTCAACAAAAGGCTGTTATGCGCCGCACACTCTGGTCTTCGAAAAAGGTTTCGAGGGTGATTGAGACGTCATCTCTGAGACCTTTAACCCAATGCTTTCTGCATTCTCGATAATGCCTCTTTGCGCAATAAGGGCCTACAGACAGGAAAGTAAGTGGCAAGATCTCTGGAGCACGGTGAGACATTTGGTTCCGCAACTGGAGCTTTTCCTTCTTCCAACGTGAGGCACGACATGTCGATTTACGTCCTCGCGCCCAACCCTCCCCTCTCCAATGCCAATCATATGCAAAGACGACGTCCGGGCCCAAGCCCTTTTTGGAAAGCAGTTGAACGCTCTGGCTGCTCTCATCCCAGAACTTGGTGACTCCACCCTCTTCTAGACTGACAGTGTAGGATTAGTCCGTGCCTTTTTTTTTTTTTTTCTTTTTTTTTATCAAGCTTTGATACCACTTCTATGGTGAATTGTAGTGCGACATTTGAGCCTTGGAGATTTATCTCTTCCGAGGGTACTTCTAGGCCGGCGGCATCTTCAAGGACTGAGTTTAACGGCTCTCAGGGTTGAAATTGTTGGAGGGACGGATTTGTTTGCGTCAGCTTGTGGAAGACTTGTGTCCCTTTCGTTTTCGAAGTGTAGCTTCGTCGGCCTTGATGGCAAAGTTATGAGAAGCACCGGGATTGCCAGCAGTTTAGAGAGTTCTCTGTCCTTTCTGTTTTATCTTCGAGGTGCGGAAGTTACAAAGACTCTCATACACAAGACTTCCGATATCCACGGATGTTTTCGGGCTTGAGGCACTAAGCTGAAGCTACGAAAGGTGAAGAGGTCTGCATGATATCAAATGCATACGGAAGAGGGCGATAGTAATAATGACTACGAAAATGGGATGGAAGAGTTGCTGGCGTAGAGCCTTTGCGTGACGTGCAACGTAGGCGAAATCTTAAATTGAATAGGGAAACATTGTAGGCAGTGCTGGCAGAGCTTGGAAGACTTGCTGCTTTGTTGACGTTCGGTAGTGCATACGTACACTACTTCATTAATCGGCGAAGGGCAACATCGTTTTATCTGGTTTTCACTGCGCATTGAAAATGATGCACTTTACGACGCCTCATTATTACAACCCGATAGCAAGATATTCTATGCGCTGATGTCTAAGCAAATACCACCGCTTTGATATTACCATTAGGTGACTGCTAAGTTTCAGCGTAAGATAAGTGGATTTGATATAGGATTCACCTGGCTGGGACTAAATCTAAATGCAAAGCATACGGAAACAAAGAAAAGAACAAAAAAAGTTTGCGGCCACTGTGGATCGAACACAGGACCTTCAGATACACTGAACCGAAGTTGAACTTCAGTCTCTGTTTGATATTAGTTAACGGTCGAAGAGAGCACATTGGTTGTCACTTACGACGCTCTCCCAGCTTTGAGGGGTTAGCAATTGAAATCTCCTGTAGGATACTGGTATTTTTACCTGAGCTATAGCCGCATTGAATTTGTTGACTAAGAATTGGATTGCTTAATATATAAACAATCAAATAATCTTGCTACGCACGTGTTTTGCCAAGGAATAAGTAGCAGCTGGGCATTTAAGATCCCAATTCAGGCAGGTTAGCCGAGGGTTTTTGTATTTATGCGCTTTCCACCGTTTTGGCTTAGTATGGCGCATCTATTTGTAAAATTTAGTGAGTGCTGGCTGCCGTTGCCTGCGAGCCAAATACAGCCTCAATAAAAAGGGCAAATGTCCCTATAGCCGCTACCTCCTGTCGGTGCTAACGGAATTACCCCTTAGATCACGTAGAGGGTCCCGAACGAGCTTTCAGCAGCTAAACAAGCTCACGGGTGCGAATGGGACCCGCTAAATACATAGAATTAAGCCCCTCAGAAAACAGGTTCAACCCGCAATTTTCAACAGTATTTGATGTGGGATTGATCAGAATAGGGGCATACTGCAACGATCTATGAACGCTGTCATCAACACGGCATGATGCCTCAGCCGTGAAGAAACATGACTAACTTAGAAGAGGTCCTACATAGAACATATCCACTTCCTTCTCCCACGTCTCCTTCTCGCATCCCTATCAAAGCCGCACTGCCATTGCCTTACCGCCTGTACGCTGCTCGCTGGTGGTTTCAACTGACATCATAGCGGCAAGGATTATTGAGACGTGTCCCTTCTGCCGTCGTGGCCTCTATTTCCTCGAAACCTGGATATCTCCCCTTCACCCGCTGCCAACTCAATCCTTCTCTCTCTCTCGAATGCTCATAGTCATAGTAGGAATTTCAGATTTTAGATTTCCTGGCTTCGTGAAGATGCTAAGGCAACATGTAGTACGGAGAACTGTGGCGGCAGTGAAAATAAGAGGGTTGACAACCTGCGTTTGCCGTCCCATGTTGAGAACACTGATTTTTTGTTTTTGTTTTTGTTTTTCATTCCTTTTACGGTAATCTCTAACAATATTATTGCTCGATGAAGCTGCTCTTGGTCTCCAACTGTCTTTGCGAAGTCGTTCATCACCGAGATCGTGTCTAGATATCCCTCGTCGAGATACGTCACAAATCCCCAGCTTTCGTTTCATTCCAGATTTCAATCAGCGCTGTCATAGTGTAAGGCTACTTCACATCGCTGCTATCAACGTCCCCAATCAAGAGAATGAGAAGTATCCCAGCTTAAGCGAAGAACCCACGAGTTTGTTCAAATTTTGATATATGGTCTGCCTGCACTCTCTCAATCGTCGGGGCTCCAGGGCCGGAAGGATCGGCATTTCAAGATCCTTTTTCCCCGAACCAAACGTCTTCAGACACTGTCTGAGCGAGGTATCGCTTCAGCGGAGTGTACTCCCGGCGACGCTCGTCGTCCTTGCCGTTGAGCCCATTTTGATTGGTTTCTTCGGTACGTGATGCGCTCTTGTCGCCTATTGGATGGTGAGGATAGCACTCGATCTCGTCAGAGCAGGCTTGGACATACTCCTGTCGCTCGTACTATCGGATGAATCTGCGTCCATACAACCCGAACCGCTCTGTTGGTTGAGATCAGAACGCTCAGACCATGAGCTCTTTGCGTCTCCTGAGCACAGCCCGTGAGCCTGTGTAGGCACCCACACATGGCCCCTAGATTCCCAGTTTTAGGTATTTCACGTTTTCGGAAGGCCAAGTTCAGCGCCATCCGACTTGGATATTGTTGCCAGCATAGACCCTGGGGCAACGTTCCCGGCCATACTGCCGCCTTGGAGGAGGCACTCCTTGAACCATTTCGCAGTTGCTCCTTTTGTCTCCTGGGTAGTTGTCAGCGATCATATACGAAATCACATGAATTTCGTTCGTTATGTTCACGCATCTTCATTGTACTCACAAGTACCCAGTATCTAGTTTAGTTTAGGTACATACCTCCTTGTTGATGTGGTAACCATATATTGACGGAAATATTACCCTTCGCCTCGCAGTCTCTCGCCTCCTAAAATGATAACCACCGTAAGGAAGTTTTCCTCTGTCGGATTCGGGCTAGTGTTTCCGTGCTCGCACAGTACGCATCCGCGTTCCGGTGAAGAAGGTAAGGGACCATGACCAAGAAGAGCCTCGGTTGATTCGGCGAGATTATGGAAATGCCCGTGACTTGTCTTGAACAGAAGCAAGACTCTAGGAGACAAAAGGCTTAAAGCACATTAGGGATAATTATTAATGATATCCGACGACGGAAAGCCATTTGTATCCACCGCAGCTGGGACGCTGTATTAGCAAACGCGATTTAAGGGCGATGATCAGACCGAGTCGTGCATCGATGTTTAGCAGTGAGGGAAGTGTTATACCCCAGTATTGGCGCCTGGTTTCACGTATGTCTCATTCTTTATCGCTGGAGCAAGGGGCATGGATTCAGGTATTCTCGCTGCTGAAACGCTAAGTCGGTGCACTGTGTCGTGGTAAGGCTACTGGAGGTTTGGTCGAACAAGGCAGATTCGCATCCCTTCAAGTCGGCTCTGCAATCAAAAGCGAGATGGGGGAAGTAGCGGCTCGTGTTTCAGCCACGCGCTGCGGCGAAACCCTGGCGCTGTCTTAATGTAAATTTCAGAATACAAGTTCACCTTTTAAAAGCCAGTTGCGCATTGCGGCTGCTTGTTCTTGATACGAGGAAAAAGGGATCGCAATGCCATTGGGTGAAGAAACGGGAAGAGGTATCCATAGTTTAGCGCTAAACATGGATGATATGAGTGGTCGAAGAATGGATGTAACAAGTACTTGTGTAGCAGGTGTTGGCGCGAAATCCCCCCGGGGGACAATAATAGAAGAGGCGGCTGCAAGGATTTTAAAGGGGCAAGAAGGGGAAAAGATTGGCCACCAGTCGTTGATATTGTGTATTAAGTCATGTGTAATCTGACTTGGCTGCCGGCGGCATGATGAGCCTGTGACGCAGAGTTACGATTGAGGGCTGGTGTGCCGTTGGCCCCCCCTCGAAGAGCCCAGTGAGCCAGGGCAAGCCAGGGTTACCCTTGAACGTGATTCAATACTACTGGGACAAATCCATTAGCCATCTCTAGAACAAAGAGTGAGGCATGCAGAACGGCACCAATTTCGTGCTCACCCCCTGGCTCGCTCGAGTCTGGGGAATAATTGTCAATGTAACATGGGCCGTAGGCGCGCTTGTCGAGTTTCCCGGACGCGCCGACACTTGCTGTGCTTCCGATGTTCATCTGCAATACGTTACAAAACTCTGAAGTTGCTTGCCATTGAAAATAGATCACGCCTTAGGGTTTGAGGATGTATTCCAATTCACCATTATGGCTATCATTCGATAACACACAAGTTTGCGCCACGATTGCTGTTCATGTCTAAGCATAGGCATTGCTACGAGGTACACTCATAGTCAAAACTTTCGCCCTCCCAAATTTCGTTCAACCATGTCAATATTTGTCCTGCTGGTTCTCGGGAGCAGTCCCGCGACGTTGGCGGAGACTTGCTATAACAACATCGGCAACCAAGATACTGGCTTCGTCGCGTGCGACCCAAATGCCGAATCCAGCGCATGCTGTAGTCCTGGTGACATTTGTTATAGCAATGGCCTTTGTCAACCTGGCCCGGAGCAGCCGAACAAAGGGATCACACCATACTATGTCGATGGTTGCACAGACCCAAGCTGGAATAGTCCCGTATGTATGGCAAAGTGTTTGAACGGTCAGACTTGTATAAACCAGCGCCTCTGGAGATATCTGACAAAAGTCATAGTTACTGGTAACGGCGTTGAGACCTGCGGAGGCCTCAACCAGTACTGCTGCTATGGGTTTGGGGGCTGTGACTGCTCGAATTCGACGCAAGTCATTAGCATTGCTGCCGGCATTGTTATTACCACCATACCAATGACGTCCTCAACTGCAAGCATCAGCAACTCTTCAACAAGCTCTACGACATCTGTCCCTAGCAGCACCGACAGCTTCCGAAGTGCAACGACCACACCAGCCTCAAAATTATCAAGCTTCACAAGCGTCCTCGCATCGCCTACCGCCGTCTCCTCAAACTCCTCGAACCAATCGTCAACTAGTCTCTCTACCGGTGCGAAAGCTGGAATCGGGATAGGGGTTGGCCTCGGAGCCGCATTGGCCTTAATTGGCCTGGCATTCTTCCTGATGGGCTGGCGCAGACGAACAAGACCAAGCTATAATGCCCAAGACCATAGCAAACCTGGCTACAAGCTAGAGGTGAATGCGCGCCAAGACGGTGAAGCCAAAAGATGGACGGAACAGAATTTCCACGAACTGTCCGCTCATCGAGACCAGACTCTAGCCGAAATGGATGCTCCCTAAATTCGCAAAGGGGGGCTTCGTTGAACCGATCCATGCACGGTGAGAATTGGCAGCCTAGTCACGTTCAACATCCTCAACACTGAACGGTTTCAGGCTGGCCCTGGACACGCTTTTTGGCTCCCAACCTAGACGACGACGATCAGCTCTAGAATACACAAGCATTCGGCATCTGTTGGGCCACAGGTACCTCTCTTGGCCCTGTGTATCAACGCGATAACCATGCACTCGCCACCTACACAACCATCAGCCTTGTACATCACTGCCTCTTTACGATTTATCATGCGTTCCTGTTCTTGCTGTTTCAGAATGCTACCTTGCGTTGGTCACTGCTCTTTTATACCCCGTGTGGCGTCGCCTACGCCGTACACTCTGTCCTTACCCCACTTTTCGACCTTTTGTAATAGATCGCATAAACTCCTATTGATCCTGGAGAGCCGAAGTGTGAGAGAAGGCTATAGGGATAGACGGATCGATGGAAGTGACGAGTGCTAAGATACCCTTCCGTATTCGCACGATATACATAGACTCCAAGCCGAAGGTACGACCCTCGGGCGCTTATCCCTCCCCGGCTCCTTTGCCGTGTTTGCTACCTTCCTTTATCGTTGCCATGGGCGTCCTTCGGGCGTCCTACTAATTATCTACCTGACTACGAGTATCCTGTTCTCAGTTACTCGGCTGGGAGACTGGTTCAGGGAACCCTTTGGATCCCACAACGGACCCTCGAAAATAACCGTCTAGAGTTGGTGTATTCCGTGAAAGTCTCATGCCTGCAAGGTGCAAGTGGTCCAATGACAGGAATGGTTCAGAAACGGGACTGAGCATGGTGAAGAAATAGAATGAGCAACCTGAGCAGGTGAGCGGTCAGGTTGAACATATTCGGGTGAGGCCATGCCGAAGGTGAGCCTGATCTGATCACATGACCCCGAGTTAAACGGCGTGGCGGCAAGGCCGCGGACCCCCCAAAAAGGGGCATTCCCCTAACTTGCCTGGAACCCTCAGAGAGCTCTGCAAGGGCAGCCCGAGTTGGATGAACAAAACGGCAGTGCTGAACTCTCGAAGCTATCAACTCTATGTACGCATGGTACTAGGATTCTGCCAAGTGCTACGCATATCTAATTAACGTTGACTTTCTACTGAAAGACTAAAGTATTAGCTAGAGCTCTGAACGTAGCGTATAGTTTTACGAGAGGATGGACGTTACAAGAGCTCATCGCCCCACGTGAATTGAACAACTTTAATCGATCTCGTAGAAGTCTATTGGAACCAAGTCCTCGCCGTAAAAGCGCATCAACGCTATGACGGGTGTTCAACCAACGGCTTTGTCATTGGGATCATTGCACAACTCCTCCGTGGAACAGCGAATGGCATGGGCGTCAAACAGAACAACCACGCGAAAGGAGGATATTGGGTACTGCCTTTTGGGAATGTTTGACGTTCATATACCGATGCTCTGTGGAGAGGGGAGAAAAGCATTCATAAGACTCCAAGAAGAGATGATCAAGCGACATGCTGATCATTTCATCTTTGCTTGGACCCATTTTACGGAAGACAGAACTCTGTTGGCCCGTTCACCGATATGGTTCGAAGACAGCCATAAGTTCATCCAATGTGCCCCATGAGTGGGCGAAGGGACATTCTACTCAATGACGACTCTGGACTTGGAGATTGAACTACCGCTTATCATCTGGTCATTGAATATCTGTCTTGTGCTTCTGTCGTGCCGCAATGCGGCTACCGACGAACAAATCGGGACTTTCGTCCACCCCAACTAGCTTTCATGTCAATACTACCAAGTCGCATCCAACAAAAGTCCCATCGGACGCATGAAGAAGAATGTACTTCTCGCATTACGGAGGAATCCCATGAACCAGTGCATTCAAGGTCAAAGACTATTGCTTCAGCAAGATACAGGTTGGTTTGTGAACAACACTCTATATGGGTTCGCCTAAGTGATTGTTTGGCATTTAACAGTGCTTTGGACAGTCCAGAATATTTGGAAGTTTATGCGCCGAAATGGGATCCTCGAAACAGAATCATCGAGATACCAGAAGAATGCTGCGGCACAGTTGGAGTGCTCGTATTCCGCGGCCAGAAAACTGGCAGTTCACCTGTGAGGAGTTACTGATATTGGCATAACCGCAGCAGTCTCAGATCAGCGTTTCCCTGATGGTCAAAGTTGCGTCAGATTGCTTCGCTGGAATATCTTTTCAAATGACAGATGGGAGCTTTTGACGAACTCTCCAACAGGTTCTTGGTCAAATTTATCTACGAGAGAGTGGAGAGATACTGGGGATTTACCTTCAACATCTCCAACAGCTCGTCTGGGGAACATGAGCAGCTAACTAGACTCCCCGTGGGAATCAGCACCAGCGAAGGCGAAAGTCCAGATAGATGAGCGAGAAGGTACAGGCTTCGGATGCTGCAATGGCTTGCTGCCCAGCCCATGTCCGAAAAGGAGATCGGATTCCCTCCATACCGGGCCAGGGGATGTATCGTGCTTCGAGGATTGGATTGTGGTGACACTGGGGTCTACCGACGATAGGCTCCGGTCTTTCCGATATCCATGACTGACAAAAAGAAGTAACCTGGCATACGTCTTCATGTTGGACAAACGCATTTTGATATATCTATGGCTGTAACATAATGTCAACAGCAGCTATTTCCTGTTTTTATCCCACCCCGGCCAGATCTCCCCCGCCAGCTTCTTGACCAGCTCCAGCTTCTCCCACATGCGCTCTCGTGTCATCCCGATCCCTCCTTCTGAATGGTCACTCGCAAAGCCACACTGGGGGGACACCGCGAGGTTATCTCGGAGCGCATCCTCTCTTGTCCTCCCGTTGCCTTGCCCCTCTGCTACCACGTCTGCAGCCTGATAGACCCGTTTCTTCAACTCGTCCAGATCCTCCATCTCTGCGGACTTGGTCGTCACCACACCCAAGACCACCGCCTTGTCCTGTGGAAGGTACTTCAGGGGTGTAAAATCCCCGGCCCGTGGGCTGTCAAATTCGAGGTAGAACAACCTGTACCCAGTCTCATTGAACAGCTTCCTCGCAATCCGTTCATAGCTACCGCTGGCGAGGCCCACGCCATTGGGGAAGTTCCCACGGCAGATGTGAATTCCGACGTGCAGGTCCGCCGGCAAGTCTCTGATGGCGTCGTTGTGGGATTTGATGTACAACTCCAGCAGCCGCTCGAGGTCGACACCTTCCTTTTGGCACGCCTGGATCCACTCATCGTCGCAGAAGAACGACAGGTTCGGGTCGTCCACCTGCACCATCCTCAAGCCGTGCTCATACAGCGTCAAGATCTCCTTCCTGACTGCGGCGCTCAAGTCCCGCAATAGCGCCTCGTCATTCTCAAACAGATCCGGATCAAAGGGTTCCTTGAGTTGGATATGCCACCACCCGGGCGGCGGCACCGTCATTTTCGCGTCCCTCCACCTCTCCTCCGGAAGGAGGCTGCGGAAATACAACCAGTCGCCCAGGTACGCGGACTTCTCGAGCGTAACTTTCCTAGCGGTAGGGAACCCCGCGTCGCGACCGGGGAGACCCCATTTGATCAAGGGGCGGTTCGTGGGGAAGTCGACCTTGAAGTCGGACATGGGCGTGTACCGCACCGTGAAACCGGAGAGGGACTCGAAGAAATTGCCATAGAAGATCGCTCGCTCGTACTCACCCGTGGTGATGGGAAGTATGTGTCGGGCGAGCTGCTCGGCGACGACATCTTGGATGGCGTTTGCTTGCTCAACTCGGAGGACTTCCATGGGGTCGGCGCCGCTGGAAGAAGAGCTGGCAGCGACAACCTCGCCATCTCCTTGCTCGGCTGCAGGGCCATTCCTGAGTCGCGCTCCCTGGAGATTGGAGTTCTTCCTGGCTTCGACCAGGCCCTTCGGACGGAGCAGCGATCCGACCTGATCGGCTCGGAAAAGTGGTGCCATGGTGCGCGTTCTGTCGATTCTAAACCTTGAGTATATCTGCGACCGAGTTAGCAGAAAAGATAGAATCCAGCGTTACTGTTGGTCTGTTCCTGAGATAGATACTGAGAGGCCTTCCCAACACAGTACACACTGTCGTGGGGCTGCGATCTCGGCCGGTTGCTTTTGTCTTGTGGCCCACATGAATGATGAGGGGGAACTGTTATGTATGCCAGTAACAGCAAAGCAGAGCCATGTGGGGCCCAAATATTGCAATACTTACAATATCACCCAGGATGTGATATTTGCTCAAGCAGGACGCCGCACAGAGATGCGTCGAGGGGATCAGAGTGGCTTGGTGAGCCTAAGGTTATTTACCCGGTTATCAGAACAAAGAGTGAAGCCACCGGGTTGAATAGAAAGAAAGACGACCAAAATTAACGACATAACTCTTGCTGAGGATGGAGCTTTTCGTTTTCTTTCGCTCAGACGTCTCAAAGGCTCCCATTGTGCGCCATCTCAAGAGGAGAGAACCGCTGACTCCCAGTGTGCTGGAGAGGCATGTGAACTATATACGCTTCCCTACAACACCATACGCCATTCCCGGGGGGGGGGGGGGGTTGTCCGGCCCTCTGAAGGAACTTCCTTTCCGCGGAAGCAACGTCTAAACCCAAACAATCACTTTTGTTACAGCATGCGTATCTTCAAGACATATATTATAGAGTGGAAACCGTTCATGAACGTCGTGTAGGATCAAGCGATGTTCCCAGCCATTCCCTGATCTCAATTAGTCGGCAGGTCATGTGTGCATGAGAGTAAGCTGAGCCCAATCACAGGGGGAAGATCTTCGGGATTAGGCTTACCAGAAATATGGCCTGCACTGCAAGCTGCAAACTCCATAATCCAACTTTCTTAAATCGCCTCAACCGAGCCTGCTCATCAGTGACATCTCGCGCGAAGGCGTCGTACACTTCGGCCGACAAATCATCCATCAATCCGGAATCAAATACAGTCCAGCTCCCATCAAAATCTGAGAGACGCTTGACCACCCGACAGTTGATCGGAATGAACGTCCTTCGGGAGTTGATATAGGCGACAATGGGGCGGATGAGCGCGTTGTTGATGTATGATAGATCGCGGGTGAAAATCGGGACGACGGCGCGAACATCGTTCAGGTGGATTCGGAGATCCATTACGATGAATCGCTTGTCTTCTTCTCTCACTGCTTGTGAGTTTGGAGTTGACAAGACGACTCCACCGGAGGCGATGGGCTCATCCTCCAGAGAAATTTCGCCTAGACGTTGCTGCTCGAGATGTTTCCTCGACGTCAGAGTGGCTTCCATCCTCTCGTAGAAATCAGCCATAACTTTCATGACGGATTCCTCGCCATCATTAGGGATCATGATATCCGCCACAATGTCAACGTTTCCTTCATGAATCCAAGACAAGGGGCCAACCGCCCCGCGATTTATATGATCGATGTTTATGCCATCAATGCGAATCCGTGATTGTTTTTTCCAAGGTTCGTTGGATGGATCTTCGGGGTCGTTGAGTTGTGTGCCTGTGTATGAGTGCGTCTGCCGCGGATGGATGGTGAAGATAGATTTGTCGAATTCTCCCGTGATGTTGTTCGCACAGAGGAAATCGTAGAACAGCCACTGCTTCCGCAAACGAGGTAGGTCCGCGTTATAAATACTGACAGGGAATGGCCGGAATCCCTCTGGTTGGAGGATTGTCAGCAAAAGATCTTCGATTTTGAAAGACTCGATCTCGAAATCTCCAGGGTTGTGCTCGTGTCGAAATGTTTTTGGATCGATATCTTCACCGGTTGCAAAGACGTGAGTCCGGTCGACGACTCCTCTAACGTGTTTGACTTCCACATTTTGCAATAGGCCTTTGGAGTTCCACCATTTGCTGAACGACAGGGTTACATTGACTTCCCCGACTGTGATGTCAAACTGGGTGTAATTCTGTTCTTCTGGAGGCACGGGATCTTCCGTCGACGATGCTTGAGCAGCTGCCACTGGGGATCCTTTGATGACGCGGGATTGCACTCGGCCCGGTCTTCTGGAGACGAATACATTCTTGAATGTGATAACCCCATCGCCCCATTTGGGAACAATGGCTGATTCGAAAACGACTTGGAGGCCAGATGATTTCGTCAAATAGTTCCCGATCCAACCAGCGAGTGTTTCTTGCGCAAAGACGGTATTTATAGCCAGAATGGCGAGAGAAACAAATGTGGTAGTGCCGACCACGATCCAGACGACATGGCCCAACGCAATCCAGGAGATGAATCCGACAATTTCATCCAGGTTGAAAGGCCTTGTGCTCTTGATTGTGAACCATTTAAAGTGGACCTTGAGGCGAGACCAGAAACCTGTGGCCGCGGCCAAGAGTTCTTCCTTCGTAGGACGGTGGAACTGCGGCATGTGCAGTCTATCGTAGAAACGACTCTGATGGGAATGATGCTGTCCGGAACCAGACTGAGAGGCTCCGCTCGGAGTTGGTTCTGATTTTGACGCATCTTCTGCTCTTTCTTGTTTTGCGCGTCCTTCACTTTCTTTGTCTGCCCTGTCTCTTGCGAAGCATGTAGTATGGAATTCTCGCCACCGTATCGAGGGCGACTCTCTATGTTGACTGGGCCTGACGTCCTTCCAACTGTTCTGGAGTCCCAAAAACCCCGGACTTGAGATGTGTTCATTTTCTCTAACAAGGTCTCCCAGCCAGGTTGGAGGACTCGACCTCCAAGAGGACGCTACGCCTTGCCCAGAAAGAATCTTGACCTGAGGGTATCGAGGCCTAACAGGAAGCTTGCCAAGCTGCCACGGCTGGCTTGTGGTATTCTTCGCGGTCGTCAGGTTTGATATCCGCCTGGGTATGTGGTATCTGAAGCTTCGGTCGGAGGACGCTGGGAGCTTTCGGACGATTTTTGTCGCCCGCAGCGGCGCGAGAGAAGCAATCCTCGAGACATCGCGCGTGCCCTGGACGAAGGCCTCTATCATGATTGAAAGACCATGACGGCCGGTGGATAAATAGAACCCTGGTTGGGTAGAAGTGGTCGTCTCTAGGAGATGGCGTGTGTGGAAGACGGCGACTGCGAGAGACAAAACGCATGTGCAAGGTGATGCAAGTTCTGCGGATGCGGAGATCCACAATCACTTGTGCAAATGCGGAGAAACTTGCCCTTGACTTGTACCTCCCAGCACCTCCTTGGCCTCGCCGTGACTGCCCTTGTGCTGCCTCTTCACAAAGCACCCATGGCACTTTGTCTATTTAAATACAGGTAGGAGCAGCTTCGATAACCTAAAGTTTTTCTTGTCGTTCTTTGTACAATATTCGACCCCTCAGATCCTTCCTCCTGTCAACATACTCCTTCTGCCGCTGTGGCCAGCCTCGTCCTCGGCGAACTCCTCTTGCCCGAGAACGAAAGCAGACTCCAAAAAGGGCCCCGATCCCTTTCTCTCGCATCTCGGAACCCCCCCAAATTGACCTCGAAAGTCCCTAATCTGCGTATGTAGAGACTAAAATGATGGAAATGAACATCACTGGAAAGAAACCAGCAAGCAGGCCGCCATTTGGGAGAACAAAGATGCGGATACACCCTGCGTTCGCCGAGTCGCCTCCATGCAGACTCACATATTCTATGGGCTATTTTTTCGCTGATGACATCTTTGCATTCCTCTCCTAGTCGAACTGGTCTCAGAGCGATGGTGAACTAACAACGTTCACATCTGAATTGATCGTGAGGCTGGTCCTGCAGGTTTCGAATAAACGAGCGTTGGGAGTTTAAGGGCTGCGACTGAACAAGCGATCGAAACAGGCAGACCGGTGAAACCTCGAGATCCAATCATTGGCTAGGAGATGGGCAAAAGGGGAACGAGTTCTTAACTTGCATGGAGGACCGAGTGCTGAGTACGGTACACAGCGAGACAGTACTTGAACAGAAGAACTGATGCGGCTTTCGGCACGCTTCGCCAAGCCCTGTGTTCAAAGTGACGACGGTCAAGACGATCTGGGCATTTGGACTTCAGAAAAGCCTGATATCGAGTTTGCATCGTCTGATTTTCAGTCCTCAAAACGGTCAAAGCTTACCACAAGTGCCAATTAGCAGTAGGTCTAGAACAAGCCAACGGAACGGCGGGTGGGCTCCAATACAAGCATCAAAGGGCAAAGCGAAAGGCCAATTGCGATCCATATCTATACGTTATGCCACAAGTTTACTTTCTACCCAAGTGAGCAAATACGATTCAATTAGGGGCCAGAAAACGGGACAAAAGCATGGGAGTGGACTAATGGAACATTGAAATCTTTCTACCGTTGCGTTCACATCCCCCCCAGCGAAGCCGAGGCCCGACGAGGCTGATTGTCGCAGTCTGGCCCACCATTTCAGTCGACCTCTCTCAGTCGTGGACCAACGTCTCCGTCTATATTGCCAACAACTCCGATCCTGCCCCGAACATGCCACATCGCAGATGGCCCGTAACTTGGTACGATGATAGCACGGGAAAAGGGTACAAATACGGTGGTTGGGCATACAATAGCTCGGACTGGACTGCCGATCTTTGGTCTTACGAACCTGGTGGACTTACTATCTACTGGTCCCAAGAAGTCGCGCCTGCAACATATGGGCTATCATTCGGGTCTAATGCCCCTTGGGCATCAGCCCGGGCCGTGGGCATCTCGACGTTGTACAACTTGGGAGGCTCCATCGCTGGCGGCGGCTCTCTAACCCCGAACACCATTCTCTCTGGTTTAGTGGAGCATTTTCCGTCAAGCGAGCGTTGGAGCAATTCTACAGGTGACGTTCCAGGCAGCTCCCCATACTTCAATCAGGCGCAGGCTCAATTTGCTCCGAATTTCGGTCGAGAAGGTTTTGTGATTGTAGTCGGAGGTACTAACCCAAGTGGACAAACATTCACATTTGAGCAAGATGCGTCGATGCGCGACATGGCAGATATAGTCTTGTATGACGTATCCACGAAGAAATGGTATGTTCAGCGAGCTACCGGAGACATTCCTCCCCCCAAGGACCGAGTTCTGTACGGTGGGAAAGGCCTCATCCGACCGGAAGACATACGAACTGTAAAGTATATCCTTAGGTACCTGCCGATCTATGCTGACTCGACCGCATCAGATTTGTACACGGGGGTATGTCGAATACAACCTACGACCTCAACTACCCTGATGAGCTTGGCTACTTGAATGTCTATGTTCTCTCCCTACCAGCATTCAGATAGTTCCAGACCCCAGCAACGACGAGCACCCGCAGATGCAGCCACACTTGTTCCATTATCGGCAACAGGCAAATGGTATCTATCGGTGGCTAGCCGCCTAGAACGTTTAACCAATTCGGCGCCGATTACGATGAATGGGCCAGCGGTATAGGAGTTTTGGACATGACTGAACTACAATGGAAGGACCACTATGACGCGGGAGCTGCACCCTATGAGCGAGCACAGTTGGTCCAGAAATACTACAACCAAAGTTTTGTCAAGCCAACGTGGAGTGATCCGGCACTGGCAACAATATTCGGCAAGCGTCCTGTTCGTCTCAAGGTTCAGGGACGGAGGCTCGTCTCATACTGGCGCTATTGCTGGCGGCGTCGTGGGAGGCGTCGTAGGCTTGGGTCTTATTGCTAGGTTCGCGTACTTCCTCGGAACGCGTCGTAGTCGCAAAACCGCCGCCCCCGGAGTCTCCCCCCCTCCGCCTTCAGAGCTAAAGTCTTCTCACATACCCAACAGCCCTTCAACAATGCAGAAGCCATCGCCGGAGATGGGCCAAACGCAGGTGTTTGAACCAAGTGAGTTGGAGGGCGAACCTCGTCAGGTGGCCGAATTACCGGGGTATTACGGGAGCTTTGCACCAGGACAAAGATAACCCATAAACGTCCATTTGGGCGGGAATAGGAAGGTAGTGGGAACTCTCATTCTGGGACTTCATAGTAATCAAGGTTCTGATTTGGCATGTTTCCCCTAAGATGAAGCTGCCATGGTATGTATGGTTTTGCCAAAAAAGGCTATATATTTTGTGTCAATTGTTAGTCCTTCACAACAGCTAGGTTTGGTAAAGACTGGCGCTCTTGTCTCCAAAGAACGAGAGTAGTTCTGTTGGATTCAAATTTGCACTTTGACCATGTTGCTGGTGAGAACGACTAGTAGCTTCATTCCAGGAATAATAGTGCTCGCCCGAGTACCCTTCGTGCCCTCTCGCCACCCCCACGACCAGATGGGAAATGTGCAATGCTGCGGAGAAAATTATTTCTTTGCCCGAACATCAGCCGTCGAACACAAAGTCGCCCCAAGTCACCTTGCAAAAAGTGAACCTCAAGACTCGAGACGAGCAGCGGGCGACTACTTCTTTCATAGTTTACACAGAGACCAAGAGAGCAATCCGAGCAAGGAATCGACAGCAATGCCTGCTCCGACGGCGCTGCAGCCCGCTGCTCTAGAGGCAATCTCAGAGTCCGAACCCCATCCCCACGATATCCTTCTACCGCCCGTCACAAATGAAGAAAATATCGAAGTGGACATCATAACAACGCCTCAGCCCGAAACCCTACCTCATCAGACGCAAGAAGAGACAGACATGGTAATGCAAATCGACGAAGAAGGTCGACCTCGATTCGCTCCCGCCTTGTCATCGTCCCAGACCCCCTCAGAGACGACGGCTCTACGAATTCAATCGCGCAAAGTGCCTGTGCCGCCACACCGCATGTCCCCCCTCAAGCAAAGCTGGTCGAAGATCTACCCACCGCTAGTCGAGCACCTGAAGCTGCAAGTGCGGATGAACATCAAGTCGAAGGCGGTGGAGCTGCGGACGTCGCGGTTCACGACCGACACGGGGGCGCTGCAGAAGGGCGAGGACTTCGTTCGGGCGTTCACGCTGGGGTTCGACGTCGACGACGCCATCGCCCTGCTGCGACTGGACGACCTGTACATCGAGACCTTCGAGATCAAGGACGTCAAGACCCTGCAGGGAGAGCACCTGGGCCGCGCCATCGGCCGCATCGCAGGCAAGGACGGCAAGACCAAGTTCGCCATTGAAAATACTTCAAAGACCCGCGTCGTCTTGGCCGACACAAAGATCCATATTCTAGGCGGCTTTCAGAACATCCGCATCGCCAGGGAGGCCGTGGTCAGTTTGATCCTGGGCGCCCCGCCGGGCAAGGTGTATGGAAATCTGCGGACCGTGGCGTCGAGGATGAAGGAGAGATTTTGAGCTTGTTTGGGTTTCTTTTCAACTATTTCCCACAGCACGATGCATCAAACGGCTGTTTTTTCACGAATGCGTATGACATGTTGCGCTGATAAACAGCATTGGGCGTTTTGAGACGATGGAATGGCTTGCATTAGAGCAGTGAGAGTGGGCTGTGGATGATTGTTACCACTTGCGGATCCTCAATGAAGTCCTGACAATGGAAAGAAGAATGAAGAAAAAAGTTTCTTGAACCCATTGATGACGACCCCAGGTAAACCTGATTAACCCATGTGGTTTCGGATTTCCAGCCTGATCCCGTTTCGCGCCGAGCTATGCATACAGAAACAAGACCCCCCGAGAAGCCGAGTCTTCTGTGGTTCTAATCTCTTTTGAGGGGCGTGAACGTCTCCTCTATCCCGTCCTTTGTGATGACCAACATCTGCAATCCATCACCCACCTCAATATGTCGTTCTGTTGCACTGGTAAACGCATCCTTGACTAGTCCGACAACCACATCCTTGGGCAAACTCTCAATCGGCCTCTGCTTCAAGTCATGACCCACGCCTGATGCTGGTATGTACTGGTTCTTGTAGTTGACTTGATTGTCCAGAAACGGCATGATCAGACTCGCCGCTGCGCCCGCAGCCCGGCACTGTTCTCGCTCGTAACTCCCCACAGGATCGTATGAATACAATGCTCCCTTGCCGTCTTCGTCCAAACCTCCCAGAATTGCATGCACATAGTAGGGGAAAAATCTCTTCTGGTACAAGATCGTAGAAAGTCGTTGCGCGCACGCCTTCACACTAATGGGTTTGTTATGCTGATACTTGTACATCTTGACAATGGCATCGAGGCGTTCTTTCAGGGCGTTGCCGTCGGCTGCAAAGCCTACAACTGCAAGCACGATCCGCGAGCTTTGCTCATCAGAGGCGTCCTCTCCGATGCGGAAGAGCTTGGGCACGTAGCGGGAGTTGATGTTGTAGCCGGAGGTGGATCGCGTGTCGCCGGCGAGAATAGCGAAGTCTGCGCCGGTGATACCAAGTGTAGACCCGCCGTTGTCGGTGTACCTATTGCAAGGTCAGTCAAGTCGTCAGGATCTCACGAGACAATGGCAAACGAACGGGTAGAAGGCATGTTGTTTGGGCCCTGCGGCTTCTTGCCCTGAGGCAGCGTGGTTTGCAAATGAGTAGCCCGGTTGATCCGATGGTATATGTTCTGAATTCAGTAGAGATGCCATGGCTGCGAGAAGAATCGAATGTCTTAGCGTAGATGGCAGAGAAAATGAGCTTGAGGTGCTGGATCTTTAATTCATCAATGACGGGCACGCAGATGGTCGTACGCAACTGCTCTCTCCGCCTAGTTGCACCGCCGCTCCTGTGGCTGGTGCCCGCCAAGCGGAAAAGGAACGCCACATTTGGCTGCTCTCAATTCGACCTCTCAGCACAACAGCCTCTGCGTTTGAATTCAATGTTCCTTCACCCGTCGATCTGCGTTCAGTCCGCCTAGCGGGTGGCAGACAAGCCAAAGATGAGCGGGCTTGTCAGCTACGAAAGCAGCAGCGATGAAGAACAGCCATCCCCTCCAAAAGCTGAAGCCATTGCGCTCTCCAAGGGAAAACCAGCCGATTTAACAGTACCTACTGATGGCGTTGCTAGCAGCAGTATCAACAAAGATTTTCCAACCACAGAGCCAGGAGAGGGGACAGATGGAACTACGAGCGTTGGCAATGGGCCAATGCTGGGTCCAGCCATGCCAGATCAAATGCGCAACAACGACGAGATTATCGAGCAGCAAGATTCGCCTGCAAAAATCTCTCAAAATATGTCTGGACGCGAAACTATCCACCTTCTCACACAGGCAACATGTCCAATGACGGCCATCCCGCCTTCACCCCCAGGTTCTCCTGATCCTGCATTGGACGCAAAATTCAAGCGTTTTTTGGAGCTCAAGGCTGAAGGGGTGCATTTCAACGAAGACTTGGCGAATAGGTCTACCTTTCGCAATCCCGGGTTGCTGGCTACGATGATGGCTCGAGCAGGGCTGGAGGGAGACGACCAGTACAGAACTTCTTTGCCACGGGAGTTCTGGGATCCTTTAGGCTTTCCTTCGTTTGCCTACAAGGAGGAACTACTCCAAAGTCAGCAAACTCTACGCGAGCAGGACGCAGCCTCCAAGAAAAGCCTGGCAGCTGCGGGAAAGAGAACGATTCAGTTCAGCTCAGGCGGAAAGTCTGGGGCTTCGAGCAGAGAGTCGACTCCGGGACTGGCCAACAAACGGAAACGACCTTAATGACGTGTTGACATGTTCGTATTGTTTGGAGAAACGGTTGAACCACACGCAGCTGGGCCTGGAAGAGAGTCGTCGGAAGGCCCCCCCCCCCCGGTGTCTTTACCAGTAAATGGTGCAAACTGCTGGCGTTTATGGAGCATTTGTCATCTCTATGGATATTTCCAGCAGAGGCAGTCATGCGTCCCGGCGCCTTCAGGTTGTAAGGGAGGGTCGGAGGACCAATCACGAACAGTCTGATATCATGTGTGTGCCAACTCAGTCTCTTCCGAGGTCATGCATATGCTCAGCCTCCAAAGGAGGTCAGCAAGAGTGGAAGGTTTTCCTGAAGAAAACGGAAGATGCTCACTCCAAAACCCTGAATGGTCACCAAAAGATCTGGTCGGTGTGAAAGGATGTTGATGATGCACAGGTGATTCCTGGTAGGCGGAGGTTGATTGGACTTGAGCGAAGCCCAGGGCAGGCCAATCACACGGAAGGACTGGGGATGCTCGGGTTCCTGCAGCTGAAACGATCCGAGCGTCGGTTCGAGGTGGTGACGGTGGTGGTGGAAGAGGGAGCTCTGGCGGTGCACGAGCAGAGAAACATATCCGTGCCCCTCAGGCCCTAGGATCAACTCTCGCCTGCCTCTTGTCTGCAATAATATGAGTGCTTGAAGCAGGGGAAAGGAGTAAAGATGTCACGATGGGCATGGGGCCTTTGCCAGGGGCCCTGGCAACCTTCGCTTCGCTTCTCGGATTTTCAGGGTCCAGAATCTGATCGGCGCAGGGAGGGTGGCCATAAAGGACTTGGACAATGCATGAAGGTGCAGCGTTAGGCATGTAGCGCCTGTAGGGGACTCGTAGATGTGGGTGGTGCTGTCAAAGAGGGAGGGTCGCGTCGGTTGCGTCTGTCTACCTACTGTTCCATGGCTAGGTAGGCTTTTTAATCAAGAGGTTTTGGTTTCCAGAAAGCGGGCCGGGGCACGTTTGTTTCATGCCTTTCCCGCGACCGCTTGAAACCAATTTGCGCAGATTCCTGAGATGAAATATTGGTGGGTGCGCGAGACGAGACCTTGAGAGGGAGGCTCGAAATCAAGCTCGTTCAGATTGACAAATGGTGGAAGCTCAACCCGGTCTCTTTCTCTGCTGGAGCGACCTTTATCTTTGCTGGCCATGTTCATTAGGCGAAGGTGGAGAGAGGGACAAGCCGTCGGTGCATGATTGCGTCTTTGGCGGTGGTGGCCGTGGTGTTGGTGGCCAAACGAGTGGGAACCGTGGCAGGTCAGTTGCCAGTCTTGCTGGCTCGCAGCCAGTCGCAACCAGTGGAAAAATTGGCAGGCCACGCTCACGCCTCAAGCATGCTCCATTCTCTTGCTCCTCAGAGTCCTCTCCACCTCCACGTCTTCTTCGTATTATTGCCCATCGAATCTGAAAGGCCGACCTCTTATCCACGTTGGCCCAAGTGCCTACCTAGGTAGTGGGCTCGCTCACGGCCAATCGCCTCCACCTGGACGTGCCTCCGGCGCTTACGGCTGGTGAGGCCACCACCTAATGCTTGCCCTCTCCTGCCCTTCTCACTCGCTCTTTTGTGAAGCAGCACGAGCAAATCGACACCGACCCTCGACCTCGACGCTGTCTCCGTTTGGGCTGTTCGGCGTGCTGCAAAGCCTCTGGCAACTTTGTCAACTTTGTCCTTGCGCCGCTTCGCACAGCTGGCCTGTCAGCGGTCTCCAAGTGTTTCCCCCCCGATCCTGGTGCCAATAATGGCTCGAAGTCTAAGAAGCAACCCCCCCATTCCCTATGCAGCCTGATCGAGTTGCCCGAAATGTCCCAGTCGACCGCCGATACACTTCCCCCTCAGTCTCCCCAGGATCGTTTGGCCCAAACAGCCGCTGGTGTTTCAACCTCCTCGCTGGCCAGCCCTCATCCGTATATTCTGGCCTCCCGCAAACCACAAAGTCCCGCTGTGCTACAGGGGAGTTTAATCCCTCGAGACTACCTGAGCTCGTTATCCAGCTCGAGGTCGCCCTCGGACCAGCAGCGCAAGATCGCGGAGGACAATACCTTGTACGAGAAGACGCCCACTCCTAATGAATCTGGGAAGAGGCTCGTCAAAAATACAACGGAGGGCCAGGCTGCCCTGACCCGAGACAAGTGCCACAACAGCACTGCGCCGCCCAACGAGCTGGAATCAAGCGTATTATCAACCTCTCAGAGTCCAAAGGAACAGGGGGTTACAGCTCTCTGGGAATCCCCAAAATCGTACGCTTCTTCTTCGGCTAGCGTGCACCCACTGAACAATATGCCGCGGACATCCTCAATCGATTCCGCCATTTCCAACATCTCAAATGCTTCGCATGCTCAGAAACAACTCGGAGAGGTCAAAGAGCTCACGCGAGAAGAAGTCCAGAATCTCATTGCCACAGCTGGCTCTGCGGAGAACCTGATCCAGCACCTCTTGAAGGACAAAGGTCACGCTGCTGCTCAAAATGCCCAGCTATGGAAACTGGTCGACAAACAAAGGGCGCTGTTACTGGGTCTGAACAAGGATCTCGAGCGGCTGACGAAAGAGAGGGACAGATATAGGAAGAGAGTAAAGGAATTGCAGGCCCAACCCTCGATGGCGCAGGTGGACCGTCTCCGGATGGAAGAAGGGAACTCGCCTCAATCTGACGGAGAAGCCTCAGTCGCCTCGAGGGAACCTGAACCTGCAGCAAGCTTAGATCTGGGCTTGAGGCCAGTTGAGCAGATTCTGAGTAAGGGTGTCACCGATAGCCACATGCAGAGCTCGCCCATCGATCCTGCCATGATGCCGTCACCACTCTATTTACAACAACAGCCACCAAAGATGCAGAGTCTGGCCACACACTTGGCACAGCCTTCCTTTGCGCTCACCGAGCCGACCCCGCTCACCGAGAAGCCACCAAAGTCATTCCAAGCCTCCAGGAAAGCACCGCCTAAACCGCTTGATCTCCGCCCAACAAAGGAAGAAGTGACAGCTCACCAAGTCATTGTCCCGAACGAGGTGATTGTCAGCGGCGACGAAGATGATGAAGAACGAGAACCCATGCAGAGAGGGCGACGAAAAACTCGAGAAGAAGATGACCGAGACCGCGAACTTCTTGTACTCAAAGAGCAGGAAGTCAGAAGTCGGTCCAAAAAGGAGAAGAAAGCGAAGACCGAAACAGAGGACCCCACGGTTCTGGAGCAGATGCCTTTGTCGCCGCCTGTCACTGAAGTCAGCCAAACCTTACCTTTGAGACAAGATCATCTCTCTCCTGCCTCGATAACGTCCGGCTCAGTGGGATCCTCAGTTCAGATGTCACTCCCTTTGCGAAGTCCTGGTCTTCCGATGAGCCCTCGTCCCATGATGGGGTCTGCGCTTCCCATGTCCCCACGTCTTGCTAGTGGTAACTTCCCTCTTTCACCTCGTGCGCCAAAGATGCCTTTACCTATGCCTACTACACCCGGCCAGCAAGCACCTAACCCACAGGCACTGGCACAAGTGCAGATAGCTGCTTCAGAATCTCACAAGAAGATCGGCCCGTCGTCCCTGTCGAAGATGAACACCGCTGCAGGCGCTGATTCGGATCGAGGTCAGATCCATGAGTCTCCTCTGAGCCCGGGTGAGGTGCCACTAGTAAACCGGGGCCTGGTGGATCCGAGTTGGCCTGACCTGCTTCTCCCTCCAAATGCCTTACCTTCGATTCAGGTGAAAGTCGCCTCTTCTCGACTGCGGCCCTCAAGAAACAGCATGCTCGGGCTGAGGATGCCAGAGGAGAATGCGGTTTTCAGTTTGTCAATCTTTGAGCGTGCGACCGCATCTGAATTTTGGCGAGTGGAGAAAATTCCTACTTCACTACCAATTCTGGAACAGCAATTAAGATCTCGCTGTTCCGATCTACCGAAACTACCTGACCGAAAACTCTTCTCTGGTCATTCGCCTGCTGTCGTTGACGCGAGAAGAAATGCAATTAATGAATACTTTGACGACTTGCTTGACACTCCCATGGATGAACAAGCAGCTGCGGTCATATGCCGATTTTTGTCGACAGACGTCATGGAGCCACAACCCACCGTCCCCTCACATCATAATGAAGACACACAAATTAGACAGGTGTCACAATTGCACTCAGGCGTTCCGACCAAATCCGGTTACTTGACCAAAAAGGGCAAGAACTTTGGAGGATGGAAGTCCCGATATTTTGTTCTGGACAGCCCGGAGCTGAGGTATTTTGAAGCACCTGGTGGTGCACATCTTGGCACGATCAAGTTATTGAATGCCCGGATTGGCCGGCAAACTCAATCAGACCCTCCCTCAGAGGTTGATTCGGAAAACCAATATCGGCACGCCTTTCTCATCCTAGAACCCAAGCGCAAGGACTTGAACAGCCATGTTCGGCATGTGCTTTGCGCGGAAAGCGATGCAGAGCGGGACGAATGGGTGGAGACGTTGTTGCATTACATCGACGAGAGGCCGATGGAGCCCAAATCACAGTATGGAGCGGGCGTTCAGACCTCACACACCAAGGATGCGAAGCTGTCCCAAAGGATGGGGTATGAGGATGCCGAGTCGAAATCGAACGGGAGCCCGCAAACCCACAGTGATACACCCTCCCCCTCCATTGCATCTAGCCAGACTCCGGAGCTCCTTCAGGAACCGGTGGCAACATCAAAGGCGTACAACATTTCGGGTCCAATGAATGGGGCTGTCATATCGGATGCCGGAAGCTGGGGCAACAAATCCGCGAGCAACAGTGGGAGCAAAGAGCGAGAGCAAAAGAAGCGCAATCTCTTCCATTTCAGGAAGCCGTCGTACGAGCAGCTTGCTCCCTTGCAGCCGGTTCAGCCCAAGAAATCGGAACTCAACGCTCGCCGAGGTGGGCACGTTAGACCGGTGTTCGGGATGCAACTCCAGGAAGCAGTGGAGTACTACTCACCTGTGGACGTGGAGGTATATCTTCCGGCCGTGGTGTATCGCTGCATCGAGTTTCTCCGAGTCAAGAATGCTGCGAATGAAGAAGGCTTGTTCAGACTTAGCGGATCGAACATCGTGATTCGGCTGCTCAAAGATCGGTTCAACACTGAAGGTGATGTCGATCTGCTGGCAGACGAGGAGGATTACGATGTACATGCCGTGGCCTCGCTCTTCAAAACGTATCTCCGTGAATTACCGTCCACGATTTTAACCCGCGAATTGCACCTGGAATTCCTGAAGGGATTGGAATTGCCTGAGAAGTCACAAAAGATCGTGACCTTCAACATTTTGGTGCATCAGCTGCCTAATGCGAACTTCTCGTTGTTGCGGACGCTTTCACAATATCTGCTCGAGGTGGTACAGAACTCGGAGCGGAACAAGATGACCATTAAGAATGTCGGAATTGTGTTCTCTCCGACGCTCAACATCCCAGCGCCTCTCTTCGCCTTGTTTCTGACAGATTTTGAGGCGATCTTCGATAAGCCCACCGATCAGGAGTCTATTCGATCGACAGAGTTTGAGCGTGGGGAGGGAGCCCTCACGCCAGAAGACATCCGATCGCCTCGGCGGCAGATGTTTACCGACTTACCAACGCCCATGTACAATCAAGACAGCTTTGCTCACAATGCTCGGGCTACTGGAGGGAGTGCACGACCAGAATACCAGCTTGATCCCACCAGCGACTTAGGATTTGCGCCGCTCCAACCATCGTACGAATGCAGACAATATGTCTCGATTCCACACGACATGGCCATGAGCGCCCCCAGGTACCCCCCACCACAACCCCCCAACCAACATGGAGGGAGCAACCAGTACGGAGGATCAAATAATATGATGGCCCCAGAAAATGCGGCGAGTGCCAGAGCGAGACGGCGCGAGAGCTCGATGCTATTCATGTGAATGAAATGTCTCGACTTGACGATGGAATATTCTGAAGGCGGAGAGGTAAAGATGACCTCATGCGCCATTGCTGGATAGTTATTGTCTTGTTGTCTTTCGCTTCCAAATACCCCATTTTGCAGGCGGGTTTATTTTCGTTCGGTCTTTTTCTCGGAAAATTTCTGTCCCAGGACAAGCATCTGAGCGAATCTAGCTGTTTTGTACTATCTTTGAAAGAGCGGAAGGGGGGCGAGGACCTTCTTCTCCATCATGCCAATCACTTAATGAGAGCCTTTGGAGTCAAGATGAAACTTTGGAGGACGGGCGACGGAAGGGATGAAAGGGATATGAATGTCAAGATCCATTCGATTATTGGGAATATGGGGAGGCATCATGACAGACGTTCCGAGTTCGGGGGGTTCCTCATTAACAGCGGCGAGATTTGGCCCACAAGGTTGCAGAACGAGCAGTCAATAGATCAGTTGGCCTGGACCATGGTATTCCACTTCGTTTTGCCCCTTCTCCTTGTCCCGACTCTCATGCCCGTGAAAGAGGATTGGTGGATGAGCTGAGTGAGGGACGCCTGCAGACGTCGCCAGTCATATTTGCAGCAACTTCGGCTTCGCCACGCCACATATAACACCCGAATATGCAGTGTTGAGGAGTAGAGTTTGGAGAGCGGTTCGTCGTCACAGCCCCTGGCCTTGTCGAGTATTCCCATGCTGGTTTAGTTCGTTGGACCAAGTCGGTAGGATTCGTAAGGTCTTAGTCAGGCTTGTTGGTCTGGGGTAGCGAAGGCAGCAAAGAAGTGTTGTCGTAGACAGAACAGTTGAGAAGGAAGCGCGATGAGTTGGTGCCTCATCGGATGAAGCACCCGGTTCTACTTGTACATAGGAATTGTCCGACTCGATGGCTGGTTGGCTGGCTATCCTTCCTGCCCACAAAGCCAACATGTCCTCCTCGTACTCCGCAGACTGGACTCCTATATTGACATAACTTTTGCCCGCTCTGTGAGGAAAGGGTCCAATCAATTCGGATAGACAGGGCCCCTTGCTTTCGAGGCCTCTCCCTCCCCTGAAAACTCAACCCGCTCCTCCAGCCTCAGCCAGCCTTATGCATTAACGCCCGGCCCCTTAGGACTCCGTTGCAGGGCCCGATTCGCTGGCCTAGCTGGATGCGGCAGTCAGACTCCACCGGAGGGCCGGAACTAGTCCAAATACAGTACTTGTGGATTGCTGGGGTCCGATGCCCCCACCAGTAAGCAGCCAGAAGGTCTCCTGGGATCTCCTGGCCGCCTCCCTGGCGCAAGCCTCCAACCAAGTCAACTCCCTTGTCCAACTGGTTCTGGTAGCTGTCTCGCTGTCGTCGTTGTGGAAAATATACTTAGTTAGTGTATATACCAAGGCAATCTCTTTTTTTTTTTGGACTTCTGACTTGGGCCCGAGTTCTCCGTCAAATCAATCTTCGCCATCTCCGCCACCCTCGCGCTTTGAAACCCCACGGCTGACTGCCCGTTGTCGCTTGGCTCCAAGTCATGAGTCAGGTAGGAGATATCCTTCTGAGCGTTCTGTCCGACTCATTGGGCCGAAGCGCAAGCAGATACGAGGCTCGAAAGCGGTCCAGCGCATCCTCAAGCACTCAACGGTTAGTCGGCATTGGAGGAGCGCAAACGAGCCCTCACCATTTCGAACGCGCCGATCCAAAGCGCCTGTCAACAAAAGTTTCAAAGAAACAAGGATGCGGTTAGACGGGTGACCCTTTCTTCATGGGGTGCAGGAGACCAACTGAACTTAACTTAAGTACCTTTGCCCTACAAATAGTCGGACTCTTGACTCCACGCAATGTAAGCGAGTCTAGCGGCAGGCAGCCTTGCAAGGGGGTTCTATACTTCAATTGCATGGCACGTCGCGCTACGGAAGTATTGAGCACATTGATGCAAAGCCTACCGAGCAATGGCTCCAATGGCTCTGTGATTGACACTCACTACTAAAAAGAGTAGTTAAGGCCCCGCCCTGTTGTCCCTGGTGTCCCTTGCTGGGCCCTTGGTCGTGGTCGTGGTCATTGTTTACACGACTGGCCACCGCATCGAAAAGTGACACGAACAACAATCAATTCATATTTCAACACCCGCGCACCCCTTGGGCCTTTCCTCTCTTTCCCTTTCACTCAGCTCTGCTCCTTCCACTCTCCACTTGCTCCTTCCTCTCCTACACCTCTGTCGCCTGGTGTCTACACTGTCACTGTTCTTTTCTCCTTTGCTCTTCTCCCCAGCACTGCAGTCTGGTCATGGCAGACGAGCCATCCTCACCCAAGGACATGCCCCAGGCGACGGCCACCGAGGCGCCTGAGGCCGAGACTTCGATACCGCCTTCCATCTCTAGCGGTGAGAACAACAATGAGAAGGCTGGTGCTCACACGGCCACCGCCGTCGACCTCGACCGCGTCGGTGAGACCGATGGCTATGTGCTCGACGAAGCCCGAATTCGCGAGAAGCTTGGCCTGGCCTCCGACGTCCCCCTCAAGAAGTCGAGCCATGGCAAAGTCCTGATTCCCCAACCCACCGAGGATCCTGAGGACCCGTTGAACTGGCCCAGATGGAAGAAGGCAGCCATCTTGTTGGTGATTGCGGTCAATGCTGCGACTTCTGATTACTCTGCAGCCACTGGCGCAAGCGCTCTCATTCCCCAGGCGACACAGTGGCGTATCAGTCCGGACGAAGTCAATCATGCTACGGCTGGGTATGTCCTCTCGTCGCCGCTGACCACAAAATTCTGCGCTAACACGTTAAAAGCAATACATTCATGCTGGGCGTCGGCGGTATTTTGACCGTCTGGCTCTCGGCCTGGATTGGTCGTCTTCCCGTCCTCTTCTGGTTTGGATGTCTTTCCGCCGGTACAGCTGCTTGGTCCGCCGCGGCGAAGTCTTTCGAATCATACATGGCGTCACGCATTTTGAACGGCATGTTTGCTGTTGCCGGTGCGGGTGGCGGTCTCATGTGGATCAAGGATGTGTGGTTCTTTCACGAGCATGCCAGGAAAATCAACATCTGGAGTACCGCCATCATTCTGTCTCCCTTCCTGGGGCCGCAATTCATGGCTGCCATCCTCAGCGTGAGTACATGGAGGACGGGAATGTGGCTAAACTTCGGTATCATTTCGCTCGGATTGGCCATGACCATTGTTCTCGGCGACGAGACATTTTACCCAAGGCACCTGATGCCAGATCGAGTTCCAAAGCGCAAGAACCGTCTCCTCAGAGTTGTCGGCATCGAGCAGTACAAGACCAAGTACACGACCAACACTTTCCTTGAAGCTGGAAGTCGATTGGGATGGACCGTTCTCAAGTTGCCGGTGTTTCTGACTTGCCTCTTCTACTTCTTCGACTGTAAGTGCGCCTCCATCCAGTTCCCGAAGTCAAGGCTAATCTCACACAGTCCCTTGGACAATCGGCAACAACACAACCATCTCGGTCTTCATTATTCCTGCATATAATTTCGACTTCCGTAACCTTGCAGCAATCTACACTGCACCTGTCGTGGGTGCGATCCTGGGACTTGTCATCGGCCATTTCATGTTCGACTTCATTGCTAGAATGTGGGCGAAGCGCCATAATGGCATCATCGCCCCCGAGAACAGGTTGATCATCCTGTGGCTCGTTTTGCCATTCAAGCTCATCGGCTACAACCTGATCGGCACGACTTTGCATCATGCTCCCGCATGGTCATACTGGGTTCTCGTCGTGGGATGGGGAATGCACAACTTCGCCACAATCGTCACCACCTCAGCGGTGGGTGCGTACTTGCTGGACTCCTACCCCGAGGCAGCTGGTGAATGTGCCGCTCTGCTCAACTTTGCCAGAACACTGGGTGGATTTATTATCGGGTACGTGTCGGCCATTCGTCTTGCATTTTCATCCCCACGGCTGACATTTACCTTGAAAATAGGTACATCCAGATCAATTGGGCCACCAAAGCGGGCACGCAAACGGAATATGGTATTCAGAGCGGCATCATGGGAGCAGCATTCTTTTTGGTCGTGTTCTTGCAATTCTTCGGGGCCAAATTGAGGCATGCTCAGGGGCCGTTGAACTTCAAGACTTACTAGGTTGGACAGAACGAACCTGGTAGGCCTTTCTCGGTGGTGTGGTGGAAAGAATGGTATGGCGGACGACATTGGAAAAGAAGAACGATAGCAGAAACATGTTTTGAGTCAAGTAGTGGTGATGTCTGATCAACCAACACATTTACTGAATGCATCGCAATCCCTCATCTCGTCCTGCTCGTCGTTCATCGTTTGTTGGTACAATGTCCGAGAAAATGCCTTGGAGCCTCGCAGCCTCACAGCCTCGCAGCCTCGCAGCCTCGCAGCCTTAGCCTCGCTTGATCAGATGGGCGGGCCCAGATTGGTCCGCCGACGTCATCCTGATTTGCTGCACTGCGTCTCGGCCGTGATTGGCCAGAAGCTTGGTGCGGCCATTTGCATCAGAAGCAAAAGCTCCTCCTCGAGTCTTCCACCCTCGATAAGTTTTCTTTGCTTTCGCTTTCTGCACACCACGACAAGGACCGACTTCACACCCCCCCTCCAGTCATTGTTTGACATTCAGCTGCAATGTCGCTGGCCAGGTCAACTCGTAGCGCTCAGGTAAGAATATCTCAAGCTGCCCCGCGTGCCAGAGATCTAACCAGGCATTTTTTGCTTCTTTTTTGCAGGCGCTGTTCCGTGCTGCCCGGCGGGCAAGCAAGCCACAAGCTGCTTCGCCCTTCCTCGCAAGATGTGAGCGGATGTGTCGACTCTAGTCTATCCTCCTCCGAAGCTAATGTGCTCGTTTCTCCCCGCAGCCTACGCAACCGTCGAATCCGACATCTTCAAGCCTACGAAATATGGCGGGAAATACACGGTGACGTTGATCCCTGGTACGATATGGCCCTTGAGCTCCGCCGCGTGCGATTGATGCCCGTGCTCACTCGTTGGAACCGGCGCCAGGTGACGGTATCGGTGCCGAAGTGGCCGAAGCAGTCAAGACGATATTCAAGGCCGACAATGTCCCTATTGAATGGGAGCAAGTCGACGTATCCGGCGTCGATACAGGAGACAAGTACTCGGAAGAGCTGTTCAAGGAATCAATAGCGTCTTTGAGACGAAACAAGCTTGGGTTGAAAGGTATCCTGCACACACCCATTGAGAGATCGGGTCACCAATCCTTCAACGTGGCGCTGCGACAAGAACTCGATATCTACGCTTCGGTCGTTTTGGTCAAGAACATCCCGGGTCTGGTGACTCGACACAAGAACGTCGATCTGTGCATTGTGCGTGAGAATACCGAGGGCGAGTACTCTGGTCTAGAGCATCAGTCTGTGCAAGGCGTGGTCGAGTCCTTGAAGATCATCACGCGAGCCAAATCGGAGCGCATCGCCAAATTTGCCTTTTCATTTGCTCTGGCAAACAACAGGAAGAAGGTGACGTGTATCCACAAGGCCAACATCATGAAACTTGCAGATGGTTTGTTCCGAAACACGGTCAAGAAGGTCGGAGAGGATTATCCCAGCTTGGAGGTGAATGATATGATTGTCGACAATGCTTCTATGCAAGCTGTATCCCGCCCTCAACAGTTTGACGTTATGGTCATGCCCAATCTTTACGGAGGTATCCTTACGAACATCGCCGCCGCGCTTGTTGGCGGGCCTGGCGTAGTGCCTGGTTGCAACATGGGCCGGGAAGTTGCGGTATTTGAACCGGGTTGCCGACACGTTGGTCTCGACATTCAGGGCAAGGATCAAGCGAATCCGACAGCCCTTCTTCTTTCGGGCACCATGCTCCTCAGACATTTGGGCCTTGACGAGCATGCCAACCGTATCTCCCGGGCGGTGTACGATGTGATTGCCGATGGGTAAGTGAAAAGGTTTGTGTGTGACACAAAGACCAAGAGGCTGACTGGTTTACAGCAAGGTGCGAACTCGCGACATGGGTGGCTCAGCTACGACGCATGAATTTGTCAGGACGATTCTGGACAAGATGGAAGCTGAATTCTAAGATGTGATGTACATAGGCTGGAGCGGATTGGGAGTGTGTGATTGAAGCAGCTGGTGGCCGATTCACGGATGCAATGGAACTTAACTGTTTTTTTTTTTCTTGACGCTGATAGCCCTGCATTGATGTTAGAGGTGGATCCTAGGATGTGCAATTCCGCAATGTTCCAATATATATACAATGCAACACAGTACGATACGATAATATTTTCTGCCATGCACTCTCTTCATCGAGCGCACTTTCCACCCACTCGCAGAGGATTATTAGTATCGAGTACTCCGTACTCTGGACGTCTTCAATCCGGGCCGAGAAATCCTACGTAGCTATCATAATCACCTCTTTAAGCTCGGTATCGGTATCTGGTGGGTGGTACAGTAGCTGGCGCAAACCTCGGTCCAAGTTCCAAGTTCCATCGAGCAGCTGTTACTACCGACCGACCCCACACTTTGATTCTCACCTCAGAGGTCCAGAGGTGTGTATACGAGTCCTACATGCCGTGTCAATCTTCATAGGTAAAGGAGGCTTATTTATTTTGTTTCTACTTGTTTTGACTTGGCTTCTCCTCTCAGTCTCAATTCTCACTCCTCACTCTCCCGGCCTCAGACTCAGTCTCCCTTTTAAGTGAATATACGGAGGATTTATATACATATCCTCGTCCCTCCCACCATTCACAACGAGGTAGCTACATAGCTAGCGCATCAGACACTCTTGTCCTCCTCCTGCTCGATATCGAACACCTCCTTCTCTCACATATATACGCACATATATACTCACCGACGAGGCGGTGTAACATAGACATCACCCGACATATCGTCCACCACATCGCCATCATGTCGTCTTCATCAGTCCCGGCGCTCAGCACGCCTCTGACAAAGCTCTTGGGAATCAAGTACCCCATCATGCTGGCCGGGATGGCACGTACCTCGGGCGGACCCCTGGCCGCGGCCGTGTCCAACGCAGGCGGCATCGGCACCATAGGCGGATTGGGGTATACGCCTAAGCAGTTGCAGGAGGTACGTTGATTAGATTTTTTTCTTCTTTCTTTTTCCTTTCTAGACAGTGTTGAACCATGTTGCTACGGGGTATGGAGGACGGGGTACGTGGTGGAAGAGGGATGATAAGGGATGAAGGAAGGAGTAGCAAGGATGAAGATACGGTGTCAAAGAGGGAGGATGTAATACAGAGGACAGATGAGCCCGACAATAACAATTGCCCTGCCCTGCCTTTGTGCTGCTGCTGGTTACTCTCCGTTCACTCCCCTTCTTCGTTCCGGAGTCTCTTCTCCCCAGCAGATTTGAGATCCACTTCAAGCCGACGGCTGACATTCCCCTCCCGCCCCAGATCATCGACGACCTCAAATCCAACCTGACAGACCCGTCGCTCCCGTTCGGCGTGGACCTGGCGCTCCCGCAGGTCGGGGGCTCGGCGCGCAAGACGAACCACGACTACACGCACGGGCAGCTGGACGAGCTGATCGAGGTGACGATCCGGAACGGAGCCAAGATCTTCGTCAGCGCCGTGGGAGTGCCGCCGGCGCGCACCATCAAGCGGCTCCACGAGGCGGGCATCCTGGTCATGAACATGGTGGGCGCACCCAAGCACGCCGAGAAGGCGCTCAAGGCCGGCGTCGACATCGTCTGCGCCCAGGGCACCGAGGGCGGCGGCCACACGGGCGACATCGCCAACAGCGTCCTGATCCCCGCCGTGTGCGACGTGGCCAAGAAGTACCGCTCCCCCCTGACCGGTGAGCCCGCGCTGGTCGTCGCGGCCGGCGGCATCTACGACGGGCGCAGCCTGGCCAGCTCGCTGATGCAGGGCGCCGTGGGTGTGTGGGTGGGCACGCGGTTCGTGGCGGCCGAGGAGAGTGGCGCCAGCAGGCTGCACAAGGAGGCCGTGGTCAGCGCCGACTTCACCGACACGCTGCGCACGCTGGTCGTCTCGGGCCGGCCGCTGCGCGTGCGCCTCAACGACTATGTCGCCAAGTGGGAGGCCCAGCCCGAGCGCATCAAGGAGCTGACCCAACGGGGGATCGTGCCCATGGCCTACGACCTCGAGCAGGAGGCCGAGATCGACATGCCCTTCCTCATGGGCCAGGTCAGCGCCATCATCAAGGACATCAAGCCCGCCAGGCAAATCGTCGAGGAGATGGTCACCCAGGCCGTCGACATGTTGAAGCTCGGCGGCACCTATATCGAGGCAGCGCCAAGGAGTAAATTGTGATTGACATGTGAGGTGTAAGGCCTGGTCGCGAGCATTTGGGAGTTCTTTTAGTGCCATTTGAGACAATATGATAGTGAAAGATGACCATGTGAAAACACCAAATATATCTCTCTGCCCACCACCACCGACCGCTTACCTCGACAGAGACTTGGGTGTCTGAGCAGGAAGACGACCTCAAAAAAAAAAATCTGCTACTGTAGGGCTCACCTGGCAGTGATCCATGTCAAGCTGGACGCTGAAAGGGAAACAACACTTCATGAGCATTAGCTACCGATCAATACAGCTCGCTGGGTCCTTCTGTAACTCCTATGTACGCCGTCATTATCATCTGTAATGCTGTGTGGACACAACACCTCGCTGGTATCCGTGTAGGGGGGGTTTTTTTTTGGTCTAGCCTTCCGTGGTCTCTATGCCCTATAATCCGTACTTCCATATCGTATACACTTGAACACCGTGATTGACACTTGTCTTGGTAAAGATGGATGCGACTCATGGCTTTTGTTTCGCTTTGGATTTTGTGTAGTGGTCTCAGGCAGTGTTTGTTCCGGCATGATCAACCAATCTGCGAAGTCGAGTTGTTGCCCTTGTACACTGTCCCATGCACCTTAACACTGACACCAACGGCAATTCCCACGGCGGCTCCAATGATCACCAACCCGACGAGCAGCTTGACCAGGAGTCGTTGGCGTGGAGACAACCGAGTGAACCACACACATCCTCTAGGCTTCGGCTTCGTCATGCACTGCTTCTCTCTCTTCCAGAACTTGAACCTGTCTCTGGCCGCCCAATTTTGTGCAACTTTTTTCTCTTGGGTGATTGAAGGTGAGAGATTGAAGGTGCCCGCCTCCAGATCTTGGATGGCCACTTGGACGGGATTGTTGGACTTCTTGACGTCAACGGACGGGCGGGGAGAGTCATGGTTATAGAGGTAGAAAGGGGAGGAAACTTTGGCGTTGCAGCACGGATCAAATTCCGACTTGGGGCGATGGATCGAGGTGGGCGGTGGTTGCTCAGTGAGCTCGGTGGCTTCAACTGCGGTTGCCATGGTTTGGATCTTTCGGTCGGGAGTGATAGAGGTGCCAATGCAAATCTGAAGAGTCGCAGGGGGGGGCTAGAGATGTGGTCTTTGAAGCCAATGCTCCTGAAGGAAAATAACTAGTAAGTGCCTAAGGGCCGAGGGCAGAGGTTTAAAAGTCCATGGTGAGCAGGAAGTGTCCACTTGGTGAGGATGTCTCGGGTGATGCTTGGACAACGGGCGATGGCGTCGAGAGACGGAGTCTCAGGTGTCAATTGGCACTGTCAACTTGCAACGGTCAACAGTCAAGATGGCTTCTCGAGGCCAGGCAGGAGCGTTGCCAGGAGGCGGTGATGTCAAGATGGATGCTCCCTTCCTAGGACGCGTGCGAGGTGACTCGGAACCCTACTGCGCACGAGGGACTGAGTTTCACCTTTTTATGAGTGACTGTTCATGCCAACCGCATGGGGAACCTGTGGGATTGCCAATATATTGGGGCGCCAGGGCCCACGATGCTGGTTCCGAGATGGGGTGTTGGTTCATCAGCTCATCAGCCCTCCGATTGGGAGCTGGACCCGAGTGCAATCAAAAGGTGGCCAGACTCCATGCAACTGTTGAGTGGGCAGCACGGGGAAGGCAAGGGGAAGGCAAGGGGAAGGCAAGGGGAAGGCAAGGGGAAGGCAGGGAAAGGCTGGTCCTCCCTGGCTCCTGGTGATTGTACATGGAACAACAAAAAGGACGCCACAAGCGCGCCTCCCGCTGAAACTACGGCGACGCCAATGCTCGGTGGGGGAAACGAGGAAGGTCTTGTGGATCACGCTGATTCGGTGGATATCACGTGAATTGGCTGGGACAATTGCCCCGTCGAGGACTGCACTCGGTATATACCTCGAATTATCACTCCGACAATACCAGGTATACCTAGCGTACCTATTCAGCCCACGCTGTCATCCTCTCTGCAAATTGTCGAGGCTCTTCGAAGATTTCATGACGGAAAGCTGGCTGAGAACCTCAAAGTCCTGCCCTACCTGTCAAAAGGTCGCCACCCCTTGTTCTGAGCGACAAGGGAAGACCTTGCCTTACTCGTCGGAGTTGGCTGGGATTTCCTCAATACAGCCGGCTGATATTTGTGCGGACAGCATCAATTGAAGTTTCAACGTTGAGACGGATATGGCCTTCCTTGCCACTCTAGGAGCAGTTCGGACCGTCCTCTGGAACGAGGTCGGACACCCACTACTTGCCTTTGATTTCCGTCCCTCTCATACTTGTACTTGTAGGTATCCCAAGTAGAATTGCTTGGTGTCATAAGCTAGAGGGCGGCCAGGCCCAACTGGCCCCTCGTTAATTCACAAACTCTCCGTTTGGGCCTGAAACCCTGCGAATAGATCGCACGGGGTGGCGGCCGAGGCGGTTCGCTTTGACGATTTGCATCGTCGCCCTCGCCGTCTTTGGCACCGTATAAATACGCTACACTCGCCCTTCGCTGATGCACTTTCAGGGAGACAACATGTTACTTATCCTTGGCATCTCCTCCCCCAAGCTCGAGCTCAACTCCTGAGGAAGGGTAGCGGTCCACCGAGGGGGTGTCCTTCTCGTCAGCGTCGGCCCTGCCGCGCCAGCCCCATATCGATACGGGCCGGGATTGTACCTATGCTTATTGTCGGTCGGAGTGACCCGTTTGGAAATCGAAGGAGTCAAGGAGGGAATTCCGGACCAATGGCCAAGTCACTGATACCGACTCTGGCACATCAGGCGATGAGGCCCGATAGGGGTTGTAACCGCTCAACTTGGAAGACGTCGAGCTGTTAGCCGACACCACAGTCCGTCAATGCTTCCGGTCTAAGACCGTTTGTCGCGGTTCTCACGCCGGGCATCTTCGGCCCTGCGGACGGATTTTCGCAAGCTGGGTTTGACATCCAAGATGCGCTGGGCTTTGACCAAGAGCGCCACTTGTCGTGGAAGGTATACCTAAGTGATCGAGCTGAAGCCCCACATCTCGTCATTAACCAATCTGCATACGATATGCGCGGAGTCGGGTGTATGATGGTGTACCGAGACAAGTGAAAAGCTGAAAACTATCCCTTCTTTGGGGGATTAGCATTCATCGACTCCCTTGTGCTGCTGTGAGAGACCCTCACAGGGAATATAACTGTCCTTTGGGAGGGACACTTTGCTCCCGTCGATTTTGTCACATGCAATTCATTTTCAACCCCTGCTGGTCTAGCGAATTTGAGCAGGCCTCATGTGACTCAGTGGAAGGGAGGACATGATAGATTCTACTCGGTATAGGGCCACGGGGACTGGTCTGACTATACCTAGTATACTGTCTGGTTAATTACACTGGTGCTATCGACGCTAGCCCTCGGCTAAAGGCCTTTGGAGTGATGAGACAATCTTTATATGTGTCGGCTACTCTGTCAGTCACACTCACACTCGTTGTACGCCGCCGCCCTGTGGCGCTCTGTCGCTAGGGGGACGTTCTGTCGCTGGGGGGACGTTCTGTCGCTAGGGGGACGTTCTGTCGCTAAGAGGACGCTCTGTCGCTAGGAGACGTTCTGTCGTTACTAAAAGTTCTCAACGATAAGATTTCTGAATGCGAACGGCGACGGCGAGATTAGACTTGTGGAATATGGAATTGTAGGGTTTTTGTGACCAGGAGGAATAAGTGCCTGCCATATTATGTGGCAGCAGTTTCTGCCAAGTATTTGAGTGAAGTTCACGAGGTCGCTATCGGGAATGGCTCTGAAGCAGCCGGATCACTTTTCCTTGCTACAGCGGAACCTTATTTAGACAAGGGGCTATAAGTTCTTTTGCACGGATCCGTCCTCTATTCACGCGGAACGAATCGTGTTGATGCGGACCCGCGCTTAGAGGCATGGGTGCTCGGTGGTTGGCAAGATTACATGTACCTTGTAGGCTGCAGCCTGCAGGCAAAGTAACTAGACATGCCTGTGAGGGTGGCCAGCCGCTATCCCGCCAGCCTTCCGCGTGCCCTCCTGGCTAGCGCAACGGGCGGAAGGCCCCCTTGAGTGACCTATGACAACCAAACCAGTATGAAGAGTTTCTCTAACAACGCCCCCCTGTCCACTGTCACGAAAAAGCCTATAAATTCGATGCCCCTTCCGCCAAAATTAAAATCGAAGGATAGTTCTCTTCTCTCTTCCATTAATCTCTTGTGTCGGTGGTCGTCGGTCTCTCTACGCTCTATCCCCGCCCTCTCTCTCCTGCAAAAATTCGTTGCTAGTCTAGTGCATCAAGCTCTAACACCAAACACTGTCCATACGACTTTACGCGTCTCTACAAGGGGAATAGCATCATGCCCGTGCAAAAGCGGGTCAAAACACGAGGTAAGTGCGCCAAAAGTTATACTATACTACTATAGAGACGTGCTAACATATTGATGCCTATATAGGGAATGATGGTCCAGGCAATCGAAAGCAGCGACCGTCGGACAAAGCATCGTATGCCCTGTCGCCCCTTTCGATAGTCAAATGCCAAAGTCTCACATACTACTGTTGGACACAGCCTTGAAGGAGACCGGTCACGAGCCGCACGAGCACGACTCATCACACTCGTTGGGCACGTGGGGGGATCCATAGGAGAACAAGGCTGAGTCACGTGGTATGCCCTGTTGGCTCTGTAGGCCCTGCTGGCCCTGTTGGTGCAGGGCGCACAGAGCGCACAGAGCGCGCAGAGCATGGGCATTATATATACACCCTCATTACCCCCAGA